CAGGTTTTTATCTTATCTAATTTTTAATTCTAATCTTTTTTTAGATATAGAAGAAGCATATCGATCCCAAATTCAAGAAGCTGATTCTGAAAAATTTACTTTTTATACCTAAATCTCAAAAATACTTGTATATACATTCAATATTTATATCTTATATAACTTAGTTTTGCTTTATTTTACTATAACATTTTAGAAAATAATAATCATTCTATTCTTTATAATATTAAAAAAAACTTAATCATTTTTTTGTTTATTAGTTGTTAGACATATTTACCGCATAGTCCTAGATTTTTCATTTATTTAAACTTGTATATTTTTTATTTTTTTCTGATTTTGAATATTTTTATCAATTGATTTTAAAATGTCTATTGTTAATATATTGTCTATTGATATATTAAATAATCCTGCACCTTTTCTATCTCCTTATGAGTTTGAAATTACATTTGAATGTTTGGAATCTCTGGAAAATGGCAAATATATTACATTTTTTATTTTTAATTCATAAACAGATTAGACTTAGAATGGAAATTGACTTATGTTGGTTCTGCTACTTCTACATTACATGATCAAGAACTTGATAGTCTATTAGTCGGGCCTATACCCATTGGAATTAATAAATTTTTGTTTCAAGCAGATCCACCTACGGCAGAGCTTATTCCTAAGAAAGATATTCTTGGTGTTACTGTTATATTACTCACATGTGCTTATGATAGTCGAGAATTTGTAAGAGTAGGATATTATGTTAACAATGAGCTTCCAGGTGTATTATTAAGAGAGGATGGTACACCAGATGTAGAAAAATGGTCAGTAGAAGATGTTCAGCGTAATATTCTTGCAGAAAAACCTCGTGTAACTAGATTCAATATACGATGGGATGGAGAGGGAGGGGAAGAAATGCCTCCTGTACAAGATGATGTAGAAGAAGATGAAGAAATAGTAGATTTTGATTTATTATTTTTTTAAAAGTCTAACTTTAATTTAGTATAGTATGGAAGAGCAATTAGATGATTTTCTTGAAGAGACAGAATATAATGAAGAAGCAATTGAAATAGATTTAGAAGAAGAAGAAAGTAGTGAATTTAATAATTCGTAAAAGATCAGAATATAAAAGATGAAGATATTTATATTAAAAAAGAAAAGATGAAAACTAGATTTGTAAAACCTTATAAATTTCAAAAATAACCAAAGCAAGAATCTTTGTATAATAAAACAAATGAATATGAAGAATGAATGTATATAAATATTTTTCTTATAAAAATAAAATTAATTAGATCAATATCTAACTTTTTCAGTTTGCATAAGAACATCCGAAAACTCTTCATAAGGAGTTGCAGTATAAGGAATTTCTTTCCATAAATTAGGTGTCAAAAAACTATATGTGTTCCCAATAGCAATAAACGTAGCTTTAACAAAATTTCCAAGGGTCCGTGTAGCTCCGCGAGATGATGTATAACAATCTTGAATACCAGCAAATTGAAGAAGACGTTTAGGAGTAGGTGCCGCAACAATACCTGTTCCTCGAGGAGCAGGTACAAGACGACACATTGACGAACTACATTTTCCACTCACTTTTACACAAACAGTATGGGGATCCCCTAAAGAAGATCCCCAATATCCTCGACGAACTGGAATCACTGATAATTTAGCAAGAATAATAGCTCCACGTATAGCAATCGCCACTTCCTTAGAACATTTTACACCAAGACCTACATGTCCATTTGAATCTCCAACTACAACAAATGCTTTAAATCGTGTTCTCTGTCCTGCACGCGTTTGCTTCTGAACTGGCATAATTTTTAAGACCTCATCCTTCAATTTAGGCAGAAACCAATCAACAATCTGATATTCTTTGATAGGAAGTGAATAAAGATAGATTTCCTCGATTGAACGAATCTTTCCTGCTTTAACAAGTCTTCCAAGCTTTGTTACTGGAACCCATGTATCTTCTTTCTCCTCCTTATGACCTCGTCCTCGTCCTTTACCACGCCCAAATCCTGCTCTCTCTGTTGCTGGAGCCATCTTTTATGAAAAAGCTTATTTAATATGATTTCAAAGATTTTTTTAAAAATCTCGAGCTTACGAAGTTTAGAAAAAAGGCAGTCACGATATTATAAATAATATAGAAATAAAGATGTTTATTATATACAAACAATGACAGTAAAAAGGAGTTAATCAGATCTAATAATCTGTATGTATTTTTTTGAAGCAACTTCTTTGGTTGTACATTTTTTTTTCGAAGCGATTGAAGTCTTTAAAGATTAGAAAAAAATATAAAAAATAAATTAATATACCCTTTTTAAAGATACCATAGCATATGGGTTAAGACGAAGCATAAGACGACGATTTCTGAGAGGATTCTTCTTTTGAGAGATTCTACGTCGTGTTTGTCTAGGACCTTTAGGTCGAAGAACCATTTGAATTTCGCTTGAATTAATAATTCGAGTAATATCGGGTTGAGTAACGATATTAGATGGCAACATATAGTTTTTCTTGAGAACGGCTGGTTCTTGTGTTGTACCATATAATGAATCGAGCAATTCAAAAGCGGATTGTGTCCATATAATGAATCGACCAATATGACCACCTGGAGCCAATTGAAGAAGATTCAATGCGCGAACATTAACAAGTTCTACACCAGGAACATTTCGAAAGGCTTTGACAATACCTTTGTCTTCTGCATAAACAATAAGAGGACCACGTCTGTGACGATATCGACGGTTTCTCATTTTGCCTTTTCCTGCTCGAAGTTTGCGTGAATTAATCACTTTAACAACGTCTGGGTATGCCTTGAGAGAATTTAAAACACGAATTGCTTCACGTGTTTTTTCAAGAGACTCTATTCCTCCCGAAACTACCAATGGTATCTCTGGAACCATTTCAATACGATGACCCCGTGCTGATACTAATGAAGGAACAGCTGATGCTGCCAATGCAGAAACAATTGCATAACGCTTTTGATTAAGATTGACTTTAATATGCCATTTTCTCCATATTTTCGTTGGCGCAAACATATGTCCTCCTCTACACATATTACCATATCTTTAAATATCTGTTAGAAAACTCTTTTTTTTTTCAATTCAAAAATAAACATACGCTGCCTGACCCGCCCTATGAGTACCTCCTCCTGATACACGAGGAATACGTGAAACTGCTCGTCCAGTTCCCCATGATTCGGCTGATGTTTGATGGCCTGCTAATGCACTTACTGCATAAGGTTGTCGTCGATTCTTAGAAACTGCTGTATGAACTGTTTGTATAAGGTCCGGTCGTATCGGTGCCTCTAAAACACTTGGAAAACATACAGTAGATCCTGTTTGAACACCTAATTCACTATAAACATTGATCTGAGGCCGATTTATGCCCATCTCGTTTTTTTAATTTTCCGTTCAGTTTTTTAAGATTTATAAAAGTAGTCACAGAACTATAAAAATAAATAGATAAATAATATTAAGAATTTCTAAGATTTTTATAAATTGTTTATCAAATATTTGTTCTTTCTTACTATTTTTATTAGATTTATTTAAATCTTAAATAAAAATCTTCAATTTTTTAATTCGTTCTAAAATTTTTTAATTGGATTCTTAAAAATTTTAACGGTCTCATATAAGAAAAATTAAAAAATATTTTTTTTAATTGTGTAATTAGAAATTAAAGGAATGGGGTAAGTTATTTTAATTTTTCCTAAAAGAAGATAATAAGAGCTTATTAGTGCCTATAAATATGTTGAGGGTATGTTTATAGATAGGATGTTAGAAATAATAAAATAGTTTTTTAATAAAAATATTTAATTGTTATTAAATGGCTAATATAACATATTTAGAATTGTACAAACATAAACAATCGGATGTTCTTAGATTTCTTTTAAGATTACGTTGCTGGTAGTTTTATTTTATTTGTAAGATTTAAAATATAACGAGTTAAGGGAATATCGTCAATTAAATGTTATTCATCGAGCATCTCGTCCATCCAGACCGGATAAAGCACGTCGACTTGGCTATAAGGCTAAACAGGGGTTTGTAATTTATCGTATTCGTGTTCGTCGTGGAGGGCGTAAACGGCCAGTTCCCAAAGGAGCAACCTATGGAAAACCTACTAATATGGGTGTAAATCAGCTTAAATATCAAAAAAGTTTAAGAGTGACGGCAGAAGAACGTGTTGGTAGAAAATGCTCAAATTTGAGGGTTTTAAATAGTTATTGGGTTAATCAGGATTCCACTTATAAGGTTTGAAGGATTGAAATAGGATATAGGTTTTAATTAGATAGTATTATGAGGTTATTCTTGTTGATCCTCATCATAAAGCTATTCGTCGAGATCCCCGTATTAATTGGATTGTAAATGCAGTTCATAAACGTCGGGAAGCTCGTGGTCTTACAGCAATTGGAAGGAAATCTAGAGGAGTTGCAGGCAAAGGACATTTATATAACAAAAGTTCATGTGGAAGGAGGAAGATATGGTATAATATTTTTATTATCTGTTTTTATTTTTTAACAATTTTATAGGAAAAGGCATAATACATTATCTCTTCGTAGATATCGTTAAAATTCTAATTTTATTTACATTTTGTATTTAATATCTGAGTTTAATAATGTTTTATGTATGGTTTTTTCCTCGATTTAAAAAAAAGAAGCTTAAATAATGTTTCAGTCAAAAAACATGTTTAAATATCATTATTTATATATAACATTAATATATCTCTATTCTTTTAAAATATTAAGTGCATTAGATAATTTAGTAACACCGAATCTAATTAGAAGGGAAGTTTTTTAATGGTTCTAAAAATGTATTTTGATTATGATTAAAATTAAGATAAATTAAAAAATAAATTATCATTAAATATGTTAAAATCTATTATCCTGAAAAATTATTCAGACAATGGTTAATAATAAAAATAATTACCCCTTTTAGATGATTTAAAGCAATGTGCCCTTGTTTTTTTGCTATTATTGTATCTACAATCCAATATTGTATTATATTCATTCTAAAAATATTAACATTCGTTTATTTCAATAGAGATAATGCTAACATTAAAGGAACAAACTATTTTTTATAAGTTTAATAATAAAAAATATTAAATAACATACAAACATAATAAAAAATATTTGTAACTTTTCTTCACTACTAGTCCAAGATAGTAACCAATTCGCAGTATTATCTAATATAGGTATCCTAAGGATCGGAAAGACTGAAATTTTCATACAGATAAGACCAAGAATATATATGAATCTACGAAATATATTATTTTCAATATGTTATTATTAAATTACAAACAATTGTTTCAACCACCAAGTAATTCGAGGAGGATCTCCATCATAATCACCCGATTTAGTTCCAACACATCCCATAAATTTACAAATCCTTCCAATAAATCCAAGAACTATCCAAAGAATAGGAACTCCTATTGTTGTATCAATCTAGATTTGATTACACAATCTCACAGATTTATCTATATCTTTACCATAATATTCAAAAGATACCTTATATAATGAACAAATTCAATATTCTAAAAAATATTATTCATATTACCACACACAAGGATTAGAAAAGCCATGTTCTCTTTCATTAAATCCAATAATATTAGAGATAAAAACGTTTAAAATATGAATTACTGCTGCACCAATAATTTGTTTTGAAACATCAAAAAACCTAGAGATATCATTAGAGATGATTAAAAATACAAAAAAATCTATTGTTTTTATCCATATCTTCAAGAACTTACCATATTCTAAAAGATCGCCGAGGGTATTCCCAATGTCGTTTAATTAAAAGTGAAAAAAGTACAAAAGCTCCTAGAATTTCTTGAACAAAAAGTGAAAACGGGCTTAATATTTTGCAGTCTAATATGTCTTTTTGCGCATTTTTCATTTTATACGGATTTGTTTTTAAAAAAGCTTTTAAATAGTTTAAGTTGATATCGAAATTTAAACAATTGTATCAATGAAAAATACCTAGTATTAGAATATGAATTATATATAATTTAATGTGTAATGCTAGCTTTTTCCAAGAGCTATCTCTAATAAATATATCCTTTTTAAAAAATTAAAAGTCAATAAATATGTTTTATAAACATTATTTTTTGCTATTAATGTATATTTAACTAGGTTTTTATTTATTATCGTCGTTAGTATTCTATATTTATGAAATTGTTTCCTTTATGATAAAAAAAATACCTTAAAGTCTTTATTAGAACCAAAAAACCGATCATGATTCATTGATAATCCAGCAGATATTAAAAGTACTACAAGAGTAATTGCCTAATATATTATATCATTTAGTTTTTTAAGATTTATGGATAATTAATCTATATATTACCTGGGAATATATTCTAGCTTGAACCAATTTTTGAGTTTTAGTAAGATATTTATCTCTCCAAAGTAATGACATAAATCCAATCATTCCCAATACCCATGACCCGCCTATAATTTTCCATTTGTTTTCTGAACACCATTTAAAGAGAATACTCTGTGTGTTGGAATTTTCGATAGTTTTAACCGGATTGGAAGAACTGTATTTACTTTTCAGGTAGTTTCTTGACGCATTATCTGAAGATACTACAAGTGCTGTCTATAATATATTAGAAAGATTGTAAATAGTTTAAATTGAATAATTACTGTTGCTATACTAGAAACAAAAAATGACTAATTATATAATCATTAGCTTAAAGAAACACAAGTTTTTAAAATTAAAACTTTTATTGGAAATGTTAGTTGCCTGAATTTCGCCCTAAATTTGATTATTATTTATTTTAATAAAAAACAAAAATATGCCATTTATTATTTAAAATAAAAGCACAAGGAATTGAAATAGCTAATGCTATGATACCGGATTTAATACCGGAATTTATTACTATGCGATAATGTTCTAATTGATGTAAATATCATTATTTTATTTATAATTTAAAATAACCTTCTTCAGAAAAAATTTTCTAAGAATTATTAGTAATGCAATATACTCAATGAAATATATATGCCATAATGTCGCACGGAATATATAAGTATTATTAGTAATATTTTATTTAATCTTTTTTTGAAAGATATCAAATCTTTTTAGATTCTTTAAATTATAGAAGTTTTAAAAATTTAATAACCACTAAAATAAATGTTTTTATTTAATATATATAAATTAGTGTTTTAATTATATATATCAGCTTCTTTTTAGTTTTCTCTTTAAAATTTTACCTAAATTATTTCAAAGTTAATTTTTAATATTTTAAAGACAAATCAATATTATATTCAAAATTATTACATTTTTTATAAAAATAAATTAGAATATCTCCAAAAGACATGAATTTATGCCTTATTAACATATTCATAAAGACTATAATATATATTGATATTTTTATAATTACAAATAACTTTTAAAAACTTATTAATTTCTATGTTGAAATAAGAAAATTAAAAGCAAATATAATATATTTAATTTTCAAATTTAATATACAAAAATCAATTATAATATAAATTTAACAAATATATAAACAATTACTTAAACCTATAAATTTTATAAATATAACTTCACAACTAATCAACGTATTCTAAAATAATATAGAAAAAGTAATAAATACAAAATTCATTTAATTATCAATTCAATAACATAAAACTCAAATTAATATTAGACAATCATATTTTTATTTAAAAAAAACATTTAAATAATCAATATCATTTAATAATAACATATAACTATAATAAATTCTTTATAATTCATCCAACTAAAACAAAAATGACCATATACTATCTCATATGCTCCGCCAATTAAACTCTATTTTTGTAAATTTCTTCAAAACAATTATATATAAACTATCATATAAAATACATGAAACATTTACTACTACATATAAAATCTCAAATTTAAACAATATTTATCAATTTTAAGCAATATCAATTATATTTATAGCATATTCAAAAAATTATATATATATAATTTAAAACGTTAATTTTATAATTGCTTTTTTTAACGAAAATATATAAAAGTCAGAATTATCGCCGATAATTCATCAAAAAACTATTTTTCTCCAAAAATCGTGATAAATTTAGAAAATGTATTAAAATTAGCATATTTTCCATAAAATTTAGAAAAGTATTAAGTTTATAAAAGGAATAATATACAAGGTTTTAAAACATTTGTTAATTAGTATTTTTTCAGTTTATTAACATCAACCTTCTTACATCATTTACACGTGTATTTTTTTCATTTGAAAAGCACTGAAAGTGTCAGGAGCACTTAACAGGTGAAATAAAAACACTTAAATAGAATTTTTGCATCGATTTTCGAACGTGTTTTTTTTGTTTTGGTATTTTTGTCTCCAATATAGATTATTTGTATTTATATAGTGGTTTCCAGGGCTTGAGTTGAATGTCCAATAGTATATATTTCAAGTTTAAATCACAAAAGGAGCCTGGCCGTATTTCCTTTGATGGAACAACCGGACTTTCTGTATTTGATGTAAAACGTGAAATTATCCTACAAAATAAACTAGGTTCTGGAACAGAGTTTGATTTAGCTATATATAATTCCAATAATGAAGGTAATATTCTTTATAAGAATTCAGAACATCCGTTGTAATGACAATTTATAGAATATGATGATGATACTACTATTATTCCTCGATCAACCTCTGTTACAGTACGCCGTTTACCTCCTTCTAAGCCAGGCAAAGGTACTGCTGCCCGTTATGTCTCCGGAAATGCTTCTATTGGTTCATACACTCGAGCAGATGTTTTTCCCAAAAAGACAACAGAAATAAAAACAAAGCCTATGCCTTCAATTAGTACATCCACTCCTCAAAGGAAAGAAGATGCGGAAGATGCAGCAATACAAGCCATGTTTGCTGCTAGTAATGAGCAGTGGCGAGAAACACAAGATAAATTAGCTACTGCTACTCCAATATTCCGACCAAATAATAAAAAGTTAATGCCTACAAATGTTCCAGATCGACCTCCACCTACTGGATATATTTGTTATAGATGCGGTGAAAAAGGTATAAATCAGTTTATTTATTTATTTTCTCATTTTTTCTAGGTCATTGGATTCAATTGTGCCCTACATTATCTGACCCAAGTTTTGATGGTAAATTAAGAGTAAAACGTACAACTGGTATTCCAAAATCCTTCTTAAAAACAGTGGAAAAAACATATAATGAGAATTCTGGAAGTTTTATGGTGAATGCAGATGGAGAACATGTCATTGCTCAGCCCGATAAGTATCTGTCACATTATTTTTTTTACATTATTAATAAATATAAGTGCATCATGGGAAAACTATAAGTCTAGAACTAAAATTTTTACAGCATCAAATATTTATTCTTTTAAGCCAGATGATTCAACGTTAGAATGTACTTTATGCCATAAATTAATGAAAAACCCAAGTACAACTCCTTGTTGTCAAGAAGAGTATTGTGAAGAATGTATTCAAACTACATTATTAGAAGCAGATTTTGTTTGTCCTAAATGTGGAACAAAAGATATTCTTTTAGATACTATTCAAATAAATAATGATAAAAAAGAAAGAATTGAGGAATACATTAATAACAAAATGCGAAATGAAGATATTTCTGTAAATAAAAAAGTATTTTATCAAACTATTTTATTCTTATTTAACTATTTTGGTTAGTCATCTTTAACTACCAGTAATATTGATTCCTCCCAAGTTGCACAATTAAATGTAAAATCCAAAAAGAGACCATTTTCTGATGATGGTAATTCAACTTCCCAAATACATTCAAAACAAAACGGTCAAGCAATGGACAAAAATCAGCCACTTAATTCTCAGTCAATAAAACCCGATCTTCCATCACAAATAAACGGAAATTTCATGTCTTTTTTCCCAGATCCTTTTATGTTAAATCCTTATATGATACCTATGAATTCTATAATGACACCAGGTATATATGGATTACCTCAATATGGCAATTACGAATGTTATCCCTTAGATATATCGAAATATGGGTATTTTCCAAATCAACAAAAAGTATTTAGCAAGGAAGAAGATAGTCCTTATACGCGGATACCACTTAATGATCGTAATACTCATCGTCAAAAAAGAATAAGACAGGCTGATTTTAGAGAATTGGCCTAAATGAACTGTTACTTATGTATATAAATGATTTAATGATTTTGGTTTATTAGGCTTTGGTCCTAGTTATATATGCATTATTTTTAGATATAAGTATCATATTGGTCTCAGAAAAATATTGTTCTAGTGTTAAAGATTTATCAGGAATTCTACAAATCTAAAATCCGAGGTCAAAAGTTCCAAATATCACTAATTTCAGTATAATCTGACATACTAACAAATTATACTAAAATTTAAGTATTTATATTAAATACAAATATTTCAAAAAAATATATAGTTAAAATTATTCAATTACTAAAACACTATTATTAAATGTTTTAAAATAGTTATATCATATTTAATATGAATTGATAATATCTGCAAGCAATTTACATTCATGTGCCCAATTAATTGGCGATACACCCATTACTTGATATCTTACACGAATAGCACCATTATATGAATCCTGTTTAGCACGAACTCTAAATACATAGCTTTTACAATTTGCTTCGTGAAATATATTCAATGCAGCTTGTTCATTTTCTTCCTAAGTAAAATAAATAAATAAATAAATAAATTTAAGAAACCCTTTACCTTCATTTGAGCAATATCATCTGCCGATTTCCCTATAATTTGACGACCAATGTCATCAAAACAATTAAGCCAAATCTGGCCAGTATGATCATTAACTGAGATGGTAACAATATAGCTATTAAAATTAATAAAATGCAATTTATTTTTTGTACTAACCGATACTGAGGTTTTAAAAAACTCTTGTCGCATCTTTCACATCTCCATCTACCCTCATTATCCTCAATAGCCTTTTTATTACAACCCTCAATAGGACATGCAGGATAAAAAATATTTTCCTGCTTAAAAAAAACTATAGTAGCCTTTACAGAAAAATAATCAGGCTGTTCAGTCATTCCAAGTTGCTCATCTTTAATTTGAGCTATAGTTTTTCTTTCCTCTTTACGAATAGTAGTAATAGTTGGTTGATGAGTCATAAATGTTTCTTCTTTACCCTGTTTATCATACCATTTTTTCAGTAAATACGCTTCCTCAATTTGAGGATTAGCAATTATCATAGCGCCACTCAGCATTGACAATGATCGTCCATTAAAATCAGTAACTTTTAATCCTTTAAAAGCAACTATAGTTTCTTGAGGTATATTAAAATCTTGAGCATGTTTTCCCCAAAGTGTTAGACGAACTGAATAATTCGAATTATCAACCAAGAAAATATCCCTTTTTGAATACTAAAAATTTATTAGCATTGTTTATTTTATAGCCATAAAAATAACAAGTTTTTGAGTAGTTTTAGAAGTAATCTCAACAATTTCATGAATATCATTCAAAATTCCAATAACATCTAAACAATTAAAAATTGAAAATAAAATTAGTAAACTAACCAATAATAGAGTCTTTTCCTACGCTATCAAGATCCTTTAAAGACACAAAATTAAATTTAACATGAGGAACAGCAGATTGATCGGGGCACTAACGATAAATTTACCAAAAAAATAAATTAAAACATCTTCTCTAACCCTTTCAACTTCTGTATCTCTTTCAAAAGTAAGTTCATATTCATTCTGTACATTTGAAAACTGCTTTTTAGCTATATTTACTCGACATTTTGATACAAAGTAAACCTTTAATAATTAGAAAAATTATATATATTATAAATAAATAATTACTTGGCCTTCTTGTAATGCATCATATAACATATCTACCTGATCATTGAAAGCAGTAGCACGAATTTCACCACTTTCATCCATAAATATACATGAAAAAAGTTTTCCTTCGCCCTTTTGATTATGCCAATGCTTTATTTCAGTTTTATTAGTCACACGCGCTTTGATAGTCCATCTATAAAAATAAATATAATTTCTATGAAAATTGTATTTATATACTTATTTTGATAAGGTGATAAACTCTCAATAGGATATATAGTCGTAGAGGAAACTGATGATATATGATTCCTAAAACTTTAAACAATTTATAAATAGTAAAAAGATAATATACATTTTTTCTTTTTCTTCATGAAACGTAGGCCCCAATGGCTTATTTCCATAAAACGATGTCTGATTAATTACAGGAATTTCCTGCTTACGGCTCTCCTCTTTATCAGCCGTTGATGAAGACGGTTCCAAGCTAGCAGGAGCTCCAATCTTTGGAAGAATCCCATATTGTTCCAAAATATTAAGATTTATAATAATAATAATTCTAGCAATAAAAAATAAAAAAATACATATATAAAAGATAAAATACTTTCTCTCTTTCATCATATTTACGGAGAATTGTATCAACTGAACAATTGCTCCTTTTTGAAGCTTTCCAGAAACTACAAGTTCATTTTTCTGAGATGCTAACATAGATTGTACATAATGAATAGAATCCGATAATACAATCCGATATCTTTCAACCCCATTACTAACTGAGGTCAATTTTCTTACTTGAAGAACTTGGAAAATAGGTGTTTGAAGAGCTCCTGGCTGAGCATTTCTAATTAAATAATTAGAATCTTAAAATTCAAAGAACATTTCAAAACAATATAGGCTTTAAAGATCCAATAGAAATAGGCTCTGTCATAATTGAACAATAAATTTAACAAATTTCTTATAATCTTTAAATCTTTACTTCTATAATAATTAATAAAATACCAATAATTAAGAAACTTACAATTAAAAAGCACTATTTTAAAGGAAAACTAAGAAACCTACGCGTATATGTCTTAAGCTAGATGTATATTTTAATATTAGTTTATATTGAAAAACTTTCCGAGGTAAACGGGAAAAAGTAAGGAAGATTATCAAGATATAAGGCGTTTAAAATTATTTAAGAAGATACAGAAAATATTTAAAGATTTAGATAGTTTAGAATTGAAAATTACATATTAAAGATATGTTTAAATATAAGGAAGAAAAATGAAGATATATAAAAATCAAAAGATTATAGATATTTTAAAATATATATTTTAATAAAACAAGGAATATATAATGAAATGCATTTATAACCAAAGGATAGACATTAATAGCCAAATCAATCTGTATTAAGTATCATATGGGTGAAAAAAATGATTGAGAATATTTCAAAAAGTCCTTATATAACCAAGTTAAATTTATATTCTAATAATATGATTCCCAGATTACGAATTAATTAATATTATGGTAAAAAATACCAAATAGAAGAACCATTCCCAAGATTTGCATGACTCGAATTTAAGAAATGAAATTAAGTAAGACTTTATAATATCAATCTACTCCAAAAAGCAAAATTAAGGATAAAGGAAAAATCAAGCAGAAAGACTGTATCAAATGAAATTAACCCATTACCCTAATATTTAAAATTATTTTTTAATATAAGTCTGACAAGTTTACTTGAACTATATTTCTCCTAATTAGTTCTAATCCCAGGAGAATCAATTCAAATATTTCCCCAAAATATCGATAAATTTCATTATTTAGATCAAATCAGAAGAAAAATTTAGAGAAAAATCCTAATGCTCATTTGTTGCATCGAAACTTGCATGTAATTAAAAACAATCAATTTAAAGTAGATCTAAGAATTTAGGTGAAAGAAGAAATATTAGTTATATTTGAAGCCTTTGCCTTCTGTAAAGACCATGCAATTAATATAAACAAACCCATGCATGCAAGAAGAATGAAAAAACAAAAAGAAATCCAAATTAATTTATTAAAAGATATATAGCAGTTTTTCCAATTATAGTAACAATTGTGATATCGATCATCAGGGAAACATCCAACATCTTTATAAAGAAGAGGAATTCTTTCATGAGGATAAAACTCTTCATGTGTTGTATAAAATGGACCCGTATTTTTATCTATAAAGTAACGACGAAATGTTGTATTATAATATTTTAATTTTTGACATTTATAATGAGGAGAAGATGGACATGATGTCGTACGTGATCCAATTCTATGAGGCGAACGTAACCCTGTTTCTACTTTTTCCAAACTACGTAAAAATGGGAATCCGGCCGTTTTTCCAGGGGAACGAGGTAAATCTTTTTTTCAAAATGTTAATTCTTTCTTTTTAAAATATAAAGACTTATAATATACCAGAAAGCATTAAAAATGGATCCTTATGATCAGGATCTGATGACCATGAATGATTAACAAATTTCATACTATGTTTTCCTGAAAGACATCCTTTTCCATCGACATTTCGAGAGTGAGAAACAATCGATGAAATAGATGATGTCCTAGACAATTGATGAGGAGAACGCGTATTCGTCTCATAAACAAATGTCTCATCAGAATCAGAATCAATATTTTCATCAATAGCCGACGCTATTTTAGCTGCAAATATTTCCGATTTAGATGCTACTATTATTTCATTAACATAAAATACCAATAACAATTCCTTCAATCAATTCATCTACCATTAACTAGTCTAGATCGTTTTTTCCTCGCTCTTGTACCCTTCACCGTTTCCAATCCTTTACGCAATTTCGGTGCTAAACCACTTGATGAAACTTGAACCGTCTCCGTTTCAACTGTCATTTTAAATGTTCCTCCTTTCAATCCTTCATTTACACTATCTTTCTGCCCTTCTTTTACTCCATTTTCTCCCACCATTTGCGCCATAATTAACCCCTCTTTTGAACACATTTAATTATCAATTCTTAAGTCCTCAATAACCCTCTAAAAGCACCAGAAACATTCAGATATCTCAGAAACAAAGTATTTCAAGATATTTTAAGAGGGGGTCCTGAGCGCCAATCCCCCTCCAATTTTCTAAGAAAGATTTTTCTTGACGTGCCGAGATTTCATCCAGCCCTTATGAATACCCTGTCCGACCCATCCCTAATGACACCTCTAACCCTTAACAACCCTAAAATACCCCTAACCCTAGTTCAACCCTAATATAACCCTAATCAAACAGGGGCCATCCTGGATAACCCCGGAATAACCCTAATCAAACCCTAACTCATCACCACTAACCCTAGCATAACCCTAAACAACCCTAGCATAACCCTAAACAACCCTAATGTAACCCTAGCGTATCCCTAATGTATCCCTAATGTTTATCTAATCTTATCACTAACATATTCTATCCTTAATCAATTCCAGCAACTCAACAACCCTAGTCCCAATAAATTCATCAGGAATCCTAAATTAACCCTAAACATAGTAGGTCAAAATCCTAGATAATATCAGAGAACTTTATATATAAACCCTCTCAATAAGTACAAGACTTTCAGGAAATTTTTAATATGGAAAACCATACAAACTCTAAAAAATATAGCGAACTATCCTTATCAAACGGAGGAAATATATCACTTGAATCAATTATTGGACTTCAAGTAAAAGTTCGAACAATATTAAATGAAACAGAGACAGGAGAAAGTAAGATTTGTAAAGAAAATTAAGAAAAAGAATAATAAGAAGTAGTTTATGCATATGATGCAATTACAAATACATTAGCTTTACAGAGGAAACTTAAAACATCATTACCATGTTCAAGAACATGGGATTTTAGTATTTTAAAGATTTCATGTTTAAAAGAAATCCAAGTTATTGGAGAAATAAAAGAAAAAGTAAATACGGAAGATGAGGAAACTAAAGAAGGAAGCCCATTTATTAATTCTCAGCCATCTATTCTACCGGTTTCATTAGAAGTTTTATCTATTAGAGAACAAATATCTAGGAAAGAACATCAAACAGCGATTTCTCGAAAAGGAATTGGAGTTACTCAAGAAGCACAAAATTTATTTGATTCTTTAAGTCGAACGTAAAAATTATATATTAAAATGATTTAATTTAATATAATTAGTCTTCCATGTCGATGGGAAAAACAATCGATTATTGTACTTGATGATGTTTATATTGATCCTCCATATACAGTTGAAGCATGCTGGACAGCTTCTAAAGATTCTAAAGGTTATTTAAGGGTGTGCAAAGTGGTATTTTTTATTTATTTAAGAAAAACTTTTTTTTTTAATTTTTATAGTTGGAAGGGGAACGTCAAAGACTTGATTCAACACATCGAGGAGGCTAAGTGAACTCTTTTTATTATATACTTATGAACCTTTTTTTTATACTGCAACATTTTATAGATATAGAGTTGCATTTTTACCGAGAAAAAACTATCTTTTCATTTTTACTTTATATTTTTCCTAGAAATTGGGGTTATATAGAAAAATTAAATCATACTTTAAATCTTTCAGAAACTAAAATGTCTAAAAATAAATAATTTTATTAATATAATATATTAATTTAATTTAAGGATAATATACTAGATTAAATAATAATAAAATGTTAATAAGTAATTGTTTTTTTAGAAAATAAAAAAAAACGAAAACATTATTATTGAGTAAAGAATAGAAAGATACTTTTAAATATGCAATAATAAAATATATTATAATCTATAAAACACCCAAAAGAAAGTATTAAAGAAAAAGATTTTAAGTCTAAACCATGATCCATTTATCAAATAAATAGAAAGAGAAATATCATACTAATTACAAAAAGCATTTAATTTCTATCAAACTATTATTTCTACTGGATCTAATATCCTACTTATGTCCAAAATCTGTATCATTTAGGATTATTTCTATAAAGCTGTTATTGTGTTTCGGCGATATCATTAGTCCCTATAGTCATTCCATTAGTCGTCTGTTGTGAATCTAGAAATTATTTCAATAAAAAAAATAAAAAATAAAAAATTTACCATCATTCTTTAATGCAGAAGCCGATAATTCGACTGTATTATCAACAGGAAATGAAGCATCCTGGATAGGCAACTCGGCATTATTATCATGTTTTGCAGTTTCAAAAGGACATTGTGGAGAAGGACGACTGCACGAACGGGTTCGACTATATGAACGACTTCGACAATGTGAACGGGTTCGAGTACGAGAACAAGTTCGTGTGCGACTTCGAGAACGAGTTCGTGTGCGACTTCGAGTACGACTTCGAGTACGACTTCGAGTGTGACTTCGTGTATGACTTCGTGTATGACTTCGAGTGTGGCTTCGTGTACGACTCCGAACATGACGACGACCGCGAGCACGACTCCGACTTCGACTGTAATGACTACACCGATGACGACGATGATTATAACGACTTCGACTACGTGAACGACTCCGACTATCACTATAGCTACGGCTATATGAACGATGTCTCCTCCTGGAACTACTACGCCCTCGTCGATGTGATGAATATGTACGCTCATCAAATCTCCATGATGCAGATGGCGATTTTTTAGCCCACTTTATAACTCTTTATTTCATAACCTAATATATTTTATTATTATAAAAACCTCAATGCTCAGAGTATCCCGTCCCATACGAAGCCCATGTAAATCATGATATGCCTCATCTGCATCTCTCGAATCTTCATATTCAACAAATGCAAATCTTAATTATTATAAAATGCCCTTGATAACCAAAAAAAACTTACGGTCGTGCACCAACCTTCCTAGGGACTGGAATATCACACCGAACCAATCTTCCAAACCTTATAAGACTAGTTTTAGTCTCTTTCTTAACAATTTAACTACTCACTTTTCAAATTTATAGGCTAAATCCTTTGCACGAATATCGCTCGAAAACCCTGTAACATATAATGTTTGTCTCCGAGTCATTGGTGTGTTTCATAAGAAAATAATATAACAGACTTGATCAGTTTAAGACATAAAAAGACTCTTAATTTAAATTTTATTTTAACTTTTTTTTGCTGTTGAAAAAAGTTTTCGGGTAATAAAAAAGTATTCAAGATCGAACGTCATAAGAACCATTTAGGTGAGTTTTTTTAATAAAAGAAAGGGAGACGTTTATTTTTCAGGGAAAAGAAGTGAGTAAAACAGGCATAAATAAAACATACTAATAGCTTTTTTTTTGAAGAAAAAAGGGTGAAAATTGGAAGAGAAATTAATGAAATACTTTGAAAAATAAAAAAGCTAAAATTGAGGAAAAAGAAAGGAAAATGTATTTTTTTTAAGAAAAACAAAAGAAATTGGAAAGATTTTGTGCGAAGGAAAAACTAATTTTTATGAATAATTAATGATATAATTAAAAACAAGAGATGGAAAGATTGCTCGAAGATATTTTAACGTCTAAAGGAGAACAACAAGTTATAGCATTACGTACACTTAAGAACAAAATAATTGGATATCCTGAAAGAAAGAAATATTTTATAGAACATCAAATATTAAATATTTTAATTCATATTTTATCGTCGCCAGAAACACTAGAAGAGTCGCAAATTCAGGCGATTTTTATTCTTACGTCACTAGCACAAGGTAAAATTTGATGAGATATTAATGTTTTTTGTTAATGATATAGTTGGTTATAGTTTTACATCTCATATATGTCAAGCAGGAACATTGCATCATCTTTTTATGATATTTATGACAAAAACTTCTTCGCCTATATTAATTACGGCATCACTTAAGGCATTAGCAACAATTCTATCATCTGCATCTATCGCAGAAACAATTCCAGAGCCTGCAATTTATTATTTTGTTAAAATATTAGCAAAATGTTGTGATAAGTCATCAACATCTTCTGAATATTTCCAGGCATCTCTTGTAGCATCTATTATATCAGCATGCGGAAAACTACCTTCTCAACAAAGTCAACTTGCAGAATCAGGAATTCTTGATATATTAATTGAAATTGTTTCACTTTTTCAAGATCGCTCAAATCAAAAACCCCAGCAACATTTTTATACTACAAAACTTCTTGATGCTGTACTTCATGCACTATCATCTCTCACACATAATCATGATGCACATGCTTCACAAGTTGCTGCATCATATAGATCATCTACTTCTAATAATCCTAATGATGTTTATCCTATGATTGCAATTTTACTAAAACTTGCTAAAGATCCGTGTATTTCTATTCGACTAGGTGCTTCTGGCTGTCTTGCAAACATGTACAGAAGTGGTGCTATTCCCAAAAAATATTCTATTGATTTGCAACTTATTGTTATTCCAATTCTGATTAGACTACTTGATGAATCGTACAAAATCAAAGAACATGCGCTTCTCATTTTAGGTATAGATATGTATTATTAATTCTTTAGTTTAATTTGTTTAGCGTATTTGGTTACAGATAGTGATGAAATGCAAGGGGCAGCTTGTGATGCAGATGTTATAAGGAAATTGTCCAATATTCTTCATCATGTAAATAATAACCTATCTCCAGAAATGGATAATACGAATGATAAAATTATTGAAGTAAAATTTATTCACGTATTCTTATATATCTAATTTAGTCTTATATAGGCAGTCTTATTGGCTATCGCAGCACTAACATTGTTTAAAGATGATTATAGAAAACAAGTAATCAATGCAAAAATTGTTCCTCATATTGTTTCCGCTTTATCTCATCAATCTCCTGAAGTACGTGTGGCAGCCTGTCAATGTACAAGAAGTTTATCTCGAAGTGTTTGTATTCTCAGAAGCAATTTAGTAGATGCAGGAATTACAGATCCTTTATTCGTATTGTTAACTGATAAAAATCTGAAAGTTAAAACAGCAGCATGTGCTGCTGTGTGTAATTTAGTTTTAGACTTTTCCCCAATGCGCTCGGTTAGTTTTTACTAGTATTAATATCAAATCAACTTATTTTTTTCAAGGCTATTATGGAAAAGGGTGCACTTAAAATCATGTGCGAACATGCTAAAGACGAAAATTCAGCACTGAGATTAAATGCAGTATGGGCATTAAAACATATTGTCTATGCTGCAGAGACGAGTGTTAAAAAAAATGTTTTAGAAGAATTAGGCTATAATGTTCTTACAGAGTATACATTCCTTATTTATCATAAAATTAAAAATAACAAATCAAGATTATGCAATGATCCTGAAATTAGCGTTCAAGAACAAGCATTAGATGTTATTAGGAATGTCATTTGTGGCCAGCAAGAGGTAATTGGTTCTTTTATAACTATTATTTTTAATTCATTTAGAATATTGATATACTATTAAATAATATTGGAGTTTCAAAAATTTTATCTATTATAAAAAAAAAGCTCTCTTCAAGCTTTACTGAAATTATAACTGCGGTAATTTAATATCTTTACTCTTAAAAAATGACATAGATAGGCAATATATATATGTGTACATATTGCTTCAGGTAATGATGCACATAGAAATATTATTATAGAACAAGATGAAATTTTACAATCAATTCTGAAGCATATAACACATTCCAATTTCGAAGTACGTCTAGGATGTTTATGGGTCTTAATAAACCTCACATGGGCAGATGACAATTCTGATCAGATAAGTAATTCATAAATATATTGATCTTAGTAAAACTTATATAACTAAGCTATGAAACAACAACGAAATCAAATTTTAAAGAATATAGGTTTTTTAGAAAAATTAAAACTTATGCAAAATGATTCTTCTTCAGATATTCGCGAACGAGTCAAAACTGCATTGGTATATATCCATTTTATTTTTAATTTAAATCTTATTTTTTAGTCTCAACTCGAATAAAAAATCATATTTTTATATTATTTATTTACAGATTTAAATCGTTTATTATTATATTAATAAACTACTCTTTTCTTTTCATATCTCTAGATTTTCTAGTTAATATCTTCATACCTTATTTATCTTGTTATCTCTACTGCTAGTTAATATTGTAAACAATATTGTTATATTTAATTATTGTTTCTTAAACAATAATTAAAGGATTATTTAAATAATTATTATACAGTTAAAAGTCTTCAAATTTATATAAAAATCTTTAAAAAATACTCTAAAATTCTACATAACTATAAATTACGGCATCGTCTTGATCAAGTTTACATATAGAAATTTATATGTATTTTTTGGATAAAAAAACGTTAAATAGTTCTGAAACCCGTGTATAACACCAGAAATTCTTATATATTGTCAAGATAAACGAGTTATTATATTATTTTTTTTTGGTTTTTTTGAAATATCAAAATCAACATGTTTTATTCAAAAACAATTCTTTCAAAAAAAGCAAATAATCTTAACCATTTATTTGTTATTTTTGTTAATAATATATCAGGGACCTTTGGCAAAGATTTGGCTTGCTGCTCATTGGGAAAAAAAGCTTTCAAAATTTCAATTTTTACAAACAAGTATTGAACAATCAGTTAATGCAATTGTCAATCAAGAACAAATCCCTATAGCACTTAGATTAAGTGGGCAGTTGTTGTTAGGTGTAGTAAAGGTTTATTCTCGGAAAGCACATTATCTTTTAGAAGATTGTAATGAAGCCTTAATGAAGATCAAAATGGTAAACATATTGTTAATAATTATAAATTATTAATATTACAAGACTTTTAAACCAGGAAATGTGGATATTTCTAGAAACAACACGAACGTTACACTTCAATCAGCACAATTGGTGTTACCAGAAATGATTACAGAATTTGATCTTTTAGTACCTGAACCTGTTTTTAACATAATGTAATATTTTATATGTATAGAATCTATATTTAATCATGTAGTGATATTGATTTGAACGCAAAGACTTTTAACTTTTCTCATGTTTCAAAAAAACAAGATATTACGCTTATGTCAGCATTTGAGCCATCTATTGAAATTGGTCGAAGGAATTTACTAGATTTGGAGGATGATCCTCTTATTCAAGTTGACGAAGATAATGAAATTGACTTAGATCTTGGGATCGGGGACAATGATTTGCAAAACGATGTTTCTATTGAAGTTGGCAGAGATGCAGCTCCAGAACCACGTTTTAGCCAAGAATTCAGTAATATTATTTCATCTCAAAAAAATATGGATGCAAGCATTTCTGGAATGGATTTAGATATGATTGAAGACGAAAATTATGTTGAATCTAATGACATACATAATTCTTTTGAACCTATAGCAGAATCTTCTATTCGTCAAGTAGAAACTATAAGTAGGGATGAAAGATTAATATCAGAAGATGGGGAAGCATCAGTGGAAAGCGGAAATGATATATTAAGAGGCGAAATGCTAGAATTCGAAGAATTGAAAGCTGGAACACCAGAAGCTAGAAATAAAGTAACTCAATTAAAAAATCAACGATCGCAGCGTAAAGCTATTGAAGATACTGTCATTGAAATATCTTCAAAAGTCTTTTCTTCTCAATTACGAAATACATCGCTTATTACTAAACAACACAAACTACTTTCTTCTGATTCTACTTCTTTGGAATTAATTCAGCTTCAAACGTCTGGGAAATTTGCTTCTCATATATTTCAGCCTTCAGACATTCATCCATCAATTGTACACTTACTTAATCCTGTCTCTGTTCATTCTTCAGAATCTAATTCATTTAAGCGAAAACGTCTAGAAGATATAGATCAAAACGACAATGAATTAACAAATACTGCTAAATATGCTAAATTAAATTCATTCAATATTAGAAAATCCGATTTAAATTCTGATTTAACTAACAATAACACTGAAGATTTTGAATTAGAAAATGAAAATAACGTGCTTCCCATTGATGATGATTTAAATATTGTTTATGATGATCCAGAGCCAGAGTTTGAAGGTTTTATAATCTTTTGTTTTAAATATTTTTTCTAATTTATAGTTTCTAAATTATCTTCAAACAATATTATAGCTAAAGAAAATAATGAGACAAAAACAATAGATAAAGAAATACATGAAATAGATTCATCTCACGATTCTTTAAAACTCATTACTGTCTTAAGAAATAGGTTTGATACAAAAGAAAATAGACCTCAAAATACTGCCAGTTTTAAAAATCTTACAAAAAATGTATATTTTATTCAGTTTATACTCACTTATTAACATTTATAGGCATCACGTGCAAGTGCTTCAAAAACATTTTTTGAAATCTTAGTTTTGGCAACTAAAAATGTTATAAATCTTGAACAAAAAACAAGTTACGAAGATATTCAAATTAATCCATCTGATAATTTCTATGATAGTGACATAGAAACTTTCTTTAAAGATCAATCGGATACTGAAATTCATAATAATACTACTATGATTGAGTCTTTAGAATAATTTATCTTTATAATATTTCTACTCATTTTTGATATACGGGTTTCTTTGTTTTGAATCATACTAGGTGAAAAACAGCTTTCACATATATATTCTTTACTCTATTTATTTTAGATAATAGAATGTCTATTAATTAGAATTACTAACTTTACTTTTTTCAATTTAATTATTTTACTACAATATCAATATTTTTTTGTTTTTATCTCACATAATCCAATATATACATTATCTAAAGACTCTTTGACTTGTTTATTCATCAATAAACAATATCTATTTTCTAGATATTGCTCTATTCTAAAGTCATATTAAGCTATTTTGTTTTATACAATTATATGACACAATTTTAAGATAAATAGAATGAAAAGTATAAATACAAGTTCTTATTAAGACATCTTTATTTATATTAAGATTTTCTAAGTTTATTATATAAATATAGGTTGTCAAAGGCAACGCCGTAGAGTCGAGGGTAAAGTCTAACAATCATCATGAAATTTTAAAAATCATGGAAAATGTCTAAAAGAGAGGCAGAAAAGCAGATTACAAAGGACGATTCAATATTTTCAGGAAATACTGAGCAGGATGTAGTAGATCTTGCGAAACAAGCGCCAAAAGAGGTGCTTTTAAAGAGAAAGTATGTATTTTTTTTATAAGACAAAAGCATGAAAACAAGGAGAATACATGAAAAAAAAGACTAAAAAATGATATTATACGTGACATGAATGAATACAAAGTTATTTTTTAAAGGGATAAATTTTGGGAGGGTTAAAAATATAAAATAAATATAAAGAAAGATTTCATGCGCAAAAAATGTTTTTAAGTTAATTAATATGTTAAACATGTTTCTAACTGCATTTTTTTTCAAGAATTGCGGTTCCTCAATCACTTAAAAAACGATATTCAGAACAAATATCGACACATTCAAATCCGTTTGCTAATATTCAGGAACCAAATGGAAAGCAATTTCCAACATCGTATTCTACACAATTTCCAACGTCTACATTTTCATTTGTTCCTCCTTTTCAACAGGAGAAAAAGGAGAAAGTATCAGTAGAATCTTTAAAACCATTATCGAATTCGCCATCATTACTTAAAAATGATATAAAAAACGAATATGATTTATTTTTACATCGAAGATCTATAAATTACTTTTTTCAAAAAGCAATTGATGCATCAATTACTCAAGATCCGTTCGGGGATCTTAGTATAGCATGTCAAGAGTACATTGATTATCGAAAACAAATTGATAAATCGACTGAATCTAGTAATTACATGCAATCTGATACTAAACAAGATACAGCTGTATCAAAAGGTTTGTTAAAAGGTGTTTCTATATAACACCTTTTTGCATTTGTAGAACAAACTAATAAATCATCAGACAATTCTTTTATATCTTCTAAAGGTATTTTTGATTGTAAAAATGAAGAAAGTAAAAATAATTTATTCTCATTTTTAAAAAAACCAGAGGAAAAAAAGGATGAAAATATACAAGCAAAAATATGTACAGCTGATTCAAATAAATTACCATCATCTATCTTCGAAACACATATGAAAAACGATGAAAATATTCAATCGGCACCTGGGTTGCCAGCAGCTAAAAACAAAAATATTTTTGAAACAAATTCTACACTTGAGAATACAAGCAATCTTTCTAAAACTCCTAAGGAAAACCCAGAAAATCAGTCAAATACAAAGCATTCGTTAGATTTGGGAACAAAAACTATATCTACACCATTCAATACCAATATACCTAATACGTCTACATTTTCTTTTCCTGTTATTTCTCAAGCAAATGATTCGTCAACTGATAAAAAGGTTACGTCAAATTCGACAGATTTATCTATACCTCAGGCAGGCAAACCAGAAAAATGCGCTTTTTCATTTGAAGTTAAAAAACCAAATATTGAAATGAGCAATAAATCCTCCAATGAAACTGATAACAAGAATTTGTTTAGTTTTACTCCAAAAGCAAAGACAGAGACAAATACTCCAAATAATGCAAATTCTACACCTATTTTTAATTTCGGATTTTCAGTTCCATCAAAAGATATTAGTTCTGACTTTTCTTGGACTCCAAATAAAGGGATTAAATTCGCGACATCTCCATCTAATAATAATAATAATAATAATAATAATAATAATAATACTGAAAACAAGACACCAATATTTCAATTTTCAAATCCTTTATCATCAGGAAAATTTATCAATGATAATGTATCTCAACATAAACCTAATGAAAGTGTCGGATTTGAATTTGGAAGCAAAACAAATGCTGAGTTTTCTTTTGGACAATTCTCCACTTTTAATCCTACATTTGCAAAATTTGAGAAAAAAGATATTTCAACTACTGAAACAACAGAAAATGACACATTTCCTGAAGAATCTCGGACAAATGATGATTTAATCGCAGCTAAGGGGGAGGGGGAAGAAAATGAAGACACCATATTTACCACAAAAGCAAAAATATATAAATACTTTGTTAAAGAAAATAGATTTTCAGATCTTGGAATAGGTATATTAAAACTCAATATAAATAAAGATACATCAAAGGCGAGAGTTTTAGCACGGTTAGAAGGAAGCGGGAGAGTTATTATTAATATTGGTTTACAAAAAGATTTTCAATATTTGATTACAGGCAAAAAGAGTGTTAAAATCCCTGCAGTATCAAACGAAGGAACAGGTATTGATACATATTTGGTTCGTGTAAGGGACGAAGAGATATCAAAAGAACTTGCAGATTTACTTGAATCTAAAAAATTAGGGAAATAATAGTTTATACATATAACTTTTGTATGATTTAATCTAATATCTTACATATTAACAAATCTCTATTTATTTTTATTAATTTTTTCATATCAAAAAGATTATTAATCTTATTTTTTAAAGTTAATCACTAACTTATATTGACAAATATATTACTTATAAAATATAAATATGAATTTATACTTCTATATGCACAGTTTATTATTTTGAAAATTTCTTATGATAAATTTATTAAAATAAATAAAACTACTATTTAATTTCTTTTTAATTATATCAACAAACTTTATATTAAATATCATAGTTAAAGTCTTAATATATTTTATTTATAAATAAGATATTATTTTTTAGTTTATTCTAAGTTATCAAGTTAATCCATCAAAAATACGTAAAAACCTTAGCTTAATAGTATTATAAAAACAAAATGATATTATTTTTTTATTTTTTTAATTTTTTTAGAATTTTTATCTATCTTTAAATTATTTAAATGCTCATTCTTTGCTAATTGTTTCAATTCATTTGATTTAGCAGATAATTCAGCATCGTCTGATTCTTTTCCATACAACCATCTCAAAAGCTCAATCTCCTCTTGCCATACTTTCGAATCATCATTTGTTGGTGTTTCTAATATAAGAGGAATGCCTTGCATTCTTTTATCATTTATAAGCAATCTAAAAGCTTCAAGTCCTATATATCCACGTCTTGTATCAATTAATATATATTCTTTTATTTTTATAAATTTACCCTATATTAGCATGAAGATCTCTTCTAGATCCGAGAGGAGTTTTTGAATCATTTAAATGAACACCAACAAGATATTGGAATCCAATTTTGTTTTCAAATTGATTCATAACATTATTATACGAATCCTTATTTCTTATATCATATCCTGAAGCAAAAAGATGACAAGTATCAAGACAAATCCCAATTCTAGATTTATCTAGTGAAAATTTAAAAATGATATTATAATACATATTATATATAAAATTACCTTCGACTTTGCTCAAAATAGTAGATAATTCCTCAAAGCTAGTCCCAAGAGTATTTCCTTGACCTGCCTATCATTATCTAAATTTATATTTATAATTTAAATTCATAATTTAATACCATGTTTTCAATAACAAGCATAACATCACTAACATCTTTATGTGCTTTGTTTATACAATCAGCCAAGTTGTTTATTCCACTTATTCTACTAGAAGTTCCACATGACCCAGGGCTATAATAATTAATTAAAATAATTATAATTTTGCAAAATTACTGAAAATTAATTTTTCCTATTCCTAACTGTTGGCAACGTTTTACATCATCTATTAGATTTTCATATGATCTATCTCTTTTTTCCTTATCTGCACTTGCAAGATTAACAAGATAAGATCCATGAGGAAGAATATGTCTTTCAATTTAAAAAATAAAAAATATAAAAATAATTCTTACTTTTTAGGATCAAAACCATGATTACTACAAAGTTTTCTAAATTCTTGGATATTATAGGGTTTTAAACATGGCGATATCCATTTCCTTTGAGACTTTAAGAACAATGCAAATGCGTTTCCACTAGATTTTTTATTAGTTTATAAAAATAAATAAAAAAATACTTTATATCAATACTATTAAGAATAGAATTTTCTACACCTTTTGCCGCTGAAACATGTGCTCCAATAAAAAGTTGAAGATTTTGTACTTTAGAAAATGTAACCATAGATTTATTAGACGATATACCCTCTTTTATCTCCGTATCTTTATCTACATCCTGATCTTCTAAAACATTAAAAGACCTTTTTTCCGGCAATGATGTCCCTGATTTCACAAGATCTAATTTACCACCAATCTTGCTCATTTATCCATCTCACGTATTTTATAAAAAACTAAGAAAAAAACCCCCAACGTCAAAAAATATTTCCTTTTTTATGGATTTAAATCTAGATACTTTCTTTGAGCTACAAAACCCCTCTCCTGATCAAAATGATACAAATAATGATCTCTCTGAACTAATAAAAACCTGGATTTCTGAACGAACCGCGCCTGAAATTTTACCTTGTCAAACAACCCTTTTAGACAAAATGATGCAGCGTATTCAACAGCAGATAAGTTTCTTGATAATATTAATACCTTTTATTAAATTAACCTTGCAGACTGAGTTAATCGAACTAAAAATAGGTCAAGATATTAAAACCAATTTCCGGATGATTCTGATTCAGACTGAAATAGAGAGAATTAAGTATATTATCCGCTCGTACTTGCAGACAAGAATTTATAAAGTACTTAAGAATGATAATAACAGAGAAATAAAAATATTAAGATTAATAGTTAGATAAATATGGAATTTATATATTACAAACGCCGGAATGTTTAGCACGTCTTTCTTCTATAGAAATAGAATATTTAAAGAAGTAATAAAAAATAAATAAAGGGATATATTAATAAGGGGAATATGTAGACATCAGGATATTTTGATGAATTATTATACATCAGCAGTTTTGAAGCATCTTCCAAAGAAGTTACAGAGGTTGGATGATACACAAGGAGGGGTTTCTATGAGTATTTATGAGAAAATAATGGGGAGAAATTAATAGGATTAGTTGAGAAACCAGACTTAGATAGGGCTATATTTTGCAGAGTGATCAATACAGTGGAGCAGGATATTCCTATTAGCAGGAATGAGACGATTACGCTTAATAAGGGGAATATTTATCTTCTTAAATATAGAATTATACGATCTTTTTTACGTACAGGAGATGTTGAATTAATTTAAAAAGAGAGAATAATACAGCAATTTGGCCTAAAATAAAGTGTTTAATGTAGTTATTTCTATAAAAATGGTTTCTATAAGGTTTAAAATAACTTTATGTGCCAAGATTTGAAATATCTATATTTTTCATTAAATGCATAATAAATGAAGACTTTTTTTTGAAAAAAGAACATTTATATAAGTTAAGGAAAAGGGATTGTTTATGATGCAATAGGTATTTCAATTGTATTTTTCAATTTATACTTTTTAACATGAAAAAAATTAGAAGATTATATATAAAAATCAAAAAAAAAGGAATTCATAGATTGAAAAACGAAATATAGACATTCTATTATTTAACTCTTCAATTTGATCTTTATTTCTAGAGAAACCATTATGATTTATAAACAACTTGAAAGTAATAAAAATGTCTATTATTTATTCAATAAATTAAGACAAAATGCTTATTTTTAAGAAATATATTTAACAGGTTTGTGGATTGTTTGATATAAATCATTTTAATGGATCTTTAGTATTCCTATACTATCCCTTACCCTTAGACCTACGAAATAACAAATTTTTAAAAAATAGGAATTCTGGTTAATCAACAGCGAACAATTGAAGGATTGAAGGATTAACTTAATAGAAATATTCTTTAATATAGATTACTTTGGATATTGAGAAGAAACCTATGAAAGTTTCTGGACGGATAGGTACATCAAAAAAATGGGATCATTGCGAACTTTGTACAGTTGAAACAGCGCCAAAAGATAATGAAATTACTTGGATTCAATGTACTCCATGTCGTCGTTGGTATCATGTGAAATGTATAGGAGAACTTTGTTGTATTGACACAATTAAAGATTATCATTGTCGTCTTTGCGAGCCAGTTTATGGAATTTCAACATGTAATATTGAGAATTGAGAAATTTCCCTATATTCTGATATGGATTAGATCGTCCTCAAAGAAGAAGATCATCAAGGCCTCATTCATTTGTGGATTATGTCTCTTTAGATCAAGGAAATGCTGCTATGTCAGATAAACATGCCTATACAGTAATGATAGAAAATAAGACATTTAGTAAAGACACATTTAAAAGAATAAGAGGTTCGGAATTGACAATAGAATGGGCAGAAAATGAAGGATTTAATGAGCCAGTTTTAATTCCAACAGGATGGGATTATGATGGACTAGAAATGCAAATTCCAAAGGATTTGACAGTTCAAAAAGTTTTAGAAGTTTTAGGACCACATGAAAAAATAGAAGTGATTGGTTTTTCTTTTTTTGAAATTGTCTAAAATAAATTAATATGTATAGACGTACCTTTACAAAAAGAAATATCTGGTTGGTCACTAGGTAAATGGGTAGAATATTATGAAAAACCTCCAGAGAAGCGTGAAAGAGTAAGAAATGTTATAAGCTTGGAAATTAGTTTTTCAAAACTGTCTGAATACATTGTTCGGCCAAAATTTGTAAGGTATATCTTTATAGATTTCATATAAAAATATATTTACATACAACTTAGAGATCTTGATTTTGCTGATCGTATGTGGCCTAAAGATTTGAAAGAAAAGGGTGTGTTTCCAAAAGTACAATTATACTGGTTTATACATTGAAGATAGAACATGATGATATGTTAATATTTATAGTCTTATGTCTGTTAAAAATTCCTTTACAGATTTTCATATTGATTTTGGAGGGACTTCAGTATTTTACCATGTCATTAAAGGCTCTAAAACATTTCTTTTTATTGCACCAACTCAAATAAATCTTAAGAAATATGAAAATTGGTGTCTTAGTTCAGATCAAAGCAAAATATTTCTTGGAGACCAAGTAAAAGATTGTATAAGAGTTGATTTGAATGAAGGAGATACATTGTAATTATTTGTATTTATAAGAAGAAAATAATGTATTTATGTTAATTCCTTCTGGATGGATTCATGCAGTTCATACACCGTCAGATTCACTTGTTTTAGGAGGGAACTTTTTAACTCATCTTCATATTGAAATGCAATTATCAATAGCTAATCTTGAGCGACGTACTAAGGTACCACAAAAATTTAGATATCCGTTTTTTGAAAAACTTCTTTGGTTTTCTACGTTACACTATTTATCTATACCCCTTGATCATGCTGAGAATTTTGATCATTATTTACATCATAAGAAAATTTCAAATATAAATGAGCAATCAAAAAATAGAAAAATACATGAAAAGGAATTAGCAGGTTGTGAAATGCTAGCTAAATATTTATTTATACATGCTCAAATGGCAAAAGGGCTAGCACCAATTACAGCAAATGGGGAGAAACTAAATATGCCAACACAGAGACAACATCGTGCTATAAAACTAGAATTACCTTTTCAGTTTTTTTCTGGGGATTTCGTAGAGTTAGCAAAAGCTTTTGGAAGATGGACCTACTATAAGAAAAAATTAAATTATTCAGAATTCCCAAAATGGTGTTTGCCTGGTCCTCTTGCATCTTTTGATTCATTATCCAATAATATTTCTAAGCAAAAAAAAGATAATAAAATTGCATCTAAGAAGAAAAAAAATACTGTTTGTCAATCTGGTACTACTTTAAACATTCATGAAAATAATAAACAAAACAATGATTCAAATTGTGAAGAAATTTTAAAACAGAATCCTTCGAAAATATTAAATCATGATTCTTCTTTACATTCATCAAAACCAACATATTTTGTAAAATTTAAAGATAACAAAAAGGAAATTAAAACAGAAGATACCCTAGCATCTGAGTTAGTTTCTCCTAAACTCAAAGTAGACGAGCAAAAAAATATCTCTCAATCAAAATTGGAATCATATAATATTTTTTCTGACAATGCAGTAGATAATGCTACTAAACAAGCAATAAAAGCAGCTATGTTTGGGTTAAGAGACAATGAAACGAAGCGGACTGTTTCAGAAATAACATTTATAAACAATTTTAACTGAGAGATAACATATATCTGTTAATATTTACGCGCATTTTTATAAACATATTTAAAATTGTCTAATATTAAAAACATAATTTGAACTAGTATGTTATGAATATAAAGAAATACTAATGTAATTTTTATGTATAATCATATTATTAAAATCATTATATAATTAGTTTGTTTGGCATCTATTTCAAAATATAACTAATTGAGTTTATTAAAATCAAAAATATTTATTATTTTACATCTTTAATATCAAAAAACAGACTAATGTCTGTATAAAATATAAAATATAAAAATAAATTTTGATTTAAACCCGATATATCCAAGCCAAGCATACTATTTTATCAAAATAAGAGGTCTGCTGAATATCTCAGTAGTCTATTGATTTCTTAAAGTTACTATCATAGAAATACTAACAATCACTGCAATTATACTTGATATACCAACAATTACCCCAAGAATACTTGCAATATATTTATATCTTTTTACATCTTGTTCCATTGTAAATGGTGTATAAGGAAGATAGCAATCCAAACAATGAAATCCATATAAAACCCATAAAGGAGGAAATATAAAGCCAATAAGTAATATAATATAATGTGTATAATAAAGCTCTTTCAAAGGAAAAGATAAAGAAATAATTGACGATGATGTAAGATATTTATCCGGAGACAAATGAGGCACTTCGTACTGCGGAATAATAAAAGGTCTTCGAATAGCCTCTGTAAAAGGACTCAAACTAGGTGAATTGGACTTTAAATCTCCACCTTGAACAGGTGTAGCCAATGATCTTATAGCCGATCTTCTAGGAAAGGAAAAATTTGCTGTCGTTCTCTCTGAATTAACTGTTGATGAAAACGTTTTTTCCAACCCTGATGTTTTTTGAGAATTTTGCATTTCTGGAGGAAAAAGAAAATATGTATGACGACTCTCTTTAGAACATTTACTACCCGATTCTGAACTAAATTTAGATTCCGGTCCCCTCTCTAAATCTATTTTTTTAGGTGCTGCTGGTTCTGTTGTATTATTATATCCATTTCTCCATAAAAATGGTTGTGAAAGCTTAACTACTGGAACCCAGATCTTTTCCGACGGCTTATCCGGATTCTCCCGCAAATGATAATGTTCAACCTGTATATTTGAATTTGCAACAGGCGTAGGTAAAATAGCTGCTGACATTTCCCAATACTTAATTAACCTTTAAATTATATAATAGAAATTTTCCCAAAAACTAGCTCAATTGTAATAATAGAAATATATTCATAAATAAATAAATATTAATAAGTAAAATGGCCTATAAACCCTTGTAAAACATAATATTTTCTGCATTTTTTTTAAAAAAAAAAAGTAGTCTTATAAATTTTCGATCTGCAGTTAAAATCAAAATATCAACAGAGTTGCCACAGTAACCAATTAAAGTGAGACATAAGAGTATTAAGAAATTTGTAAGAAAAATGGAAGAAAAATGAGTATTTTTGTGTGAAATATAGTTGAAATATTGAATTAAGAATTATTTGAAAGATTTGGAAAATTATGTATAGAATTTATTTGATTATTGAAAAGTGTGTGTTGGTTCGAGAGAGAAGATTGAACAGCCAAATAGACATTATTAAGATTAGATGAATAGTTTGAACTAGATAGTTTATTTATTAGTAGAGATATATCTTTTGTTTGTTTGAGCAAAGTTTCTTTTTGAATTTTTTTATCATAAATTGTATTAATAAAATTAACAACTCTTTGTGAATTATAGTCAGTGATATTGGCATTCAATTTTCCGTTTTTAATCTTATTAATTAGTAGTTAGATAGGTAGAATGAATTAAACAAACCATATTTGAAATAAATTTTTCAGTCAAATTGTAAGAATCTTGTGAATCTAAAGGAATGCCATGCCAAGGACCAATTTTTTTATTAATATCAATAATAGAAATGGATGTGTATATTTCTTTAAGTCTATATATTTCATGATATGAAAGTGAATTAATTGCATATTTTATAAGCTTATTATTTTTATCCTAGAATGTTTAATTGATAATTAATAAATTAGGAGGAAATTATAAACCTTAATAAATACAGATCTATGTTTAAAATAGACATTCTTTATTTCTTCATGATTTTGACGTTCATAAGCTTCAGAAAATTCATTATATACTTTTCCAAGAACTTTATATGTTTTTCTAGCAACAGAATCAGTAATATAGGGAATTGGTTCCATCTAAACAATTCAATTAATATAAAAAAATGTATTTCAAGAAATTTTATACCTTTCCATTAACAATAAGACTTAATATAATAAATTTTTTATATCCATTAACCTGAATAACTGACGTATTAAGTGTAGGTGCAGATATAATCTTTAATTTATTAAATAAATGAATAAAAATAAGAAATAACAAACAATCCTGAAAAACTGTAATGCCTTATCAAAAAGCTTTAATTTGATATATATAAGTGCCCCGTAAAAATGATATAATAGATGATCTATATAACTAATTCCATTCTAAAAATGTAAAAAAAACTTATAATATTAAAAAAAAATACATTCTTATCAAAAATCTCCACATCTGTATCCAAAATAAATTGCGCTTTTTCATATTCTTTTGTAACAAAACATTGTTTCACAAAAATAGTGCGAACAGGTGTTAATGAAACTAAAAAATCTGGATATCTTTCAAGAGTTGACTTTAAAATGTCTATAACAACAAATGACTAAAATAAATTTATTAAAAATTCTATAAATTTACATTATTTACCTTATCAATAGTACTTGCATTATCACAAATCCATTTCAAAATTTCCTTAACTATAAATGTTAAGAAAAATATAGACAATATAAGCCTACATTCATCTGATGCCATAGTAGATACTAAGGAAATATTAAAAGTATTTAGAAATGTGATACAATTCTCCCATATTAATTCCGGCTTTGATATTTGTCCTCTTGCAAGTCTATTCAATATATCAGACATATAGATAGACAAAAAACTCTTATATACAGAATATAAAGGTATCCAATACTATAAGTTTCAGGATCTAAAACTTCTAGAGGATCCTGAGGCTCTACTTTAGCCAAAATGTCAATTGGTAAACTTTTAAGATAAGGTATAAGAATATTTTGAATTTCTTCAGTATTAATATACTGTTTAATTGCTGAAACAAACTCATGTTTATTATAATTCATTATAATCTAAGTTACAGTATTAAAGAGAATAAATTCCTATAAATAAGTTATAAAGTGTAGATATTAAGAAACCCTAAAATATTAATAGTAAAAAGCCATATACCAAGTTTAATATTAAAATTATCTTAAGCTGAGTTTCATATATAATTAAAGGTTTATAGAGATATTGTGATATATCAGTATATAAAAGTGTTATAATATAAATGACTAGAAGTCTAAAGAAATTAGTTTAAATAATTTTTTTAAGATAATTGATATATAGAAATAAAGCAAAGCTTAGTTATGTTTAAATTTGTAATGAAAATTAATGAAAAATCTTAATAGAAATCCTTATGTTTGAAATAAAGAGAGGATCATATTTTCAGCGGTAATAGGATCATGTGCGTTGCCCCATGTATTACATCCTAAAAGAAGTGTCCAAATATCACGAACACCACAAACATCATCGCCTACTTCTAGACCAATTTCATCAAGAACAAACATTCCTACTTCAGTAGTTTGAATATAAGAAAGACCTTGGCATAAAACCTGATTATAAACAGCAGTTTCACCAGATAAACGAACGTTTTCAACAGAATATATTTTTTCTAAATCAAGAATAAACTTTGAATTTGGACAATAAGAAAATGGTCGAGATTCATGTGATCCAGATATACCATAACTAATCACATGTGATAAAACAAATCTTTTTGCTAAAGAAAACCGTAAAGGATCTTTTATGCCTTTATGAATGCCATGAGGATATAAACTAGAATCTCCATGAAAAAAAATAAGATCGAATAATTCAGAGGGGAATGATTGATTAATAATTGTAGAAATATATTTTTTCCAATCGAAACGCAAGTCTTTCCATGTAATATTTTCCATATTAAATGTAGAACGAATGCCCAAAGAAAAATCCCATCCAATTGCTTCACTAATTTCTGTTATTAAAAATCAAAAAAAATTTATTAATTACCCAGATTGGCTAGAAATATACCATGCCTTGTCACCAGAACATTCAATTCTCCAAATATCACTATTCCCAATACTTTTTGCACTAATAATCATATTATCATGCATCTGATTAAAAAACATATGCCAAGATTCCCAAGATTCTCCACTCATTAATCTTAAAACAAAACGAGAAATCCAAAAACGAAGAGAAACTTCCCATTGACCTCTTTCATCAGGATCAGATAGTAAACCATAAGAAATACCAAAAAACCAGAGTTCTTTTTGTGGAGTTGAAAAATTATAAGAAAATGTTTGTCCATACACCCTAAATAATCTTTCTATCCAACTTTTCTTAAAAAGTTTGAGAACATGTTGTTTTTCTTTTTGTCTATGAATATACCATAAACGAAGAGTGTGTATAGTAGGATCAACAGAAGAAATCCATGTTTCAGTACGTTTTCCAGGGAATTCCAATAATATAAGGTGATACCATGCAAATTTAACAGAAAAATTCCAAAGTTTGCAAACAAGTGCCAATGTACAAAGAAACTTATATCTCTCACAAGACGGCAAAGAAAAAGCAAGCCGAGAGAATATGAAAGAATATTTATTTATTTTGTCACGAAGAGAAAGTGAAGGGGGTTTTCCAATGCTTAGAGGTAAAATATCAGAATCATGAACTGTATGTACTATTTGTCGAGCTAAGACAGGTTCCTGAGTATCTCTAACAATAGTACCCATTTTCTTAACAAATTTTATTTTAACTTTTTTTAATTTCCTAGAAATAACTGGTTTAACATGTGGTGTACCATATGTATTTATCTTTTCAACTATAGACGTCTTTATCAAAGATTTAGAACTTGAATTGATTTTTTTTTTCAAATCTTTAGGAACATTTTCTAAGTCTTCTTTAACTGACGTTATTTTTGACTCTTTATGAGTATTTACTGTCTCTAAATCTATATTATTTGTCACATCTTCATTTCTTTAGATTTAAATCAATAACATTAAAACATTTTGTCTTACCTAATTGTTCTTTTTCAACTTTTAAAGAATCTTCTACAGGTTTTATTGATTTTATCTCCTCCTTATTAGAATTTTCAGCCTTTTTAGCTTTTATTCTCTTTTTTTTATTAGCAAAACTCGACAATTGATCGTACAGTTTTATTTATTATATAAAATCCAATAAATTACCTCTATTAATTCTGCTTTTTTCCCTTTAACTGGAAGACATAAAGTTCGACATATGTTCTAGTTTTATACTATCAAATACAATACTTTCTTACTATAATATACTCACCTTTAACTCATTTAATGTAATATTATCATATTCTTCTTTCATCATTTTTATATTATAATGATATTTTTAAAATAATCTATATTTTTCTAAAAATAACCTGTTAAACATTCCATTATACTTCAAATAACACAAAAGGCAAATCCAGATCCTCTGAAAATATTATATTTAATCTTCTATATCTTTATACACTTCCTCTCCCCCTCCCTTTCAATCATATCTTATTTAATTTGCTTTTTTCAAAAAATAATAAAACATTCGCCTATTAAATAAACAAATCATTCTTTAACAATCTTTTCCCATATATAAATGTCTCTTAAAATAATTTCCTATAACTCTCCTTCCAAAACTAACTCATTCTTTTTAATATAATTTTTATATATTATAAATGTATATTCATTTTGTCCTCATATTAACCTTTTAAGAACTTTTTTGCTTCATTCTAAGAAAAGAACCCATAATATATGCCTTCTGTGTTATTAAGTACCTTTATATAGACCAATTCTATATTTTTTCTCATTTAATATTCTTCATATACAGTAAATCTTTCATAAACACATCTAATACATTCTAAAAACATTACTATGTGTTAATACCCTTTATATGCACCATAAATAAGAACCTACCAGATTATATCCGTGTTGTATGCGAATTATATACCTTTGTCTTCGTTGCTCCCCCATATAAAAATTTAATAAAAAAATTCATAAAACTAGAATTCTCTAGTTTTTTTTGGATATAATCATCAGAAAAGAAGCCTTAGTTCTATCCTACATATGTTTTACATATTTTAACAGGTTTTTGTCTTGGTAGATTCTAATATAGAATTCATATTTTTCTTAGAAAAAAGCATTATATCAGCTTGAAATCCCATCTAATTAGGCAGAAATGACATATAAAGAAGATCCAGAGGCATATAAGAGCATCGTAACAGATGATTCTATCAATATTGAAGAGAAAGTGAATCCAGCGGAATTTAATAAGGAGGGTAATCAGACGCATACATGTCAGTATTTGAAGTTTTTATGCGCATATAAGCCGATATTGACAGACTTTAGATGAATCTAGCGTTGAAATAAAGAAGGAAATGGGGAATTTGGCTGAAGATATTGATGAACGGACGATAAAGCGAATATACAGGTAAATTAAGCGATATATCAGTATCCAATTTATCATATTTATCAAGGAAGCTTGATTTTCGTCTTATTCCATGTCTTTGGTTGCTTTATTTTTGTGCATTTTCAGCCAAATCTATTATCAGTGTATCACTTACTATGAATTTTTCACAAGGAGATTCTCTTCAACAACTTGTTAAACTTTCCTCACGTGAAGTGAGTATAGGTCTTTCTCTTTTTTATCTAGGTTATGTTGTATTTGAGGTTCCTAGTAATATGATTAGTAAAGATAACCGGATTGATATAATATTTAATCAATTAATATTTTGATAGTGGTATATATTACACCACGATTTTTGTTATCACAAACAGTGATGTATATTGGAATTACATGTATTTTGCATATTTCTATTTCAAACTCAACTGAGTTTTATATATTTCGATTTATGTTAGGGTTTATAGAAGCTGGATTATGGCCTGGATTGGCTTATTATCTAACATTATATTATCCATCATATATGATACAGAAGCGTATTTTATGGTATTTTACGGCAGCACAGATATCATCTATGTTAGTCGGATTTTTAAGCATGGGATTTCAAAAAATAAATGGAGTCGCTAATCTTCAAGGATATAAATGGTATATTTGCCTCATTTTATTTTTTTTTTATTTTTAAAAATCAAATAAGGTTGTTTTTAACATATGGAGTTTTTTCAATAATAGCTGGTACCATTACTATGCTGACATTACCGCAACTATTAACGGAAACACCTATCACTAAAGAAGAGCTGCAATCTTCATCACCAATTGTAAGAATATTTAAAAGAATTAAAAAAACTACTGAAAAACATTTTTTTGAACCATACGAAAAACAATATCTTTTGTCTAAATTATCTAAAAAAGAACCATGGTCTTTTTATAAATTTATGCTTGTATTTATTAATCCGAAAATATGGCTTTTAATTATTATGTATTTTGGATCTATCGGAGTTGGTATTGCTATTCAGATTTATGGAAGCACTATCATTCAGTCTATTGATAGTAATATATCAGATCTTACAATTAGTTTATTATATGGATGTATTTGGATCGTAATATTATTTTCACAAGTATTAAATTCAAATTGACGGAAAATAGGCCAATCTAGCTGGTGCTATATTAATAATTAGTATTTCTAACCATTATAAATCTAGGGTTATACCTTATATCTTTTGTTGCACCACTGTTATTATTGGTATGCTTGTTTTAACATTTTCGGAAAATACATGGACCCAGTATGCAGGGTTGCTAATCAGCGCGTTTGGAATAGCTCCTAGTGTTCCTATTTGTATGGCATGGTGTATGAATTATTTTTAGCATTTTTATATTATTAAAAATAATATAGGTGCTCATATTTTCGCATCACAACCAAATATAAATGTAGCCACTTCATCAGCTCTTCTTTCTAGTTTAGGTAATTTAGGATCCGTTTTTTCAACATATGCATTGTATAAAGGAATGAATGGAGAAGATGCGTTTAAAAAAAGTAATTTAGTTATTTGTGTTATGATGTGTGTAAGTATTTCAGCTTGTTTAATCGAAAAATTATTACTTAAATATTATTGAAAAATTATTGAAAAGTCAAAAATATATTTAATTATTAATTTATAATTTCTTTTGGAGATAAAATTTAAATTTGTACACATGTAGCGTCAATCTAATCATGTACATTAATATATTATTTTAAAAAGTAATTAAAATGACCTGTTTTATCCAAGGGACAATCAATTTTATTTTGTTCCTATATGTCGGTCCATTCGTTTTTTGTAAAGGGTTCCCTTCTAGATAAATTGTAACCAAGTTTTTCATAGTTTTACACTCTTTTTCAATGTTTTCGAAATCAGATAATTGATTATAACTTGCCCACAATTCCTGTAGTTCTGTATTTTGATTAATATACTCCAATTTTTCAATTTTATTATTCGAAATATCCAAAACTCTAAGTCGTTTAAGAACTTGGAGTCCTTCGATCGACACGATTCCATTATGCGAAACATATAGCTCTTCTAATACATCACCTAATTCTTCTAAACCATTAAGTGATGTTAACCGATTTGATTGTAAACTAAGAATACGAAGATTTTGAAGTGTTTTTAGACCCTAATACCATTTACCTTTTCTCCAATCGATAATCACTATTATTTATACCTTAAGCTCTGTAATTTTATTCTTCCCAAGCCATAATTCCTTCAAATGAACCAGATTTTCAAGATTTTCAATTGTCTATACCAATATCTTAATAAATATCTTAAAACTTCTTTAACACTACTCGTATACGATTCGCTCCCAATTCAAGGTTAACCAGTGCTTCCAATTTATCCAGACCCGTAATTTTTGATATTTTATTTTGCACAAAATACAAGTTTTTAAGATTATTACATTCTTCAAGATGTTGAATATGTTTAATACAGTTAAAACTCAAATCCAACGTCTCCAGGCCTGGAAATACTACATATTCTGGAATATATGAAATATTATTATCGTAAAGATCCAATTCCACCAGATTCGTCGGAAGATTTGATGGATGAGGAAACATATCAATCTGATTTTGTCTTAAACATAGCATCTGATTAAATATTAAAAAATCCCATATAAATTATCAAATACTTTGAGCTTAGAAAATCGTTCAAGATGAAGTGTAACAATTTCTTTTAGTTTTAAATGAATTAAATCAAGCGACTAATCCTTTTATCAAAAATATACTGGAAACCATGGTGTACCTCAATATCGCTTGGATAATCATCCAAGCTCCATCCGTCCTCCTGTGTCTCCTCCTCGTTAGTCATAAATCGGGTGGATAAACGAATAAAAAAATCTGCTATTTCTTAGATAAAATTAACGTTTATCATTTGGATAAAATGATTTTCTGAAAAACTAATAAAAAAAATCCTGATTAAATATTAATAAAAATATTAATAAAATAGATATTTAATAAGCACAGAGGAATTGCTTATTTCAATAAAAATAAGCATCAAACCTTGACAACCACGAATTGTGAATGAACAAGTGAGCTGTTTTAGGGGAAATAAAAGCGGGTATTTAAGGTAGATTAGATATAAATATGTCCTTTATTTAGGATAGACAAGATAAAAATAATTAATAGAATATAACAAATATATGCAATTTTAGTTTAAATCATTGTAAAATAGAGGAAATTATTTATTAAAAAGATATTTTTTAATACTTTTTTTGTATCTGTCTGATATTTTCCCTTAAGATTATCGCGTTAACAGATACAAGGAGCATAGAAAAAGAGCGGCAAAAATCCTGAAATAGCTGAAAATCCATTGAAATTCTATTAAAACCTTTATAATAAACAGAATACTATAGAAATACATTTTTTTTTCAGAAAAAAAAGCATAAATTTACATGCAATTATCATGACAGAGCTTCAGGAAGAAGAACCACCAATTCTCCATAAAATACCACCAAGAAGCATGTCTACAGAGTCATTTGAGAAGTTTTCAGTTGAACTTAGGTTGAAGAAAAAAAAAAAGAAGTCAAAATTAGGATTTAGTAGAAGTAAAATGTCACGGATGTTTCTACATCTATTTGTTTGTTGTGTTGTACCATCTGAGCATCTTTTGAATAAAGAAAAACAAGAAAACAAAGAGATTAAAGATTCAGAAGCGTTAGACTTAAAATTGGGAGAAGAAAGTAGCATCAGAAATGCATTTCTTGAAAATCAATCAGATTTATCTAAGATCTCAACAAATGAGAATTCAATCAGTATAGAAGAAGGGAATATGGATATTTTATTAGGAAATCATGAAGCCAGAAGGGTAGAAATTAATGATTCGATTAGAAAACCGCTATTTTTTGATACATCGGACAAGACAGATGTATCTCATTCAACAACGGATTCACTTGAACCTAGTGTTAATTCTGTAAGTAAAAATAACAAAGATTGAGTTCTTAATTAATGCGAAAATATAAGAAATGGCTTTTAGGACCAGTTCTTGAAGCAGATAAAGGGAAAAAGTGTCTTGTTTTAGATTTAGACGAAACACTTGTTCATTCTTCATTTAAAGTATGAATTTAAAATTAATATTTTAGGCTTTTACTAAAAAAAAGGTTATTCATCAGGCAGATTTTATTATCCCTGTAAAAATCGACTCTACATATCACAATGTTTATGTCATTAAGCGTCCCGGTGTAGATTCATTTATGAAGCGAATGGGGGAACTTTTTGAAATTGTAGTTTTTACTGCATCTCTTTCTAAAGTATAACTATTGAAAGATGAACAATGGTTACTAATTATTTAAAGTATGCAGATCCTGTATTAGATATGCTTGATATCCATCACGTTGTTAAACATCGATTATTTCGAGAATCATGTTTTAATCACCAAGGGAATTACGTTAAGGTATAATTATATCTTTTAAATATTTATACAAACTTTTCTTTAAAGAATTTATCGCAACTTGGGCGTGAGTTAAAAAATGTTTTAATTATTGATAATTCTCCTGTAAGTTATATATTTCATCCAACACATGCTGTACCCATTTCGAGCTGGTAATTCTAGACTTTTTCAATTCTTATATTATTTACAATAATATAGGTTTAACGACTCACATGATACTGAATTACTTGATTTAATACCCTTTTTAGAAGATCTGACAACTGTTCCTGATGTAACTACAGTTCTTGACCTAAGTCTCCATGAATCTTAATTATTTTTTTCGAAAAAAAAAAAGAAAATATTAACTACATGATATTAATCTTGCTTATCTATTTATCTATTTTATCTACACTTTACATTTTTCTCAACTATCAACTTATGTATCATATTGAGGATATCAACTACAAATTTCTTTCTCAAAAAAAAAAATAGAAAATATTCGCAATTCTATTCATTTAATTCAATAATTCTTTATCATTTCATTCATTTAATTCAACAACAAAGACTAAGTATAATTGGACTTTACTTGGACTTTCTTATACTAAAAGTCACGTGACAAGACATTGACCTAGGAAGATGATTTTCATAGTTAAACGAGAATATCATTTAAATCATGGTAAGTTATACTCTAATAATTATTACATAGAACACTCGAAAAGATATAGGATATGGAATAAATAATTTAAATTTATTCAGTTAATATTATAGAAATAGTTTTCTATATATTCGAAAATACTTTTTTTTTAATTTTGACAAATTTCAATCTTTAGTAGAAATAAATGAGTTATACATGTTTTTAGCACAGATCTAACATTATCTTTTCTTTTAAATATCGATTGATTATTTTTTTTTATTTACAGGCTAATTAAATTATAGTCTTCTTCACCTGTACCATCTAATATGTTTCAAAATGTTAAAGTTCAAGTACGGTAAGACTAAACATATATTATTTTAACATTTATTTTTCATATATATAGCCATCGTATGTCCCAAGGACATTCATCTCAGCGTCCAAATAGTACTCGAGCTGCTGGTGCAGGTGGTTCAAGTTCAACAATGCTTCGATTATATACTGATGATGCACCTGGATTAACTATGTAAGTTTTTATAATAAAATATTCCTTTTCTAATATTAAAAGTGATCCTGTCGTTGTTTTGGTACTTAGTTTAGGATTTATTGGTAGCGTTTTTGCACTTCATATTCTTGCAAAAATTATGCAAAAATTTTCAACTTAGAATCAATTATATCATCATAACACATCAATGCATCTTAATATTCAATATTTTTCTTATATTTTAATCTTATGTTTCTTTCTAACACTTTACCTATAACCTAACCCTAACCCAATCATACAACCTAACCCTATAACTAAAACCTAACCCTCTACATTAAGATTAAAGGTTAAAAAATACCTCTCTATTTAATTTCAAATTTTTCAAGTCAAAAATATTTCTTTAAACCCCTTTAAATAACCTTCATTTACCTTCATTTACCTTCATATTCACTATTATTTCTTCTTATCTCTTATCTTTATACCCCTCTCTCTATCACCTTATTCTTTCGTTTCCCCGGTAACCAAAAAATAAACAAATATTTTCAAATATAAACATCGATACTTTTTTCAAGAAATTTAAAGCTATTTAAAGCTTATTTAAAGCTTATTTTTTTCATTATTTATTAACAATTTAGACGCAGGACGTCATTTACTTGTTTTTTATTTGTGCTGGACACTTTTTTTATTTTTTTTTTGGACTTTTTCTGATTATTTTATGAAAAATGCTTTCAACGCCTATGAAACATTTAGATAAGAATCCTATTTGCTGTACACCAACGTCAGGATTAAAGATTCAGAAGTCACCATTAACACCACGACAAACGGCAGCAGTTATTTCTCATTTGCACTCAGCAAAACGAGTTTATTCACCCAAATCATCAATTTATCGTCAAACACCTTTACGTCTTGATATTGTAGCATCAGATTGGACACTTGTTGGTACAGGACCGCCATCTAGTCCTCAAAGAACAGCAAAAAGGACATCATTTAGATTACAATGTGATCGGTTTATTCCTCAACGTACCAGTCAACCATCTAGTGCAGCATCAAAAATGATTTATCCAGTTATTGAGAATAAAACAGGCAGTCAAGATACATATAATGGGACAAATAATCCATCGGAAACTATTGCATATACAGCATCAGTTGCAGAAGCGTGTGGTCTTGCATTAAATACACGTATTCTTGCATTTAAACCAAGTGCACCAGAAACTAGTCGATCGATTGATCTTCGTTCGCAATATAATCGACCTCTTAAACCGGCAGCATTGTCATCACAATTTCGTCGACGTATTGTTACAGCACCTGAACGTGTTTTAGATGCACCTGGATTGATTGATGATTATTATCTTAATTTACTTGACTGGAGTAACCTTAATAAAGTTGCTATTGGACTTGAGAGGAATGTTTATGTATGGGATGCGGATAGTGGTTCTGTTTCATGTTTAATGGAGGCTAAACAAAACACATATGTTTCTGGTATAAAATGGTCTGCAGATGGATGTTACTTATCAATTGGACTGGGTGATGGAGATGTACAAATATGGGACATTGAAACATGCTCTAAAATGAGAACTATGTCTGGACATGAGGCGCGTGTTGGTGTATTAGCATGGGATAAGCATATTTTAAGCAGTGGATGTCGAGATGGTAGTATTTGGAATCATGATGTAAGAATTGCACAGCACAAAGTTAGTGAATGGAAAGGTCATGGATCAGAAGTGTGCGGTCTTGAATGGAGATACGATGGATCTCAACTTGCAAGTGGGGGGAATGATAATTTAGTAAATATTTGGGACTCTAGATCATCAGTTCCAAAATTTACGAAAACTAACCATATAGCAGCCGTTAAAGTGAGCTATAATAGAATAATAAACATTTACTTATATTATTAGGCTTTATCGTGGTGCCCGTGGCAATTAAATCTTTTATGTACAGGTGGAGGATCTCAAGATCGTATTATTCATTTTTGGAATGCAACAACTGGAGCTCGAACACATTCGGTTGATACAGGATCACAAGTTACGTCTGTTCGATGGTCACCTGTGTATCGCGAACTCGTTTCTTCGCATGGATTTCCGGATAATCATTTATCTATTTGGCAATATCCATCTTTAACTAAAGCAATTGATATTCCTGCGCACGAAAGCCGAGTGTTGCATAGTTGCCTGAGTCCAGATGGTCAGGTACTTGCAACAGCTGCGAGTGATGAAAATCTTAAATTTTGGAGGGTGTTTGAAAGCACAAAAAAAGTTTCGATGGATCAAATGGTCGGTCTTTCTGGAAATAAAGGTGGTTTACAAGAAATGACAAAAACAATGACAATTAGGTGACATTAAGACTTGCAAAGGTTTACATTGCTTCAAAGATTCATCAAGGTTTCGCCTTTAATCAAATCAATAGCACAATTGTTAATAAGTACATAATTCTAAATTGGTGATTCTAAAAGTGTTATGTCTTTAAATAATAAAGTCGAAATAAGACATTGAGGCGAAATGTATATCCTGCATATCTCATTCTGATATAATTAGTATTGATTTCATTGTTTTTCATGAATCATCTTAGATAATCTGCTGTGTAATTTTTTTATACAGACTTCAGTAAATTCTATTCTAGGACCCTATTTCACGATGATTTCAGTCTATTAATTTATTGTAGTAACAACGATTAGAATAATAGTTATTATTCTGCTGTTTGTTCTAGATAAAATGATATCAATAAAAACCATTTGATCTGGAATTCGCATTTACGTTCTTTTTTTACACAGAAAGACTTTTATAGAATTCATTATATACCCCTTCTACATCAAAAAGCATTTGTCGGCTTTGTTGCTCTGTGATTTCTTCTGAAGCTGACATATTATTAAGCAAAATCAACCAATGCACAATTGTTCCACGCCCTTCAAACATTTCATGTGTCACTGCATTCAATGATACCATAAGCTCTGATAAAAGAGGATGTAATTGATCCTTTGCTGTATATTTTAATCGTAAAGCATCCATAAATGTTATAAAATTCTGATATTACTAAATTTTATTAAATAAAATAAAATTATTCAAACCTGAACCGCTTCTGCAACTTGTTTAGCTGATATCCCTGATTCTGGAAGCGACGGGCTCTTAGTAACATGCTCTATTGTTACTGGAACACCAACATTTAGGCGATATATTGCATGAAAGCAAGGAATCTAAAAAAAATCTTAGAAAAAAACATCCAAATCCCATAAAAACGAATTTTCAAAGAAATGATGCATTAGACACTTGTTAAAAGAGGTTTTCTTGTATATTTATAAACCCTCTTCAATTGACGCATATATCCCCATATAATCTTTCTTTTATCATATATACATATAAAATATGCTTCATATATTCAACAGAATCTCTATATCTCCATTTCATCCCTTATATTCGTATTGATTTACTTAATTGAATAACCTCATACCTCATATGCTGCACAGAATGTTTCTAGCGATCCAAATGCATTAGCAACTGACGGTGACTTAAGAATCGTCTTGTATTGTGCTAATAACCGTAGACATGTAGGTGTATATCTATAATATCAGAGAATAAAGAAGTTTTAAGGCTTTAACTTACTCTTCAGATGAAATAATATCCCGTAAATATGCCTTCTCAAGAAACTCCAGTGTCCGGATAATAGAATAAATATCGGATAATGATTCCCAGACGCTTCTATCAGCAGACGTTTCATATAAGGAGATTTTCTAGGAGGAATCAGGCAGATAAATTAAAAAACTAGGAATTTACTTCTGAAATATTCATCGTTATATATGCGCAGTGCATACACAGCGCATATAATACGCATATATAACGCATATATGCAGTGTATAAGGAAATAATGAATAGTTTAACATAGAAAAGGTATATTAATGGGATTATTTTAACATAAAACTTATAAAAATATAGAACATAGAGTCTATAGTAAAATTTTTATAAGAGGTTAAAAATCAAAGGAAACAAGGAAATATCTATATAGGACGTATTCTTAAGGATAGAAGAGCTATAAGAAATATTCTTGGTATATAAAAGTGGATAATATGGAATTTAATGTAAAGTATATATGGGTAATATAGGTTGAGTGATTTGGAAATATATTTGTGTTTGTGAATATTTTGGGTATATATTTGTGAAAATATATATATAAATATGGAATCCTATCCTGTTTCTCAAAAAGATGTGAAATCTAGCTATAAATTACAAAAAGAGACATTTATGAGTGGTCATACAGGTCAATCTATGATAGAAATTTGTCTTCATATGTCAATTATTGTAGTAAGTATCTAACTATATATTTTATATCTAGAAATCAATAAGTTTATGCATGTTTTTTCAGCAGCTCTTAGATCTCGGCGTGTTAATGAAGGTTATGAAATTCTCACATTTTTGATTGAATTTGGGATTTATTATATAATTCCCTTATTCTTTGTTACTATTTTTTCATCACATTTATTTTTTTTAGCAATAATACTATTAATTCCTATACCTTTTATATGGCGTTATCCTAAAGCCTTCAAAACAGGGAAAAATCTAACTCGGAAAGTGAGAAAAGGGCTTAAAAATCCTCTAAATAATAACAATATTGTTAATAATGGGGAATTGAGATCATATATTACAATTCATCGTGCTGCAGTTATGTTAATAACATGCTTGTCAATCCTTGCTGTAGATTTTAGAATATTTCCACGGAAATTTGCAAAAGTAGAGACATGGGGAATATCATTGGTGCGATTTTTTGGAAATTTCTTCTTTTTTGGTTTAATATTATATTAGATGGATCTTGGAGTAGGATTTTTTGTTTTTTCATCTGGTGTTGTAGCAATTAAGAGCATAAAAAAGAATTATGAAAAGAAAACTATTTCTTTTTCAAAAAAGCTTGTTTTATGTTTTAAACAATCGTATATGTTTTTTGTTATTGGCTTTATTAGAATATTGATTACTAAGGCAAGCGATTATCCCGTATGTATTTTATTATATTATTAAAAATAATGTTTACGAGGCTAGGAACATGTTACTGAATATGGTGTTCATTGGAATTTTTTCTTTACATTGGGATTTCTTTCTTTATCTCTTGTTTTTTTACAATTTTTGCGTCAATATTTAAAATCATATCTTGTTATTATAGCATTGTTATTAATCTGTAATGAATCGTTGACACGGAAAGAGCATGTTCTTACATATGTTTTAAATGCTTCAAGAACCAATTTAATTTCTTCGAATAAAGAAGGTTTATTTTCATTTATAGGTTCTTTTTCTTAAATTGAATAATTTATGATGAATTAATTTTAAAAGGCTATTTAACTATATATTTAGCTGGGATACATATTGGTGAACATATATTTTATAGAAGTCTACCTTCAAAGAAAGATAAATCAATAACTATTTATCAATATAAGACGACTTTAAAGATGTTTTTATATTCTATTTTATATTTTATTGTATATTTCTATTTTCTTTTTTTCGGGAAATATCCCATATCAAGAAGATTGGTAGGCAATTTTTTCAAAAAGAAGTTATATTTATCCTTTTAGGCTAATTTACCTTATGTATCCTTAGTATCAGCATGTGGTTGCGGTGCTATAGGATGTAATATGCTTATTGAATTTATTTTTTATGGATTATCATCAAAATACACAGATACAGTGCCATTATTACTTCATTCTGTTAATAAACATGGGTTAATTGTCTTTTTGACTGTAAGCTTCTTTCTTTTCTAATTCATTTTTTTAAATACAACAATAGGCAAATATAATAACAGGATTAGTAAATTCATTAATAAATACACTTGAAGTTAGCAATATAGTTGGATTTCTAATTCTACTCATTCATGGCATAATTATTTCAGGACTTGCTCTTATAGCAGAATTTAAAAATTGGTCATTAAAATTTTAAATATGATTCTATACTATCTATATAACAATAGTCAACCAATTTGGGAAAACTAATTCTCTTTCTATGATTTTTCTAAATTGCTCTAACAAAAATGCTTCGATTTTTCCAACATTTTTAAGTATTTGTTTACTTTTATCTCCTATCTCTGATTCAATTTTGATGTTTTTTAATAGTTTCTCTTTTTGTTCATCATCAATCAGGCAAAAATGAAAACGTTTATTAACATAGGCTAAAATTCCAATCGCTTCAAATGATAGTCCTGTTAGTGTAATTTTGACGGGAAGAGTAATAAACATCGTTGAATGATAATTCAAATGCAATTCAGCTGTAATTTCTATTCTTATATCTCCTTCATATGCAATTCGAAACCTTATTTGAAAATCTTCATTAAAATCCGTATTTTGAGATTCCTTATTGTTTTTAGCTTGAGTAGTAACCGGTGAGATATTTGAAGAAAATGCTATTTGGATATTTTGATTAATTGGCGAAATAATTTCTTCGTTTTTATATGATGATTGATAATGACTATTTAACAAATGAGTTCCAACCCAATGTGGTGTAGATAGCCCTGATACCGAGACAATATTCCCCGATGAGCCTGAAAACGTTGATTGAAAAAAAGGAAGACAATTTGTACCAACATTTGATTTCGATGATTTATGAGACGTAATAGGTGAATCATGCATCAATAAATTCGTAAGATCTTGTATTTGAAATTGAGGAAATCCCGTTTCAACATATGGTGGAGGTTGTGATGTTGTTGATGCTACATCTGATTCATCAACAGAAACATCTGTATCTTGCTCATTCTTCTCATCCTCCTCCTCCTTCATATTCTGACAATGCTTTGTAATTCCCTCCCCTAATTCATTATGATTTGATTCCATATCCTCATAAAAATATGGATATGGATCTTCTATATTTTCAATATCAACTACCGGAGCAACCGTTCCAAAATCAAAATATTCAACATTAACATTCTTTAAATATGATGAATGAAAGATCTTTTGAAACTGTTCATTAAGAAAATCTTTCATTTTATGTGTAAATTCTTCATCTAATTTTGACCAATCAAACTCCATTTTTGACACAAAAAAAACAACTATATCCTTTCTAAATATATATTCTTAAGGATTACAAGGTATTCTTGCTCTAAATAGCTCTTTAATCCCTTTTTTTTTAAAAAAACTGGTATTTCTCATTCTTTCACATAAAGGTGTGTTTTAAAGGCTTTTTCTTTAAAAAAAACAGATCTCCCACTTAAAGAAAGGTAACAGAGTCAATATAGACATAAAAAAACACAAAAAACCCCGTTAATTATGGTTTTTTAGCAAATTTTCGTCAAAAATATTTTTTTCTCTATTTTTTCTCCTATTTGCTCAAAAAAACTGGGAAAAAAAGGTAAATCCTTATATCACTACCGTAGAAACCTCTTATATACACAAAATACTTATGTTTTCCTCTTTTTCCCGCCAAAAATACGGTTTTTTTTCAAAAAAATCTCGACTTCAAAAATTCTCGACGTCAAAAAAATCGCTACTTTTTATTATTATTTTTTTCCCTTTAAATCTCTGCTTTTCACCCAAAAAACACTTCACCATGGATAAAACTCTCACCGGAATCTTGCACTCTATAAATCAAGCAATTTTCCAGAGAAACGGGCTATTTTTGGGCGATTTATTGTCAATCAAAAGAGATCCAAAATCTCTCCAGGAATTAGTATTTTCTAGCCCTTCAATTGACCCAAAACAAGATATTATACGTATATTACATGATAAATCATGGGTAGATGTTGTTTTTTGCTTTTGGAAGGCGTCATTAGCGCTTGGAAAAGACCAAGATATAGTGAAAGCAACAGATGAGCAACTTGTGCTTGTTCAGTAGGAATTAACGTGGTTAAAATATTGATAATGAAAGTTAGAGCTGTTCTGAAGGGGTTTTCTCAGTGGGAAGCGTGGGTTTTGCCGGTTCTTTTTGCGGTCTGCCGAGATCTTGAGGTTCTGGCATGTAAGGTAATTGGAGTATAAAATATACAGAAAAGAGGGTCTTAATGGGGTTTATATAAGGCAGATGCATTGCTAAGATCAAGGGATGAGAAGGCGGAGAAATCGGAAGAAGCGGCGAGAATGATTAATAAAGCCTTTACTATATGTATTACAGATAGGTATAAGAAATGAGAAAAAAAGTATGATCTTAGTGGTTAGAGAGGCGATTGAGGTGTCACGTAAATGGGGAACATATTATATTATTGGGGTTCTTTTTAAAATTTATTTTAAGGTAATTTATAGGAAATAGATGAAAGAATGAAAGAATGATCTATTAAAAATAATAATAGATCAATAAATTTTCGTTATCTAAGAATATATTGAGAGCTATTGAGGTGTCAGAGATGCCACCTCTTGAATGTTTTCCAAAATCGCATGTGGTTACATATAAATATTATCTTGGGGTGTCAGCATTTTTAAATGAGGAATATGCAGTGGTATTTATATTTATGTATCTAATAGTTTTTTTAAATGATAATTTTTTAGGCACAAGTGGAATTGATGGCATCATTAGAACTTTGTGAAAGAAAGTCAGCTAAAAACTTAAGGTATTATATATTTTTGAATGTAAAGAATCTATTTTAAAGAAGTATAGATTGATACTTACATATCTTATTCCAACACTTTTGTTGACATCTCAGAAGATGCCATCTAAGGCTTTATTATCAAAGTTTTTATACTTAAAAGATTTTTATGAGCCTCTTGTAGAGTATATTCGTAAAGGCAATTTAAAAGGATATGATCAATTATTGATAGAGAGAGAAAAAGAGCTTATGAGTAAAAGGATATATTTAGCCATTGAAAGGATCCGTGATATGTGTATGAGAAATCTTTTTCGTCGTGTGTATGATTTATATATGTAATTTGAATAATTAATATTTATTTTATTTTAGATTTATTTTGAATCAAAAGTTTACAAAAATACCAATTAAGCTGTTTCATATTGCTTTAAATTATATGGGATTGGATGTTGAAATAGCAGAAACAGAATGTTTTTTGGCTAATATGATATATAAAGTGAGAATATTTATGTTTTTCTTTTTTATATTAACTTTTTTAAGGGATTTATAAAAGGCTATATACATCAGGAACGACAAACGATTATTTTATCTGTTAAAGATCCTTTTCCAAAAACAGTAAATTTATCTAACTTGTTAATTTAAATAATCATCAAAACAATTTATTATATCTATATAGTTTTCAATACGCCAGACAATTCCTGATACAGATTTTGTTTCTGCTAATTTGTTTCAACTTTTTTTAATTTTTGTCTTATTCTTCTTTGTTGACAAACATATTTTCCTAGAGGAGTTTTATCCCAATCATAATCTTCTAAAAAGGTGCACATTTCGTCTATGTTTCCTGGTGAAAATTCTATAGAACTTCTTCGAGAATTGATAAATTCAGAATTCTCTTTAAGTTTCTCTATAAAAATTGATAACATCTTATTTAATTTGGGATTTTTTGATTGCTTAATGTACCGTTTTATCTGAATTATTATGGGCATTGCCATTTCTGGGAACGCTATTGATTTACATTGCAATGAATAGATTTCTTGTAGTAATTCAATGATTTGTTCAATTAATCCATCTTGATAAACTTTCCCTTTAAGATAGGATTTTGGTGCACGTATACATAACTCAAAATCAATAGGTTTTGCAGTGGATGGACTCGGTTTATTCTTTATTTCTTTGGATTCTAAAACTTCGAAAATATAAGGCGCCAAAGGAATATAAACTTTTGTATGATGAGAAATGCGAATTAAACTTCGAATAAGATGAAACTTCAAAGGAAAGAATTGAACTAAGGATGCAAATTTGATTGTTCCTAGAGTTACTTGAACCAATGGATAAATTAGATCTTGCATTATTGATGTATGTGTTTTTTTCTCAATTTTATTGTAATAGTTAGATAAAACAAGTGACCAAAAATCAATGGAATTTACATATTTCCAATTATAAACTTCTTTATAAGACACCTTTATTGTATAAGACAAGTAATAAAGAAAATGAAACTTGCCTTATCTTGTTTAACAATTGCATTACGTAAATAAATTGCTAATTGGCGAATACATTTAAAAGAAATTTGATATGAGATGACTTGATCAACACCAAAAAGTTTTGACATAAAATCTTTCATAGAACAAATAAAAGGTAATGTAATAGCATTTGTTTGAGATGATTGTTGAATAAACGCTGTATAAAATGTCTATTTAAATCAATGTTAAATAAAAATGATATAAAATGTATATACTTTAAGGCCATATTCTATATAATTCTTATCATTTGTAGAAAATATCTTTTCTATTATAGAATGTATAGAATTTCTGATTTGATCATGAGATTGTGTACTCCATAAATTTGCTAAAAGTTTTATCAAATTTTTCATAAACTTTCTATGTGTAAGAGCACATGGTATAAGTTTTTCTGTCCCTTTCAGTATCAAATTCAACATATTTGGATCTGTTAAATCATGCAAGAGACGTAATACATTTGAAAATTGTACTCTAAAAATAAATAATAATTCTTTCTCTTTTTTTTCATCCCGACTCTTTCTAAGAACATCAAAAAAATGCCATTATGTTAACCAAATATACTCTTTCTTATGCATAGATTTTTTTGATTGGAAATAATCATATAATATATAAGGAACCTGTTTAAACGCTAAAACAATAAGTGCATTAAAAACTATACATTTTAACCATAAAAATAAATAACTAATAACAATCTACACCTTCTGGATCACTAATAATCGAATTCATCGAAATATCCGTTTTTTCATTAAATTTAACTACTTTATGAACTGCTATCACCAATTTTTTCAGAATTTTTAGAGATTTTTCTTCAATAAGACCCTTCTCCCATTCTTCCAGAATTGATAGCGTTAATGTCCCGCGATTCATATCATCTTTTTTGCCCTCTTCCTCTATTTTTTCTATATCTGAGTCCTGAAACTCAAGCAATTCCGCTTCTTCTTCTTCAAGATACTTATAAAACTCTGGATCCTCTTCTTTTAAGGCCTCGAGCTGTGCTTTATGTCCGCCATTCCTGCTCAATGGCTCATCACTTTCTTCTTCACCAGATATGCCTTCTGAGAGACTATCTGGGGCATTTTCAGAGAAAAAAACGGATGATATCTCTTCTCCTGAGTCTGTTCTATCTGTTTCTTTAGGTTTTTCTTTGATATCTCTGTTTTTAGAGGACTTATATCTGCTTCTTATCTTTTTGATCGCACGTCTCCGTTCAAGGGCCTTTTGAAGCCGTTTTTTTTCGAATTTTTTCGTAGACTTAGAGATCTTAGCCATAACGTCCTAATAAGAAGCGTTTTTGTGCAAAAAAAGAGGTTTTTAATGGGTTTTTAGGAAAAACAAATAAGCCTAAATTTTGGTAAATTTTTGTACGTTAATCGCAACGTCGTATAAATTGAAAAATTAAAAAAAATTAAAAAACATAGATAAAAGTTGATAAAATGGAGTCAAAAATAGAACGATTAGATTCTTCTTGTGAAAAGGAATCGATTGATACCAATATTGTCCAGGAAAAACAGGCTGGGTCTAAAAGACTACATAGTGAAACGGAGGACAAAGTAAGGCCTTAATATTCCTATAAATTGCATTAGAAATACCTTCTAATGATTCAGGATTCTTTAAATTATAAGAAAAGTCCTGTTTTATTGAAAAAACAGTGTGTTTCTATGAAAAAATTGAAGCAACCATTTCGGTCACCTTTAAAAGTTAATAGTACTATTACCAGTGAGCCATTGGAGGTAAAGAATAATTGTAATATTCCAAGAACTCTTGAAAGTTCGAAAATTGTTGAAGGAAGCGAAAATATAGAGCCAATTGCTGCACCACATGATAGCGAAGGTTCTACGCTAATATCAAAGGTGTCTGTTAAAAAAACAGCCTTTAGATCACCTTTAGTATCTAGTAAGAATATAGGAGATCCTGATACAATTGCTTTATATAAAAAAAAGATGGAACTTGAACGAAAAATATGGGAGGTTGATGAACAAATAAAAACGATAGAAACAGCTAAAATGTATGAAAATAAGGTGTGCTTATAGATCTATTCTTTGTTTTTATCTTAATAGTTAAAGGATGATTGTAAATTGGGGCGATTGGTTGATAAATGGCGTGTAGCAGCTCAACAGGCAGCTACACAGCTTTTTGCTGTTGTTTCAGAAAAGATTGAATCAGTAGGAGGGATAAGTGCATGGTATAGACAATTTGAAGAGTCAAGGAGTATATTATTAGAGTGGGATCAACCTCCAAAACCTGAGATAGAAGATACAGATTATGATAGAGAAGATTCGCAAAATAATGAAGAAGCATCACAGCCTGAAGTATTTACGATGGCTATAATGCTCCAGAAGCTGAATATACCTCCTGAATTAATTGGATGGGATGCAGAATCCGAAACCTGGCTATAATATTAAATAAAAGTTATATTTTTGAAAAGCAAATGGTTTCAAAATATAGAAATGAAATGAAATATGAAATATTTTTTCGATTACGTATTATATATGATATTAAATAATTGCGCGAATGTTTAGATATTACTGCTTAAATGGTAATTTGGCGATTGTATGTTATCTGGTATGAAAGTTTTGTGTATTTAAGTTTCGTCTGAGTCCAATATGCAATCTTGCTTGTCGATAATAAATCTTAATTATATTAGCTATATAAAGAATATGTTTGTTTATGAATTACCATAAATGTTATTAATAAACATAAAATTAGAATAACAATTGTTTCAAAAAAATCATCTTTGCTTTCATAAAAATCTTGATTATCATAATCTAGTTCCAGTGTATCCTCATTTTCCTCTACATCATTTATTTTTAACGAGTTTAATACCCTTTTAATAAAATTTTTAAGTCTATTAATAATATTGACATTATCTTTCTCTTTTGTATGTTATTTAAACTCTAAGAAATCAATATAACAAACCTTGATTAGAAGTATTTGTTGTAGTTCCATTTACAATAGATTTATATAAACATCTTATTCGAAGTTTAATTAAAGAAAGTGTTATTGGTAACCATGCTTCTGAACTAGCCAAAAGTGCATTGTCATAATGTCGTTTTGCTAAATGAAAGTCTTGCTGTATACCAATACCATTTTCATACATCCATCCTAGATTCCAAATAGCAAGAGCAGATACTCCAGTGTCAGCAGCTGACATAAAACATTTGATAGCTTTAGAAGAATCTGCTTTTGTTCCTATGCCTTCTAAATAATAATCACCTATTCTAACCATTGCATCAACATTGTTCTGTTTTGCTGCCCGTGTATAATAAATCAGAGAAAGTTGATCTGACATTGGAAAATATTTCTTTTGATTACGAGAAGAGAAAGATTTTGCTAAACTAGCTTAATACAATGATATTAGGGAAAATTAATACGAACCTTTATCAAGAAGCCATCCAATGTTAGACTGCCCTGCTTCATAGCCTTGTTCAGCTGCAATTAATGTACTAATAAGTGTAATATATATATTATTATTATCATATGCTCTTTCAGCTTCATCAAGTGTTGAATAAATCAATCCAATCCTTTCAGAAACATATTTATAATACTAAAATAAATGAACATATAACCAATCGTATTAATTAGAATTACCGTAACAGTTCTTTGACATGATGATTCCTTTGAAAGTTCATTATAACTCATTGTTGCTAAATAATATGCAGCTTCAACAGGGTTTTTGTCCCATGCTAATTCAAAAAGTATATTTGCTTTTGTATAATCTTTTTGTGCTAAATATATTTTGGCAAGATTAACTTTAGCAGCAGAAAGTCCTTGATCTGATGCTGCTTTAAAAAGTTCTGCAGCTTTTTGTATATCTATATTAGTATCACCATATCCTTTTAGATATATCATTCCCATTCCATTTTGACATGCCGCATCCCCAATATTTATACCACGTTGAAACCATATTTTAGCAATTCGAAAGTTTTGTGCAACACCCTCTCCTCTAAAATACATCAAACCTAAATATCTTGCTGTTTCTGCTGCTCCTAGTCCATATTTCTCATCATAAGGTTCTCCGTTCTTTTTCCAATATAATCTTGCAATTTTTTTAAAATAACTAAATGATTTTTTAAAATCTCTATCCATACTAGATGTTCCAAGATAGAAAAGTTTACCAAGAAGCAATTGTGCTTCAATATCACCTTTTTCTGCTATATAAGAATAATAATCTATATAATTATCCATTTCTTTCTTCTCAATTCTTAAGATCTTTCCAATTAGCTTCTTCCTTTTTTTATAATCCGGTCCACTTGAAACAACACTAGCTCCTTCACCATATATACCACCACCATCATCTGCAAATTTTCGAGGCATACGAGGAAGTAAAATACCACCAGGAGGTCCCGAATCAAATTGATACATTACTTTATCCGCAACCTTTTTATAATATTCTGCTGCCATTTGACATGATTGCGGCGTCCCAATACCCATATAATGTCTATATCCAAGAACCATCTCTGCCCTAATATCTCCTTGAGATGCTGCAAACATAAAATATAACATAGCTTTGGCTTGATTTCGAGGAACTTGTTCTACCATACCCACCGCATAAAAAAGTCCCAAATTAAATTGTGATGTAGTATTTCCTGTTCGACGTGCATGCTCTTTATAAAACAAAAATGCCTTATATAAATCTAATGGATGACTATAATTCCCATACTTTTAACAATTAAATATTCTTCTTTTCCTCTTAAAAACTTACAAAATGCATATCTGCTAATAAATATAATGCATCATTATGACCAAGAGCCGCCGCTTTCTTAAGCATAGAAGATACTTTAAAAATCTGGTTTTTCGAGAAATAATATTCTGGTGAATACGTCTGTTGCTGTGTTATTTGAATCAATATAAATTTTGATATAATATATTTAAATGTATTAATCAGTTTTAAAAACCCTTTTTGAACCCATGACCGATTCGGTGATATCTTACGTGATACATTCCTTAGAATTTCAAGAGATTCCATATATATTTCACTCGCTAAACTCATTAATCACGATTTTTTGCTCCATAGATTCACCATTGATATCTTTCGCTACAAAATCAATAACAATATCCAATTCTAATGCTTTCCTCAATTCATCCGTATGATTCATATGCTTATCCGTGCCTTTTTCTCCCTTATTTTCCCGGTTTATCTCTGTGTTACTTTCTACCAGAAATATACCTAATATTTATATAAAAACTTAATACTAGTAATTCTCTATTTACCTTTAAAAAATAACAAAATAGCAATAATAAATAGCTTATTTAACCCCATTTTAATGAGAAATATGGCATTATTTTTCTTTCATTAGTTTTCTAGTCTTTTTTATGTATTTTTTACCTCCACCGGGTCAGCGATCTTAAACTTAGTGAAGAAGATATGAGAATATAAAAGCGATAAGTGTTGAAGTAAATATTTTTGAATATTTATAAGGAGGAAGAATTAGTTATGTAATTTTATCTATTGAGATTAATATTTTATGTATTTTTGAGAAATAAAGAAATTTACTTTTTTTATGGGAGGGGAGATTTCTTGAGGAGATTTATATTGATTTGCCCGTATTTCACCGTTTTCAGAACCAGTGTAAATAGTTTGAGTCTAAGAGATTGATAATTAGTTTTTTGTTTTATATTTAGTAATGTAGTATTTGAATGTACCTGTTGATCGAAAACAAGAGAACGAGCAATAGAATTATCATGACCTTGTAAAAGTATTTGTTGATCATTATTAAATGATGTGTTTTCATAAAATTCAAATAAACGAATTTTTCCACTTAATTTTGTTAATTGATATATTAGTTTGAGAGAGAGAGATACGTATAACTTGCAGAACAAATATAAGCACTATTTTTTGTAGTATTTAGTATTATGTCAATGACATAATCGCAGTCGAGTTTAGATCGTAAATCACCTAATGAAATATATGTTGGATCTATTGTATCATCTATATCATTTTTTGAGATGTCATTTATATTGTAGAGAGAAAGGGTTTCCATATGACTTAAGCCTAAAACCTTATTTGGACCAAGAAAATCTGCTCTATGTATAGAAGATTGATTATTAAAGACATTTATAATGGCGTCATCATCAATGGAAAATCGTGTATCAAAAATATTGATTAAACCATCACATCCACCTGAACATAAACGATGAGATTGAATTGAATCAAATCGTACCTTAGAATTTAGAAAAATTAAAAAGATAGATAAGATATATAATTACGTCTGTAATATCGTCATTTTGTGATTCTTTATATGAAAAAAGAAGCGATTGTTTTCGTTGATCCCTAAGGAATTGAATTATTTTATTAGATTCGATACATTATATTATATACCACAAAAAAATACATGCATCTGAACCCAATAACGCACTTCCTCCTGCAATCATTGTTTTTTCTGTATTTTCAGAAATACATAAAATAGGCATTTTCTTTGCTGATGCCATTCAATGATCATTTATTAATTATTAATTTTAAAACCTGCTTTAAATTCTCTACAAATTCCTAAAGTTCGAATATCCCATATTTTTACAGCTCCCTCTTTTCCACATGTTATGATAGAATTATTTCCTGATATTTTCATATCTGAAATATGATCATGTACATCATTGATCACTTTATATGTTTCAAGTGTTGCTCGATCCCATAAACGAAGTGTATTATCTGAAGCAGATGAAACAAGAATATCACCTGCTATTCCTAAATTATAAACATAAATTGAATCATCTGGATATTTTGCGATATAAAAAGGATGAAATTCCCTCATTTCTAATATTTTTTTATTCTTGATAATATTAACTTTCACACTAGATTTTTCCCGGAAATTGATTACCGGGGTCCAGGCAGTATACCAGACGAGCTAAAAATATTAGTGTTATTAAATTAGGAAAGAATTAGTCAGCAATATTAGTACATGGAGTCTTGATAAGCTTTCTATAAAAATGGCGAATTCTAGATATGAATATGTTAAAAATTTTGAAAAAAATGATCAACTCTTGCCTAATACATGGATCGTAATAAGATTAGATGGAAATGGATTTCATAAATTCTCTAATAAACATAATTTTGAAAAACCAAATGATATTCGTTCACTTAATCTTATGAATGATGCAGCAACAAATGTTTTTTTGAAATTCCCAGATATTATTTTGGCATATGGAAATAGTGATGAATATAGTTTTGTTTTTCGAAAAAATACTCAATTGTATGGTCGTAGAGAAAGGTTTCAATAGGTTTATAGATAAAAGATTCTTATTAATCCCATTTCAGTAAACTTGTAACTTCAGTTGTTTCTTTTTTTACATCAAATTATGTATTTTTATGGCCCAATTATTTCGTCGATACTATTTTAACTTATCCTCCTTCTTTTGATGCTCGTGTCATTCTTTATCCATCTATACAAAATCTTAAAGATTATCTCAGTTGGAGACAAGTAGATTGTCATATTAATAATCTTTATAATACTACTTTTTGGGCATTGGTTCAAAAAGGAAATTTATCAACTACTGATGCTGAAAAATTGTTAATGGTATCTTTTTTTTTTCTTTTCTTTTTAATCATTCTTCTCATTTCTACTCTACAGGGAACTTTGGCCAAAGATAAACATGAATTACTTTTCACCCAATTCTCCATAAATTATAATAACGAACAAGAAATCTTTAAAAAAGGCTCTCTTCTTGTAAAAAATCATTCTAAAAATACTTCTGATAAAATAAATATTTATCATACTGACATCGTTAGCGATACTTTTTGGATTCAACATCCTTCATTATTACTTTAATTTATAATTATATAATCCCTAATTTATACTTATATTTCTCTTCTTTTATACTCATTTCTTCTCTATAAATACCTTGTTTATCATATTAATTACCTTTATGAGTCACGTGATTTACTCTTAACTGGCCGACGACCTCTTCAACTACACAATATTTAAAGCATGTCAGAAGAGACGATAAAAGAGCAGAAACGAGTTCCAAGAGATGCACGTATTGTCCATCTTATTCTTGCATCATTAGGAGTTGAAGCGTATCAGCAGAATGTGCCTCTTCAGCTGCTTACCTTTGCGCATCGTAATTATGATAATAATTTTTAATATAATTGTATGATTTATGATATTTTTTAGGATATACACATCAAGTTCTTCAAGATGCATTAGTGTATTCTGATTACGCGCGTCCAGAAGGGGGTACGGGATTGACGGTAGAAGATATTAGACTAGCAATTGCGTCACAAATGAATAATTCATTTCGTGGACCGCCACCTAAGGAATTTCTTCTTGAATTGGCGTTTGAAAGGAATAGGAAGCCACTGCCGCCGATATATCCTACGTATAATCTTCGTCTTCCGCCTAAAAAGTTGTTTTTTTTTGAAAAAAAAGAGTATATATATTAATTTTATTAGATATCTTTTAACGGCGCCAAACTGGGATTTTGACGTGCCTAAATCTAAAAATGATGATATATGATATAATTTTGGTTATATTTTATATTTTTTTTTAATATTGTTTCAGTTTTTCTAAAAAATTTATGTCAAAAATTAACTTTTGATTTAGACATTTAAATTTCTTAACATTTCAACTAATGCAACTCGATAAATCAATGTAGTTCTATGTTCTGCTTCTTTGGTCGATTCATATATTTTCTACCTTTACATAAAATCTCTACTCAATAACTACGATTATAAAGAAAATAGATTAGGCGGTTGTATTAAATAAAATATTAATAAAAAGTCAAATGAATAGATCGTATAAGGACATTTTAATATTTTAAGGATATTTTGTTTATAATTTTTTTGGAGGAGAAAAAAACGAGTTTTTGAACATTATTTTTATAGAAATAATTTATAAATTATTGGAAACATAATAGTTTTTACAGATGGGCACATTAAAACATTCACTTCAACGTCGTAATCATAAGGAACGTTCTCAGCCAGTTGAACGTGAAAAATGGGGTCTTTTAGAAAAACCAAAAGATTATCGTTTAAGGTAATCTGATTATCAGTAGAAAAATACAGGTTAATATCAATAGAGCCCGGGATTATCAGTCAAAACAACGTAGACTTAAGCGGCTTCGAGAAAAAGCAGCTGAAAAGAATCCAGAGTATGTTATTTATTTAGAAATATATAAATTAATTTTGTTATTTTTTAGTGAATTTTACTTTGGGATGATGAAAGAAAAAACAAAAGATGGAATTGTTATTGTTGATAGAGGCAATCCTGTATTAACAGAAGAAACAGTACGATTATTAAAAACACAAGATGCGGGATATATCAAAATGATGTTACATATCGAAAATAAGGTATGTTTTTAGTTAATTTTTATTATATAATTCTATTATTAGCATTGTTTGTGTTTTTATTACTTTTTGATATTTTTATATATTAACGTTTAAAAGAAAGTTAAGAAACTCGAGCAATATATCTATACAGATGATAAAGAAGCTACTAATTGCAGTGCAAAGCATTATTGTTTTGTTGATGAAACAAGTAAGTTATTTATTTGTTTAGTAAAATTATTCAAGAGAAAATAAAGATTTAGAAAGTCAAGAAAAAACGTATCAAAAGCAAAAAAAAAAGAATTATACAAGTCAGATACATGAAAAGCTTTCTGAAGAACCTTTTTCTCATGATGATTCAATTGAAACATATTCTAATCTAGTAAATGAGGATCAAACCACTCAAACGTCTAAAGTTATACTATCAGCTAATCCTAAGCTGATACGTGAATTAGCATCACGAAGAAACCGAATAGAGAAATTATCTATGTTAGAAAGACAAATTGATCTTCAAAGGAATCTACAAACTAAAGGTGAAAGGAAAAAAATGGGTACAACGAGCGATGGTATTCCTATATATAGATGGAAACTTGAAAGAAAACGATAATATTTAAGAATTAAAAAATTAACAATTTAATCTGCAAGCCAATATATATCATATATATGTTATCTATATTTATAGCGCTTAGAAATAAAGTAAAGTGACTTCATGTGGCGTAGTTTCCCTAATAAATGTTAATGATTCATTTATGTATAAAAAAATATATACTTTGGACAGTAAGGGCATTTAAACTTATTAGATGGATTATCCTTAGAAAGTCGTTCAATTGATTTTTTTGAAATAACATGCCCACCTAATAAAATATTAAAAACTTAATTATTTATAAAAACATACAAGGAATCATAAGTGGTGGATTTGATTCGGTTGTTTGTTCTTTACTAACTGGACAAGTGAAAACACTATGAAATCGATATTTGCTTGGTAAAGGAATTTCTACTGGAAGTTCATTTTCGCTTGTCCATTCGGTCTTTTTCTCTTTCATAATTGATGACATTTTCAATAATGTTGGTATTGCTAAAGAGCCTACTATAGAAACGGTTTGTAATGGTGAATCTGGCAAAAGACCAACTAAAGAACAATATTCACGATTAAAAGATGTTTGTATTGAAGTCCAAAGATGTTCATGTGTATACATTTGATTATATGGAGAAAGCGATATATTTGAAGCATAACAGAATAGACACATGAGCTTTTTAATCTCTATAAAACCAATGATTAATTTAAAAATTCCTTTTCCTTTTGTTATTTAAACCTTGTAAATGTTTGTCTGCAAATGATGGGAAATGTGTTTTAGCATATTCAATAGCAATTTGTATACGATTTGGATCAGATCGTATAAAAAGTGAAATAAATTGAAGTTTATGAAGATCAAATTCAAGATTACTACTACGTTGTTCAAGCTGTTCTCGTTTTGAATAGGTCCATCTAATATTTTTAGGAACAAAAATGTAATTGGTAATCTTACTTGATTGCTGTATCGAATTCTTGATTCTTAAGTGCATGAAGGATCTGATAGAGATGTCCAAAAGCGTGGAGTAGGTGTTCAGGTATATCAAGGTGTGTTTCCTATAATATTTTATAAGCCAAATTCAAAAGAAATATTAAATGTTAAAAAAGCACTAAAATATTAATAATTTATGTTAATAACTTTGAAATATTTTGCATCAATATATAGTCTATAAGGCAGGATAGCTTTAAACAGACATTTTAAATATTCAATCCTCTGGAATAAATAGTAATAAATCTGAATTTCATGTCCAGCAGTATTTAGCAATGTTTTGTAGTATTTTACATCATTTTGTAATATTTAAATATTCACTAATAATACCATAGAAATAGTTTTGAATAAAAATTAAAAGTTTTTTAAATTAATAACATTTTGTGCGTCCTTTTTAATAAATCTCTTTCCTTTTTTACCTTGATAAATGTTTGTACTAAAGCAAACTCTGCACGACGAATCCAATGAAGTGCAATTAGACGATGTAACTCATCTACATTCCCTGGAATTTTTTCATGTATACCTATAGATGATAAATTCGTTTTAAATTGCTATTTCTTTAATTTAATATATATGTTCATTCCCTTCCTTTTTTTACTTCATACCTTGTCTAATATCTTTCCATATCTATGAAGACTTGTATATATCTCTTTCTGCCCATTTATTAACTGTGTTATCCCCTTACGAAGTCGATCTTTCATTGATCTCCATGTTTCTTCCCGGTTTTCTATATTGTATTCGCCTTTTTCATCCCTTCTCTTTACACTTACCTAACGTATCTTCACTCAATCTTCTAATACCCTCTTCAATATCTTTTTCTATCACTTCTAGTGTATTAAATATAGATGATCCAATATATTTTGCTTGCAAAAATGTAAATTCCTTAAAAATACCCTCCATTTTAAAACGGATTATGATATTATATTTCAATTAAGCTCCTTCCCCTTAGATTTAATGCTTTTCTTCTTCTTTCTTCAATGTCTCTGTACGAATAACTGTTCCAATAGCCATAAAAAACCTAGATCAATCTTGTCATAAAAATATCCCCTTCTAATATTCAATTTCTACCCAAATGTCGCTGCGCTTGATATCATAGACGTGCTTAGCGTACGAATAACTCCTTGTCGCCCTGGTCCGTACCGTATAAGATGAAGAGTTCCCTAATAGATAAATGTATATAAATATAGAGTAAAAATATAGAAATTTTATACGAAAACTAGCCCGGCCTTTTGTATTTATATTAAGTTAGATAAAATTTAGAAAAGTATATAGAAAAAATACACAAAGACCGACGGAAGAGCCCATTAAAGCGCCTGTTTTAACTGTTTGATATTTTAGTAAAAAAAAAGAGAAAAAAAGAGGGGTAAATACGTTTTTCAAGTGTAGAAGCCATGGATTGACGAAGATGGAGTTTGTTGAGGCGGGATTTAGAGGAAAGATTTTGTAAAAATAAAAATTAATAAAGAATAATGATTTTATATGAAATATGTTCAAATATGTATATTGGAAGGTATTTAAGATGAAAAATGTGAAATATAAGGAATAATTTTTTTATGATGAAATTTAGTTTTGAAGGATTTTTACATGAAATTGAGAAGAAAGAGCATGAGATTACACATGTTATAGGGTTGGTATCATTTAAAGATGTAAAAAGGAATTTTTGAGGGGAAAAAAGGTTGATTTAAAGTAGAAGAGAAAATTAATAGGATATAAATCAATATTTTTTGAAATTAATGATGAATCTGATGAGAATATTATTCAATATTTTCCAGAAGGGATTAAGTTTATTGAGGAATGTTTTAATATGGATGAAAAAAATAAAATATTAATTTTTTGGTATTTTTTAAGTATTTAGTTTAAAAAAAACCAATTTGTTTTAAGTCAGGCAGGAATATCACGTTCTACAACTATTGCAGCGGCTTATTTGATGAAAAAAAGGAATATATCAAAAGAAGAAGCAATTTTATGTATAAAAAAAGTTCATCCAAATGCAGAACCTAATCCGGGTTTTATACAGCAATTGCAGTTATTTTATGATTGTAAATATGTATTGAGTAATGAAACAAAGTTATATAGACAATGGCTATATAAACATAAGATTCATTCATCATTACGTATGATATATAGATATATATTGAAAAAAATAACCAGAGTGAATAGAAGAGAAGAAAGCACCTGTTATTTCTTTATATTGTCAAAATGAGTCTATACGAAGTGATCAAATACATCTTCAGTGTAAAAAGTGTAGGTAAAATTATATCTATATATTATATATTAAATTTTAGTAAAAATTATTTAGAGTTGTTTTAGCTAATTCTAACTGTATTATTGATCATAAACCACCTCAATCATTTATTGAATGTAGTCATTTTTTTTTGGAACCATTAACATGGATGAAAAATGAATTAGATAATGGAAATATAGAAGGGAAATTAAATTGTCCTAAATGTAATTCAAGAGTAGGGAAATACGCATGGCAAGGTATGCATTGTAGCTGTAAAGAATGGGTTACGCCGGCTTTGAGTATACAAAAAAGTAAAATTGATGTAATAAAAAAGGAATTAACAAAATAATTTTACAGTATTTTTAAATAAATAAATTTAAGTTTATTAATAAACTTAAATTTATAAAAATGTTTTAAACATTTAACAATTGTAACAAAACGAAATAGTTTTACGACTCTTATTACAAAATCTATTTAAAAATACTTAGAACTTATCTGTTCATTATTTCTTCTTCCAATATTCCCAATTGAGCTGAAATTTGTTTGTTTTTCATTTGTTCTATGCCCAATTGCTTTTCTCTTCTTTTAACACGATCTTTTTCTAGTTCCCACATCTCTAATAAATAAGAATTTTGTTTTTTTAATTCTTCATTTTTTAACTTGATTTCCTCAAATTCTTTTAATATTTTGCTGAGTTCAGAATCTTTGGTTTTCAAATAAATATTTGATTCTATTTGAATAAAATCTATAAGATCTCGTAGCTTTTTTATAATATTGTCATTTACATTATTATTAAAGATTTCTTTTTTTTCCTTAAGTGCATTCTTTAGCTCATTAATATATTTCCTGAGAGATTCATTCTCTTGCTGTAAAATAATTCTTTGTGGTGTCCATGGTTTCTTTAAAGTTATAGTTTCAGGATATATTTTTTTTGATTGCAATACTTTTGATGCTGAAAATTGAACACATGATGTATTCTGTATATTTTTAACTCCTTCTGAAATATTAAAAAAATTATCATCATGTATATTTTTCAATTGAAGTGGTTTTCTTGGTGAACTTGACTTTGATCTCCTAAAATCTTTCTTCATACCAGATGATAAAACCGTTCTTATAGAACAATTGTCCATCTAATTATAATTAGTTTTTATATATATTTTAAAATCAATTCTAACATCTCCATATGTTTTAATAGGTGTTTCTGTATTATGAAATCCTGTATTATCTAAAACTTAATAAAAATACAAAAAATCCTCACATACCCTTCTCTTTACATATAAATAACATTCAAAATATTAAAAATAATACAAATACCTGAACAAATCTTTATTTTCTTCAAATCATCTTTAATATGCTCTGTATCTTTACAATTCTCCAATTTTAAAGGTTCATTTATTTTATTACAATTTAAACCTTTTAAACTATCTGATTAACATTACTAAAATCCTGTATTATTTTTCTTATATTCTATCTTTCCTTCATTCAATATAGATGGGGTCATCTCTTTTATATCGTCAATAATAGATACATCATTAATAGGTTTTTTATTAATCTCTAAGTCTTTATTTAAAGGCATGATATTTCAAAGAGTTTTCCTGTTAATTCTAATGAAAATCTTAAGATTTTAAGGAATTTTTGGAAAATAAAGGTTGATATAAATCTGAGGTTACTGTAGCAACACAAAATCAAAACAATACCAAAACATAAATAGTCAGAGAAATATACAAGATAAAGTAATATATCGACTATTTTCTTATAAGAATCCATCCTATTTATTTAGTTTTTTATGATTTTTTTGTATAATTGTTGATTTAATGTATATATATATAAGTGATTTTTGTAAAATAAAATGATAGATATATATTTAAAATAATGTTTATTTGTTAATTATAGATATTTGATAGATTTCTTTTTATAAAATTATCAAATATCAAAATTTAAAGTAGAGATTGAGAGAGGTCAAATATTGAAATAAAATTTTTAAAAGGGTTTATTATTATCTAAATATAAGCTTGTCTTATATGATTAGAAGAATTGATTAGATTTTCTGTTTTATTATAGATAATTTTTTATAAAAGAAAACCAATATTTTTGTTTAATTATAAAAATGAATTTTTGTATATAAATAAATTAAAATTATCTATAAATACATAATTATCTTATTAATAACAAAATACATTATTTTTTATATAAAATTGTTATTTTAAATATGTTAATAATCATTATTTGTAAAATAACCTGAATTTCAGTTTTTTAAGTTCAGGTAAATAATAACTTTAAATGATTAATAATTGATTTTTTCAAAAATAATGTTAAAAAACAATAAAAATACAAATATAAACTATAATAAAAAATCTAAAAGTTCAATATTAATTTTAAAATTCTTTATTTATAAAGTATTTATTTAAAATATAATAATCTTTTAAAAAAATATATAAAGAAACAAAAATTATATAATAATTTATCATTAACTAAATAAATCTTTGAATTGTTATTATTCTATAGAAACTAATAGATATTTTTTGTCCACTCTTAAAATAATGATAAAAATCACTTATATAAAAATATACAACATTTTATATTTCTACATATTACTATTTTAAATGAATTTCTAAATTCTAATAAAAAATATTTAGAAAACCCAGATTCTAATGTTAGTATATATATATATATCCTTTAATTACTTTTAAAGAATAAAAATAATTAAGTCCTATTATACTTTTAAATTTTTAATGCTATGAACAATAACTTTATTAAATTATCATTTTTTGAACGGCCTTAATCTACTAATATAAAAACATATGAACTTTTCAAATAAAATGTCCTAATTGCCATTATAAATCCTTTTATCCGCATAATCTTGAAATTAAATACTATATTAATTTTTTATATAATAAACAAATACACCCATTTTTTTATTTTATTTAGATGGTACCCAACCTTCATTTAACATTGCCTCTAATTTTACAACTTGACTCATTGATGTTGCATTTCGTATAGCATCTTGAATACGTTTTCTTTCTTCATCAGTTAATTTAAAATTATCTTTTTCCTCATCCATTGATTCATGAGTATCAAATGTATGAGACTTAATCCCTAAAATAGATTCTGCTAATGCAGTAGGTTCAGATATAGATACACCAAAAAGTACTTTTGCTGCCTCACGTTCCTAAAAAATGTTATATAAATATAGGTATACTTTGTCTAAATAAAAAATAAATCATACCGATTGACGAACTCTGGAAAAGTCAAGAACACGAAGACTCGAACATATCCAAATTACCCACAATCGATAATTCTCTTTTCGTGAAACAGGATTATCCATAAGACTCAAAAATGTAAGCTTTTTAAAACCAGAAAGACATCTAATATCAGAAAGCTCAGATATAGCATTTGAAGTCAATATAAGAGTCCTTAAATTTGGAACAGTTGATGGTAACTGAGATGAAATAGAAGAAATTCTATTACGAGATAAAAGAAGAGTCCGAATTCTATTCAACTTTGGAAAATTTCCAAGAAACCTTATATCATTATCTGTAAAGTCAATAGCATCATTTTGATCCTAAATCCCTTGTATAAACTTCTAAAAAATAAAATTTAATTTTTCAAACTTTAGTAACACCTAAATTCTCAATTGTTGGAATTTTATGGCCTGAAATAAAATAATAAATATAAAAACATGTAGAAACATAGCCTAGAATACCTCGTAAATCTAGTTCTCTCTCTTTTGTTGGATTAATATAAGATGGTGCATTGTTTAAAAGATCAATATTAAGTCGCATCAGAAATAAATTAAAATAAATCTTTTAAACAATTTAATATAAAGTTCTTTTAATAAGATCCCTTAAAAATAGCTGAATATATAATAAATTCAACTTAATATGTTGATTTTTCAAAGAATACCTAATTTCTCGAAATAATTTTATGTTAAGGTTTCCACCCTAATAAAAAAGTCATATCAAAATCTGATAAGATCTTTTTACATTGACCATAATCTGTAAATCCAGTGTATGAAATTATATATTATCCATAAACATTAATAATGCCGGAGCGATCAACAGAAATTATGAATTTATAAGGATCATCAATAAAAGCAATGTCTTGAATTAAATCAATATGATTTTTTAAAAAGAAATTTTGTTGTTGAATCAGTGTAGAACGAGTTATTTTTGAAAGAGGTTTAAGTGAAGCAGAATCATCGGTAGAAAATGTAGAAATAGAATGTTCTGTATTTAGAATTAAAGTAGAATTAAGAGGAGTTGTTGTATAAATTGGCATTTTTTCATCTGGTTCTAATCCACTTATAATAAAACCTTTTTCTGTTTTATTAGAATCAAGATTCCAAAATCTTATTTTTTGATCAGTTCCGGAAAAAATAATAAAACCATGATTTATAATATTAGAAGCAATATCGCGGGTTGTTCCACAAATGCCGGTTATCAATGCACGCACTCCTCTATTATCTCCTGATATTTCATTATGGAAATTTGATTTATTAATATTTTCGATATATTTTCCAAGAAATTTTTCTGAACTTTTGCCATCAATTTCCCATTCTTCATAATCTTTACCAATATCTTTTCCCTTTACGACCCTATATATTTCACGACACTGTGTTTTTTCTATATCCCAAACCGTAACTTCATGCTGACTATTTCCTCCAGCTATACATACCCATTTTCCATGACCTTTTGTAGGATGTAATAAGAGTCGATGAATTTTAGAAGTACCATGTAAACCCCATGATTTCAATCTGATTTGAAACCTTAAGTCCCATAAATCTAGAATACCATGTGTACCAGCAAGTAATAACCATGTTTTCTGTTGATCTATACAAAAACATGTAGGAGTTCCATGTTGAGGAGGATTAAATAAATTATATAACTCTTTCATAGTACGTATATCCAATGCAATCACTCGTGACATGTTTGTTGCTATCATTAAAATAGATTCATGATCTTGAAATTAAAAAAAATGAATTAAAAATTTATATATTACCTGTTTCAAAATGTTCCATCCAAACAGCATGTTCATCTTTCCCTATCTCATATTTTTGAAGAATTTTAATAGATTTATATTTTGGAAATGGACCAATATTAGTCATACATTCAACCTTTATAATATGAAGACTCCCATCACTAGCTCCACTAGCTATACAGTGGGTATTAGATATAAAACAAAGAGATATAATTCTTGAAAATATTGAATGTTGATAAGTTAATCGAGATCTATTAGTAACATTTTTTTTAAGACGACTAATATCCCATATTTTTACAGTACCATCATCAGAACCAGTAGCAAAAAATACGTTATCAGTAGAAACAATTACACGATTAATTCCTTTAGAATGTTCAGAAAAATGAGCAATTAAAGTACCCACAGGCTGCCATAGATTATTTATAGATAGCTTTCTAGAATTTTTTTTAATATTTACTTTTTGTGAAGAAATAATAGAATCAAAGTCTTTTATTTCCTCAGAAGAATTATCAACAAATATTTTGTTTAAAAAATTAAAAATATCTTTGTCATTTTCATCTAAATATTCATTAACAATTATTTCTTATTAAACAAATATATACCAGAAGAATATGCAGACTTAGGAAATAAAGATAAGTCTAAATCAATTTCACTATTCAAAGTATCCTTTGCAATATTTGATGTTAAACATCTATGTAGAAAGCTCTCTAGGGTTCCTAATACATTTTCTGTGCTAGTTGAAGTCTCTGGAGCAGTCTTATTTAATAAAACATTTCTCATATATATCAAATTCGAATTATCCAGATTATTATCTAAACAAGAATCATCATTTTTAAATGAAAAATTCTTATTTTCCTCTGGATCAGAAATTCTTGAATCCAAAAAAGATTTTATGTTAATTAAATTATTAGAAACTTCTTGAGTATCACAAGAACTTTCGAAAAACCCAGTCTCTAATTGTTTATTATCAGCACTAAAACTTATATCCTCATGAAAGCTTAAATCAGCGGTAACTAAACCAATATTTGAATCATCTGAGATAACATGAGGTATTAATTCTTCATTTGGAAAAATAACAGATGAATTGTTCCCAGAAAATGATGGTAATAGGTCATCTTTAGGTTGCTCATCAATAAATTTATTGAAACTTTCTGATTCATCTTCAAAAGCAGAGGTATTTACTAATTGTGAATTTTTAATTTTTGGTTTTGAAGATAAATTATCAAAAAAAACAATTTTAGGATGAATATTCAACATTTCAAGGGAAACAAAACCATCTCGAGTTTCAACAATAGAACTATTATCATATCGTCGATAACTTTATATAAGGTTATTATATAAAATAACAACTATTATATCTTTCTACCTTGATGATAAATGAGCTATTTTCCATATATATTCTTTAAGTAAATTCAATTTCCATTCATCAGAAATAGTCATTCCAAGATCTCTTAACTTTATTATCCACTGTTCATCACTAGTATTATTAGCATTATTTAAAATTAAAAAGAAAAATTCACTCTTTTGATATATTCATTTTTTCCTGAGAATATATAGTTTTTTCAATTTCATCTTCTGATAAAGGAACACACTTTACTGAGGGAAACAGAAATTGAATATCATTTTCATCAACATATTGCGTTGAAACAAACAATTGCTTAGATTTTGCAGATTTCCAGAATAAACTTTTCTCATCCCTCACAGCCCAAACAATAGCAGCATCAAATACAAATCTAGGCATCTTATATAATTAATAAATAAATGATTTACAAGAATAATCTAACCGCACTATGCAGATTTTCTAACAATGCTGCTTCAGTAATACTAATAATATCACAGCGCAAGAACGGTCTTAATAAAGAATATAATATACAATAAATATCGACCTTTTCCAACCATTTTATAGTTGCAACAACGAATTTTATAGTTTCTATATTTTAAATTAAAAAAAAAACCACTATAAATTAAAGGTTTTACCAGTTCTAATCCAAACATTTGGATGAAGAGTATATTTTAATAAAGTTGCAAGAAGATCCCATATTCTAGGTTTTTGAAATAAACCCAATCCCATAATAGTAGTAAGAGATGATATAACTTTTTCAACTACAAATTCTTCTATATCTAATGTAAAATTAAATAAAACCAAAAATAGTATAAAACCATTAATACCAGTTAAAGCTTGCATTATCAAAGGCATTATATATTCCTCTAAACTCTGACTCCCAATATATAAGGCAATACCAGCAATATGTTCAAAAAAAGAATATCTTAACATCCAGTCTTTATCATTTAAATAAGTTATTAAGTGACTTAGAATTGCATCATCAATGTTTTGTTTGTAAAAAAATTTCAAAAGAGATTCAATAGAACCCATTAAAGCACGTCTGACATCAGAATTCGTGTCAGTAAGTAAAGATATCACATGCTGCTTAAATACATCTTGTAAATCATTTAAGCTACTATCATACGTCATTGCCATACTAGATGTGCCTCCATTAAATCCTTCCATATCATTATCAGCACATTCTAAAATGCCATCTAAACGAAATGCCTCTGCCATATTTAAAAATCGTTGAGCTGTATTTACAATGCTAGATATACATGATGCATACAGTATTCTAACACATGGTTTAGGATCAGTAACTAAAGGATTCAACATTGGTAGTATATATTCCAAAAATACATGTATATTAATAGGTGTTATTATAATTATAGAAGCAAGCTGAATAATATTAAAAAATAGAAACTTATAAAAATAAACTTACCAATTTTGTTATTGTATATAAAGAAGACATTCTAACTGACGGAACATCATCATTAAGAAGAAAAGCAAGATATGGTAAACAAAGATCATGCTTAGTTTCATCTGTTATTCTATAGCTAAATATCAAAAGTATATCACAAGCGATTATACGTGATATTGGTTTAAGAAGATTTCTTATTGACGACAAAACAAGTGATAAAAGAATCAAAATACCATTGTCAGATGTAACAGGTTTAACCAAAGGAATAGAATGCTCATAAACTTCAAATTGTGCAATAGAATTTCCATACAAATTCTTTGAAAAAGAGGTCTTTTTCACAACATTTTCATAATCTTCAAAGCCAAGAGAACATGCAATTTTATCAAGATCATGATAAATACGTTCAATATAATCATCCATATAAAACATTTTCTCCTTGAATTCAATTTGTTCTTTTTGTGAATGTTGCATAATTGAATTAATATACTGATATAGAAATGTAAAAAAATAATCAGGAAAAACACTGTTTCTCCATTTTTCAAGGTATTCTTGTGCAGATAATCGCTTTTCCGGATCCAAATTAATCATATGACAAATCAATGATTTAACCTCAGGATCCTCAATCTTGTTTAAGAGAGTAGATATTGGATTATATCTACCTTGCTTATATTTTAATAATTGAGAAAGAGTAAATAAAGGTATTCCTTCAAGAAAAAGTTCTGCAATTACACATCCAAGACTAAAAATATCCATTTTATCAGTCAATTCTCCATGACGCAATCCACTTGAACAAAGAAAGCGTTCAGGTGCAATATAACACACTCGTCTTGATGAACTATCATAAAAATATGAAAAATCAGCAGGATTATCTTCAGGTAGAAAATTAGGCTTAAAAAACGAAAAATCAACCAAATAGACCCAATTCCACGAAGTTACCATAACATTCTCAATTTTAATATCTCCATGATAAACCTATAAATATAAATATATATTTATATATAGATAGATATATAGATAGATATAATATCATCATACTCCTTTAGAATGACAGTCTCTTAATCCAGATAAAAGCTGGAACACAATCCATTTTTTCTCTATCATTTGAAGAAATGGCCTAGTACTTTTTTCTATATTAGGATTATTTTATACATAAAATGTATTAATACCTAATTCTATCATATAATGTACTAAAAAAAAACTCTCTAATAAGATATCCTGCTTTTTCTGTTTCAAAAACACGCCTATATGGAATAGCATTAGGAATATTTAATAACTTCCCACGAACAACTGAGTACTTGTTAAAACTAGATATTTTATACATATAAATCTATACATTCGACTTGTTCAATATAACTTTTCAGAGTATATGACGATGATGGTTTTACAAATAATTTTACAACAACTGGCCCTTCTAAATGTTGACAACGTACTGTTTTCATAAACCGAGCAGAAGATAAACTTTTTATATAAGATTTTTACTCTTTTTTATCATTTTAAAAACACCTTTTTCTATATTCTATATCCGAAAGCTCTGATATATATGAATCAATACTTAATGGTGAACCAAAAATATGAAGAGAAGATAAATGTGCTCCCATCTTAGTTTATCATTTATTTTTTAACTTTTTTAAAATCTTAAAAGATCTTTATTTCATAAGAACTAATATCACAAAAAATTAAAAAATACAGCCTATCTTTAATATTTAGATATATTTTATATTAACAATAAATACTTACTATAAAATTCCAATCATTATTTATAGAAGTGAAATATCAATTTTTTGATGGATATCAATCTTATCTATAAATTCCGAATGTTTTATACATATAAAAGTGCCAATATAAATAAATATAAGAGAATATTATAAAGACATTGAAGAAATTTGAAATTGTATCGTATAAAATAGTTTTTGGTTTCTGTAGAATATAATATATATTTTTTAACTATAAGTTGTATATGATTAATTAAATGATAAAAGTTGTTGAGGACATAATATTTATTCTATTCCCATTCAATTGTAGCAGGTGGCTAAAATAATTAAGAAAAGAATAAGATCAATTAAAAAAAACCTTTGTAGATGTATCATAAACGACACGATTTATTCCTTTAACTTCATTGATTATTCTTGCACTAACATATTTAAGAAACTTGATATCAAAATCATAAATATCGACAGTCATAAAATCAGAAGTAGTGACTGCTCTAAGAACAGCAACTTGTTCATATGTTCTATAAAATATTAGAATAATAATAATATATATTTCGTTAAAATTTTATAACCGTTTATCTCCCATTACACCTACAGTTTTTACAGGCAATAAGGCTACAAATGCTTGACTAATTTTCCTATATATTTCTGCTTTTTTAATTTCTTCAATAAAAATAAAGTCTGCATGACGCAGAATTTCTAATTGTTCACGAGTAATTTCACCAAGAATTCTTATAGAAAGTCCAGGACCAGGAAAAGGGTGCCTCCAAATGAGATCATCAGGTAATCCAAGAAGTTTACCTAATTCTCGAACCTCGTCTTATTTATTAGAAACAAATATTCAATATTTTTATCCAATTTACCTTTAAAAAGTTCTCTTAAAGGTTCAATTAAATCAAAAGGCATGTCTTTTAACAAACCGCCAACATTCTATCATCAATTAAAAACATAAAGTATTATAGCTATAATTTTACATGATGTGTTTTAATAACCTGACTTGGTCCTTTAAAACTAACACTTTCAATAAGATCTGGATATAAAGTTCCTTGCACTAGAAATTTTATTTTGTTTTCAATTCTAGAATTGATTTTTTTAGTTTCATCCTTAAATACATAAATAAACGTATTTCCAATGATTTTTCTTTTATCTTCAGGATCTTTTACACCTTTAAGATTACTTAAAAATTGCTCAGAAGCATCTACTACAGAAATATTGATTCCAAGATGTTTGTTTAAAGTTTCGACAATCTGAGAACATTCATTTAATCTCATAAGCCCATTGTCAACAAAAATCCCATGAAATCGATCACCAATCGCCTCTTTCATAATCTTAGCTGCTACTGAAGAATCCAATCCACCACTAACTGCTCCAATCACATGATCTTCATCACCTACACATCGTTTAATTTCCTCAATCTTCTTCTCCAAAAAAGATCCAATCGTCCAATTTTCAGAACATTTACATATTTTAACTGAAAAGTTTCTCAATATATCAATACCACATTTCGTATGCGTCACTTCCGGATGAAACTGTAACCCAAAAATATCTTTCTTTTTATGTCCAATTGCCGCATAAGCTGAACTCTCTGTTTCTGCTATAGAAAAAAACCCTTCAGGAAGACATGAAAGAGCATCTCCATGCGACATCCAGACCTCCTGGCTCCCTTCTATCCCTTCAAAAAGCAAATTTCCCGGTTTATCCAATACCCTCAAAATCGCATGTCCATACTCCCGTTTTTCGGCTCCAACAACTCCTCTTCCATTCCACCATGCTATTTCCTGCATTCCGTAACAAATACCAAGCACAGGGACCCCCAATTCAAAAATTTCTGGGTCCACATGGGGTGCTTCCTCAGAGTACACCGAATACGGCGATCCTGACAAAATAACCCCTCTAGGAACTATTTTAAGCTCTTTAACACTCTGATTATATGGATAAAGCTCTGAATAGACGCTTAAATCTCTAAGTCTTCTAACAATTAAATGGCTATATTGTGATCTATAAATGTCAATATCTACGTCAAAAATAAACGCTTTTTACCCGAAATCAAGAACTATTATCATGTCAGGACCCGTAGTTCTTTCGTTTCTGCGTGAAAATGGGTTTTTCTGGGCCCTAATATGTGCCAATCCATCCATCATATTTTTTTTTCAATTTTTGACGTTGATGCAGGCCCAGCGATTTTATAGTGGAGAGAGGCATAACGGGGGAGAACGAGGGACGCCGGCAGAGACAAGCAGAGATAAGCAGAGATAAGCAGAAATAAGCAGAAATAAGAAGGAATAATAAGGAATAAGCAGAGGAATATGTTAATTTATGCTTATAAAGAGTATATGTGCGTTTTTGAGGGGAAAAACGGGTAATTGAGGGAGTATAAGAGGATCAAAGTGAGATAGAAGTGAGGAGGAAGATTTGCAATTTTTTGAAAAAAAACGGGGAAAAAAGGGTTAAACGAGTGCCAGAAGGGTTTTATTGTTATATTTGAAGGAGATAGAGAGTGTTTTTGAAAAAATCCGGGGAAAATTGGCCAGAAATAGGGCAAAATGATGGAAAATATGAGATGTCATAAAAAACAGAACTTTTATGAGTATATGATTCCTTATATCTCTATAAAGAGGTATTTTATGGACGTTCTGTATCAAAAGGAGCCAGAATGTAGTATTTTTGAGCTTCCAGACGAGCTTTTGTATGATATTCCAGAGAAAAAGCAGTATTTATACTCTCTTTTCCAGGGATTTTTAGTTGCATTTGATGAGAAAAACAATCAGGATGAGTCATATATGGATCAGAGTAAAAGCGGTGTTCTGGTAAAGAAAAATGAACTAGAAAATCAAAGTATAAAGTCTAATATTTTATGATCAATTTTTAAACAGTAACAGGGGAGAAAAATGAGAAAATGACACTAAATGAGTTAAATAAGAAGAAGGAGGACATTCTGAACAATATTGATGTTATAAATATCAAAAAAGTATAAAGAATTTTTAGAAAAAATAAAGCTAAATATATAGGCTCTTATGTCTTCAAAGATAAAAGAAATTGATGAAAAAATCAGTGTTTTAAATAAAGAAAAATATGAATTGCTTAATAAACTTCAAAAATTAAGACGAAAAGAGGCAGAAACGATAAATACATGTATTTTTTTTATACATTAATTTATAGTTAATTATCAATAGTATGGGATACAGAAACTAAAATTATGGACTTTATTGAACAGAAAACTTCAGAGACAATGGGAGACATGAGTGAAACAAAAATTCCTGAAATGGATAGTCCTAAGAATTCAGAATTTATGTCAAAAAGTATATATGATAAATTAAATAGTCCCAAAATTGATTCAAAAGCAATTCGTATTTCTTTCTTTTTTATTTTCTTTTTTAATTCCTTTTAGAGAAGAATTCTATGTGTATACTTCATGAACAATTTAAACCAGGATCAAATGTCAAGGTTATTTTATATAATTATTTTTAATATCCAATATAATAGATATTTTAGAGTTGGAAATCACATACAGAAACTATAACAGCGATAGATTTTGATACACCCTTTGGAATGATGATTACAGCTTCCTTGGATGATACAGTAAAAATATGGAATCTTTTGAATGGAGAATATCAAGGTTTATTAGAAGGTCATAATGGTAAAAAAATAAATATAAAAGATTTATAGTAATTTTATAGCGTCTGTAAAATGCTTGCAATTAGAAAATAATATAGTTGCTACTGGTTCTATGGACGCATCAATAAAACTATGGAATTTACAACATATAGAATCTTATGATGCTATTCAATCTTTTGAAACATTTAATTATGTTAATGGGAAAAAAGAAAACAATATTCATTTGCTACCTTTTGATACGAAAAAAGTTACAAATGATCTTAATATAGCTACCTTAGAATCTCATATGGATGAAATCACTGCTTTACATTTTATTGGAAATGTTCTTGTTTCTGGTTCTAGTGACAAAACTTTAAAACAATGGGACCTTGAAACGGGAAAATGTGTACAAACTTTAGATATCCTTTGGGCTACAGCTCAATGCAATAATTTATTATCATCTTTAAATAACTTTAAATCAAAATTATCTTTTAAAGAAAAAGGATATGATTTTGTTGGTGCTATTCAATGTTTTGACGCAGCTTTAGCCAGTGGAACAGCAGACGGAATAGTACGATTATGGGATCTTCGTAGTGGGTTAATTATAAAAACACTTTTTGGCCATACTGCTCCTATTACATGTCTTCAATTCGATAAACATCATCTTATCACTGGTAGTTTGGATCGAAATATTAGGGTATAAGATCTTCTTAAAATAATATCCTTTAACCATTAATAGATATGGGATCTAAGAATTGGTTCATTATACGATGCATTTGCATATAATGATTCTGTAACATCTTTACATTTTGATAGTAGAAGGATTATCGTTTCTGCAAATGAACCTATTATTAGAATATATAATCGAATTGATGGGAAACATTGGAATTGTGGCATGATACCCGGTTCTAATGAACCAGGAAATATTGTAAAAAGAGTTCGTCATAAAGAAGGATATTTAATCTCTGGCCGACAAAATGGAACTATTGATATTTATACCTGTTGATAAATATTTTTTAACAAAAAATCACTTTTATCTACATATCAAAAGAAAACCTTTCTTTATCAAGTAATCATCGTTTTTAATTCATTTATAGCTTCTTTCAGCTTCTCTTTTGAAATCATTATTATCTCACCCTGATGTCGGGCTTCATTATTTCGATCATATGACACATCATCCAATCCCTTACATTGAGAATAATCATATGTCACTGAATACAACGATTTTTCTTTAAATATTTCATCTTCTTGGTGGAAATAAAGCGTCTTTTTCTTACTCTTAATCAACTACTTAATTTACAAAATTTTTTACAAATATTACACACCTCGGCCATTCTTCGCCTCTTTTTCAAACCCTTCTGATCTACTCTTTCTTGGCTACTTCTTGATATAATTATATAATACTCAAAATTATATGGCTCCTTCTAAACCTTCTTAACATAACCCCCCATAAAAATAAAAAATTATACATCATCTTGCGCCCATTGAATCTCCTCAAAAAGCATCTCATACATAGCTGGCACAACTTGTATTGGCATATTAATAAGGCGCTCTGATAAAATTAGGCCTATATTGGGTCCTGTCCCCTCAAAACAAGTACAGAAAAAATCATAAAACTCCTTCTCCGAGCATATCTTGGTCATAATATACGATTTAATCCTTTTTATACATTCTTTTTCACAATAATAGTTCATATTAAGGACGCTTAAGAAAGCAAGAGGATCTCCTTCAATTCCATCCATTTTTACAGTTGAACCAACAAGCGTCTGGCATATAACTAAGTCAGATAGGCCGTTTATATCTATAGAATCAGAATCAGGGCCTATTAATTGCCTTAGGAGGGTTCTTAATGTATATAAATCGCCTAAACGGGGGTTAAAAAACTCGAAATCAACCTGTAAAGAAGAGCTATTGTCATTATCTGAACTGCTAGAAGTAGTTTCATAGATACTGGAGGAGTTTTCCCGTTTTTTCCTGGTTTTTTCCTCCATTTTTTGAAAATTTCAAGATTTTATAAGTTCTCGGGAAATTTATATATATATAAGGGCCAGAAATTTTAAAAAAAAGGACGTATCTGAACGTCATTTAGTAGGGGATTATAGAGAAGCTTTTTCAGCGGGTTAAATCCTTTTTAAACGGGAGAAAAAGGGCAAAAACTGAAGAAATGAGATCAAAAGAATGTTCAGTGTGTTTAAATGAAGTTTCAAAGTACTGCTGCCCTCAGTGCAGCAGTAGAACATGTTCTATGAAGTGTTCTCGTCAACATAAAGTGATAAAATCATGTTCTGGAACATTTAATCCAGCATCTTTTTTAAATAAGAAAGAATTATTAACTATTCAAAGTCTGGACCGGGATTATAACTTTTTATCAAACGTTGAATCATGCCTGGATAGGAGTGTTAGATACAGGCTGAATTTCCCGTCCAAAAACCATGTTTTACGGCTTAAAAAAGCTATTGAAAGGAATGGAATTCATTATTTTACATTTCCTAGGGGAATGAGTAGAGCAACCCAGAATAAAACATTCTGGGATTACAAGTAGAATATTTACAATGGTAGGAATCTATTTAACTTTTGCTTTTAGGAGAAAGAAGCTTTTTTGGACCATAGAATGGGTTTATACAAAGAATGGATCAAAAATATCAAAAATTGAACACAAGTATTTCATTTATTTACTTTTTAAATCATTTACAATGTTATTAGAGTCCCATCAGACAAAAATATTATGGAAGCATATAAAAATTTTATTCATAAAACAAATATTAAAGAATTACTTGATATAGATCATGAAATAGTGGAATTTATGATGAAGAAGACTAATTCTCAAGTAATAATATTCATATTTATTGATATGAATAATCATTATAGGCAAATAATCCTATTTTTGAAACAATAGATAAAAATAAACCTTTATCAGAAAGTCTTAAAGGAATGACTGTTATAGAATTCCCTACTATTTATATTACAATTAATGAGAATAAGATTATAACATCAATGGCTCAAGAAGAAATGGAAGAAAAAATACAGATTGAAAAGAGAGTAAATTTTGGAATAAATGTTAAACAAAATGGAATTATTGATTATGACAGTGAAGAATAGGTAATTGACGTATATTATCTAACAAAATAGAATATATTTCTTATATTTTTTAAAAAAATTTTAGTAAAATATATACATATTTTATTAAAAACTAAATTATTTCTTTTTCAATATCAATTTCTATCACATTATATTTAAAATCAAAAAAAAACAGAATAACATTTGAAAAGAGGTCATTACTTTTGTATCCAGGGTTTTCTTGAAAACAAATATATATATATACAAAAATTAAGATGCAAGATATTCTAAAAGAGAATTTTAATAAAATAATACTAATAAATTTAAACAATATATATAATTCCTCAATATCTATGAACTAATTTGTTTTCTTTTTTCTAATCTATGCATAACTGATTTCTTAATCTAAGTATTACTTAAAATACTAGTTAAAAAAGAGTCAAAACTTTTCAAATAAAAAATCACTAACTATTTAGTAGAAAAATAATCCATAGAAATTGACATAAATGTCATGTTGCAAAAAGCTAGATATGATACAAATAAAATATTGAAAAAATCTGCTTTTAAATAAAATTAAAACATTTTTACCTTGCAAAAAATACAAATATCGAAATATAGTAAAAATATTATAATAATCTCAAAAAGAGCCAAAACTAAAATGCAAAACCGTGACAAATAATCACAATGTCTATTAACAAGCAGAGCTTTCCTCCTTTTTATTTAAAGTTTCATTAGAATAATCAAAAATGGAATCATTAGATTCGCCCTCATGAATTAATGTCACTAAAGAATTAGATTTTAATAAATTTAAGGAAATCATACTTGAACTAAAAGAATCGAAAGGGTCAGTAGATGCACCAGAATTAGAAGGTAACCATGTCTCTAAGGGAAACTCAATAGTAGAAGTTGCTTTAATATTTTGAGAAGAATCTATATCAATACTTAAACTCTCTTTAAGATCTCGAAGATTTTGAGTTTCAAAATTTTTCGAAAGTACAGGTATTATAGGAGGACATGTATGACGTAATAATGCCCATTGGGTATTTCGGAAAAAAGGATGAAGCTTTATATCTGAAGCACCTGCCCTAGATCCAAGACGACGATTTTCGTCTTTAGTCAGAAGTTTCCGAATAAAAGATTTGCATGAACTATAAAGTTTAAGCCTCAACAAGTAATTAATTCTAGAGATACCTTGAAATTTGTTGATAATTAGTCTCTGGAAATACAACATCATTTTTTAGAATATTTGTAAAAGTAATATTTCTATTTTTTCCTTTAAAAGGCGTAACTCCAAACTAATTATTCCATGTTAGAAATATAACAAAAAACTCAAAAAAAAGCATACAAGCATCTCAAATGTTAAAATTCCTAATGTCCACCAATCTACAGCACTTGTATGCCCACATCCCTTAATAACTTCAGGAGCAATATATTCCTCTGTTCCAACAAATGAATTAGTTCGAAAATTTGCAATACAAGACCTTGTATCAATTGCAGGGAATGAACCAGAGACGCCTTTTGATACAATCATAGTAGGAGCACCTCCTGGGGCAGATTGCTTAGAAAGATCAAAATCAGACAACATAATATGCCCTGAGTGATGCAAAAGAATATCTATTAATAACATTTAATAAAAGTTTCAAAAAAAAAAAAAATTAACATACTTTCAGGTTTTAAATCTCGATAAATAAACCCCATCAAATGCAAATATTCCAAAGCAGCAGTTACCTCTGCTGCATAAAACCTAGATGCATCCTCTGATAAGCATTTTCCTGGACGCATTTGTAATGCTAAAAATGTTAAAACCCAAATTGATAAAAAAAGAAAGACTCAAACCTCTAAAAAATTCTCCACCCATACAGTATTCCATGCAGAAATAAAGATTCTTATCAGACTGAAAAGAATGGTAAAGCGTAACAATGAAAGGATGATTACTAGTTGCTAAAATTTCTTGCTCAGTAAGCACACGTTTAATTTTATTCCTTTTAATCATCTCTTTTTTATTTAAAACTTCAAATATCTCAGAAAACCCTTGCTTCATGGTAAAACCCTACCTTTCATTGCATATAACTTTCTCGTTTTCCTTTCTCGAACAAGATATACTTTTCCAACATCCCCTTTCCCAAGTAACTTAATCTTATCAAAACTAGATGGCCCTACTTCCACACTACAAATTTTGATAGAATTACTTGAGTATGTTCTTAGAAAATTATTTTGTTTTTTCAGCTTTCCCGGACTCGGAACGTTCAAATAATGTTTTTTTAATGACTTATCACTTGAATCTACAGCATGAATGTCACAACCAGACGATTTTCGATTAATATGAGAAAAACTCTTTGTAGTATCTTTTTTTTCCAGTTTTACTGATATTTCCGGGGGAAATGTCTTCGATTTTTGGGTCCTTAACTTACGAAACCCAAATCTTCCATATGACATCGGATTCATTTTTTGAAAAAATTGAACCATATTTTCGTCTTTAATAAAATATGATTTTGATAATGTATTTTTCATCGTACCATCCCGTTTCACCGATAAACAAAGAACTTTCTTATCTTTTGTATATGCATTTTTGCGTTCAGAAAGACGTCCATATTCCCCAAATTTTCCATCTCTCTTATGATTCTTCTCAATAATAACAACATTATGGTCCGTACTCTTGTCTGATATACTGCAGCTTGCATTACGGCTATTATGATTAAATTTAAAAAAGCATTTTAGCTTTTGTGGGATTTTAGAATGCCCCAAACTCCCTCCCAAAGAATCCTCCTGACCTCTGATCCTCTTATGAACAAATATAGACCTTAATACGTTTCTTTGAGGCTTTTGTTTAATATTTGTAGTCTTCTCTATTTCCATACTTTCTTTTTGCATTTTATACTCAATATATACCCGTTTTTAACCGGAAAAAAAGGACAATATAAATATAATATATAAAATATCCTTAAATATCTATTATTTTTTGCATTTCTCTGATTATTTCTCGTGTTTTAGCGAAATCTTTTTCCTCATTTTTTGTGTCGTACGGTTTCGATTGTCCACGGATTCACCCTAATCCTCATAAACATATATAAGAGAACAAAGAAAGAGATAATATATCTGTGAATGTGATATTATGATCAGTAAATGTAGATTAGAGAGAAGATAGAAACCTGCTTATTGCTGTATATTTTTCTTTTGATTTTTAAATTGAATATGATATAATATGATATGATATAATATGATGTGATATAATATGTATGTATATATGTATATATGTATGTATATATGTATGTAAAATGACGAAAGAAACATGAGTAGTAGATAAGATATTGCTTTGAGCCATATTTGAGAGGGACCAGTCCAGTAAAGTATGTATATCAGAGATATGTAGAAAATATAGAATGAAAATAAAAAAAAAAGAGAAATAATCTTGAAAAAAGTAAATAATGTATCATAGAAATATGAGAATGGTTAGTCAAATAGTATAGAATGACGTACCTAAAATATTATATGTATAAAAATCAAGATTGATTAACAGCATCTTGTAATTTAGCATTTTCTATTTCTAATTTTAATTTTCTGATTTCAATGTCTCTGAGACGCATAACATCTTTAATTCGAATATGTTTCTTGTTTTCATAAGTTGTACGAATGAAAGAATCAATGTTGAAAGGTTCTGAAGATAAATTTTTAAGAAAAGAATAAACAGAAGCAGGAGATGTGCAAGCCAGTATTTGTTTTTCTTTACATTTAATGATTGCAATTGAAACCCGGAATAAATATACATTTCCCTCAATAAATAGAAGATCAAAAACACGAAAAAGAATCTCTGGAGAAAGACAGTCAGTAAATACAGTTAAAAACCAATTGAATGTGACAGCTTCCAGATCTACAGATAATTTCTTAAAATGATTATGTATTCGTGGACATAATTCGGAGACATATCGTGTTAAAACTCTTTGATCAGCACGAGATGCAAGCAAATCAGGTGTAAAATAATATGGAGGTAGAATATTTTCGACAATACTAACTAGGACATAAAAGGCATCTTCTTCAGTTGCATGTGTTAAAAGTAACATAGCTGCTATGACATTCACTGAGAATTTTAATAATAAATAACTAATAAATATTTACTTACTTCCTTGACAATAACCTATCTGAGTATTATGTCTGCTAAATGCAAGTAAAACATTTCTAAGTTTAGGTACACCAGGACCTTTTCCTCCGAAAAAAACATTATTTGGCATAGTCCTATAAACATCCATATCAATTTGTACTACAACTATAGGATCTATATCCTTTCCCAATGTAAGTAAATCATTATAATATCCAGGTTGATGAAGTTGATATGCTCCACTACATTCTCCCCATATCTAACTAATTTAAATAACTATAAAATCTTAATTGAAACAAACCTTAGGACGATACATTATTGGTATACCACCAATTACCAAATTTTTGAATTCTTTCCAACGTTGCTTTCCAACCTTTCCTGATATTCCTAATTCAGAGATTCCAATTAATTCAGAATCTTCATAACCATAAAAATTAGGATTTATATTACGCTTTTTTTCATTTTGAACTTTACGCAGAAAAGAGTCCCATAATTCTTGCTTTGTTTTATTATCTCCATATATATCCAACTGTGAACGTAGCAAAAATCTTGCTGGAAAATTCTTAGACTTATCCAAATCTAATGTTATAAATCCCCGTGCAATAGAATTATCATTATTTAAAGCAGTCAATGTTGGTGATGATATTGCATTATGATTCAATTGTATATTTTCCATATTCATTATTTTATGTAAACTGCTAGTTGGTGTTGTAAGAGAATTATTTTTTAAAGAAATATCTGATGATTTAAATTTGTCATTTCTTTTATTTTTAGAAAAGCCCATATTTTCTAAATAATCCAAGTTTTCAGGTTGATTAGAGATATTTTTGTTATTTGCTTCTATAGGCTAAATCAAAATCAATAAATTATAATAATGAAATATAATAAATACTTGAGCTATTTTAGAATTTAAATTCTTTACTTTTGATGAAAAATTATATATAAAGCCAAATCTATCAGCCAATGGTTTTTCATCAACTCTATAATATTCATTCCATGATGGTAATAATGTAGGAGGTTGACGTTCTGGAGGCACAATAGTATCCATTTCAAGAGGTCTAGAGACAGAATTAGAAGATAGACGAGATTTAGATGCAGTAGTAAATGTAGGTGTAGCTGTTTCCCTGATTATCGGTGAAGAATGGGTATCAGACTGATCAGATTGTGATATATTTTGATCTTGTGAATATATATCAGATGTTAATTTATTTAACGAAGTTTTAGAATAGTATCCCGTTTTTGATTTCAATTTAATTACTTTCTCATATAGACGATCAATACTAAATGTTTTAGAATTTACATGATCAATGTTTAATTCTTTAAAACATTTAGATAATATTGTATCCAAATTCAAATTAGTTATTTTTAATTTCGATTTAGATATATAATCCTGTATTAAATGTTGATGATAATCCAAAACCAAAGGAAAAATAAGACGCCATGCAAATTCAACAATCATTGAAGATATCTTTTTTTTATAAAGAAAACTTGTACCAGAATTCCGATAGAGCAATACGTAGCAAGCAGCCATGCTTATAGACTTGTAATGAGTCGCATGATGATATTTCGGAAAATGAGTCTTTTCTTTAAAATATGAACCAAATCCTGGCATTTTCAAAAAAGATTCAAAAGAACCAAGTGAATCAAATAATGTCATTCCATGAATTATTTTGTTAAATGATGAAGAATAAGATTGAGACTTAGAATTAATACGCACTTCTTTAGAATTTGAAAGACCCTTAAAATAAAATTTATCAATTAATGACAAAGGATAATTATTTCCACCTTTCATAATTTCATGTGAACTTTTATCATGTTCATCCTCATGAATATGTTCTGATTTCCTTTGATCATTCATATCTATATTTTTTCGTATTTTTCCTATTCCCATTGTTTTAAATAGATAATTAGAAACTTTATTATGCACAGCAAGACGCATCTTCTTACGTTTAGATGCATCATCATCTAAAATAAGATCATCTAGTTTTCCATTATATGATTTAGTATAATTCATATCAGAAATCATATGTTCCCCATTATTTATAAATAAAGATTCTCTTGTCTTCTCAAATGACTCATGTAAACTCTTTTCTATATCTAAATAACTTACTCCCGCATTTAAAAGCATCTTTTTTAAGACAATTTCACAATTTTTCGATTGTTTTTGATTTTCTGCCATTTGAAGATCTTTTGATGCAAGATCCCTCAAAAGTAAACGCACAAAATTAATCGTCCCATATCTATCAATCAATTTTTGAAGAAATTCATCATCTTCTAGATATATATTTTCAGGAATCATATCAAATTCTTTATTAAATGATGAAATATCAAATGTATCATTAGAACTAAGTCCAGAACATACATTATTCATAGATTTAACCCTTTTATCCTCTAATTGGCTATTTGACGATATTTTATCGTCTTGAAATGTATTTTTAAGACTTATTTCAAAATTATTGATTTTTTTTAAAGTTTTCCTGGAAAAATCAATAATATTCAAAAACTTTAGCGCTTTTTGTACAATGAATCCAAATGATCATTAATAGGTGGAGTCAACGGATGCTCTTCCTGAATAACTTGCATTAAATCATATTAAAAAACAACAGAAATCTAGATAAATAATTAAAACAATTTAAACATATAGTTTTGACAGTTTCCGAGATTATTTATGTTATATTTATAGACTTGAAGCAACTCTGTTAATCCCTAAAAATTCGATACCATTTTTTAAAAAATATATAGAAAATATAAGGATAAAAAAGATAATAGAAAGATATATGAAATCATATTTATAATACCTTTTTGTTGTTTTTATATGAAGTTCTAAAGTTTTTGCCATTTTTTCCCTTGAAAAACAAGATATAACCTTTTGTTTACAACGTTTACCCATTTGAATACGTTGATTATCATTCATTTCAAATAAAACATTCCTTAATACCTTTGCCCATTCATTTTCATTAGATTTTTTTAACCAACCTGTTACACCATTATCAATTGTTTCTAAAGGACCTCCATTATCTTGAGCTAAAACAATAGTTTCATGAAACATAGCTTCAAGTGGTACAATTCCAAAATGTTCATAAGGAGGAGTGTATAATAAGATTGTTGCATTTTGAAGAAGATGATTTTTTAAGTCAGTAGGTATTGAAAGTAAAAAAACAACATTATATCCAGAAAAATCTAAAGGAAATTCGTATGGTTTCATAAAGGTCTTAGATATAAAAGAAAAATTATTACATAATTCAACAAGTTCATTATGATATTCAACATTTTCTTTAATTCTAGACTCATATCCACCTAAATATAAATATAAAAAATATAAAATAATAAACATACCTGCAATAATTAAGCAACATTTATTAAAATTCGAGTCTTTTTTAAGTTGGGAATATGCTTTTATTGCTAAATCAATATTTTTTTTCCTTTCAAATCTATTTATTGACAAAATATAATGTAGATGACTATTCTATCTTAAAATCTTCTTAAATATTGACTCCTTTGTACCTTTTAATAACTAATAAAGGTTTCTCTACACCATTCTCCTTCTCACTTATATTAATACTAGGATATAATACACTAAGATCCTTCATATATAAAAACGTTCTACGAACAACCGATTCTGTATAATAACTATTCACTAACACTTTATCTGCCATTAATATTGTCATTTTCTCAATATTATCAAATGGAATACGATATATCCTTCTTAACATGTTACTTCGTTTTGCAAGTAACTGATCTGGAAAATGACAATAAAATACTATCTTTAAACACTTCCATCTTAATAATGGAATACTAATTGGCAATACGTCCATAATAATAACATCATATTTCTCTATTTTAAAAAATAACCTCAATGACAAATACAATTGCCTAATAATTGCACAAAAAACTGATAATTTCCCAAAAATCTTTCTAGGAATCTTATCCCCATATACATTCACTCCCAATATCCCTTATTTATACATTATATACCATTTATATACTATTTATATACAATATAAACCTTTCTTAATCTCTTCAAAACAATGACTTCTATCGCAATGGTTTGTATATATTATAACATTATGTCCGAGCTGTTGTAGTCCTATTGCTGCATCTACTGTAAACCTCTCAGCCCCACCTATTCCTAGGTCAGGATGTATAAAGGCTATTTTCATGTCGTTGAGGTGTTGTCACGGCAACACCATAGAAAACCTCTGGTTGCCAAGACAACGGGGCAACGACATAAAAATATAAAATTTATAAAAGATGGGAATAGAGTATAAAGACGAGGAAAATGGAGTATTTAAAGAGATTAGAAGCCATGTTACAGATATAGAAGTTGATACGAGCGAAAAAAGCGGCGAAAAAGGGCCAACGGTTGAGGAGATAGAAAGTTTATGTATGGAATGTGAAGAACAGGTTGTATAAGTCGATAATGAGAGTAATATAAGGATAATATAAGCTAATATAATGTAAACAGGGTAAAACTAAGTTGTTACTTACTATTATCCCTTTTTTTAGGGAAATTATTATTATGTAAGGGATTTTTTTGGTAAAATAAATAAGCTGAAAAAAGAAACATAAAAGGTCCTTTGAATGTCCATATTGCGGGTTTAAGAACTCAGAAATACAATCAGCAGGTACTATTGAGGAGAAAGGATCGATTTATACATTTGTTGTTGAGTCTAAAGAGGACCTTAACCGTAATATTATAAAATCAGAAACATCATCAATATTATTAGTGGAACTTGAACTTGAGATACCGCCAGGAAGAGGAAAGATCAGTAATATTGAGGGATTTTTGAAAAATGCATGTGAGGACTTATCATTGAATCAGCCGATTCGTAAATATCAAGAACCGGAATTGTATGAAAAAATAGAGGAATTTATAGGGCGTATATATGATTTATTGGAAGGAATGAGGTTTCCTTTTAAGATACAGTTGAATGATCCAGCGGGAAATAGCTGGATTGAGATGGAACCGGGTGATCCACAATATAAATGGCAAAAAGTAGAATATGAAAGAACCTATGAACAAAATGCAAAACTAGGCTTATATAATTCAGAAGAAGTAGAAAATGAAGAGAATTTTCAGAAAAATGAAGTGCATAAATTTTCTACATCATGTCCTAACTGTATAAAGCCATGTGATACAAATATGAAATTAGTTGATATTCCATATTTTAAAGAAGTAATTATTATGAGTACAGTTTGTGATGAATGTGGATACAAAAGCAATGAAGTAAAAACAGGAGGAGAAATACCAGAAAAAGGGAAAAAAATAACATTAAAAGTGGAAAATATAGATGATTTATCTCGAGATGTTTTAAAAGTAAATAAAACATGATATTTTCTATACTAACATGATTCAGAGTGAAACATGTGCTATAACGATTCCAGAATTAAGTTTAGATCTTCATCCAGGAACTTTAGGTGGTAGATTTACTACATTAGAAGGTTGTTTTTATTTATTTATATTGAAAATTAACAATTTAAAAGGATTACTTGCTCAAGTTTATGATGAACTATACAAGAAAATATATTCAAAAACAAATGATTCTATGGAACCAGAAAAACGTGAAAGATGGGACATTTTTCTTCAACGTCTTCAAGACGCTAGGAATGCAAAAATAAAATTTACTATAATTTTGGATGATCCTACAGCTGGATCTTATCTTCAAAATTTATACGCACCTGATCCAGATCCAAATATGACAATAGAAGAATACGAAAGAACATATGAACAAAATGAAGATTTGGGTCTTAATGATATGGTTTTAAACCCAGAAACATCAAACTAAAACAAATAAAATCATCAATAAAGATTCTATTTAAAATAATCAAATGCAAATGTAATATATGGAAAATAACATATTTTATTTTAAATAAAAAATCACTACAAAATTTTGTACAGATTGTAAAGATATTCTATTAAAAATATAACAATGTCTATATTTAAACTTCTTCATAAAATATACTTTTGTTATAAAAACTAATATCAATTAAGTTCGAAATATTTTTTTCTTAAATATTAGGATAAATTTGAAATCATTTATTTAATAAAAAATAAAATATAAAAATTATTTAACAAGTCCAGTCTATTTCATTGCTTTATGATTTGCCATTCTAAAACTTTTTTTTCGAAATTATTTGTTTATATTTTTTAAAGCTGTTTATAACCAATGAAATGGTTGTTTTAGGACTTTTTCTTTCAGCAATTCTTGAAAATATCACTTCATTAGAACCGTTTGATCCTCAGAATCACTATTATACATTTAAAGTTCAATGTACTTCATGTAGAGAAATTGTCAGCAAGATTTCTTTATTGTTTTAAATTAAAACTTTTTATAGCATCCTAATTTTGTTAAAATATCACCAAGCGAGACAGTTAATATTCCAAATAGCCGAGGAAAAGCATCTCTTGTCTGGAAATGTAAAAATTGCCAAGTATTTCCTTTAGATCAATGAATTTTTCTAATATCTATTTTATTATTTATAGAAAGAAAACTCTGCTAGTTAGTTTATTGACAAATAATACTTTTTTTTATAAAAAATATAGATATTCATGAAAAAGTATCTCAATATACATTTGAAATATCACCTCAAGAATCACATATTCTTTCATTTGAATGTCGTGGTTGTGAATTTATAGAATTTTATCCAGATGTCAGTATTTAAAGTTTAAAGAACCTATTATTTTAAGATATTTAGGGTGAATGGTGTTGCAAAGGTGTTGAATCAGGTACATTATTCCGTGGAATAAATTTAATTGAAGGTGAATGGTATGATTATGATGAAAATGTAAGTAAAAGAAGCCATTAGTATTAATTAATATCCTCAGAGCCTAAATGAAGTATCTATTACAAATATTAAATGGGAAATAAAAAGGAAATAAATACATATACTTATCTTTATAAATCATATATTTTCTATGAATCCATAACATTTACCTTTTAAGATAGGAATGTAAAGATTCTATTTTTGCCTTCTTAGAAAGTCCAACACGATAACATGGCCTTGTTGTAACATTTTTCCGAGAAGATTCTTTTAATACTGGCAAATTTCCCGAGAAAGTAGGTGAATCTGTTATATGAGGTATTTCAGTAGATGTTATTGGTTTTTCATTATTAAATTTTGAACAATCCTCTATTTTATTTCCAGAATTTAATACATCTATATCTGCATTTTCTATATCATTTTTTTTCACCTCTTCTATCTTTGATAACAAATTTGATTCATAAGATCGTAATATTTTTGGACTTTTTTTAGGATTCAATTCAATATTTTCTTCAGGTTTTTTTAAGTTTTCAACTTTGTATTTAGACTTTTCTGAAATAATTAATTCAGCTTGCGCAGAATTGTCTTTAAAAGGACTCAGTTTTTCTGCTTCAAAGCCTAAAGAATGACAATTAGAATCCTCAACCTGAATAGAATCATTAATTTCTAAAGTATTTTCATCAGGAACCGTTTTAAATAATTGATTTTCAAATTCACTATTTTCATGAAGCGATGTATCATTTACAACAATCGTATTATCCTCATACGAATCAAAAGATGGATATCTCTTTGTTTTTATGTTTTTATTTCCTTTTGAAACATCTTTTGCCGTTTTACTCCTCCTTAATTTCTTTGCTTTAGTTTCTTTAGGCAACGAATGTTTTAAATTAGATTCAATTTCATCCTCTTTAGATAGAATTGATTTATTTTTATTACTAGTGCATTGATATTCGTTTTCATCCAATGATTCTACATTGATACATGCTGCAAGAGAAAGCAATTGAATTTCTGGCTTTTCTTCTTGATATAATCGATTTATTTGATCATCTTTATTACAAATCTCTTCTTCTAATGATATTATAGATTCCTTTTCTGTATCTTTATTCATATCAATTTTATTTTGACCTGAATTTCCAAATAACTGTATTTCATCATCACTTTCATCTCTATTTACTATAGGATACATATTTCTATATGAATTCATATTTTTTAACCTATTTTCATCAAATAAAGGTGATAATGGTCTTTCAAAATTTCTATATTTTATATCTTTTCTAGAAACACCTTCTTTATTGTCATTTTTGCACTTTATTCCCTCTAAAATAATGTCCTTATCATCAACAATAGATGAATTCTTGATCTCTGTATCTATAATAGCATCTACAGTGTCTGTCTTCATCTCATTATACATATTTTTACTATTTAACATATGTGAATAAACTAGGCCATATTTAACCAAAATTAAAGCGGAAAAAAACATGCTTATTAGTACCATTATTATAATGCATTGTTCCTAAATAAAATGAATCCTCTTCTCCCTCTGAATCTGGAATATACACGTCTTTTTTCTTAGAAAAAGTACTCATCATAAAAGATGTCAATTCCCATAAAACTGCCAACATTAAGAGAATAAATCAATAGAGAAAGAATAGAAGCATTCAATATAATGAATAAGAATGCTATTGTTCATAAAATTATGGTAAAACCATGTATCAATTAAAGAAATAATTTAATCAGCAGATATCAGCTATACGTTGTCTGAGGAGGAAATATTTAGGATAAACCAATACTAAAAAAAGAAGCATTGTAGTTATGAATACCAGTCATTCCAATTTTAATAGGATTAGTTTGATATAAATGTTGATCATTTTGTGTATTTGAAGAAGTCATATAAACTTCAGTTAACCACTCATACCAAACTTTTTTTGAATCAGTTTGACGCCAAAAATAAAGATCAATATGTGATCCAGAAGGAATATATAGAGGTGTCTAATTAAATCAATGAATTATTATGTATTTTTTAAAAATATACTTTTAAAGGAAAAAAAGCAGGAAACCTAGTAATATTAAAAGATTTGATAAATGTAATAAAGAAGAAGAAATACCATGATACCATATCTTTTAATTTTTCATCAATTATATTTGGTAGTGTAGATAGTTTAATATTATCATATAGAACAGCTTCAAAATATCCAGCAAAACCATGTAACATACCTCTAGAAGATATATTAAATGTATTTTTTGACTTTCTTGTATTATGTAAATTGGAATTGTCATCATAATAGTTTGGATTAGGATGAGAAAAATTCCATAATTTTTGAAACATGTTTTCATTATTTTTAGCAAGATAATGTATTGAATGTAGCCATATAGAATAAAACATTTCAAAAGAAGCATCATTTTTCATTTGTAATATATTTCCATAAATTTTTGGTGCCATAACTGGAGTAATATATGTAGTATATGAAGATGGAATGAAAATTCCACCTTTTGCTTTTTTTAACAATTAATAATATACTTATATAAAGATAAAACATACGATTTAAAAACTTTTGAACACCATCAAGACATTCTGGACTGAGTTCATTATCTCCAAAACTTCCTAGTAGTTCACTAACAATAATATCAATTAAAACAGGTGGTTTCCATAACCGCATATCTATCTGTACTAATTGTATACTATTCTTCCATTCATATTTGTTTCTATGCTCTAATCTTTTAAAATATTAAAACATTATAAATCAAATGTTTATAATATACGTTATAAAAGCATTTGGATTTTTCTCAATTGCATAAATAACAATCTTACGATCAGCAGATTCAGCAGCTTTTAAAGATCTTGATATAAGTGGTCCTCTCCCTGCACCAACAATTGCAATATATCTATTTTAAATATTAGATTTTTTTCAAAAAAAATCTCTAACAAACATGGGTTCATTCAATTTAGAACGATCCATAAGAGCCAGACGAATAGAAAGTTCATATTGATCATATTTTACATGATCTTTTTCAAAAACTTCATAGGTTATACTTTCAAGGTTATCTGCCAAAGGCTAAAATGTATATTTATAATCAAAATTAAATATAAAAATAGAGTATTACCTGAAGAGGAATTTGAAGATAATCCTGATACCCATTTGCAAATCTCTCAATTGCAGTAATTGGGCTTATATTTTCTAAATGCCTTAAATATTGATAATATACTGAAAAATCATTGCTTAAAGATATATCATCAGAGATTCGTAGAAGAACATTAGGTTTAAACTAAATAAAATCAATCAATTGACAATTATGTATTTAATATACTTTAGCAATTTTAGTATAAAAAGTCTGATGATCTTGAGGAAGAACCAAATCACCATCAGAATTCGATACAAAAATGCTTGAATGAATAATTAAAAGACCAATAGGTTCAGCAAACCAATGTGCAATTGTCGTTAGTTCAGGAAGTTTATTTCCAATCTCAAAAGCTAAAAATAAATGTTAAAAATATATAAAAAAAAGAAATAATAAACTTTCTACCCAATAATAACCTGTTATTATAGCCACATAATATACGAATTGTATTCCAAATATCCCATAATTCCAATGGATCAGTTAAATCATTCATTGAAAAAAAAATATAAAACTGTATATATGTAGAAAGAGAAAATAAATGATTGATAATACGAGCATATTGAGGAATTGATGTCTTTTGTGTAAATAATGGTAAAACAAAATGCGAAATGCCAATATATGAAACATATTGAACCTCATCATATAAAATCTGATAAAAAATAAATATAACCAACAATTTTTACATCTTTTAGACCTTAATTGATTTCTCTATTTGCTCATCATATAAGTCCAATTGAATATTAGATAAGGCAAATGTCAATATATCTGAAATGTCTTTTAAAACAATAAATTAATATTTCTTTTTTTTAAAAGAAAATAAACAAATATCTACCGTGTACATGAACATTCACATCTTTATCTGAAAGACCTATGTATTTTTTTAAAGAATGATTTTTCCATGTTTTGTTTAAGACATTAATTCCAATGAAATCATAACCATTTTTTAAAACCTGATATTTCTCAGAAATCGTTGAACATTCTAGTCCTATTAACAGCTTATTTTGCTGTATATTTGCCATTAAAATCCAACAAACAATTATATAGTCTGGTTTCAAAGCCTTTTACAGATAAAAAATTATATTTAAAAATATCTAAAAAACACAATGTTTACTTCTTCTAAATACTTTTAAACCTATAAAAACACTAAATCTTGTTGATTTCATAAATATTTTAAAGATCTTAATTATAAGTTTAAACCCTCTAAAAATCTTTAAACCTCCCATAAAAAATACATGAAAAATACTTTAAAAATACATTAAAATCAAAATAATATATTCACAATACATATACTATCATTTTTTCCTTTTTCTTTATCTTTTTAAATATTATCTTCAAGATATATAAAGAAAATAAAAAAAATATTCAACAAATATATAACATATTTACACCGTATTTAAAGCCTTATTTCACCTGTTGATACCTTCATACAAATGCTTCTCTTTGTTTTTAGTTTAACTCTTTTTTTTCCTGAAAAGCCCTAAACCCATTCTTTTTTTTTGATGAAAGAAATTACAAGATAAATACATAGATAAAGCAAATTTTCACTGTTTCTTGGTCAAATCAGCAATATTTATGTATTGCTTTTGCCAGAACTTAACCCTAAGTGTTCAGTCGTGTTATCAATGGCTATTATATCAAAGCGTTGAGCTGAATAGAGAAACAAGAAGCGTGCACGCCTTATGTGCGTGAAGAATAAAGTGAATATATGAGAGATTGAATGGTAATAACCTGTAAGGTTTTATCATTCTTATTGTTTTTTTTGATTCTGGGTGTAACACTCGGCTTTATATATATATATATATATGAAGGCAGATATAACAAGCAAGGAAATAAAAAAAGCAATTCAAGAGAATTTATCAATAGAATAACTACTTATTCTTTAATGGCAAATTGTTTTCTCAATTCAGGACTTTAAACGTCTTGAGAATATAGTATTGAATATATTATTACACGATAGGCTTACCTTTATATTTTTTAAAGAAGCCAAAACAATAAACGGTTTTTTTGTGAAGTCCATTTGTCCGTTGAATGGGAAACCATTTCTAAAACAAAGGTTCACTTGAATTTTTGCTGAAACACACGAATATCTTGTATATTCAGGGTATATATATATAAATAAAAGTCTTATCTTGAATAAGAAGATGAATGTAACGTTTAAAAGGATGAAATCTTTTGCATCAACTATTTCTTTCAACAGGACCACCTTTTTGGTGTTATCAAAGCTTCGTGCTTGTCTGTTAGAAGGTTAATTAGAATGCACAAAGATTCATAATCAGCGTTTATTCATACTTGTTATAAGGATAGATAAGTCTATATTTTTGGAGCTTTAAGACAAATATATAAAATGTTTGTCTTTTTTTATGGTTAGATCCATTTTTTGCTTTTTTTTTATTTTTTACAAAATACTATACTAATTATAGCTTATTAGTTTCTCTAACGTATAATAGACTATTTATATTTGGATATTTTTATCATATTTTTATCTCCAAGTTTTCAAGTATATTATCGTGGACTTTACATATTTTTTTCTAAAAATAATAAAGATGAATACATTATCTTTATCTGAATTGCATCATCTTAGAAGGCTCTCTTATTCAGCATTACCATTTTCTTTTGAATTATCGTCATATTTTATGTCAGTATTTTATGAAAATATTCGTCATTATGGAATTTCTTTATCTGAGATTCAAGATAAAACAGCTTGTTTATCATGTGGTATGATATGGATACCGGGATGGACATGTACGATACGTTTACGACGTAGTTCTGCAAAGCGATATTGGCGTCAAAAAAAGAAAAAAATAGAGTATCCAAAGCTTAATTATTGGGTAGAATATCAATGTCAAAGATGTGGTCGAATTACAAGATTTCAGCGGGAGAAATATACTATAAAGAATCAAAATACCAAGATATTACCAGAAAAACCTTTAGAGCCTTCAGAAGATGTTCAAATACATTCGAAACGTAATGCAAATAGTCGAAGAAGAAAAAAAATGCGCCTAGGTGGATTGGAAGGAATTATTGATAAAATAGAAAAAGAAGATATGAAGAAAATGGAAAAAGGATTGTCTCTAGAGGATTTTATGCTTTAAGTTTGATATATTTTATTGTCAATACCCAACATTTTGCAAAAAGCTTCCGTTTGCGGATTATTATATAAAGGTGCTATATGGAACATGAGTCTATACCAAATACAAGAGATATTTTCATACGTGGATGTTCCAAAAAGGCATTTCCTGCAGTAGGTGCGGTATGCTCAAAATGTTGAGGTATTTCTAATCCATATGATTGAGCAATATGATCATATACCCATTTCTTTTCTTTTTCTATTTCTCTAGTTACAATTAATATAAAGGAATTACGATAAAATGAATAAATAATGTCTCAAAATTATTAGACTTACTTTTCCAAATATACATTATCCCAGGGGAGTGACGGTTGTTGATATTCAATTGAAAAATATGAATGAAACACTCTACAAATAGCCAACCAATCTACATCATATGAAAGTATTGGTTTTTCATTCGTCTCAAGAGGCGTTGGAATATCAAGAATTTCTAAAAAATGACGTCCTGGTATACATTTATCAAGTGCTAAAAATCGTGTAGCTTTATGAGGTTTTTCAATTTTAGTAATAGCTTCATCTTCTTCTCCTTCTTCATTTAAATCTATTTCATCTGGGTTTTCTTTACAATTTTCATTTGCATTATGTATCTTTATTGCCTCAAATTTTACATGCATATGTGCCGCAAACCAATATGCTGGCTGTAATTCATTCATTAACCGTTCATTAGCCGCTGATCCCAAACAATTGTTTTGAATATCCTCAAAAAAATACGGCTTTATCGATAATAATCTTTTTAAATCTCCATATCTCTCAATTCCTCGCGGCCAATCGTGAGAAAGAAAAATATCAATAGGTCTTGTCCTCGCCGTATTCAATAATTTACACACCTCAAACTCTCGAACATGATATACACTTTTCAACGATGCTATATTATACGGGACTTTTTCAAAATGTCCTGTAATTATTATTTTTTTTTTTTTCAAAAAAATACAACAATTAACCTTTTTTATAATCCTTTTCTTTATAAATACCAGATAACCCTGCTATTCGTAATCCACTTATATTTATAATATTTGCTGCCCCCATATAGTATATATTCGGACACACCCATCCTCCATAATATCTATCCATTATTTAAAAGAAAAAAGCATGATACTGCATAGAACCACCCACAATTCCCATAAATAATTGCTTGCTTCATGATTTCCCCCAATAAAAATCGTTAAAACTGGTGCTTTCTTTTCACCCGAATAATATGACGAAAAATCACCCAATTTTCGATATTTTTTCGGGACTGATAAACATTCTAGGTCCGCCTCATTACGTACTGCCTTAAAATACTCATAAATCCTCATATTTCTCCCAAAAAAACAAAAAAACCTGAAAATCACCCGCAATTAATAATACATCAACCTGGCTCTGTGTCTTCTCTTCTTGACGCTTTAATTCCTTATAAATCTTATCTAATTCACTGTGACAACATCCCTCAACTGCGATCTATTCTAGTCAAAATATTAAGTCAAATAAAGCCTGACTTACCTTCATATGTATTTAAGTAGTGGCGAGCCGGACGCGACCCAAACACGAAACGCGTTTTTACCAGGTTAATAACGGACGACAAAAAAATAGGAAAGTATAAAAGCAGGTAAATTAGCAATAAATAGCAGTTTTCTGACAAAAATAATAGAAAAAACGTAAAAATAGAGGTCTAAATAGTATATGTCATTTTTTTTTTGGTAAAAATCGGAGGAATATGTATGGATTTCAGGAGAAACTTCATCCCCGACCAGACTTTGTGAAAAAACTAGTGGTAGTTGGGGACGGAGGATGTGGAAAGACATGTCTACTTATTGTATATAGCCAGGGATCATTTCCAGAGGTTTTTTTTTCGATTTGATAGGGTTAAATTTGACAATCAGGGTATAGAAATATGTTCCAACAGGTTAGAAGAAATTGATTAAGAAAGAGATCAATATGGGGCTAATAATGGCCTAAAAGTTTTTGAGAATTATGTTACGAATGTTTACTATGGATCGAATAATAAAATTGTAGAATTAGCATTATGGGATACGGCGGGTCAAGAAGAATATGATCGACTTCGACCTTTAAGTTATCCGGAAAGTGATGTGGTTTTGATATGTTTTGCAATTGATTATCCTTCGAGTTTAGAAAATGTTACGGATAAGGTTTTTTGTGTATTTTTTTGTTTTAAAAAAGAGTTAATTTGGAATATTTAGTGGTATCCTGAAGTTACACATTTTTGTCCAAATATACCGATTGTTTTGGTAGGATTAAAGTCGGATTTACGAAAAAACAGGAATGCAATTGGATTATTGAGATCACAAGGTTTAAATCCAGTTACATATCAACAAGTTTTTTCAAATTTTCTATTTATTATGTTCAATTAGCATTAACCGCTTAATAGGCTGTTTCTGTTGCAGAAGAAATTAAATCGCAATATCTAGAATGTTCTTCAAAGGAAAATGTAGGAGTTAAGGAAGTTTTTGATCTCGCTATTTCTTTAGCTATAAGTAATAAACGATTTAAAAAATTGCGTAAAGGCATATGTCAAATCTTATGATTTCTTAAATATATTTTATATTTAAAAATCTTAATTGGTATTTGGAATTTGGATATTCTTTTTTTTGGATAAATTTTATATACAAAAAAAATAGGTCAAACATATTTATCATTTCATACTAAACCTTCTTCTCCATTTTGTTCTGTTTCTTGAGTCTCTTCTTGCATGGGATAGTGTTCTTGCGATAATACGTCATGAAACATTTTCCATAAGGTAGATACACTTTCAAATTCCTTTCCAACCTATTTTTCAAGTTTCACTTAAAGAAATCGGAAAAAAGGGGCTCATACTGCTATAAAACTCTCCATATTTCTATTTAAAATGTTTAGATTTGTTATGATTTGCTCCATACTCTATTTATAAGCTTCTTACTGAGGAAAAGTGCTAAAAGAAACCTGTGCAACTTGTCCAATCAAGGCATCTCTCTGTTTTTCAAATAATAAATGACTGTCAACACTGGAGCCACTTGTTTCTGTATTTGCAGGGACATTTGAACTCATTAATTTTGTTTTATCAAGATTTAGTCTTTAAAGTTTCCCGCTAAGTATAAATATCGGCATTAAAAATTACAAAATTCAATAAATAAACAAGGAAAGGATGGATTTATTATTTACAAATATGATTATATTCAAATGAAAGAATGGTATTTATTTATCTTTTATTTTTTTTTTTCATGAAATTTGACATATTTTTAGAGTGTTACATTACATACAGATGTTGGAGATATTAAGATTGAAGTTTTTTGTGATTTAGTGCCTCAGACAGCCTACGTAGACAATATATAGATTTTATTTATATAAGAGTATTGATAAAAGGCAGAATTTTTTAGCACTTTGTGCTAGTGGATATTATAATGATTGTTTAATTCATAGAAACATTAAAGGATTTATTGTTCAGGTAGAAAAATATAAAAGAGCAAAAAAAGGAGAAAATTTGACCATTGTTTTAATGAATTTAGATGGGGGATCCTACAGGAACAGGAAAAGGTGGTACATCAATCTATGGAAAACATTTTGCAGATGAATTTCATTCTTTATTGAAAGTATAAAACATAAATATAATTTCTTTAAAACCAAATTTATTTTTAGCACAATGCAAGAGGAGTGGTATCTATGGCAAATTCTGGACCAGATACTAATGGTAGCCAATTTTTTATAACATATACAAAACATTCACATTTAGATGGAAAATATACAGTTTTTGGAAGGTATAATATTATTTCTATATTAATATTTATCCTTAAAACATCAGAGTTATTGATGGCGCAGATACAACGCTTAATACTCTAGAAAAATTACAAGTCAATGAGAAATATAGACCGTTAAAAGAAGTGTATTTAAAAAATGTTACAATTCATGCGAATCCACTTGCAAAGTAAAATGGCTAATATTATTTACAATATGTGAGAATAAAACTGGTGTAATTTTATGATTTAGAATAATATGTTTGCATAACATCTACAACTTTTTTCCCTCGAGCTCTTGCAATATCTTCCGGTAAAACTTGAGTTTTTAATGCTTGAAGTGTCGCTTTAACTACATTCATTCCTGTACGTGAACCTCTTACTTTTGCCGAGAGATCTTTTATACCTATACAACGACATATTTCATGAATAAAATGATTTGCACGTATACCAAAGCCTATATATATTTATGTTAATTTATAATATTTGACTATTGATTCTCAAATTTACCGCGTGGCCTAGATCTCAATTCTAATAATACTGCATGGAATTTATATTTCACATTCCCATAAATCGTTCGGTTTTCATACCGAGGTATATAATGCATATTTTTTATAGCTTGTAAACATGCTTTTTTTATTGCTGTACGTAATACTTTAGATTTCCCTTCACCTAATCCTATCATTCCACTACCATTTCCTACTATTGCTAATGTATACATTGATGGAATTTTCCCTTTTCTCGTCTGATTTACAACTCTTCGTATTACAAGAGGCCTTTGTATAAGTTTTCTAATATCCCATGGAGACATTCCTGTTATCATAGATAAATATCTAGGATCTTCTTCATTTTCTTTTAAAAATGTTGATTCAATCTTAGGTAGATAAGATGCTAGATTAGATTCTTTCGAACCTTCTAAACCTTCTAAACCTTCTTCAGACATATCTTCATCTTTATTCTCCAAAAAATTCAATTGTTTATCTAAAACTGGATCTCTAACAAGAAAATCCGAAACATATGGAATATGTAGTTGTGTTCTTCGTAGTTTTTGATTTTTTAACTTAGAATAATCATGCAATCTACCCTCTGATAATACATCTTTTTCCTTAGTTTCTTTATTTAAAGAAATATGTTTGTTCTTATTTAACCCAACAAATATTGAAAAATATGATTTTTTAAGAAAATACTGAGATTCAAAAGAACATTGCCATAATGCTGGTCGAGATAAATATATTTTTGCTATAAACATTTTTCATTTAGCCTGTATAATTCCCTTAAAAACCCTTCATAAAAAGCCCAGAAAAAATATATAATTAAAATAATTATTTATATCTTATATTAAGGATTAATTAACGATTTCTTTCCCAGTAAATCGTCTTAATCTTTAGTTCTTTGCTGTTTGATATATTAAAAAATATAATAATAAATAAGTAGAAAAATATTAATAAATATAAAAAATATTAATAAATTTATACACGAATTTTTATATTTTTATTAATAAATTACACAGAGAAATCTTAATAAGCTTATATTTAGAGAGATAATAAATAAGTAAAATTATGAGATAAATTATTATGGATTATTAAGGATGGAGGAGCCGATAAATATAGAGGAAAAAGTGGATATTTTTATTAAAAAGTCGAAATCATGTATTAAATTGAGAAAAATTAAAGAAGCAGTGGATATACTGCTTGAAGCTTTTTATATATCTCCTGATAATGAAGAGATTAGAGTGTTATTAAATGAGTTAAATAAAAAATTTGAAGGGGTTTTAATATTTTCTTTTGAGATTATTAAGGCTATTTTATTAAATAATTCAAGAAAATGTCAAGATCAGGAGATATTTGATTATTTTTTGGGAATTAATCAAGATTTAAGGGTTAAAAAGTTTAATGAAAGTAATGGAATGTTTGAATTGATGGAAGGATTTTCAAAATCTCTCTATATATTGCATTTTTATGTTGTTGGACGTCTTATTTTAATGCTTTGTTCATTTTCAGATCTTACGTGTGAATCAATGATTAATTATATAATGATTAAAGAGCCTGATATGTTATTTTTATCAAAAGTTCCTGATACTATTATTCAAGCAATATTTTTAGTATTTTTTAAAAAAAGTTTATGGCCATCAACAGAAAAATGGGAATTTTCTTTGCGGAATTTTTTCAATAGCATCAGTAAGGATTTGGAGGAGTCTAAGAAAGAGAGACAGATGACGTTAATGAAAGGTATTGATCATATTTTTTCATTAGGAATGGATGTTTTTCGAATTTTCAGTAACTCTTCTTCTTTACATAATATATTTACTCTATTTGGACATAAAAATGATAAAGAGATCAAGAAATTATCATCCTTATTGATATTTAAATTGATTAAACAAAAAAAGGCTATTTCAGATGAATTTTTTGAAAATTTTATTTTTAATTTTATAGTTGAATCTTTTAAAGATGGAAGAAATGAAACACTAATTGCAGCATATTCAATTCTTACTTATCTTTTTACTATTGATGAATCAATGGCTGCTAAGCTCTTTCTAAAAGATGGATTTTTAGAAGAAATATGTTCAGACATCAAAAGCGATGATGAAGTAACTCTATTTCTTTTGGAAATGGTATCGTCATCTTGTATCAATATTGATTGTTGTAAAAAACTTATGGAAATTTTTATAGCAGTTCTAAATGACTTGAAAAAGCAAAAAAATATCAAAATTTATTCATTATCTGAAATTATTATTATAAAATTAACATCTCAAATCAATAAAAAACCAAATATTAACAAGGAAGATGTGTTAAATCTTGCGAAAAATCTTATTTTAATTATTTCTCAGGATTATGACACAAATATGTCGTTCATTGAGGGTTTAGCTTATGTTTCTATGTTTTCTCATGTAAAAGAATATTTAGCCTCAGAAGAAAGGTTATTCATAGCAATTTCTCAAAGAGTTAAAAAAGAACCGAGTGATATTAGTTTTATTTTTCCAGCTTTTGCATCTATTAGAAATATTGTAGGTTACAAATCAGAATTAACTGAAGAACAAAAGCAAATAATTAAACTTAAAACTATAGTTCAAGGATCTTCAGAAAAGACTGAAGACATTTTGGAATCTAACGAGAAAGTGACAGAACGTTGTTTTAAAATTATAAATTATCAAATGTCAATGACTCTTAGTTTGGCTTTATCATGTCAATCAGATTCTATAAAAACTTTATGTTCAAAAATAATACTTTCACTTTCAATTGAAAAGAAACATCGTATTATTCTTGCAAAACAAGGCTTTATTCGAATTCTTTATAATATAATAAAAGACTATCAAACAAAAACGTTATCAAATGATGATTCTGAAACCAATTATTTATATCCTGCTATAGTTTCACTTGTAAAAATCCTTATCACTGTTAATCCAAATTTAATATTTGATCGGTCAAGATTTCAAGTTGATGATGTTATAAAACCCATATATGAATGTTTAAAAATATCAGAAAATGATAATTCGATAGTCCAGTTTGAATGTCTTCTTGCACTTACCAATTTGGCTTCTATGAACATAGAAATTAGGGAAAAACTTGTTCCTATTCTTTGGCCTACAATTGAATTATTGTGGCTTTCAGATAATCAATTGATTCAAAGATCAACGGTTCAATTGATATGCAATTTAGTTGCATGTTCATCTGGTGTAGCTATATTTAAAAAACATAGACAAAGAATTCATATTTTGTTGGCATTAGCAGATTCTCCAGATAATAATACTCGCTCTGCTGCAGGAGGTGCTTTAGCTATTTTATCAGATGATTTATCTATTTGTAAAATAATATTGGAAGAAAAAAATGGAATTAAAATCATATTGGATATGATAAATGAAGATGCTGAAGATTTAATACACCGAGGACTAGTTTGTATAGCAAATATAATATATTCATTAGATTTTAAGGACAATGTGTTATTTAAAAAACTAAATATTATAGAAGATTTATATAAAATCATAAAAAAAACTGAAAATAAGGAAATCATTGATTTATCTTATCAAATTATTGAAGAGTTACAAAAAAAAATGAAATGCACAAATTAATAAAATATCAAAATGTTAACTAAAATTATGAAATTTTAACTAATATTAGAAGGAAAAATTATTTATTTAGATTCATTCTGAAGGATTGAAATCTTCATCTTCTATAATATCAATTGTTGGATTTTGTTTTTTGTAATCATCTTTTTCGAATATTGTTAACTTAAGAATATTGATATTAATAACAAACAATTATTTTTTCGACTTACATTTGTTATATTAGGTTCTTCAATTTCTCCAAAAAAAGATTCTAATTCATTTAATATTAAAGGAAGTTCAATATTTTTAAGTTCTTCTTCTAAATCTATTGGCGCTTTTTCCTTTGAACATGATGGAATGGATTCCATGTTTTCATACAGTGTTTTCCTTTCTTGGATAAATTTTCTCAATTGTTTATCATAATCTAGTTTCTTCTTTTCTAATTTATCTCTATCTATATAAGATTAAGTCAAGGATCTAAAAGAAAAATACATTCTCATTTTTTTATATTCATTAAGATCATTTTGGGCTTTAGATTTCCATTTTTTATAATCATATAGGTTCTTTTCTTTTAATTTTTGAGAAACAATATTATCTAGGTTCTTTAATTGTATCCATAAGGCTTCTACAAAAATAAACAACATATAGGACTTTCAGTTTTTTATAACCTGCTTCAGAAAATGATCTTTCTATGTCTTTTTGTACTTCATATAACTGATTTATTTCATTATGAAACCTTTTTATGACACAAATTTCGGAAAATATCCTTTTTTTCAACATTTTTAACGTATTAAGTCTTTCCTGCACATGGTAATAAGAGTCATATGGTTATTTTATGTATATTTTTTACATTTATCTCTTCTGTTTCTAGTATCTTTTCCAATGAAAGTCTGATACTAATTTCATATTAATCATTATTTTAAACAACAATACTCGTACGTCTTTATAAGATTCTTTGTATGAGGAAGATTTTCAAGTTTTCTAAGTGTTTTTAGTTTTTTTTTCAATTTCAAGATCTTTTACTGTTCCCATATAGACATTTCTTCAAGAAACCTATCAAAAATAAATACATAAAAACAAATAAATACAGTGAATTCGTCAAAATATACGATCTATCATCCTCAGTTGCTTCAAAATGGGTTATTTTTTGGATTAAATTCAAGATTATATTCATTTAAAGATTTAAAAACAAGATATACTATATAATTATTAAATTAAACTCAAAAATACAATATAACACAAATATTCTAAATAAAACCTATTTATTTGACTTGTATTAATGGTTATTTTGGTCAAAAGAAAAAGATAAGCTTATAAAGCGAGTAATTGATGCTTGAAGAGAAATTACAAAAATACAGAGTATGAAGGAAAAAATACAAGAAACGTATGAGGAATTAGAGTGCAAAACATCTGGTGTTAATGTTTTACCTGGAAACACATCAAAGAAAAATATACATGATCAATTAAAAATATATATAAATGGGTTTATAGAAAAAATGTATAAAAAATATAAAATAGATGAGGAAATAACACCTCTTAATATACCTTCACGATGGACTATTTATGGGAATATGGTATTGTTTTCTTTTAATGCATTTTCTTCTCAATGGACTCTATTTTTTTCAAAACTTGAAATATCTGATAAAACACTCTTTTATAAGGGAATTTCAGAGATTTTTGGAGTTACACATCTTGCTCTAAATGGACCAATTCCTTCTGATGATGAAATGAGGATCCCTAAAGAATTTGTGCCTTTATATGGAGATTTTGGATTTAAAGTAAAAGGAAATCCAACAGAAAAGGATTTTAAAGAAGCATTCTGGGTTAGTACGAAACAAAATGGAATCCTTCAAGTTTGGTCTCCAATGTATACAATGTATTTTATCCCTCTTTTTTTCCTAATGTTAATTATTTAAGGTTTTCACGTGGAAATAGTATAAATTCATATGTTTTTCCTTTAATTATTTATTGATCTATACATTAGTTAAAGAAAAAGCCAGAATTCTTATGTTTCCAGATGTTAAAGATGCAATTGTTGCTGATTTATATGCAGGAATTGGTTATTTTGCATTTTCTTATCTTAAAGCAAAAGCAAAACATGTATTTTGTTGGGAAATAAACCCCTGGAGTGTAGAAGGCCTATGTAGAGGTGCAAAATTAAACAATTTCAAATGCGAAAAAGTCAGTAATCTAGATAAAAATTATGAAAATAATCAATTGATTGTATTTGAAAATAACAATATTTTCGCTGATAAACAACTAAAAGGAAAAACAAAAAATATTCGACACATTAACCTTGGTTTACTACCGAGTAGTGAGAATTCTTGGCTTACCTGTACAAAAATATTAGACCGTGAAGTAGGAGGTTGGATTCATGTTCATGCTGCTGTTTATATTAATGAAATCTATGATTGGACCAATGGATGTAAAGAAAAATTCGCCTTATTATTCACAAACAATTGGGAAATAAAAATCGACCATATTGAAAAAGTAAAACAAATCTCTCCAAAAAAGTTACACATCGTTGTTGACTTGTTATGTATTCCAAAAAAATAAGTTACCATCATTCATATAATGCATAAAATTATAAAATCATAAACAAAACTTTTTCCAATATACAATCTTTTTACTTTTTCAAGTATTTTTTGGGTATTATAATAACCTTTGTATCTTTCATCGCCTATAAATGTCAATAAATGACTTCATTCTATAAATTTATACATAATAATTCCCTAACTTTTTTTTCATCATTTTTTTCTGCTTGTATAAAATCTCATTATGTTTCTTAAAATGCTCAATGTCTTCATAATGTCTTAAATTTTCATTTGAACTCGTATGATGAACTTCAATATGGTGAATATTAAACTAAAATATTAATACATAAAATTATATATATTCTCTCAACTTCTGTCTCAAAATCCTCATGATGTCCATCATATCCCATATCTAACCCTTATATCCTATTTATCTCAACTAATCATTCACTTTATTACCTGGTAACTTATTTCCTTCATTTATAAATTTCTTAAACTCCTCCAAAGTAACAATACCATCTCCATCTTTATCAACATATGATAAAACCTCCTCTTCTAAATATATTTTCTGTTTTTCTGTTAAATCTTCATTATCTAGCCCATATATATATCTAAAATCCTTTGCATTCCAATATCCATCAAAATTAATGTCATGTAAATAGAAAAACATCTCTTTTCCTATCATAAAATACATTCTGAACCCTTTTCCTATGTATATTTACCCAAATCATATGACTCTATCTTATGTTCATTTTTCATATGATAATCCATCCAATTTCTATCATTTTCTTCCGCTGAAAAACAAATTATAGGCATAAAAACACATACAAATACGATATTAATCATATTTCCAAGGTTTTTCTATATTTTTTCCGCCTTTTGAGCTGTTTATTTTTTACAACTTAATCGATGTCTTGTTTATAAAGCTTATAGATTTAAATACTGGAGGATGGATGGCTTTAAAACACTGAGAACTAAGCCTCTTTATGAAGGTATTGATGACGGTAATGCTATTTCTCCCTTTTTCCCGCTTGATTTCTTGATTTTTGAGGATATTAATAGGACTTAGATGAAAAATCTAATCTTTTGGTTGTGATTCTTGATACAAATCCTTTTGGATGGGATGAGATATCTGAATATATATCATTTGATAGTGCAATTAAGGAATTACTTGTATTTTTTAATGCGCACCTTTCATTAAATCAAAATAATGATCTTGCAGTTCTTGCATCTCATATAGATTTTGTACAATATTTATATCCAACAGCTGAGAAAATGACACAGGAAGATAAGATAGTACGAGAGAATAAAGAAGAAGGATGTAAAGGACCTAATTTATATTGGCCTTTTTACATTATGAACAAACAAATTAAAGAAAACCTTGAAAAATTAATTGATCAAAGTAATAAAGAAGAAGATAGATATGTAAGATCAACAATGTTAGGAGGGTCATTATGTATGGCATTGGCATATGTTAATCGTTGTATGCAAAATAATGGGGAAAACAGGATAAAAGCAAGAATTTTTATCCTATCAGTGTCTAGTGATATTACATTTCAATATATTGCTATTATGAATTGTATTTTTAGTGCGCAGAAAAAAGTATGAAAAAGAAATTTATGAGTATTTGTTTGATATGTGTAGAAAATTCCAATTGATGTATGTAAAATTGGAAAAGATACAGTATTTTTGCAACAAGCATCGGATGCTACTAAAGGTATATATCTTCATCTTGATAAGCCTAAAAGTCTTTTGCAATATTTAATGGTTTGAAATTTATTGAAATTTAAAAATATTATAATAATGAATGGTATAGATGGTTTTTCTACCAGACCAGAAAGTTCGGCAATATCTTGTTTTACCTTTTCAACTTAATGTAGATTTCAGAGCAGCATGTTTTTGTCATAAAAAAATTGTAGATATAGGATATGTTTGTTCTGTATGTTTATCAAGTTAAGTTTTATAAGTCAATTATATCATTATTAATATTAGTAGTTTTTTGTATAAAACAACCAAAATGTCTAGTATGTGATACTATATTTGATACAAATATGTTGCAAAAAAATGTTGAAAATCCTCCATCTAATACTTTTGGAACAGAGATCTAGTTTATAATATTATACAAATGATTTCGAATTTCCGGAATAAACGAATGAATTAGGTGATTTCTCATTTTCAGAGATTTCTGCCTTTGATTTAGTGTCGTTGGAAAACATATACCCGACTCCCTTTCAATAGTAAATAAATTTAACAATGTATGAAGCATACCATTGATGGTGTAGAATGGGCAAAAAGAAAGTCTATCATATACGTATTTTGTAATAATTCAACTTTTACGGCAACTAAACCAGCAAAAGGAGTATGTCCTTGAATTATTCGTGATGCTTTATATCATTAAAAATCGAATTATATAAATAAATGTCAATGATTTACATAGAAAATCTTTTTTGATGCAATTTTTTACTGATTTTAATAAATCTTTTCCCATAAGAATTCTTTCGCAGCATTTTTTTGCAAGACTAGTAGCAATAATTTGTTCACCTGAACCTTATTTCGATCTTTAGCTATTATAAAATTTATTAATTATAATACCTGAACATATTACTGCTACACCTGTTCCATTTTCATTCATTTCAACCCACGTTCCTGCTAATGGTATTGCTGCTAATCCAAGTCTCCCTGGATATTTCATAGCAATCCCTCCTGAACTTGATCCTGCCGCTAAAATTCCATCCTTATCAACTACAATTACTCCTACTGTATCTGAAACTAAATTAATATCTAAAGTTTTACACAATTCTAATTCTTTTGTCCATTTCTCCCATGAAATACGAGATTTTCGTGAAATAAGTGTTTCAGGTTCAACCTCTGGAATTCCATTCTGAGTAGCCCATAATGTCGCCCCTTCTCCTACAAGGATACTATTATCTTTTAAATTTAAAAATAAATAAAAATAATGCATCTCAACATTGGTTGACTCCTATTCAATGATAATACTTCATCTTGCGCATCAATAAGCGCTTTTGCTACTGAAATAGGATGCTTTATCTCTATTAATATAATTAATATTAACCATAGATTTTCATATCGCACTTTTAAGTGCTCCAACTGCTGCTATTTTTCCAGAAAAACCATCCATAATAGATGCATCACATTCAACATCTCCGTTTAACGTAAGATTAGAGCCATATCCTGCATTTGTATATTTATTTGTCTCTAATAATTGCACTGTTTTTTCTACTACTTCTATTGCTTTGCCGCCTTGATAAATCAATTTTATACCCTCTTCACAGACTCTGAGCATATTATAAAGGATATTTTGATATTTTAAATGTTAATTGACCTTCTGCAAAGCCTTTTATACTGATTTTCATGGCTCTTACTATGACATCCTGCTCCAATATGAACAACTACAAAACCCATCATTTTTTCCCCGGAAAAAAAAGGTTATAGTCAAAATACAATGAAAAAAAACAAATTATTTCTTAATATTTCGAAAAAAAACCAAAAAATACGCTTCAATTTGACTTTTTTTTAAAAATTATTTTTTTGAAAGTTATCATCGCTCTCGAAAAATTAACAATTTTTATAGCACCTTAATTCATAGGAAAAAAAGCCATTTTAAAGACAAAATGTTCCAGAATTTTCCTGTAGTTATTATGGATAAGTACGTATTCGTTTTTTTCTGAAAAAAAACCGCTTTTTTTTGACTTAAATTGACCATTTTTTAGTGGAACAGGTTTAACAAAAATTGGGTAGTTTTTTGGCCTTAATAAAGACATATTTTTAACTTAATACATAGTCTTTCTGGTAATAATGTTCCTTCTTATGTTTTTCCTACGGTTATTACGTCTTCACAGATGCCAGGAACAGGATCAGGACGATCAGTCTCAATATCAAAATCATCCTTTCTAGGATCCAGTTTATCTATAGGAAGTTCGTTAAATAAACGTGGAGCAGAGGATCTTGATTTTTATATTGGTTATGAGGCGTTAGAACAAGCGAATGGTTTAGGATATAGTTTAAATTATCCTATTCGTCATGGAATAATTGAAAGTTGGGATTATATGGAGCGATTTTGGCAACAAAGTATCTTTAAGTATTTAAAATGTGATCCAGAAGATCATTATTTTCTTTTAGTGGGGATACTTTAAGGGTTTTTATTTATCTGATATATATCCAGACAGAGCCACCTCTTAATCCTCCGGAAAATAGAGAACATACGGCAGAAATTATGTTTGAATCATTTAATTGTGGAGGTCTTTATATTGCAGTGCAAGCGGTTCTTGCGCTTGCAGCATCATGGACGTCATCTAAAGTTCAAGACCGATCTCTTACAGGAACAGTAATTGACTCTGGAGATGGTGTGACACATGTAACGCCTGTTGTATGTATTATTTGAGTATATTTTTGAAATTTCTTATGAGCTAAAGGCGGATGGTTATGTAATTGGATCAGCACTTAAGCATATTCCTATTGCAGGAAGAGATATTACATATTTTGTTCAATCTCTTTTACGTGATAGAAATGAGTTAGACTCTTCTCTAAAGACGGCAGAAAAGATCAAAGAAGAATATTCATATGTATGCCCGGATATTATTAAAGAATTCAGTAAATATGATAGGGAGCCAGAAAGGTTTCAAAAATATTATGTAGAATCAAGTTCAGATAAAAAAATAGTAGTAGATGTTGGATATGAGAGATTCCTTGGTCCAGAAATTTTTTTTCATCCCGAAATTGCATCATCTGATTTTTTAACACCTTTACCTGAAGTTGTAGACAGTGTAATTCAAGCATCTCCTATTGATGTCCGACGTGGTTTATATAAAGTAGATATTAATTATGGATATGTGATTTTGTTTAATATTTATTAGAATATTGTTCTTTCAGGAGGATCAACAATGTTTAAAGATTTCGGTAAAAGAATGCAAAGAGATATTAGACAAATTGTAGAAAAGCGTATTCGGAAAGGAGAAAAACTCTCAGGTGTGAAAAGTGGTGGACTTGAAGTTAATGTTATTTCACATAAAAAACAAAGAAATGCTGTTTTCGTTGGTGCAAGTTTAATATCACAAGCTGTAAGTTTTTATTTATTTAATAATTCTAATTCATTTTTGAAGCCCGAGTTTTTATCGTATTGTTGTACAAAAAAAGATTATGAAGAATATGGACCTGGAATTGTAAGAAGATTTGCAATTTTTGGATCCTTTTTATGAATGAGTGTTATGCAATTATGTTTCATATGCCAATTGTTATTCGTTTATTCAATTCTTTCATTCTTTGATTCTTTTAATAAAGATATCCTCTTTAAAATACTTTTTTTCCATTTTAAATATTCTGAATAATGTTTATCTCCATAAAAATCAACTTGAGGATGAATCTTATATAAAAATTAATTTTTTCATCACATTAATAAAATTTTACCATCATCCCTACACCACTAACTGCTCGACATTGTAATTTACTTTCTGTATTAGATTCTATTTCTATTGATTCATCAATTTTCTTTTCAAATATAGACTCTATCCACTTATGTTTATCATTATCTTCTTTAACAAATTCAATCCAATATTTCAATTCTTTTTGCTTCATATTATCTATACCTAATATAAATAATACTTCTTCTTTTTCTTCACGATTTATATTTTTTTCTTTTCTTAAATAATTTATCATCATAATAAACATTCCTGCAATAAGCCCTTTTCTATCATAAACATGTGGGTATCTTTTGTTACATATTTCTAATGCTTCTATAAAATAATTTATTTTTGACTGTATTTTCATTTTATCACATAATTTATAGATTATTTCTTTTGATAGCTTTTTTTCCCCTTTTTCAACTTCCTCACATCCTTTCAAATATGGTGCTAGCTCATAACGAAATTGTTCTAATAATCCTTCATATTGTTTTATAGGTAATGGTAATTTCTCCATAGATAATTTAGGAAGTGACAATTTTTTCGACAATCTGACCCGTTCAACAGTTCATACTGATTACTTATATTATTCTCATCATCACTCACCTTTCATGAGCAATATTTATACATAATCTTATACGTGCTGGTTCTTGCTTAGATTTTAATATAATTTCTTTCTGATATGACTGTCGAACCAATAAATCTACCTTTTTCAAAAACATATCTGGATAAGGTTTCTCAAGTGTTGGCATCATTTGATGTATAATTTCCTCAATATTTATCATCATTTTTTAATAACCCTCTTTTTCTCTATAAAAATAGGTGGTTGACCGATAAAATACAAAAAATTTCAATTCAAAAATAACTTGAAAAATAAAGCCAAAGAAGCATTATTTATAAGAGATCCGGTATATCTTAATGTCTGGTGTTTGTTTCCATATATTTTTATACTTTTTTTTTGTGAATTAAAAGAGCTTAGTTTGTTCCAATTAATCCAAAACCTTTTTTGCAAGAATTAACAGGAAAATCTGTATTAATAAAGCTTAAATGGGGCCAAGAATATATAGGATTTCTTCAGAGTGTTGATTCCTATATGAATATTCAGTTAGCAAATACAGAAGAATATGTAGATGGAAAAAATACAGGTCAATTAGGTGAAGTAATGATTCGGTAAGATAATAAATATAAGAAAAATATGTTAAGATTCGTTAAAGATGCAATAACGTCCTCTGGATTACTGGTAATGTTGATTGTATTAATTCGAAAGAAGGTTAGACATTTTTTGGATAACTTTAAAAATATTATGAAAATTGAATAATATTTAAAATTGTATCATGAGAATAAAATCCTAATTTTTCTTTCAATTTTTGTTTCATGAGGTCCAAAAGCCCGAGTGCTTGACGTCGCATTAAGATATCTTGATCAGTAACTTGAATATAACGAATAGTTTTTAAAGTACTTTGCAATAAATTGCTTGGAATTGACATTAGGTCATCGGTTCCTTCTAAAATGTTTGCAATTAATACGATTGCAGCTTTTAAATTAGTATAATATAAGGTTAGAGTGTTTGAAAACCTCTTCTAAGTATAATATGTTCTTGTGTTTTTTCGAAATTTAAAATATCAAGAACAGATTTTAATGCTATAAAACACCATTTATCCATTCCATAGAAGCTACAATTACATGCAATAGCAAGTATATTAAGTGCGGATGAACGAATTCGTATATCATTTGTTGAAGAAGTTGATATATCAAGCATGGTTTTTGAAATAGTGTCAGAAATCTTACCATGAATCATTTTTCCAATATTTTGTATTATTTTAAAAATAGCATCACCTATTCGTATGCGTTCATCAAGGTTATATTTTAAATCATTTGCATATTCAGTTAGTAAATATTCAATTATATAATTATTGTGGTTATTTGATAAGGAAGTAAGACAATTTATTGCATTTAAATAAACGAAGCTGTCATTGTCCTTTATTAATCCAATTAATAAATTTAGTACTTCATTGACATCTACTATTGGATCTTTTGCCTCTATCATTTCTTTTAAAAGAGAAATCCCTTGCGCACGTACTGGAACAAGCTGATCAAATGTATATTGTATAGCTTTATTATATTTTCTTTTTGAATCTTCAATCTGAGAATTCCTATTTTGATCTGACATAATAGGAAAAATGAGATATGATTTGATCAAAATACTTAAATTTTGAGCACAACTTTTTAAAGAGTCTACTGAATTTTTTGACATATATATTAATTGATGTTGAATAATATCTAAAAGAGAAATTTCTTTTTCTGATAGCTTAGGATTACCAATTAGGATTATATTTAAAATATTTAAAGAAATCTCAACAATACTAATATCTTCATCCGTAATCTTTAAATCTGTGTCATTTTTTACTATCTTATGAAGATTATTAAGAGATGGTTGATCAATATCCTTAAAATCTTGCGTAGTTTGTGATAACTTATAATTATTATTAAAATTAGATATAATTTCCATTAATATTTGAAAAATTTTCTCTGTATTTTTCGTTATTTCTGTAATATAATTATTCTGCATTAAGATCAATATTTTTAAATAATATAGTTCTTTTAGAGGATCCTGATCCTCCTTTGAATTTCTATTTCTATTAAGACAATAATTTAGTAATTTTAAAAATATATCTTCCATCAACTTCTGATCATTCCGAAATTTGTCAATCAAGAAACCAAAATTTTCAATACGAGAATCAACATCTTCTACTGACAAAATTATATCTGAATTATTGATTTCAATTGAAATTCCACCATGCTCTCCATTGGAAAAAGAAAAGTATGTATCACCTGTAGATAAAAAATTTTCTATTATTTTCCAAATAGATGTCAATTGACATGATAAAAAAATGTAACTTAGAAGAATAGCAATAATTCTATCTCTCCATATATATTTATGAGTTTTATGAGAAAAACATGATGCTGCCCAAAGAACGATAAATATAGGAGAAATAACATTAATTATTATATTAGAATCAGATTGAAGACATATTTTTTCAATTCTTTTAATAGAATTCTCTACAGATTCATCACTTTGATTTTGTTTTGGAGTATGTAATAATTCAATAATTTTAGAAATAATATGATTTTGCGTCAATTCAGGATAATTCAATAGCAAAACAGATATAATTCTTCCTGATGTTTGATATAAATATGATTTTTCAAATGGATGATCGAGCATTGACAAAAGTTCCGGAGAAATTGATTTTATATATTCCTAATTTAATAAGCATTTATTCATTTTAAAATTAAAAAAAAACCTCTTTTTCAATATCCTTAGGAATTAATGTAACCAAAGATACCACTTTATCAAAATCATTAATCGTAATCTCATTCTCGTACAATGTTACTTTTACAAATTCTACTATTGCAGTAATTCCACCTGGTTTTCTTGTTATTTTTACCAATTCCTTACATACAACTTCTTTCATCCATTTAGGACATCTAGGATTGTTCAATCTGATTAAGGTAGACAATAAAATATTAAATGGTAAACTATTTTCTTAATATCTCAAAAAAAAAAAAATATATATTTAAATTACCTTTCTAAAAGATAATAAAATTTTTCACTCCAATCTTTATCCTTGTTTTTTGCAAAAAATCCAAGTTCTCCATAAATACTTAATGTATACAAAATACTTTTTTCCCCAATATTAAAAAAATTCACAAAAACTTCATTTTTCATAACTATCTCAAATACATTAGCCGCCATAATCAATATTTCCCTATTTCTTTTGTATAATTCTTCATTTTCAACAAATGATGTCTTTATTCTTTGATCTTTCAATATCTTAAAAACGACACTATGTTTCCATAAATCTAGACTCATGCCTACTCCATTCGGGCTACAGACTCTAAATATAAAAAATGCTGAATACTCAAAAAGACGTAAAATCCTCTTTCTATCTCTCAAACCAGTTGATATACTTTCGATTTCCTCTTTATTCATTTTTTTCAAAACTTCACTGACTTCAACAAGAAATATTAATAACTTTTTGACTTCTTCAACTAATTCTACATTGTTTCTACTCCTCCATTCTGCTTCTAAGTCTATTTTCTCTGAACATTCTGGCTTTTGGCTGATCTCGCTCATACAATGGCCTATTTTATCCAAAAAAATCCCTATTTCAACCAGCTTTTTTCCAAAATCCGGTTCCATTGCTTCTGGACCTTATATAAAAGATCTTTATCTCTAATTTAGACCTTTTATCCTCTTTATTACGGCTATTTTCTAGTCTCATACGTTGAATATTGTGTGTACGCTTAAGATTTTTTGACTTATAGTAATGGAGGAAAAAAGAGCTAACAAGAGGCTTAAACAAGATGATAAAAATTCCAGTAATTATGAGATAGAAAAGGATTTATTTCAATCAAAAATGAGTATTAATTCGGGGAATTCTGTTTATTTATGGACAAGTTTTAAAAAACATAAAACAACGGCAGAAGAAGCGGAAAAATTAGAGGTTTATATGGGTTTTAAGTGGAGAAAAAGGTTAATATGGCATTAGAATGGACCAGTTAATCCATTCAATGGAGAAGCATTTAGTGAAAAGTATTTTAATATATTAAAAAAACGAAGACAACTTCCAGTTCATTCTCAACGGTATAATATAGATGAATAATGGAAGATTTTGACAGGAAAATAGAGATGAATTCCTTAAAATGTTTCATTCTACTAAAATTCTTGTTTTTGTTGGAGAAACGGGCTCAGGAAAGACGACACAGTAAAAATTAGAAGTTTTTTTTAAGAAATGAGTAATATTTTCTGATAGAATCCCTCAATTTGTTTTATTTGATGATTTACCACATTTGAGTATTGATTTACGAGTTGAATAATATGTGAAAGCTTAATTTTATGTTTTTTTTAGATGGAAAACAAGTAGCTTGTACACAGCCACGCAGAGTAGCAGCAATGTCAGTTGCAAAACGGGTTGCAGATGAAATGGATGTAGTTCTTGGTGAGCAAGTTGGATATAGTATTCGATTTGAAGATTGTACAAGTTATAAAACAGTTTTGAAGTATATGACAGATGGTATGTTACTTCGTGAAGCTATGAATGATCACCTTTTATCTCGATATTCGTGTATAATTTTGGATGAGGCACATGAAAGAACATTGTCGACAGATATATTAATGGGTTTGATGAAAGAAATTTCACAAAAAAGGCCAGATTTGAAAATTATTATTATGTCTGCAACATTAGATGCACAAAAATTTCAACACTATTTTTTTGATGCACCTCTTTTAGCAGTTCCAGGTCGCACTCATCCAGTAGAAGTCTATTATACACAAGAACCTGAAAGAGATTATCTTGAAGCAGCTTTAAGAACAGTTTTACAAATTCATATAGAGGAAGATCCTGGAGATATATTACTTTTTCTTACAGGTGAAGAAGAAATTGAAGATGCATGTCGAAGGCTTTCTATAGAGGCAGAGGAATTGAGTAGAGAAACTGAATTGGCGCCTATGAAAGTCTATCCTCTTTATGGAACACTTCCTCCTCAACAACAACAAAAAATCTTTGAACCAGCACCTCCCCCTCGAAAAGAAGGAGGAAAACCAGGAAGAAAGGTTATAATATCTACGAATATTGCTGAAACATCATTGACTATTGATGGTATCGTTTATGTTGTTGATCCTGGTTTTAGCAAACAAAAAGTCTATAACCCAAGAATAAGAGTAGAATCATTACTTGTTAGTCCTATAAGTAAAGCTAGTGCTGATCAGAGAGCCGGAAGAGCTGGAAGAACTCGTCCTGGGAAATGTTTTAGACTTTACACAGAACAGGCTTATAAAAAAGAATTACAAGAGCAAACATATCCTGAAATTTTGCGTAGCAATTTAGGCAATACTGTTTTAGAACTCAAAAAATTAGGTATAGATGATCTGGTACATTTTGATTTTATGGATCCACCTGCACCAGAAACAATGATGAGAGCTCTTGAGGAACTTAATTATCTTGCATGTTTAAATGATAATGGTGATCTTACGGCTTTAGGAAGAATGGCTTCGGAATTCCCATTAGATCCTTCATTGGCAGTTATGCTTATTGGAAGTCCAGAGTTCTATTGTTCAAATGAAATTCTTTCATTAACAGCACTTCTTTCTGTTCCAAATGTATTTACAAGGCCAAATACAGCAAAAAAACGTGCAGATGAAATGCGTCAGGTTTTTGCTCATCCTGATGGCGATCATTTAACTCTTTTAAATGTCTACCATGCATATAAAGGTGTCAATGGAGATGTAAATTGGTGTTATGAACATTTTCTTTCACATCGATCTTTACAGAGTGCTGATAATATCAGAGCACAATTAAAGCGTACTATGGAGAAAAATGATATTGATCTTGTTTCTACTCCATTTGGTGATAAAAAATACTATGATAATATTCGTCGAGCACTTGTAAGTGGTTTTTTTATGCAAGTAGCAAAAAAGTCCTCTTCTGATAAGAATTATTTGACCGTTAAGGATAATCAACCCGTTGGATTACACCCTTCAACAGGTTTTATTCTTTTTTTTCTAATATAATATTTATCTTGTATAGTATTAAATTATACACCTGAATGGGTTCTTTATAACGAGTATGTTCTACTCATTTCTATTTTAAACACTCACATTTTAGGTTTGTTTTAACTTCAAAAAATTATATTCGAACTGTAACTTCAATTAAACCTGAATGGTATTTTTAAACTCTTTTTCATTTTATTTATTTTAACACCTAAAGGCTTTTGGAAATAGCACCAATTTATTATAATATTGATGAATTTCCTTCTGGTGATATGAAAACTGCTTTACAAAGAGTTCAACAAAGACGTCTCAGAGCTGCCACAATTGCAAAACGTATTGTTCAATAATATATATATTATTCTATATTATTACATCACTATTATTCTAAATATCAACATCTCAAAAACAATTAATCAATCTATACATTAATATTTAAATTTAATTCACTGTCTAATCATATAAATATCGGTCAACACATTTTTAAGAAATTTATTCAATATTATTAATGAGCTTTAAAAAAGATAAATTTTTCATAAATAAGCACTAGCATTTCTTTTATTTATGATGATATATGGATCTTTCATCAGTATATATATTTTTAAATGATTATATGATATTAATTATATCTAGTGGCGTCAGTTTAATTTTTTCAAGATTACAGAGATTACAGATTTATATCATAAAAAAGAAGGTCAAGATGTATTAAAAGTATATTTCTGATTAATATTTCTATTTTTAATTGGGATAGATTATTTCATCTTCTATTGTTACATCAGGTAGAAAATATATATATGCAGCAGATAATTTTGGATATATTCGAATTATTTCATCAGAATTTTGTATTGTTTGTGAATTTTCTGCATATAAGAATGGACGTGTTATTTTGTTACATTGTATTTCTGAGGCACCTCTTTTAGTTACAATAGGAGTAATTTTTAGGAAAAATTAAATATAGTTTTTTAATTGTATATCAAGGATGAGGAGAATAATTCTGATCCAATATTAAAAATATGGTCTCTTGAATCATTTGAGAATAGTTTCAAATCACCGAAATGTAAAACTACTATCAATATTAACAATAATGCGAATCCATATCCTGTATTCTTTAAAAAATTCGTATCTATATATGTTAATAACAAATAACAGATTTCATGTTTTGCTGTATCCGAAAATCTCAGTTATGTTGCTATAGGCTTTGCAAATGGTACTGTGTTACTTATTAAGGGTGATTTAGTAAGAGATAGAGGGTCCATACAAAGAGTTATTTATAAGTCAGAAGAACCTATTACTGGTCTTTATTTTAAAGAAAGCAAGAAGGATGTATCGCTTTTTATCATTACAACGGAAAAAGTATTAAAATTGTTAATTAATGCAAAAATTTTGTTTAAATCACCTGAAATTATTGATGCTGTAGGTGCATCTTTAGGATGTTCTACAATAAATCGCAAAAATGATGACTTGATTATTGTTCGGGATGATTCTATCTACATTTATAAATCCAATAACAAAAATATCTGTTATTCTTACAAATCCTCGAAATTTGGAGTACTGGTTAATCATGATTATATTTTTGTATTTTTGCTACCATGTGCTGCCTCTATCATTGCACCTAGTACGACAAATATTAGTCCAAGAAATATTTTTGATATGTCTCAGCTTATAGTTATTAATACTGAAAATAAATTTATTGCACATGTTTCAAATTTTCAATTTTTTTTTAAAACAATATTTATGGAATGGGGAGATTTATATATTTTTTCTCAGGATGAACAAGTATTTATTATGTTTAGTAAGATAATTTTTTAATATGTAATAAAATAGGTATTCAGAGTACAAGAAAAGTCTTTATCAGAAAAACTTGAAATACTTTTTCAAAAGCATTCATATCCATTAGCTATTGATTTGGCTTTAACTGGTGGTTATACTAGAACAAAGGTTAATGATATTATAATTAAATATGGTGATTATCTTTATGATAATGGCGATTTTGATGGATCTATGAAACAATATATCCTTTCTATTGACCAAATAAAACCTTCAAATATAATTAAGAAGGTAAGATATTGTTTTTTTGTTAAAATATTTTATTTATTTATTTACTTATTTATTTAGTTTCTTAATTCCAAGCATATAAATAATTTGATTAGTTTTTTAGAAACTTTATACGCAAAAAGGTTATCAAACTCTGATCATATAATCCTTCTTTTAAATTGTTATGCAAAGCTTCATGATTTGGAAAAAATTAATGATTTTATCATGAAGGAAAATGTAGAATTCGATATTATGTCTGCTATAACTGTTTTTCGTCAAGGAGGTTATTATGATCAGGCTGCATATTTGGCAGATAAATGTCAGGATTATGATACATATTTATCGATACAAATTGAAGATAATAATGATTGCAAAAAATCTCTTGAATATATACTTGATCTTGAACCTGAATATGTACGTTAAAGTTTTATAAATATTATGTTATTAATTTTTTAGGTGTTTTTTTCTTTAAAAAAATATGGTAAAAAACTTTTAAGTGAAGTTCCTATGGAACTAGTATCATTATGTATTGATCTTTTTTCGGGAACATATATGCCCATTTCAAAGAAATCTAGTTTAAAGAAATCGACTAATCAAACGAGTCAATTTACAATAACAAATTATGTTTCTTTTCTACCATATGTAAATACAGCTACAGCTAATTCAACTTCCGAGCAATCAGTAGTTAATTCTAATCAAACATACTCCTGTGATATAAAAACGCAACCAATGTATGATATTCCTAGTGTCAGCTCGATATTTCCTATTTTCATAAACAATAATAAGCAACTTATATATATATTGGAAACTTTAATGGAGAAATTTTCTGCTATTGATTACAAAAACTCAGAGAGAGATCTAGTATGCACTACCTTATATGAGATTTATTTAAGAGAAATAAAAAATTCTAACTCTTCCATTGAGCGTCAAGACTATGAAAAAAAAGCGAAATCTATTTTGGATAATGAAACAGTATATTATGTATTTCTTTTTAATAACTATTGATTTTTTTAGTGTCTTATTGATTCATTCAACGGACTTCTTTTATCATATTTAACAGGTTTTTCTGAAGGATTTCAAATATTAAAAGAAAAATCAGACACAAAAATTGATGCTTTTCGTTATTATTGTTCTATTCAAGATACATCTAAAGTAATAGATTTTTTAACAAAACACGGAGACTCTGAGTCGGAATTATATCTTCTAGCTTTAGGTTACTTCATATCATCTCCTAAAATTTTAAATGATGTTGGAGACTATTTTCACATTGTTCTTAAAAAAATAAAAGAAGAACGATTAATGACACCTTTAGAAATTATTAAGATATTAAGTTTGAATTCCATTGCTACTATTGGTGTAGTAAGAGAATACTTGATAGAAATTATTGAACAAGAAAGAAAAGAAATAGATAATGTAAGTATATTTCTTATTTTCTGTTATTTTTAATGTGTTTAATTCGCATTAGAACACTAAACTTATTAATACATATCATAATGATACAGAAAATAAAAAAAATAAACTTAATGATTTAATGGAAAGGTAAAAATAGTATTTTTTTAATTTTTTTCTTATTTCAAAAAGTGCGCAAATTTTACAAGGGATGAAATGTTCTATATGTGAACTTACACTTGACCTTCCAGTTGTTCATTTTCTATGTAAACATTCGTACCATCAGAGGTATATCATTTATTTTTATGCTCAATAATTATCTCATATAATTTAGGTGTATTAATGATTTAGAAGAAATGGAGTATTGTCCTCAATGTTCTAGCAATAATAATATGGTTAAAGCAATTAAAAAATCTCAAAGTGAAATAGCTAATAAGCATAATTTTTTTCAATCCCAACTTGAAAATGCAATAGTAATTAATAAATATAAAGTTATTGTATACTGATAATTTTAGGATAAATTAAAGTTTATTTTTGATTTTCTTTCAAGAGGTGCTTTATCTATGGAAATGAAATAAGATAATCATGATTCATTTTGATTCTTGTTAATATTAGTATATTTTTGAAAAATAATATAATCTATTACTAAGATAGTTCAAAAATCTTAATTGAATTTATAAATTATCATCTTTCACTGTAAGTCCTTTTCGAATTTCCAAAACAGAGTCCTTATTTATTATTATAAAACGTATTGCATATAACAATATATATAGCTTACCACAATGACTGCATCTAACCCTGCTTGTATTTGCAATTTAACATTTTCGGTGACATTATTATCTGATCCATATGTTACACAAACTAAACCAGAATCTTTGACCACCTGGATTAGGCGTGGACATAATACTAATGGACCTGAATTGCATACAATACCCAACAAATTCCATTTAGTTGCGAATCTAATAGCTTCTTGTAAAGATGCACATCTAATATCTCTATTAGAGATATTAGCATCTGTAAGAAACATAATCTAAAATAAATATTAAAAGAAAAATAAATAAATAATTACGAACAGGTATTGAGGGCTTTGTGTTTATTGTTAGTTTAAAGTTAAAATTTCAAAAAAAACTAACCTGTTTATAAGATAGAAGTAAACATATTTCCGGATGAAAACTACTAAATATTATGTCCCTATCTTTTTTATGATCATAGACAATTCTTAAAACTTTAAAGTATTACGATTAATTCTAAAATAATATAAAAATATAATTACCTGTATCAACCCATTTGTTTAATTCGATTGCAATGTTATCCATTTCTTCTTTTTCTGCTTCAAAAAGCATAGGATATTCTAAAACATTGAATTTTAAAATCAAAGTAATATATTTAACATACTACATTCAATATTAAATCCGACATGACTAGGTATTCTCTAATAAATATTGAATTTGATTATATCAATAAATTAAAAAAGATAAATACCTTAAAGGCTTCTTCTAATGTCATAAAAGGGCCTTGAATACTTTGTCCACGTGCATTTCCTTTGTAGCCCTTAATTTTAAAGTCTCTAGTATATTTGATTCGTTCATATAATTCATTATGATCTTTAAAATTACTGAAATAATGACTTTTTGAACGTTTCATAAAATCGAGTCTCAATTTTGAAGATAAAGGTGAAATTGATCCATTTAAAAATGCAGGTGGAACAGTTTTGTTCTTAGTTTCCGACAATGCCAAAAACTAAAATATATGTTTAATTATTAATAATGAACTAATATACCTGTTGCAAAGTTAAATTGTGAACTGGTGCATCAATACCTAGAAAATATTATATAAATCAATATATTTTCAAAAAAGCTACCTGTTTCTGAAACTAGGAAATCATGATAAATAATTGGAATACAATCTTTCGTCAATTGAACATCGAACTATATAATGGTTGATATCTTAAATAACAATAGAAAAAAAAAATACTTCTACATATGATGCTCCTAAAATATTTTATTAGTTTTTTTTGATAGTAAAATTATTAAAAAATCTTACCTAGATTTGCAGCAGAAATAAATGACTATGATGTTATTATTATAATTTGTCAATTATATAAAATACCTGTAGTGTATTTTCTCCAAGTTGTAAACTTTTCTTTGATGCACGATTTTCTCCAAGTCCTTAGAAAATAGTTAATTTAATGACTATATCTAGAAAATTATAAAAAACCTCTATGGCCAATTACCTAAAACATTTTATATAATTATTATTAAATAAGTTTTTAATACCCTTGTTTTAATTAGTGATTTCCAATATGTAGAATTGTTTTCAGTTGAGATATTAGGATGTTTAAATGGAGTAATAACCCTAAATTCAAAATTTATACTTCCAATAACAGATAAAGTATCTGCTTTTAAAATAGGGATCTTCAATTCACCGTCCAATGATTCTTTTGTTTTACCAAGATTCGTTTTTATAGTTGATAATATAGCAACAGCACGTCCAATGGGTACATTTCGATTTTCATTGTATGTTGGAACTAGTAATGAATTAAAATTATATTTTAATAAAAAAAATAATACCAATATCAAATAAAAGCTCCATTTTTTCGTAATTAGTAGTATTAAAGATAATAGGTTCAGTTTCTATACAATAATGAGCTGGAAAATCTATAATTGTATTGCCCCCTTCTGCATTTCTAGCTTTAATAATTAAGGAAAAAGGAATATCCTGTTGAGAAATGGGTGCCTCTATAAGAGAAACATCATCGATTTCTACTGGCTTCACTTTCTTTTTTTTATCAGTTGAACCTAAAGTGACCTATAAAAAAATAAAAAATAAAGTTTAATAATATATAATAGTAACTTACAATAACCATTAATTCATCTTTTAGATAGTTATGGCCGAAACTTTTCATTGATGCTACTTTTATCGCAGAATTGTTTTTTTGTAATGAGACTGATGAGTTATTTTTCTCAATTTCGTCTTGAGATTCATCATTTTCATCATATATGACAAATTTATGTTCGTTCTCCATATCCTCTGGATTTTCATGTATTAAAGCTTGTTTCTGGACAAATTCTTGTACTTCTGGCGTTGATAAAAGATCAACGCAATTCATATGACCTCTAAAAACAGCATGCTCAAGAGCCGTCCACCCAGAAAAATCAACATCATTGATTTTCGTATTTGCAGAAATAAGTAGTTGTAATATTTCAATATAGCCTTCTACTGCTGCTATAAATAAAGGTGTCCATCCATAAAGATTTTCTCGTAATTCTGTATTTTGCTTTTGATTTTCTGTACCATTTAAAAGTATTTTAACAGTAGCTATGTTATTTAGACGAGTAGCAATATGAAGTGGAGTTTCTCCTTCTTTGTTTTGATGATTAATATCCAATCCAGATTCCAGCAATTGATATACTATCTCATCGTAATTAAGTTTAGCTGCAAGAGCCAAAGCAGAATAAGTGTTGTCACTTTCTATTTTTTCTTCATATATAATTTTTTTTCCTAAATATTATTAATAAAATATCAATTAAGAGTAAAGATACCATAAGAAAGTGAATCAATTTTCTGATTTATGGTTTGCAATGTTTTTAAAATTTCTATATCACGAATTAAGATAGCCCAATGCAATGGAGTATATCCTTCTGAATCTTTCCACTTGGAATTATTTAAATTATCAATTTCAGGATCTAATTGTCCCCATTTTACCATGTAATCTAATATTAATCGAGTAGTTTTAAGAAGACCATATTGTACAGCATAATGTAAAGGAAGTCGTTGGTATATATCTTGGCCTGATAAATATTTATAATGAACTGGTCTAAATTGAGAAAGCAAAAATTCTAATGATTCTGTTTCTTCTATGTCTATGGTATCAGAATTACAAGAATTGGAATCCCTGGTATAAATATATAAATTTGTTACTGTTGGTATAAGATAAAGTAGTTGATCAATATATGGAAGCGATGACATATTTTTATTTGTATTGTTGAGTGCCTTTAGTTTACATCTTCCAATATACATAATATGCTTATGAATAAGATTTCTATTATTTATCTCTTCATCTTCTATAAGCACATCTAAATATGGAAAAACCACCTTAATACATGACAAAGATTTAGCAATAAGACACTTCTGTACCAAAGTGATTAGGATATTTGAAAGAGATTCGGATCTTAATTTATCAATTAGAAATTTAAAATTATCCACATTATTTTGATAAATAGATGTTTGTATCTCTGTCGCAAGAACTGGAGAAATAACAAAACAAAAATTAGATAGAGTATCTGTAATTGAGTCTAAAACATCCTCTTTACATTGCTTCGAAGAATCTACGTTAGTATAATAAGAAATATAATTATTAACGTTATGAAGTAATTCTATTATTGTTGTATTTTCCAAAAGCACTAATACCTGATTATCATACTAAATATGAATCTAAAAATCATTTAAACTACTTTAGATTCCATATAATTTGACTTTACTAAAATATTACATTTCTTATCAACTCTGAATTATATTAATTGGAATATATATATATAATTTAAAAACGTTTTACTTCTTTAAAATCTTTGAAAATCCCCTCTTGTTCATTTCTACATACCAAAATATCTTTTGGAGATCTGAACGTAAAGAAAGTAATAAAATTAAAAGATCTTCTTTCTCCTCGCTTGAAAGATTAAGAGATTTATTTTCATTAAGAAAATCTAAGTGGTATTTTTTCACAATTAGCCCAATCCTATAAGATATCTGGCTTTTCTTTTGGTTAAAAAATGTCTCAACACATTTCAAATTATCATCAAGCATTAAAAAAAATGCTTTATATAAAAATAAGTCGCAATCTTTAGTAATATATCCATCATCTTACATGAAAATTCTCTATATTCTGCTTGTTTTGATGATATATTAGAGATTTCTCTCTTCAATCCCTTGTAATTAATATATTTTGAGCTTATTCTTATTAATTTTACATATTTAATCCTTTATAAAAACCTAAACTCCAATATTCGGTTCTTAATTAAACTAAAATATATTAGTCATAGATAAATATATAAAAAGAGCTTCTTATACTTGTCTCCAAACTTCATTTTAATCTTTATGTTTTACTTATAAAACTTAAAGATATTTTTAATTTAGGGATATATATAACCCTAATGTAACCCTAGAATAACCCTAAGTAACCCTAAGTAACCCTAACATAACCCTAATATTACAAGGGTCATCCTGGTTAACCCTAAATTAACCCTAAATTAACCCTAGTTTAACCCTGACAACCCTAACTTATCCCTAATGTCTATCCTTATTATACGTTATAATAGTAACCCTAACCCTAACCCTTAATATGGCTCTAGAAACAAAGAGTATCAAGTTTTTTGTATTTCTATAATAAAAAGATAATTATAACGACTCTTTTCGTCTGTTCTACTTCTACTAAAAAAAATAACTTTATTTCTTTTCTTTCAACAAGTCAAGTTATAAAAATATTATATCATTCTACACAATTCATTCTAAAACAATGATTTCCCTTTATAACTATGTCAATTGATCTGTTTATCTTTGTTTGCATTTCAGTTCTGAGTTTAAACATACTGTTTTCTCAAGACTACTAATTGGTTTATACAGTGTTGTATCAATGGTTACCATGGAAACCCCTACGATAAACAGCTAACCTCCACAGGTTAGTTGTAGACAAGAGAAAAAAAACAAGATATTAAGGGATGGCAAAAGCCTCTGTTTTAGAGTCTAATAGTGGATTTTTTAATGTTGAAGTGAAAGATGAGTCTCTAGAATGGGTTACGCCGTCATCTGGAGGGACTTTACCGACTATTCAGAGTCTTAATTATGAAGATACAGTGAGGATCTTAACAGAAAGAGATCCATCATTAATTGTCAATGAAATGATACCAGAGTGGAAGAAGGAGAATGCGAATATGATGAAGGATATGTTTAATGATATTTTAAGCGTTGGAATGTCGGAGAATGGGTTTGATGAGAAGTATGAGTGATGTTTTTAAAAAGTGAAATTTATGTTTTATAAGTCTTAAAAATTCGTATAAGAAAGAGGAGGAAAGGGGGTCTATTTTTGAGTTTTTGGATATTAAAAATTCAGGAAAAAAAGGAACTAAAACAGTTAATTTTCCTGCTGACGATTCAACTGATTCATTACATAAAATTAAGCCTTTTATTTCTTCTAAGAATAAGGAATCGTTTGCACCGAAAGTAAATAGTAGGGTTTCAGCATCTAATGTCTTTGAAAATGACATAAATTCGTTCCAAAAAGGGTTTCAGGGTCACGAAATGAGTAATCAGTTTACATTTAATTGTAATCTTCAGGATAAAAAAGATGAAAACAATTTAACTATTTATGAGAATAAGAGTAAGAATATGGCGTCAGCGACAAAGTCGCCTTTAAAATTATTTCATGATAATTTTGACACATTTACGAATAATAAACTTGCAGCAGCGGTTTTTGAACTAGCAAATCAAGAAACAGATGAAGATGCAAAAACGTCTTCTAGTGGTCCGGAGAGAAAAAGGGCTCGAACATGTCATGAACGAATGAATAGTATAACAACTCAAAATTTTTTTAACGAAGCGCAAGAAGTTATGGAACGTATAAGGAATAGGCGTAATCATGTTGGGAAATCTACTCTTGAAAGTGTTCGTGAAGAAGAAATTGTGTATAATTCTAAAAATTCATCTTTCAATATTCAAAAAGAAGGGGATCCTTCCATGAAATCTAAAAGAAGTAGCATGAATTCATGTGCACCTGTTACAGAGGAGACGCCTACTCGTTCCATGTTCAGCGATTGGTCTTCTGAGCAAACAAGTTCTAGAAATACACTTATTTCTGTTTCTGATTCGATAAAATGTTATAAAGAAATGGAAAATTTGAATACTGTGGAAAATACAAAACATCAACAACTAGAAAAAGAAGTTTTTGATTCTATAAAACAAACATGGGACAAAGAGCCGACAACTTTTCAGAAAACAAAGATTTCTAAACCTACGTCTTTTGTGAATAAAGAATCTAATGCTAATCGGCTAAATCAGAAGTTATTTTCTTCTGAAAATTTAAAAGTTATAACTCCACAAGATGTCTCTCAATTTTTAAGTGACAAAATTGGTTCAATGACTTTAGATAAAACAAAAAATACTTGGGTGCAGGATTTTCATGATAAAACTGAAGACGTATTTGAAGGAATACAAGATTTTCCTGTATCTCCAGAGTCTTTAGATGAAATACCGAAGAAAGATTCTGATATTTCCAAAAATGACATGCAAAATACTAATCAAAAGCCTAAAGTCTGTTTTACAAAAGAAATATATACTAAAAAACTAAAAGATGAAATGAACGAATCTTTGCAAGAAAAAGTAGATGAACATATTCCAAAAACTTTTGCTTATCCAAAGAATATAAATTTTAATGAGGAATCTGTTCCTGGTTCCTCAAATGAGATTATTGCTGATGGCAATTTAATTAATGTTAATCTTGATTCAGTAGTTGATGATTATTCCTCAAAATTATTTACAAAAGGTTCAAAGCCGGCTTTACAACCATTAATACATGAAAAATCTTCAATAAATGAAAATTCTGTTGATATATATAAAGATTTATCGGACAGCAAGTTTCTAAGAGATCATCAAGATTTATCTAGTGCAACACTCAATTGTAGTTTTTCTATGGCAATACAGAATTTAGTTGTTGTTTTGACTGATATTGAACCTTATGAACCATTTTGGGAGAAATTTCAACATTTAAATCTTTCTGGCAAAAATATAGAATCTTTGATAGGATTGTCCGATTTTTGTCCTAAATTAAATAATTTGGATGTTAGTTATAATAAGCTTACGTTTTTGACTGGATGCCCTAATACTGTACGGAATATGAATCTGCAAAATAATAAGTATGTTTTCTTATCTGCAATAGTAGTTTTTGACATTGATAGTTTATCATCTCTTACAGGATTCTCTCATTTGATAAATATCCAGTATTTGAATCTCTCTAATAACGAAATTCAAAGTCTTAAAGGTTTGTATCTTTTTTAAAAAAAAGCATATAAAATATTAAGATAAATTAGGTTTAAATGTATTAGTTCATCTTCGACAATTAGATGTTTCAAATAATAAAATTTCCAGTTTAGATGGAATAGAAAAATTAGATGGTCTTTTGGATCTCTCTCTTTCTCACAATTTACTTTGTGACATAGATTTTTCTAATTGTGATCTGTAAGATTGCTTATTAATTAGTAGTTTTATACTAAGAACTATCTAGTCCTAAATTGGAACAATTGAACCTTTGCTGCAATAAGATAAAACGATTTAAAGGTGTAGATAATTTGCAGAATTTAACTACATTGAATTTAGGTATTTAAGGTATTAACATTTTTATTCAATTTAATATAGATAGATAAAAATAATCTTTCTTCCTTTTGTGCTGAGAAGAAAATGCTAAAACTTCGTGTTTTGAAACTTTCTAAGAATTCTTTAAAAAAGTTTGACCCTAAAAACTTCCCAAATCTTCGAATATTATCTTTGGATAATAACAATCTTGGAGATATGAATGAGATTAGATATCTTGCAAAATTGGAAAAATTATCAATAAGAAACCAGAAATTAGGCAAATTGTAAGTAGCTTTTTTTTTGGAAAAAGTTTTAATTTTAATATCTAGAAATCTTGAATTAAATTCATTGATGAATATCAAGAAGATTTGTATATCATGTAAGTGTTTTTTTATATATTAAGCTCCCTAATATTTTAAGTGAATCCTATTTGTTCATTAGATTTTTCTTCTCGACTTTTAACTCTACAATACTTAGAACTAGTAAATGTTCAAATGACAGCTCTTCCTCAATCATTTGCTGAAATGGCTTTAAATATTCGTATGCTTAATCTTAGTCATAATCATTTAAAAAATATCGATCCATTAAAAGGAATGCCTTTACTCAAACGATTATTTATTAATGGGAATCAAATTTCTAAAATAACAGATGTTATCGAAGTATTAAGTTCTTTAAAAGCTCTACGCGATTTTGACATGAGGTATATCTTACTATTCAACAATTCTTTATTTAATATGATATTAGGTTAAATCCATGTGTCATAAATTTATATCCTCCTTTTTTTTCATTAGATATGAATAATTCATCAATTTTTTTTGGCCTTCAAATGAAATTATATGATAATACATGGGCTGAAAAAGATAAAGAATTTGTGAAAACCCTTCCTAAGAAAATACAGCTTAGGCGTAAATTATATCAGGATTTAATTCTATCATCTTGTCCTCCTTTAAAATGGCTTAATGGGGAAAACATTACAGAGATACATATAAAAAAAGCAATTAAGTTCGTTAGTTATATTTCATTCGATATAAATTCTAAAAATAAATGAACTAAACTATAAACAATTAGGATTCATTGTCTAATATTAATGTAAAAATATTTTTTGATTTTGAGTTTTATAGATATTACTTAGTGATTTGGATATATGTAATAACATATTCATAATAACTGTGTGTGTTTTCAGTTTTTAATATAAATATTGAAAGCACTAATTTTGTATATTTTTTCCTTTATTAAACATAATATATCTAATTGATTTAGTTTATTTTTTAGTTGGATGTTCTTGATCTGTTTTTTTATGAAATTCACTATTTAACTTTAATTTGTTGAATGTAAGAAATTTAATGACTATATATTTATGTTATAAATAATTAGTTTTTGCGTTCTTTATAATAAGAAATCTGAAATAAAGAAAAATATTAAAAAAATCATATAAAAAAGAGAATAACATACAACTGTTTCATCTTCATTTCCAAAATACACCACATCTGCTATATTTACAAAAAGACCTACTTCAACCACACCAATTATCATTTTTATGTTTTTCTCTAGTACCTCTGGATGCTTAATTTTGCCAAAAGGTGCATCAATAATAAAATTCCCATGATCTGTTATCATTGGACCCGCTTTATGTCTACAAGGACGTAATTTTGGACCTAATGAACCCAAACGTATAAGATTATTCATAACCCTAGAACAGGCAACAGGAATAACCTCTACAGGAATTCCTTGATGCCATTTTTCACCTAAAATATGTGATTTTTTACGATAATCTGCAATAATCACTTTCTTCTTGGCACTTGATGCAACTAATTTCTCTTGAAAAAGGCAAGCACCCCCTCCCTTAATACAATTTAAATCATCATCTACCTCATCTGCCCCATCAAAAACAATATCTACTGTTGAATATCTATAAAATATAACTAACTCGGCTTCATCCCGTATAAAACATACACATCAACATCTCCTAAATATAACCCAAGATCTAATATTAACTGTCTGCTCTGGAATCCTGTAGGAATAAATATCATATCTTTTACTTTTTTTTGAGCAATTCGCTCAACTGCGTATGCAACTGTTGATCCGCTTCCAATACCAATTATTTTCATTTCTTCAGAAAAGCACTCATCTACAGCTTTATAAGCTGCTTGTTGCTTTGCTTTTTCAATCTCTGATTTAAATGGTTTTTCCCATTCATTTTCATATTCTGCCATTTTTAAAAAAAAAAACAAAAAATACTCTATTTCTTATAATCTAGAGTACTTTGTAGCCATATTTAACTACGTCTTTAAGGGTTTTCCTGTATATTTTTTAATATTTCTTCATCAAGTCTTATAATATTTTTTCAGCAGGTTAGACTTCGATATTAGTCTTTAGAAATTTTTATATTAAAGACCTTAATATTCAGATCATATTGATTGTTAGACGTAGATAGCTTTGATATATATATATAATCTTAATATCTATTTAATTATTGAAGACTAGTTTAGTTGATTTTATGTTGTAATGATGGTAATCAATTAGATATTTAATAGTCTATTTGTATATCTAAATTGGCTGCAATTGAATCATTGTTTTCATTGATTTGTTGTTTTTATTTAAATATTATTTTTATTTAAATATAATATACATATCAATGGATTTTTTAAAATTTCCCATGAATATCCAAATATAAGTTTTTTACTGTTGTTTTTGCACTGAATTTTTATATAAAAAAGGTTATCTTTCAATTTCTCTTTTACAATTCTTTCTTTGTATATTTCTTTTAATTTTATGTTACTGATTCAATATATATATTCATACGTTCCATTTTTCTGTCCATATTTATCATCTTTTTTTTAAAAAAAAAATAATTCAATATATCATCTCATAACATCCTTCTTCTTTTCATAATATCCTTCTTCTCTTAACATCTCTTTAAACAATTCATCTTTATCTTGTATTTAATGAAATATCTTATCTAGTATAACTATTTTTTTCTTGAAAAAAATATTTAAGATTTAAAAATCATTTCTTCAATAAAAAAATCATTCAATTCTTTCTTTCTTCATCTACTTGTGTCTATATCTACTTCTTTTTTTTTTACAACATAAAGCATTCTTTAAATGATGAAAAATATGTATTTTTTTTTTAAAAAAAAAAGCAATCCTCATTCAATTCCTATTTCTATTCTATATAAACGTCATTGTCTTCATAATTCCTTGTATTTCTTCTATATTCTCTACAATCCATATATTTTTATCCACCCTTAGACGCTTGATCGTAACGACAAAAAACCTCTGGTAATGAGGATCAGCAGGATTAAACGGGTTTAAGAGATGAATTTTCAAGAAAATAACGAATTATCTGCTTCATCAACAATAAGAATCCTAATTTCTACGGATAATCATGTTGGTTATCTTGAAAAAGACCCTATTCGAGGCAACGACTCGTATATTGCTTTTGAAGAAGTAATGACACAGGCGCGCTTAAATGATGTAAAATGGGCAGTGGTAGGTTCTTTACTGGCTTATGAATAGGTGGATATGGTTATTTTATGTGGAGATCTTTTCCATGAAAACAAACCGTCTCGTAAAGCTATGTATCAGGTGATGCGGACATTACGTTTAAATTGCTTTGGAGAAAAGCCGTTCGAGTTAGAGATTCTTAGTGATCAGTCTTTGATGTCTAAAGATGTGTATGATTTTGATAGAATCATGTTTTTTTTCGTTTAGAAATGTCGTAGGTTATTTTGCCATGTGAATGTGGAGGATCCAGAGATAAATGTAGCAATTCCGGTTTTTTCTATTCATGGTAACCATGATGATCCTTCTGGTGTAATTTTTCTTTATTTTAGGTGTAAATTGATGTTTTTTAAGGAAGATCGACTTTGTGCGTTGGATATTTTACAAATTTCAGGATTAATCAATTATTTTGGTCGAGTTCCAGAAAATGACAATATCATAGTTCGGCCTATTCTTTTAAGAAAAGGGAATACGAAATTAGCATTATATGGATTATCTAATGTAAGAGATGAACGACTCTATCGTTCATTTAAACAAGAGAACGTTCGATTTATGAGGCCCGATGTTGAACAGAATACATGGTTTAATTTAATTGCGGTTCATCAAAATCAGTAGGATGCATTATTTTTGAAACATGAATGAATTGATTATTGAATTAGTACATCACATACAGAAACAGGCTATTTACCTGAAAATTTTATTCCTGATTTTTTTGATTTGGTATTATGGGGACATGAACATGAATGTGCAATTGATCCAGTATATAATTCTCAGCAAAATTTTTATGTAATTCAGCCAGGATCATCAGTAGCTACCAGCCTTTGTTATGGAGAGGCTGTCTCAAAGTAAGTTTTCTTTTACAATGAAGTAATAAAATATTTTAGACATATTGCAATTCTTTCTATTACTGAACGATCATTTACTTTAGAAAAGATAAGGCTTAAAAGTGTTCGACCATTCGTTATGAAAGACATAAGTTTATGTGAAAATAAATCTATTCGGCCTAATATAAATAATAAAAGTATGGTTACTACGTTTTTAATGGAAAAAATTCAAGAAGCAATTGAAGAAGCAATAAATGATTGGAAATCATTTCAAGAACCATATGATATTAAAGAACCGCCGCTACCTTTAATACGTTTGAAAGTCATATAAAATATATTATTAAGATTTTGTATTTATAAGGAAAATAGGTAGAATATTCTTTGGAATATCAGGTAGAAAACCCTCAAAGATTTTCAAATCGGTTTGTTGGAAAAGTTGCGAATCCTAATGATGTTGTTAAATTTTATATGAAGAAAAATACACGTAAGAAAATATTTTAACAATTATCATATGACTTTATTATGTTAATATTTATAGGGAATAGAGGGAACAGAATGTTACATTCTGATGTAGAAATGTCAAATGTAAAATTAGAAAACATAAAAGTTGAAGATTTAGTGAAAGAATTTCTTAATGTTCAAAGTTTGATATGTTTACCAGAGCATGAACTTGGAGAGGCTGTTACGAAATTTATTGAAAAGGATGATCGAGAAGCACTTAAATGGTTTTTATTTTTATATGATTTTATAAAAGCTAAATATCATTAGTTTTGTTACTACATATCTTGATGGTCGAGTTAAACTTTTGACTAAAAATCAAGTTACAGAAGAAAATTTAGAAGCAGAAGTAAGCAATTCTCTTTAATGATATTTTTTTAAATATATAAAGTTAATAAAACAAAAACAATTGTATGAGGAAAGAACCAGATTACAACATGTAATTTATAAAATTGTGTTATATTGTCTAATTTTATTTAGAAACAAGAGGAAAATAAAAATAAAATAACTAATGATTTTGAAAGTTTAAATAATAGATCATTTTTAGGAAACAATTGCGATGAAAATATAAATATTAAACAAGATTCGATTTCTGAATCTAATAATTTATGTAAAAATATATCTGAAATAGTGAAAGAAAATGTTCGTATATGATTTTATTTTATAAAATTAATAATGAAATTTTATAGGATTTTATAGATGATAAAGATTCTGCTTTTGGGTATGACAATATAATGTACTTACATAGATTTCTTGTTTATTGAAATCTAATATAATATTAGAGTCCCAAATGTGCAAAATGTTGAATTAAAAGTATATAATATTGATAAAAATCATTCTACTCGAAATTTGAACTATGGAAAATGGAAGCCTCAGAATGCCATATATATAGATGATGTATATTTTAGATATTAATTATTTGTCAGCTAACTTATTTCAGGATATTGATGATTCTTCAGATGATGAATTTGTTCCAAGATTTAGTTTTAAAAAACCGAAATTAATACAAAGATAAATATATAGTTATTTTTATGTATTTTACATATATACAAATTATGTCAAAATGTATTTTTTATTATCATTCGTTAATTGCATATTATTGTTGATGAATTAATGTTTAACAGTTATTATCAAATTGTACTGTGTTTTATAATAAAATTGTTTGAGAATATGTTTAAAATGTTAAATGCTCATTTTTGGTGTGTTAGAAATTATAATAATTTTATTTCTTACTCGTCTATATCTTCTAGATCATCTAAGGCTCTTCTAAATTCATTTAAGTCCAATGCTTTATCGTCATTATCTTCATCTTCTTCATCTTCATACATAAAAGTGTCATATTCAAATAATTCTCTTCCACTTAAACCAATAGTTCGTCCAGCTGCTAAATTGGCTTCTTTTCTTTTTCTATTTTCTAATTCCTCTTGCTCTTTCTTTTGATCTCTCTTTCTCTTCCATTCTGTAAATGTTTCTAACGTTACGGGCGTTAGATTTGGCCCAAGTTTATGCCTTTCTATTTCAATATATTGTTCTAATGTAATTAAGTCTTCTTTTTTATCTTTTTGCTTATTTTTCAAAATAAATCCAGGAGGAAGGCTATTATATATTTAAGTCTTAGAAAAAAATATTAAAATAATAAACCTGTGTTTATATTTACAATTATCTCCGTCACTAAACTTTTGTTAGTTTTTTTTTCTATGTTTCTTTTTTTTATACTTTGGACAAACCCAGAACCATCCATAAATACCCTTTTCTATTGCCTCTAGGAAAAACTTGCAAACAATATTCGTTGTTGTCTGTTTTTTATATTAAATATATATATATATATGTCGTATTAAATATATCAACCTTTGGATTTCCATGTTTACTTAAAACAACAGATTGAAGTTTTTCATCATCCCATGAATCAATAACATCATTCCTTTTATCAATAAGTGATTTGTCTTCATTTAAATGCGTTAAACGAGAATCTGTATATATATCCTTTTTCTCTGATCTCTTTTCAACATCAAGATTATGACTAAATTTGCACTTTTTCCCTATTTTTATGTATTATTAAACAAATATTAATATCAAAATCCTTTAAAACCTTTATCACAAAAACCTTGTTTAAAATATTGACAAAGAACACTTTTTGGATCCACACCAAACGGTACTTTCTGAGGTGGTTGTTTAAATAACTCCGAAAGTTCCATCTTTCTGGATTCTTCTGCTATTTTTTTCTCTGCTTGTTCCTTTTTTTGAATCTCTTTTTCCTTTGCAATTTTGTTTTTTCCAATGTTTGCTGCTTGAGATTCTATTTGACGAATTTGAGCTTGGATTTTGGATGACTTGTTTTTCTAAAACGATTATCATATTAGAATATGACATATTTCACTCATTAACGTACATTTTTAAGACCAAAAGTCTTATCTTCCACTAAAAAAATCAGATCATTTTTCTAATAATATGTTTATTTACCAATTTTTGCAGGATTTTTTTTTGCTGAAGGTACTGGTTTTTTTTGAGGCATTGGTAATACTATTTAAAGACATAAACCCTCTTAAGATAGAACTTTTATGTATAAAATTTTAAGTTGTAGTTTTAATCAATTTTTTTGAGGTCCGAAGAGTAGATAAGTTTTATAATAAAAATAAGTTATAGATAAATAAGAATTAAATAAATGTTTCGTATGTAATAAATTATTTCTTTTGTGTAATTGAAGACTTGATATTTTCTAAAATTAGTTTTTGAAGCTCATAATTATGAAGTTCTTGATGAAGTGTTTTTTGAATTAATTTTAAAATGAATTCAGATTCTTGAGATAATATTTTATTAAGCCATAATGATTGTTTAGTGATATCTTTAATTTTAAGTATAAGTTGAGAAGAAAATTGTTTCCAAAAATATTGAATAGACGATTGATCGTTTAATTTTTCTAAAATATTAGAGATAATTGTGTCTTTATGTGTCAAAAAAGTTTCCTTTAGAAAAAAAGGTATTGATTCTTCTAAAGCTTCATTTAAATGGTAAATGTTTTTTGAAATATTTTCTATATTTGACCATCCTTTTTCAATATTTGTTAATAAAATACTTGTTGCTTTAGCCGAATCAGTTATAGATAATCGTTTTAATGTTAAATTAATTTCAATGCTTTTGTAAAAATACTCAACTGCATCTTTTATACTCTGACTGTTATATTTTTTTAAATTAGAAATCAAAGCATCTTCATTAAGTAAAAAATAAGTCGATATAATAGAAACAAGTAAATTTTTTGATGTATATTTTTTTACAAAAATAGCATCATATGCCATAGATTCTAACTCGTTTGAAACAGATGTTACAAACGGAATATATTCTCTAATTATCAAAATATCCATCTATATAAACGTTAAGATATATTTTCAATAATTCATGATTCAAACTAAATTTCGTAAAATTGTTTTCCATTCTTTGATTATCGTTGCCATTCTAAGACATTCCTTCCACAATTCTGTTTCATTTACATGTGATTTCATTTCTTGATGTAAACTTTTAAGATGTTTCAATAAAATAATTGATTCTTGAACTTCTCTAAGCAATTGACTAGTTATATGATTATTTTTTAAAGAAACTAATAAACATGATGCTGATTCATATTTAGATGTCCATTTTTCATCCATTCTGCATATTATAAGTCTCATTTAATTTTTTTTCGTCTTTTACTCTTCAAATAACCCAACCAATGGTTCTGTATATTTCTTTATCCATTCAATATTTTCATTCGAACTTTCTTTTATAAATTTTACATGATTTATAAGATCATTATGGTCCTCTTTAAGCTGAAAATATCTCAATTTCCTATTCAAATCTCATAAAAAAACAAACTTCTTCTTGAATCTCTTCCATGATTTCTTCTAAATCATATTGTATTTTTTTAAGAGGAACTTCTATATCAATCATATGATCTGATTGATTATGTGTTTCCTTAATAATAGTATTTGCATATTTATATACATCAAATATAGGCTGATCCAGTCTCTCATAGTTAATATATTTTTTTGAAGTCATCGTTAGACAGAAATTTGAGATTCGAACGTCAAAAAAATAATTTAGTAAAAAATGAAGATATGGTTAGGTTTTCTAGAGAAGTTTTACAGTGAAGATGACTCATATTTCTGTGACCCTACAGTTAGTAAGATAGGAGGACGTCCAGTGAGTTTTTTTGCGGTTAAAAATGAGTTTAATATGACATAGATATGGATTAATTCAAAAGTGATTCCTAAATCCCAAGATTTACAGTGTGGAATCTGTAAAAAGATGATGAGACTTCTTTTACAAGTATTTTATATATTTTTTTTTTCATCTAAAATTATGAGTTATATTGCCCTGAGATAGAAAGTCCTTTTAGCTATCATCGAGTGATATATGTCTTTGTCTGCGAAGATGGTTCATGCCAGAGATCTGGATTTAGTAAATCGTATGAGATCTGAAAATGTGTGTATTTTTATTTATCTTTAGATTTAAAGTTATTCGTGTACAAAAAGACGATTCGAAAGATGTAGATATAAAAACGAATAATTTGTGTGTTGTGTGTAATATATTGGGGACGTACATTTGTTCAAAATGCAAGACAACAAGATATTGTTCGAAACAGCATCAAAAAATACATTGGGAACTTGCTTTGCATAAAAATTATTGTGGAACATTGGAAGGATCAAAATGGCCTAGTTTGAAAAAAGCATGGTGGAATGAAATGGAGATTGTTTGCGAAATGGAACCAGAGGAGGCTTTACCTGTAGGGAATGAGTTAATAGAGCATAAATATGGACCAAATGCGATACCTGATAAGTTCGAAAAGTTTTCAGGAATTAAAGGGGATAAAACATTTTTTCAGTTTCAAAAACGGCTAGATAGAGCACCTGCACAAGTATTACGGTAAGGATTTGTAAGTTTTGTGGTATGAAGTATTAATATTTGCAGATACATAAGAACAGAATTAAATGATACAGAAGATAGCCCCATTTTATGGATAAGTTCGGAAGGACAATTAAATAATTCAGAAATTGCTAAATGTCCATGTGGAGAGAAAAGAACCATTGAGTTCCAAATAATGCCTACGCTTCTTTCTTTTTTAAATATAGATTATTCGGAAAAATATTCCTTAGATTGGGGTGTTTTGAATGTCTATACTTGCGAGAAAAATTGTATATTAGCCAATAATAATGTTTGCCATGAACTTCTCTGGAGACAAGAAATTTCAAATGAGATTATTAGCGGATTATAATGATCAATATATATATAATTTGTAGGCTCATCATCAGGTTTATAGAAAAGGTTATTAGATGTTTTTGGTCCATTCGTTTTTATTTATATAAAATATTCTGATCTTTGTCTCTTTGCTGGTATTTGTCTTTGATCGTCGGGTAGTAATATAAATTAATATTAATTGAAAAAAATTATATAAACTTATCTGCACTGAAAATATTAAACCTGGGAACCAGTGATTCATCTATGACCATAATACTTGCAACATTCCCGCATCTATAGCAGTAATTGGGTGCAGACCAAACAGTTACAAGCGATTGATTTTTAAAATGATACTATACGTTATAGTTAATTTTAAACTTTAAATGAAATAAACTAACTTTAAATCCTTCTTGGACCAATTGATGTGCTCTGGCGATTAAATATAAATCATTAACATGATTGAACTGATTTATTTTAGTTTTCTTTTTTTTTAAGAAAAAGGATTTGTACTTCAGATGTTACTTTATCTCCAAATAACCATCCTGCACCACGTGGAGAAACTGCCCAAGTTTCTACTTCTATAAACATATATATTTTATCCCATAGTTATAGAAAGTAAATATTACCGTCTGGATCAGACCACATTAAATCACAAAATGCACCTTCGTGTGGAATCTCTTGAGCCCTTGTAACAATTCTAATTTGATCCAAAGTTCTTGTTTCTGGACTCAATCCTCCATGAACACAAAGAATTTTCCCATCTATAATGGCTGCAATCGCTAAAAAATCGAAAACTCTACAACAATATTTCCATACATTTGCATTCCCATATTTTGTTTGACATTCATCTATATAATAATAAAACAATAAATACTATAAAAAAAATCCTATAATTTATACCATAAAACCCGTACACTTGTGTTATCTGTCTACTTTCATGATTTCCTCTTAATAATATAATTCTATTAGGATAACTAGAAAATTAAAGTTAACGAAATTTGCTTCTTAAAGTACCTTGCTTTAAAGCACATCAAAAGCGTAAATGTTTCTAAACTAAAATAACCCCGATCAACAAAATCCCCCTTGTTTAAATATCAATTTCTTAATAAATCTCTTTTTTTAATATTTTCACCATAAATATATATTTTGTATCAGGAATTTGTCCTCCTACTCTAAAAAGTTCCAATAAATCATAGAATTGACCTTTTCATAAGCTTTAATACTTATATATAATTTCTATTTACCATGAATATCCCCACATATTGTTACTGGAGTTGAAACCGGTTGAATATTTGATTCTTCCATTAATAACTCTTTGACTATTTCACATAATTTCTTCATATCTGTTTCTGGCAAATATTGGCATTTCTTTGCCATTTCCAGCCATTGTTCAATACTCATTTGTCTTATATTATGGGGTTTTCTTGGAAAAAAATGGGAAATTCTTCCTATTTATATTTTTTTGGAGATTCTTTGAACTGGAAAGAATGAATGGGTGAGATAAAGAAAAAAATATATAAAAATGGATTAAAAGAAAGTGTTATGAACCAATAGAATATTGTAAAACGAAGTGTTAAAGTTTTCTAGTGTAATTAATGTTTTTTTTAAAAAAATATAAAATCATCTATAAAAATCAGGTTGTTTCATATTTATTCCATATTCATGAAGTGCTGCGCTTAAATCTTCCATTGTTAATACAGTTTTTCCTTTTTCCTAAAAATAATAAATATTAGTTTTTTAAATAAAAATCTTATACCTTTCCATAGCGATTTCTAATACTTCCTGTATATCCTGCTTGATTTGATAGAACTGCACTCATCATAGATGATGATCTAATACATGAATATTGATATGCATCTTGTGCAATATCTGCAATAAATTTTTGTGCTGCTAATGCAAGTAATCGTTTACTTTTTATATTAGATTTATCATTCATCTATTTTTACATACATTCGAATATCGTCACATTCAAACCCTGCTATACTTAAATAATAATCCGTTACAGCATCCGGAATCTATCTTATTCTTAATTCTATACTATAAACATTCTATATTCACAATTGGTGCATAATCATCCATCATATCAAGAAACTCTCTTAATGTACGATCTTTTTGTTTTTTATAAGCTGGTATTTCTGTCGATTCTTCCATCTTCCCTGAATCTTGTTCCGTATCCACCTCTTCTACCTTTATTTCCCTTTTTCCTGCCCTTTCTCCTTGTATTTCCTTCTCATCTGACATACTTTAAAAATGTAAAATTTCTCTGTTTCTACGTATTTTTATAAATTGTGTGATTTTGGGTTGTCTAGATAATAGTTGCTCTGGTAACGGTTGTCCTGACGATCTATCAATCTATGTATAATCATATCTTTAAAATATACATGATTTTGTCAATAAATACTTTGTTTAAATGCTAACAAGTGTTATTCGAGTGTTTATTTCGAATATCTTTTTTTTTGTATTTTTAATATATTTAATGGAGACTCCGATATCTTGACGAACAGTGTAAACTTCAGCTTAACAGAAGCAAAAAAAAAGTAGATTAAAACTAAGTTAAAAGCGTTATAAATTTAATGAAATATACTGATTTATTATGGAGCTTTATAGGGCTTTAATATATAGTAATTAGGAGTCTAATTATTTGGGACTTAAATGTATAAAAAGGAGATTTTATATAAAATCAAGAGAGTAGTATTTTAATAAATAAAACAAAGAGATTATATTTAAAGAAAAGAGGTATTTTTTGTTATTATTTGAATAAGTTTGGAGTTTGAAGGAGTAAAAAGGGTTTAAAGTGTAAAAATTAGATTAGTGTTATTAAATGAATAATATGTCATGTGTTGCATCAGGAGCTTCCCTGATAACGGACGAAACTTTTAAAGTAGTAGATGGTATGCATATTTCAGGAAGATCAGAAGACAAATCTGTTGCAGAAGAAGCCCAGAGAAAAAATCAAGAAATAGATTTGGAAAAAAGAGAAGAAGAAACCAGCAAAGCGCCACTATTTAAGGAATCAGATGATGTTAAGATGGACTCGGAGTCAGTAATAGATTTTGCAGTATCACCAGTTCCTTCTGGATTTTCTTTAGATGATGTTTTGATGACGCCCTGTATTGATGACTATACTAGTACAAGTGATGACTCAGATGATGTGTTAGAGACACATAGTTTTTCTAATTATCAGCTTGAATATTCGCCTGGTTTTGTTGAGTTAAAGTATGTTTTTTATTTACATTTGCATTTGTATTCATTTTATTAGACCTTATAAACATCAAGTAGGTGGACATCATACATTATTTCGGTTTTCAAAACGAGCTGTGTGTAAAGTATTTCTTCTTTTTTTTTGCTTATACATTCTAATTATATAATCATAGCCTCTTGTAAAACGTGAAAATGAATTTTATGAAGCAGTAGAGCATTTACATCAAGATTTACTTGCTTTTATGCCTAGGTATATGGGTGTGCTGAATGTAACGTATAAAGATAATTTACATATGGTTTCTCTTGATAAAAATACGTTTCAAACTTCCAAAATGGAAGAGTCAAGTCATGAACAGATTCAAAAAGAACGCTCATCTGCTTCTATACATGCAGTAGCATCTCTGCCTAAGGTATCACTTGAACAGAACATGCATATGTTATCCTCATCGACACAACAAAATAAAGCATCATCTTGTCCTATTTCAAATCATGTGAAAGGTGAAGAAGGTTTTAGACCACGCTTTCCAACATGGGGGGCAACGATGATTCATCAAAGCCTTCAAGAACAAGTTTTGCGTGAAGTATTTTCTCCTCGTGAATATAGACAAAACAAAAGTACTCATAGACATCGTATTATTCGGCAAAGAACACAAGTTAGGCATAGAGACGATTCGTTTGAACAAAGGAATTTGTCAGATTCTTTAACACCAAATACCCTTTATGAAACAGGACCTATTTCTTCTTTAGATTTTGATGAAAAGCATACATATTTATCAAAAAGACGACATTCTAGTGGAAATTTATATGAGGAAAAAGATCCAAAGGGTCTTGAGGGCTATTCTCTTGATCATTCTCCACAACTCATTCAATCTTCAGTTATGGATAGTAATAGTATGGATACAGAAACGATGAATCGAGCGGCCTCTCCTCAATCTTCCAATAATGATATTTTTTCTATGGTTGATTTAAGTGATTCTTTATTATCTAAAAATGACTCTTTAAAAAATGTAAATTCATCTTGTGATGTTCGAGAAAGTGTTCCATCTTATACGGATGTTGGATTTAGCTGGGCACAACGTTGTTATGAATTAGAGTGTGCTAAGCGATTGAAAAAACTACAAAGCCAGCAAACAATTTCTGTTACACCTTTACCAGGGGATTCTGTACATGATACGTTAAATGATTCTGCTAGAATCGAAAGATTTATTTTGATAGAGGATCTTACATCTGGAATGAAACGTCCATGTGTTTTAGATTTAAAAATGGGTACTCGTCAGTATGGTGTAGATGCAAATGAAAAAAAGCGTGTATCTCAAACTAAAAAATGTGCAATGACAACTTCTCGCCAACTAGGTGTAAGAATTTGTGGAATGCAAGTTTGGAACCGAAAAACTAATGCATATTTGTTTCAAGATAAATATTACGGTCGTAATCTTAAAGCAGATGTAGATTTTCAAGCTACTTTAACGAGGTTTTTACATGATGGTAGAACACAAGAAGAAGGTGGTGGTGTTTTTTATGACAAAATTCCAATAATATTGAATAAACTTGTAAAATTAGAAAAAATAATTCGAACACTTAAAGGTTATCGTTTTTATGCAAGCAGTTTATTGCTTCTATATGATGGTGGATATTATGAAACTGATGAAGAGCATTTTACAAATATAAAAAAAGAGCCCGATTTTGATATTGATATTAAAATTGTTGATTTCTCTAATTGTATAATACAAGAGAATCATTTTTCCAGTGAAATAATTTGTCCACCAAAACATCCTAATACATGTGATTATGGCTATATAAAGGGTTTGCGAACTTTAAGGCTTCATTTGCAAAAGTAGTTTGATGATTGTTTATTTATTTTAATTAATTATTTTTTAGGATATGGGAAGAGGCTTCAGAAAAATGCTTTATTCAATGTCATGGAAATAATCTTTCTTATTTGAATACAGAACATATAGAAATTGATCGAGAGAAGAAAAAGAATTCTACTGATGAAAGTGATGTATCAACATAATAATTATATCAAGGCTTTGTATTGCTAAAATACTTAATATGTCTATATAGCATAGATGTTTATTGTGTGTCGTTGCACGATAATACTATATGTAATACACTCTAGATATTAAACATGTTTATATTCAAAATACTATTTTGTTATTAGTTTTAAATCAATGTTTACTCTTAAAAGTTTATGATTAGTAGTTTAGAGTATAATTAGCTTTGTTGAATTAGAATATATTTAGCTTTAATTAATTCTTAAGTTGTTTTGATATCATTGCTGGGTTTTATTTTAATTAATATATGTAGATCTCAATCAAAAGCTTTATTAGATTATTGCACCAAAATAGAGCTTCTGCTAAGATCTAATAGTATATAAATACTATGTTTATATTTGCGAAACGTTTATGACCAATGGTGTAGAACATTATTCATGATCAAGATAATTTCGCAATAGTCATATATGGAGAATGAACAAAATTATAAAAGTATATAAATAATATTATAATACAAAATCTATATATAGTTTTTTTAAAAAAAGTCCTTACTTATTTCTGCACTTTCTTGAAATAAGTCTTTCTCTATCCTTATCCATTTTCAACTTTGTAATGACTACTTTGCTCGTATTAATCCCAATTGGTACTGTAGCTCCATTGGCTTTTTCTTTAACAACCCTCTCAATATATATGACATATTTCTTTCTATAAACCTGAGTAACTTTCCCTTCACGTCCTTTATGACTAATGCATAAAACATAAACTTTAATCAATAAAATTATTCAATATATTTTACCTTCCGCGAGTAATTAGAACATCGTCATTGATTCGAATAGGTAGCGCCTTAACCTTTTCAAATGTTAATCCCTCATATTCCCTCATTATTCTAGTACCTTGTATTTGTCTCTTAATTCCTTAGATAGAGGAGAAGACATAATAATTCTACGCTTAGAAGATGGCGCTGTAAAATGTGCCTATATTGTCAAAAAAAAACCCATTTAAACCCGGAAAAAAGCAAATAATACCTTCCTCTGCTTCCTCCTAGACGATGTGACATCTAAATATCATCTGTTAGCGCTTTTTCACTGAAAAAAATATGTAGAAAAAATTATTTTATTCTTATCAAATTGTTTATAATGATTATCTTTAAGAGACAATTAAAGACTTCTTATAATGTCTTTTTCTACCCGTTTTTATTGAAAATATATGATCTTACATGGTGAAAACTTCATGACTTTGACTTTGTTTTTTTATGAAGTTGGAACTAGTGAATCTTTGATCTCCAGTCACTAAGTACCCAAGGGTAAAACCCTAATACGAAGGAGGGTTTAACCAGATTGAGTTTAAGTCTGAAAGATAAAAGATAAGGGTTGTAGATATATTTATAGAGATGAACATGTTGAAATAATGATTTTGATGTATTTAAAAAGTAATTTAGTCATATGAAGATTGAATTTTATTATTTTTATGAATTATGTAAAATTTAATAGTATGTTTTAAAGTTGCTTAGTTTTTAATGTAAGTGTAAATGTTAATGTTAATGAAAACATTATAATATAAATAATAGTTGTAATAAATCTAGTATAATGATTTTATTGTTATAATAGATTTATTGGAAGATATTTACTAGTTTAGATAAAATTTGTTATGAGCTAATATTATTAAAATTAATGATATTAATAATTTAGATTGAAATATTAAATGAATGTTTTTGTGCATATTATATTATGAATTAAGTTTATATGTAAATAAAATATAAACATAAAAAGATATTTGTAATTAAATACTTTTTAAGAGAATTATGACGAAATATGCCTTGTAATAAAATACAAGACATTTTGAATATACATTAAAGATTACATATTAATTAAAGGAAATTGCATTAATAAGGATTAAGTTTTGCTTAATAATCTATAAATAGTTTTAAATATCTAAATCTTCATTATAATTTAATATTCTTCTTGAGCGTCTTTGTTTAACTTTTTGATATTTATAAAAGAGACTAATTGCGTCCTAATATGTTTTAGAAAAAAAATTAAGTATAATTAATCTAAATTACTTTAAAAACAATAAATAAGCACCCCCCAATAATACTACAATGAAATTTACTAGGAATCCATTTTTTTGCACCTGGAATTTTCATAATACAACTAAAAAAAAGATGTAATATTTTAAATTAAATCATTTTAAATACCTTCCTATTATGCTACTAATTTTTGGGAACATAAGTGTTCCTACTAATATTCTTCCAAAATCAATATCTTCAAATACTACCATTCTTCCTCTTCTATCAGAATTTCCATCATTTTCCTGTGTTGTCATATTCCTTTGTCTTATTGATTGATGCTCTGAAGGATAATAACCAGATATTTCCCCATGGGGATAAAGTTCCTGTCCAAATCGCCTATGTATTGGAATTATAAAATGCCTGTATATACTATTATAAATAATTCGAATCCATGGTAAAATACAAAGAGTAAATGTAGGTGATAAAGGCCTTGAAATATCTAAAGCTTGATCGCCAAAAAAAATAAGTGGAATAATTGGAATAATAGTATCAAATTGACTAAACTGACTAAATATTAATATAAAAGGAATTGATGGAAGACCAAATGCAAGTTCTTTAATATATTTAGAAAAAAATCAAAATTTCATATAAAAATACTCCAAAAATATTCACTGTTCTTTTCAAATTCCATTATTTTTTGTGCATCTTTTTCCCCACAAACAGTATATATAGTATAAATCCCATAAAATGCCGCTGAAATTAACGCTGAACTACCAATTCCTATAAACATTCAAAAACAATTAACTGACATCCTGCCGTACTACCACAAACTATAAATATTGGTACTGATTTTCGTAAGACTTTATCAATTTTTGATAAGAACCAAAATGTAAACGTTGATGAATCTTTCAACCGTAAAGGACATTTACATTGTGGGCATAAAACCTTTAATCCTTAGTCCATTTTTAACGCAAAAAAACAATATACAGGTTTATCTGACAAGTCTTTCTTTTGACTTTCGGTTATCCATGTTAATAAACATTTCTCATGTCCAATTAAACCACATTTGCAGGGATTTCTCCATGTTCCTGCATCATCTAGGCCTTCTACAATGTCATCAAAGCATATCCAGCATCTTTGCAGGTTTGATGATGTTTTTTTAATATCAAGAATCTCTGTTAACTCATTTTCCTCATTATTTAAGCCCTGATTTTTTTGAAAAAAGGGATATTCATCAATAAAAATATCTGGAGACGTTTCCATAAATATATTATGTCTATTTTATCTGTTTTATACAGAGTTTTCCTTTGTTTTAAAAAAACCAGAGGTTTCAGGTCATCGTACAACCAAAAAAAAGTGAGAAACTTGAGAAGGGAAAATAAGGGCCATTTAATGGATAAAATAAAGAAATAACATATAAATAAGGAGCTTTATATGATATAATGAGTATATCCCGAAAAAACGGCGAAATTTCGAGCGAATTTGAGGAAGATAATGATATTTCTTTAGATGAAGAATATGAAGAGTCAAAAAACAAGAAAAAACAGAGTAAAGAAGTAGAAAATAAGAATAAAGATATCTTAAGCAAGATATATTTTTGTAGTTTTCTGTTCTAATCAAATAAAAGAGAGGAAAACAAGACAATCTTATCATTTAGAAGATAAGAAAAGCAAAGATTCTGAGGAAGAGTGTAGAACAATACAGGATAAGAGAAAAACGAGAGAGAACGTTACAAGAGCAGCAAGATGTACAGAGAGTTTACATTTTGATATTAAAAGTTGGGGTAATATAGAGGCAATTGATAAAACAATGTTTAAAGCAGTCGATGAAATATTTGAAAAGGTTTTATGGCCATTTAGATACATAGAAAATGAGGAATTGAATAATGTTAATGAATTGTATGTTTTTTTTAAAATGATGTTTTTTGAAATTATCTAAAATATTAGTTTAGAATACTAAATGATTATTTAAAAACATCATTACCTTTAAAAGTGTATATAGGTACATGCGAGCCATCGAAATTGCATATTATTGAGAGATTTTCTTTTTATTCGTTAAACAAAGCATATCCATTAAAAACGGGGTATATTATTCATACAGGTTTTCCTATATGGGGATTAGATTGGTGTCCTGGATATTTAGAAGGTATTTAAGCTTTTTAGATTTAATAGAGGTTGTTTAATTAAATGAAAATAGGAAAACAATATTTGGCCGTTTCAGGTCATCCTGATTATGAAACACATTCAACACTTTTGTATACGACAGAGCCCAAAAAATCAGCTATTCAAATTTGGTCATTTCTTCCTGGATCTGATGATGGGTTATGTAATAATCCTCAGCTAGAAATATTTATTTTTCATGCTTATGGCTCTGTTTGGGATCTTAAATGGTGTCCTTTAACGTCAAAAATAGAGGGAAAACTTGGATTTTTAGCAGCCATATTTGGTGATGGATGCGCAAGAATATTTTCAATTCCTTTATCAAATAAATCAAATGAAACATTATATAGTTAATATGTCTTTGTGCATATTATTTTATTAATTTTTTTAGTGAAACTTGAACAAGTTAAACTATTTTTGAAAATTCATGATACCAGATGCACTTGTTTATGTTGGATCTCCTCAAATAGAATTGCTATAGGCGCTTCTAATGGTTAGATAAATAAATAATGATTTTTAAAAATAATAATAACTATTTTAGGTCAAATTTGTATTCTTGATCTTGAAAAAAAAGATCGTCAGTATTAAAATTATTATTTTATGTTAATAGCATTTAATATTTCACAGCAAACATTCCAATTATATCTTTTTTTGCTCATAATACATATATTAGAAATATTGCATCATGTTCACCATCTTATCCGAATTTATTAATTAGTTCAGCATATGATTGTACAGTAAAAATAACTGATATTAGAGATCCTTTAGGTGATATAGCATTTATACAAAGACAAAGAGGTTTTGATTTTTTAAAATTTTTTTGAATTTTTTTAAATTTTTTTATTAATTTATAGCTATGAATTATATTGTTCAGTGGTGGGATAAACTTTCATGTATTATTCTCAGTGATAATATGTGTGGCTTACGTTTTATATTTTCTCGAGCTTTACAGTCCTCGAACCATATAATTTCTCTTGATGGGACTCTTTGGGCAATTGCAATAAGTCCAGTACATCCATTTGTAGCAGTTACTGGAGCTGATGGAACAGCTGCAATTGTTAATTTTGTTAAAAAAACATTTTCAAAATTACGTCAAGTAAGAGAATTTAGAATAAAACTCTAATAATTCATGAAATAGCCTCTTTCAATTCGTAAAATATATCAATTAAGTATTAATTATCAAGACATGAGTTATCTTTTAGTTGAGAATTTTAAGCCAGAAGTAATTTATCTTTATTATTATTATTTTTAATAACATTTAGAAATATCAAAAAATTAATTCTAATCCTATAATATTTCCTCCAGAAATTGGAATTACAGTTGTAAGTTCATATTTTATCATATTTTCTCAATTTAATTAATAAGGCCTCATGGAATCCTACTAAAAAATATGGCGGTTGGTTAGCAAGTGGTTCTGCATCAGGAATTCTTAGAGTAGAAGATCTTTCATTTTGAATTTTATGACACAAAATATTTTATAACTTTTTATTAATATAAAAATTTATGTTATTCAATAGAATGTAATATAGACATTTTAATTAATTTAATTTGTTTTGGTTATTAATATACTTTGTAAGATAGGATTCTTGAATATCTTATTCAATTGTAACATATTTTCAATTCTATTATTTTATTTTTCTATTTCTCATTTTACTCTATCAAAAATATTAATATGTTATTAATATTTTAATTTTTTTGCATTAAACATAATTATAAAAACAATTTCATAGATAATATTCAAGCAAATAGAAATTTTATAGAATCTTTGTAAAATTAATCAAGACATTAACATTAATTTTTATATTTATTTTAAAACATATTCTTTTAAATATATATAAATGGAATTTAAATTATTGTATTTAGGTATAATTGATGTAAAACTTAAAAAAACATTATAAAATATTTTAATTTTAATTTTATCTAAAAAATATTAAATCTAAAATAAATAAAAGTTTTCTTGATTACATCTATAATGAAATTTATATACATATTTTTGTTTTATAAAATACAGAGTTAAAATAAACAGTAGAGATTTAATTAAAATTATCTCTATAATTATAATATTATCATACAATTATAACATTATCATTCATACAATTATAACATTATCTAATAACTCCATTGATTAATAGGAAAATTGCAATTTATTATTGTATAAAACATTCATGTATCAGTATTATCTTCTATAATATAAAAAACAATTGACAAAAATTTAAAAAAATACATCTTTTATTAAATAAATCTTTACTTTATAATAAAGAGCTCTTTATAGAATAAAAAGAAAATAACATTACAAATTTGATTTATGCTTTTTTAAAATTCCAGATTTTAATTATAAATATCTAATTGATAAATATATTTTAACATTTAAGACACAACCATTCATTTACAATAAATCCTTCAAAAACTCATAAAATTACTACAAAACATATTGTATTTTTATATATTATAAAACTTATCCTTTTAAATTATATTTGTATATCAAATTCTTCATAAAATAAACATATAAAGAATACAATAAAATTAATAATTGATTCATAAACATATTTAAACAATATTTACATTAATAAAATCATTTTCTATCTTTCAGTATCCACAATCATTCTTATTTTTCATAAAGTTAAATACATATATTGAGCTCATTAAAAAATGCATAGGCATATTCTTTTTTTATTCTTATCTACCTTCAATATAACTACTTCTAAACATTAATGTAAACACATTATTAAAATCTTAAAAAAAATCTCAAAAAATAAAAATATAAAAAAAAAACATGTAGAGATATCAAATGTACTACAATACATGTCATATACTTTTTTCTTTATTTTTTACGATGCATCTTTACTGTTTTTTATGCAAACAATAATGCGTTAATAGAAATATTAAACATAAACAAATGCACTTATGCATTAACCTTATCTAAAACACTTCGTTTAAACCTCTATATTAGGTCTTATTTAAACAAAACATTTATTTTTCAAATATATGGATTTTAAAATGTACTGGATTTATATATTTATATACATTCTACCTATATATTCTGCATTTTTTAAACAAAATCAAGATGAAAAAAACAACTGCTATGGCAGTTTAATGTGTGGGCCTTCAATGGCAGGGAACTGTTGGCAGGCTATAACAAAATACGAAAGCAATGGTTATTATTCACAATATACAAGTCGAACAGAATCGGATTTCGCATTTGGATCAGGCTGTACAGTTATATATACATGTGATTCAAATGTAAGAAAATATATATAAAAAAGAAATTCTAAAACAAATATAGCCATATATGAATGTATCAGGAAAAACTATTAAAGAAAAAGCAGAAAATATTATAAAAAGATGTCAAAAAGATCCAGGTATTCCTTGTGGATCTGAATATTTTCAAACAGCAAAAGAAAAATGTAGAGTAACAGGTATGTTATTTTTTAAAATAAAAACTTTATCTAATTATAATGAAGTAAATTATTGCGCGTGAGTTTTTTTTAAAATATATATTAAAATTTAAATGTAAATATAGAGAATGTAATGATCGAGGGTAAAAAATGTATTAATATGAATCAGCACATTAGTTTTTATCAAGCCGATATCAGATGGAATCTTTTTTTTAAAATAATATACGGATTTAATTTAGCTTGTTTTATAATATTATAAGAATGGTAAGATTCGAGACGATAGATTACACAATATAGAAAATGTATAAAGAGGGTATTTCATATCCAAATTATATTAAGTACAAATTTAGCATTAAAAATTCCATAAAGCAATAAATTGCTAAATTATTTTTTAGCAAATGCCCATTTAAAATGCACCCGTAACAGATGAATTGATTGACCATCGAGATTGAGGACCTGTTGAAGGAAAATTAGGGGAAGAATGTACCATTGCAGGAAAACCAAACAATCCAGGTTTACAGTGTGTTTGATCCAGATCATCATACCTTATCATAATATGTTGTTTTTCTATTTTACAAGTGAAATAACCTCCTCCATTTTGAGAATTTCCAGATATCGCACATGCATCCAATAATTGCTTTGATTGCACAGGTGTATCAGAAAATAAATCATTATATAAACTTAATACTTGATCGATTAAAAAGAGCCTAGTTTTAGAACCATATTGCTCATCAAGACGTAAACAAATAAGTTTACATCGTTGCCGCAATACGTTCTGAGTAACATGATACTGATTATTCCTATCTATTATGCTTAATAAAAATCCATAAATATATTATGTTAAAAACATACTAGTATTTGGAGGCCAAATATTTGGAAACCGAGAATTTGACAAACCAGGCAACCATACTTGATCAGAGATATTACGATGACGTGATTCATGGGAATTTGAAGTATGCCGATTCACTAAAAAATATTAATCATTTTCAATTTTATAAAAAATATACAATTTATTGTTTCCATAAATGGAGAATCCCTACGATATATAGTCTTAGAACGATTAGAGAACCCACTTGAAGTATCATTTGCATGATTTAATATAATTGAATCGTTATCATCATCATCTAAGAGCGCCTTGCTTCCCATAACCTCACTTAATTCACTGACAGTTGAAGTTTTTCGCTGTTCATCCTTATAAGCTGTAGTACCACTAGGCCTTTGAATAGGAGAAGGTCTTTTGATTGGCTTTGCAACAGAACTAGGTACGACACGTGAAGTATTATCCTCTAAAACTTTGGTTCTATTCTCATGAAGCCCCAGTATACCATTAGGATTTTTATCTTCCATATGATGGTGATGATGATGATGATGATGATGAAATGGATGAGAAAATGATGTAGAAGAAATAGGTAGTGAATGATAATTATTTAAATTTCCAGAAAGAGGTGACGATTCGTTTTTGTACATATTAGAAGATACCTTAGGTAATCTTAATGGAGATGAAGAATAATCATACTGTTGATTCGATGATGTAGATGGCAAAGAAAAAATTCCCCCAGAAACATTATTAATGATAGGATGAGGTGTTAAAGGTTGATACGTAGAATGCGTAGATGATAAATTTTGATTAAAGGTAGTGTCAAGACCAGGCGGATGTTGCAAAGTAGAATTTAAATTAGAAGACATATGCGGCGACTTTTGAGAAGTATTTTGAATATTAAATGAAGAATGAGATTGAGAAAATATAATAGAAGAAGATGATAACGAATTATCCGATTCTTGCTCAGTTTTTAAAGAAAGAAATGATGAGTTTAATGGACTAGAAACGGAAGATCTTATTTCCTTGATTGACTCTGTTGTACCATGAAAAGTTTCTTGATTCTCAATCTGTGGAGATCGATTTAAGAAATTAACAGAAATCATAGCCTCCATTATCTTTTGTTTTTGACTATCCTTTTTGTTATCATTTTGTATTTTATTTTCATTGTCTTTAGTTTCCTTAACCTCTTTAACCTCTTTAATTTCTTTAACTTCTTTAGGTTCTTTAGGTTCTTTAATCTCTTTAGATTCTTTAATATCCTTAACTTCCTTGGTTTCTTTAATATCTTTAACTTCCTTGGTTTCTTTAAGATCTTTCTCTTTCTTGATTTCTTTCTTTTGTCGCTCTTTTTCCGCTTCTTTTCGTTTTCTTTCTTTCTCAATTTCTTTCTCTTTATTCTGAGATTGACGACGTTTTTCTTCTTCTAAAGCCTTTTTTTCTGCTTCTCGTTTTAACCGCAATTCTTCTTTTTTCCTTTTAGCCTCTTCTAGTCTTTTTTCTTCTTCAATACGTAATGCATTTTCTTCCGCAAGACGCTCTGCCTCTTTTCTAGCCTTCTCCTGATCCTTTAATTGCTTCTGAAGCCTAAATACAATCAGCCTTTGAAAACTAAATTAATATTTAGAACGAAATACTTTTTCTTATCTTTCTTTCGTTCTTTCTCTTTAGCCTTTTTTAATTCACGCTCTTCTTTAAGACGATTTTCCTCTTCCAATTCTTCTAATAACCTTTGCTGTCTCTCTTCAGCGACTTTTTGTCGATATGCAGTAAGAACTCTTTGTTCAAACATTCTAGCAGCGAATATTTGAAACATTCTTCGCCCCTCTTCTATTCTTTGCTCTTCATCAAGCGTATTCTAAATCATTAAAAAGAATATTTAAAACTTGGATAAAACACATACCATTTCATCATCATTGCTCTCATCATCATACCTAATAAACAAACAATTATTAATAATCCTATAAAACTTTGATACAATAATCTTACTCTTCATCATCAGAATCAAATTCGGTCGTTTCTATTTCCATAACGGCCTCCTCTTCTCTCTGAATTCGTCTTTCAGCAAGCTGTTCCATCATTTCGATAAATTTTTTCCCATCATTTTTAAGTAAATCATCTGCTACTGTAAAAATTCCCCCCTAAACCATTCGTTAAAACAAACATCTTCATATTAACCCTTTTGTTAAACTTACTTTAACCGTTAAACTATTTCCAAAATTGAAAAAATCAAATCTTGAATCTACATTTTCCGATAATATACTTTCATAATCACCATCACTATCAATACCTCCTTCACTATCATCTAAATCTTCCGAACGTCCTGTCACTGAGTTTTTATGCAACAATGATATTGAATTAAATTTTTGCTGTTGATTAGCATATTGTTCCAATTCTTCATAATATGCATCATATAACATTTCAAGCTCTTCCTCAATCGCTATTCGTTTTCTATCACACACTGAACATGAACACGAATGCTTTTGTTGCTCTTTCATTTTTCTCAAAACAGCTTCTTTTTCAATCTTTACCAATCCACGACGCTCTTCTTCTCCAAGTTGCAACCAAAATTCTTTAATTCTTTCCCGTTCCTCATGCGTACTAATATTCCATATTTGATCCTTAGATTTCCTAGGCATAACACGACATTGTCCCGTAGACTGAACCATCGTATCCGATCCATTAGACGTATGATACGTCTCATTCGCTACCCCCTTCTTTTTTTTCTTTCGATTCATCGTTTTTCTTTCTAACGTCCCTATATGACTATCCGATAGCGAAAATGATGATCCTAACATCTGTTCCCGATGGATTGGAAACGTTAAACTCGGTAAGGTCGGATCATATTCCGATTCTTCTAAAAACCGTCCTTCATGGTTTTGCTTACATTCCGACTTCAAAAATCCCCCTCCTACTGAATACGATTCACATTTAATCCCCGATGGACCCTCTCCCTCCATCTTCTTATGCTTACTACGTTTCTTTTTCTTCTTTTTATTCCTTGATACTAATCCATTCATTTGTAAACTTTCTGAAACTCTAACACTCCCTTCTTTTCCCTCCTCTTCCTTCTCAACTCTCTCACAAATATTATGCATCTTAATACTCATTTATCCCCTTTTATTATCCCTTTATTAATCTCTTTATCTTAGGATTCCACTTAAAAATTATCTATTTGTTTCATTAACTTCTTTTTTATACCATTTTATTAACTAAAATATCATACCTTATTATAATCTCCCTTAAATTATCCTTTAAATAAGCTTTATCTGCACGTTTAGACCTTATTTATGGGTCTTTAAGCAGGTTTATATGTTTTATAAAGATAAAGACGTACGTTGTTTGCCGTTCTCGTCCGTACAAAAGGTATCCTTTTTTAGAAGCGAGTAGGTATGAAAGAAAGAATATGAAGGAATGAAGGGATAATAAGGAGTGTCAAAGAGAATATACAATCAATAGATAAGAGTTAAATGATAATTATTGTATAATGAAAGAATTTTTTTAAGGTATAATATAAGATAGAAGGAAGGAGGAGGAAGAGGGGAAATATAGGGAAAGTAAGAGGGGGAGGGGGGGGAAGGAGTATAAGAGAGAGAAATGTATATATATAATTTGAATAAATATAAATAAGATTTTAAGAAAAAAAAGAATAATGACGATCCTAGAAAAGTTAAATTAAATGTAATTATAGATATTTAAATATATATATGAAAAAGATATATATAAATAAATAAATAAGAATAAGAATTAAACCCTCACGGAATCATCTATAGGAATTCTGGAGGAACCTTCTCTGGGAGAAAATTCTTTAGAAGATCTTACGGGAGATCTGGATTGAGAACGATCACGAATGGGAGAACGATCGTAAGAGCCACCTCTAGAATATCTATCATCTTTGAAAGTTCGACGACTGGAATAATCGTCTCGACGATAATAATCCCTATCATCTCTACGATATCTCGGAGAGCGTCGATCATACCTATCGTAACCTCTGTCATAACCTCGATAACGAGGAGATCGATTGCGACGAGGAGATCGAGAGCGAGGACGAGTGGGATCCTAAAGAAAGAAGAAGGGTTAATGGAAGAAAGAAAAATAAAAAAAAGTATTTTTAATACTATATCTTCACGAAGAACGACTTCAGAACCCTTAAATTCAACGCCATCTAATTTACGAACAGCAGCTCTGAGATCTTCCTCGGTTTCAAATTCAACAATTCTATAAATGTTTTAATAAGAAAAAGAATTATAAAAAGATGATATGAATACCCTTTGCCGCTACCATCACGACTACAATCAGCATAAGTGACTTCTCCAGCAGTTCGCATGAAATCCTTTAGATCCTATTGAAAAAAAAGCATAAGCATGTATTTCAATTGAATATCCAGAAACAAATGCGGAGAAAAAAAAGTAGAGCCATCCTTTAACAATCCAAAATCATGGCTTATTTAGTCCCAAAAATGCAGTCATAGGAAAGCTATATGTTCAATATCCAGTTCTCTTTATATATGAACCAAATATCCAAGAATTTCTCGGAATCATATATATTAATAATACCAATATGAGAAGACTCCCAATCTACTTAAACGGATCCAACTATAAACGCATTGGGACCAAAAGATACCCGACAAAAATAGAAAAGACAAAATTGGCTAACCTGCCAGCTGACATTTTGAGAAAGATTCTCAACTATCACCCTATACGCTGTTCTTCTTGGACGAGGATAGCTTCATTCATATTACATCTTCATCCCAAACCAATTATAATGAAATACCGAACTTCCGTGTCACGACCTCGAAAATCATCACGACGTTCTCTTCCACCACGAGCAAATTCAATAGTAATCCGTTCTCCTAGCATTCTTTTGCCATCTAAAACCACCTTAACACCTATAAAGACAATTTCCGTCATTTCTACCGAGATCTTCGCCATATTAATCAATTTATCTAGATAAAACCTGTAAAACGTGCCTTGAACTGCATCTTTTGCATCTCTTGGGTTTTTAAACTAAAAAAAAAACCTCTATCAGAGATATCCATGATATATCTAAGTAAAAAAACCTCAACGAATGCGAATCCATACATCAATTTGATCTCTGCTATGTCTCCATAACCATAGAAAAAATTTTCAATATCTCGACGATTAACTAACCAATTTTAACCGGAAAAAAAGCATTTTAATCATAGACTTACTGTTCCTAGGAAGATTCCCTAAATAAACGCGTGTTTCTGAGACAGGTCTTGACATTTTTTCTTAACTTTTTCGCAAAAAATCTGAGTATCAAATTTTTACGGTCGAAGATTAGCGTCCAACGTCACATGAAAGACGTTATTAAAGAGGAAAAGAGAGGAAAAGGGAAATTTATAAGAAATAAAGAAATATACAAGTCAAATAGAAGAATTGAAAAGATAATAAAATTAGATAAGAAAGAAGTATTTTTTTAGTAGAAAATAGAGAAAATTAAAGAGGGAATATAATAAAGATATACAGATAGATGATGAAAAAAAGAGTAAATTATCGAGTTATCCACGAATAAAAGGGTGTTTAAGTGCTTCATAAGCAGTTAATCTTTTTTCAGGGTCCAAATCCAAACAACGTTCTAAAAGATCGATAAAATTTTTCATTAATTTAGGATCTTCATTTGACATATTACTTAATAAACGTGATCTTAGATCACGTACTGGTTTTGATATGGCAATTATCTTTGAAACATCCTAAATAATAAAGAATTAGTAAAATGAGAAAGTTGTAAATAAAAGATATACATTTCCTGTAATTTTGTCTTTTTCAGTGCTAATAAAATTAAAATGTTGATCAAAATGTATACTACTAAATTGTCCTTTTCTAATAATTTTATGATTGAATTTTCCTCGACACTCCATCATTAATCTAAGCATATGATTATTTGTTCTACCAGGAAAAAGTATCTTCCCAGTATATAATTCATACAATGTACATCCTATTGACCATATATCAAGCGAATAATCATGTGATAAACCCAAAACTATATTTTTTATCAAAAAAATTAGATAGAAAAAAAGGGAAATATACTAATTTCCGGTGCACGATAGAACCGGCTTACAAGATAAGGAGTAATATTACTATCGGAATCAAAAGATGCTGACCCAAGATCACATATTTTTAAATAATTCCTAGTTTCGTTTACCTAAATCATATATGTTTAGCACAATAATAGATAGGAGTTAAGACTTACAAGAATATTATCAGGTTTAAGATCAGTATGAAGAATATTACACTTTCTTAATAACGAAAGCCCTAAAAATATTTGTTGAGCATAGGCTCTGACTGCTTTTAAATTTATTCCCACATCATTTCCAAATTTTTTAAGAATTTCACGTAAATTAAGACTATGATATCATTAAAATTATATAACCAAGATATGTATATTTTGCACCTTAACATTTCGAAAACGAGACATAAATGCCCTTTATGTTCAAAATGTCTTTCTAAACGTACAATATGCTTTCGATCATCAGGATCAGCCTCCATTAATTTTTTCAAAAAAGCAATCTCTCTCATTCCAGATTTTCGCCTTCATATAATATATTAATAATCAATAAAATATTATGCAATTCTTACATCGTTTCATTATTTCGTATTAACTTTATTGCAACCATTTTTCTTGTTTTTGAATCTTCTGCTTTTACAACACCAGAAAACATTCCTTTTCCAAGATTGGATCTCACGGCGTATCTACCATCTAGGAGTTCGCCTAATATTACATGATAATACCCCTCTGGATCATCCCAATTGTCTAATAGATGTGCATCAAGTTCACGCGCAGCAAGCATAACAGAATCTTGTGCTTCACTTGAATTTTTTAATTCATGTGTTTGCTCATTTACTGGTTTAAATTCTTGAAACATATCATCATCTGCAAACATATCTAATTCATCGTTAACATTTGTTTCATTAATTTTCACTTTGTCATATCTGTTTTCATATCGTGTTAGTGTATTATTTTCATTTTGTTTAGTTTCATCATATACTGCTGCGCTAATATCATTATTATTTCTAATATGTTGTCGTTCTTCATCCAATTTTCCATCCACTATTGGATCATAATCAGCTGCCATTTCACCATCCTGTACATTACTAATATTCGAAGAATCTTTAGTCAATTGAAAATCAGACATATCTGCCATTAATGAATGAAAAGAAGCTAATTATTTGATTAAAAAAATAAAAACAAAAAAAAACACAAACTTGATTCATAAATTTTATTATCTGCTTCAGGAGATAGAAAATTTGACGTATCTACTTTTGTTTGAGGTTCTAGAAATGGGGTATGTTGACCTCTATATTTAGCAAGAATAGCCTCTCTGTTTTTTCTTCTTTGTTCAATTAATGCTTCTTCATCTATAGATGATTCTTCAAAGACTTCTTGTTCAAATCTAACATATTAGTTCAATATATTTATAAAATACTCCTCAAAAACCATGCTCACAACTTCAAATCATAATTTTACAAATACTTGCATAATCTTAACGTAGAAATGAAGTAAAAAAAAAGAAATAGAGCACGATTTAATAAAGAAAATATAAAATAAAACTTACATTGGTGATCTATTTTTCTTCAATAGTCCCTCTTTTTTTTTCTCATTTTTTTCAACATCTGCTTTCGAAAACTTTGTTTCTATCTTATCCAATTTAGAATCTCCCTTCTGTTCTGAAATATTCTTTTTTTCCGTTCCTGACATTTTAGATTTTCGTAACTTTTTTAAATGATGTTTAGAAACATATTGATACTCCCAATCATATCCTCTTCTAAACGTATTCTCATCTGTATCATAGTGTCTTTTCTCCTTATTTCCATGTGCTATAGATATTGAATCTCTGTTTTGAGAAATATAAAGTTTACGCGAATACTTATAGTTTTCCGAATCGCGCAAAAACCACACCTTCTGTTCCCCTAAAAACCCTTCATTTTTGCATATAGAAGCTATCTGTTCTTCTGCTGTTTCTTTAATTTCTCCCTCGGATAATTCATCATCGCTTCCATCTACCATGACACTTAACGTTTAGTCTTCAACTTTTCAATCTCGTTTAAAAAATGCAAACCAGCACTTAGCCCCACTATCCAATGCTTTTACATGAAATACTTAGTATTTCTTAGACCTAATTAGACCTTTATTCACCACAAAATAGACCTTTTTTAATGTTGGATAAAATTTAATAGTTACCGATCCTAAGACAGCGACAGCTTATAATAATATATATAAAAAAGCTTAACAGAATTTTTGTAATAAAAATGGTATTTGAATAAGAAATAATAGAAACATATTTATTTGAATAGCCTGGAAAAGAAGGAGGAAAGTTGAAGCCGTTAAAAATGCCAAAGAAACCAAAACAAGAGCTAGACGAAGTATATTTTTTTGTAAAAGGTTGATTTTTAAATGTATTAGGATGATCTTAATTTTAAAAAGAAACAAAATGAAAACTTGAAGAAAGAACAAGAAGCCCGAAAATTACTTTTGTCGAAAAAAAAATAAATATTGAAGAATTAAGTGATTTTTTTAGGTAAGCCAGGCTCACGTATTTTAACCCATGAATCCTCAATTGTCCAACCAGTTTTAGAGAATAAAACTAATCCAATATATTTTTCCATATATTTTTTTGTTATTTTATAATATGAAGCTTTAATTATTGATGCGCATCGTTCTTGAATTTGTTCACGACTTAAATCTATTAATCGTTGATAAAGCCATGGTACTCGTTGACGTAATTTCCACCATGAAATATAATTGTTTTGAATAAGAATCCTTGAAAATTCAAATGATATGTCATGTGTATCTAATTCCCACTTTTTTTTCATTTCATAAAGTCCTTGAAAGTTTCTTAAAGTACATAAATATAATAGATAACAAGTCACCATTTGATTTTGTACAAATGGCTTTGATAATTTTGGATAAATAACTTCCAATAAATAACAAAGTGCCGGAAAATAAGATTCTACATGATTCATATATATTCCAACACGTACAGATGTTTCATATAACCCACAAGTAAAATTATCGATACGTTGACTCGCAGCAATACCTTCACGTAATTGTCCTAAAAAAAATAATATGAAAAAGATGTATAAAATGTAATTTAAAACATACGAAATAAATAAAGACAATGTTGTTGTTCGCTTAATGATAAGATTCTGTCGTTTAGAGTTAAATTTAAAAAAGAATCTTCCAAAGTATCATTATTAACCCGATCAATTAATACAGCATACTTTTTTTTATGAGTGATTTTTTGTCATAGATTAATACAAACATGTCTTTTTAATCTATTGTAAAATATTTCTTGTATTTTCGGTTCTTTTAATCTAAAAAAAATAAATTATTTAATTATATTAAAGTATATATTTATACCTATCATCATTTCCTTTACTTATTAGTCCAAAACTATCTAGCCAACGTTTATCTTTTTGATTAGACATGATATATTGTTTTATTTGTAGAAAAAAAAATCGGAATGAATCAAAACGAACGTATTAAAAAGAATCAAAATATACACCTATTTTTTCTTATAATTAGATATAATAATACATCAATATAATATTTGCAAAATGACAAGTTTCTGTACCATCGACCATTTATTCGCTAAACAAAAAAAAAAGATATACTAATTGTACACGTATTTTTCATACGTTTATAGTATGAATTACATTCCAAAGAGAAGGCTCTTGTTTTTTCCTCATTTCAATATACGCAAGAGTTCTTCTAAAATATTTTATAACATAATCTTGCATATTTCCTTCTGGTTCCAAAATAGACGATGTACTAGTTACAACAGGAAATTGGCGGGAATTTGGTTCAAACGTTAGTGCGTCAAAACTATCAATATTTTGTTTAATCAAATCAATTAAACCATTAAGGAATTTAGGAAGAATCTAATTAATCTTAGCATTAAATAAATAAATAAATAAAAACACTAACAGATTCGTTTTGATGATCATAATAATAAATATAGCGATTTAAAATCTCAATAAAAAGTTCAGTACCTAAATAAAATAAGTAAATATTATAAAATTTGAATACCATACTTGTCAAAGGATCAATACAAGCATCTGCCAATTTAAGTGCTTTTTGTAAACATTCTAGTGATCTTGATCCATCATGATAAAGCTAATAAGATATTAAATAAATAAAACAATTATTAACAATTTAGTTACATTCTTATCATCTTGTTCGCCTTTTGCTGGAATATTTGTAACCCACCATAAATGGCTAGCAAAATATACAGCACGCGTTTGATCGGGTTTTTTAAGCAATTTAGAACCATGTAATGCACATTTTGTAATTAAAGTATCATAATTTTCTGAAGAAAAATTTCTTGTCATTTGTAAAACACCGGCAATTATAACGACTGCTTGATATTGAGCTCTGGATTCAGATAATGATTCTTCATATATTGTAAAAGCTTGTGCGAAAAAATCATATGCAATTTCTTCAAAGGCACCCTGATCCGCTACTTGCCCTGCAATAACAAAATATCGTATGCACAATTCTGCATTTGTTACTTTAGTATATAAATTACTAATAATTTGGTTTATAAATTTATAAACGGAAGATGCCTTTTGATTCCAATCATTATCCTAAATAAATTAAGAATTTTATATATCAATATATATATATATATATATATAAAATATACCAAATTTTCCTGCGATTTGTACTTTCTAGCAAGTTTAATGGCTTGCGTTATTAATGGGGGGCTCGTATATTTTATACGTTCACCACCTTCAAAGAAGTTTTTCCTTAATATTTGAAGAAGCTACATAGGTTTAAGACAATAAGTAAAGGAAAGAATGAACAAACCTTAAATTGAATGTCTGCATTTTCATTAGATACTAAATGAACCAATCGTGCAAGCCATCCTTGCTCTTCTAAAGTTTCATCTGTTTCATTATCTTTAGTTCGTCGATTTTGTTGAGCATTTCCCACAGGAGATAATTTCGTTCCCTCAGTAATTAAAACTCTAACAAGAGAGATTACTCCTTCAAGAACAGAAGGCGTGTCAATACAAATATTGTTCTTTATAAGAGATTGTATTACAGTAGCTGCAACAACTTTTCTTGTATGATATAATTGTGTCTGTAGTAATGGTATATAATTCGGTAAGAAAAGAATTGTAAGAATATACGAATAAGACGATATAGGCGCTAAAAGTAATTTCAAAAAATTATCTCTAGATTCTGGAGAATGCAAATCCATACTATTAGATTTTAAGTAAGTTAAAATACTTAAAAACGAAAAAATATCTCACCTATCAATATATTCCATCATTTTTAACCTAGCATATTTCAAAACTCGATCTACATAATGAAATTCATATGGATAACACGTAAGAGCAAGATTACAAAGACTAACAAGTAATGCAGTTATATCTTGAATAGGAAGATCAGGTCGAGCCTAAATTGTTTTAGTAATGAATGTTTTATAAATAATGCAAAACCTTGACTAATTTAATAATTTGTGCCCAAAATAAATCAAATAATTTAGCATGGTTAGGAACTACAGAACCTTTATCATCAACTTCTGTTTTAATAGTACCATTTGTAGTATCATAATCTTCTTTATTAATATCATTAGAGCAATTATTTTCTACATTAACATCAAATATTTCCTCATTTAAGTTCATAGATGAAAGTTGATCACCCAAAGCCTCTAATGTTAATTTCTCCTTCTTTGCACGCTCATCAAAACTTTCAACCTCTACTTCTTTTGAAACATAAGCTGTTAATCTATCGATAAAATAAATCCATATTTGTTTAATATTAACATAAGGATTCAATTTCATCGTAACAGATAAGAATTGATCTAAAGTTTGCAAATGAAAATCATCCGTAAACACTTGAATAATCACTTCCATCAAATATTCTTGTGCCAATACATCTCTACATTGAATAATTTGTTCCATAATAGAAGGAAGTATATTCTAATAATAATAAATTAGCAATTTCCTTTTCTTCCCTGTAATACATACCGTTTTATAAATATGAAGATCAATTCCATCAAGTTGACTTAAACGAACTAAGTTTGTACCCACTAAGATTTTCAATTCTGTTCGTTCTTCTTCCCGCTTGGCTCGTTCTCTTGAATGTCCCTGATGTTGAAATCTAACCCATAACTTATTCATTTCAATAAAATTCGTTAAAATAAATGAAATAGAATCGTTCAAATTCCCTTCCTGACTTTTTTTTTTCAAAAAAAACGTTAGTCTTGAAACCATCTTCCCTAACATTTAATAATACCCTGTTGACGTACCAACCGGCAAATAATCTCGAGTTTGACCTGATAAATAATGACGAAGAAATAACCCTCTTCAAAAAAAAAATTATTCCCAATTTTTATACATCAAAAATCCATACCTAATGGGATGTTGAACACCTCTCGACATTTCCATCATATCTTTCATAATCTCCTTAACCGGCGCATCTTTTATTCCCATATATACACTGTATTTAATAAATTCCCTGATAATACCTAATATAAAAATTCTCACGTTCCCACTGTAATCATTAAATATAACCTAGGCACAATATTTCCTGCATATTGAACAAGCTCATATACATCCGTTAAATGATGTCGGCCTGTCTGATGTGCCTCTAAAAGATAAATTGACAAATATCGTAATGCATCAAAAACTGCCATGTCTGTAATAAATTAATTAGTTAATATTTCTACTAATAAATCCATTGTATCCTTCATCTATACATAATATAGATTGTATACATATTAAGCATTATATACAAAAGATAATAATGCATATAACTCGACGCATACAACTCGACGCATACAACTCGATAAAAATCATATAGAGTTCATATAATATGCATATATTCCAATAGATCATGATTTAAAATACGTACACAATTCATAATACTGTTTTGGTCCTAAATGATCACTTCTTAATTCAGATAAAATTGTACTTGCATGCTAATTCTTATTAAAAACTTTAATTATACTTAATATATATATACCTTTAACCCATCCATTAACCTGTTTGCATCTAAACAACGTCTCATTTGATGAGTATACGTTCTTATAGAAGCCAATAACTCATCCAGAGGTTTTCCTTGGCCTTCTTGAAATGTAGTTGAACCTGAAACTACAGACATATTTAATCGAGTTCAATACGTAAACCTCATTATTGAAAAAATTCAAATATAAAAATAAAAAAATAAGTTTAAATGTATAAAGATATATCTTTTATTAATAAAAGATATATATTTTAGTTTTATAAAAATGAATTAATCTTAAGATATAATTTTGTTTTTAATTTAAAAATGTTTAATATTATAGTAATTTATAATTTTTTTATTAAAAAGTGCTATATATAAAGATATATGTTAAGATTAATTCATTTTTATTAATAAATTAGATAATACATGATATTAATATAGATAAAATGTATATATTTTATAAATACTAAGATATGTAATAAATAAATATTTTTTTTTCATGTAATTCTTTAGAATGTTTTATCATATTATTTTCAGGAGAAAGATCAAGTCTTTGATTTTTTACTTAATGTTTATCCTTTTTTAAAAAAACTTAAAATTTAATTATAATTTTTAAGTAGGATTAAAATTCCCTTGAAGAAAATAGGATTTGAAAAATAGATTAAAATAATTTTAAATTGATAAGATATTCTTTTAACACTCTTAAAATATAAACTACCCAAAAAGTCTTCTTTCCTCCACATATGCTTTTAATAATAGTGACTTACTTTTATCACTAAATCAAAGACCTATGTCATGACACACCTTGTAATGATTTGTAATTAACTGATGCAAAACTTTACTATATAATACAAACGGGAATAATTTCCTAAAATCAAGAACTCTTTCTAAATTCACTAAGTACAGGATAAATAGCCTTTATTCCAAATCAGTTCCTTTATATAAAATATTTAAAAAGAATACTTCAAAAGCTTGATATATTTCTTCCCGAACTTTAGCACCCGTTAAAACAATTTTTCCGGAAACAAAAATCAGCAAAACAATTTTTGGTTTTACCATACGGTAAATCAGACCTGGAAATAATTCCGGTTCATACTAAAGAAAAATTAATAAAGAAAGATTTTCAAAATCCAAAAATTGTTTTACCGATGAAAAGGTCCCATGTGAATATGCAAGTCCCTCCAAACGAATAGGGAATTTGACATCACATGAACCAACAATGTTCTGAATTTTAAAATCGGTAAACTTGGCATTGAAACCAAGCTTCTGAATAATTCGAGCATACTTCCGTGATGCCAGCTTAGAATCATCCTCCGATTTCGCACCTGTAACTACCATTTTCCCCGATGCAAAGATAAGCGCAGTTGTTTTCGGTTCCCGTATCCGCATAATAACTGCTGCAAATCGCTAAAACATAATTATAAATAATAATCAAAAATAAAAAAAAAATCAAAAAACCTTAGGATTATACTCGGCATTGCGTGCATGCAATGCAATCGTTTTCAGATCCAATCGACAATCAAGATTGACAGTAGCAACAATGTTTCTTTAAATAGAAACCAGTTGTAAGCTTTCTTCGTTCGTACAAGAACGAAGAGAAAATACTCACTGTAATGTAGGCACAATGCCAGATACACCTGCAAACGTATTCGTTGCAGTCTGATTCAACGATGTCGAAACAACTCCATGTTCCATACCCTTCTCATCGCGACTTCCAGGGTACATCGCACCAGACATTAATATATGACTCGAGGGAAATGATAGTGATGATGGCGCCATAAATGAGGCTGCTTCTGCTGCTGACAACGGAACTTCAAGGGGATTCTGCATTCTCCCTTATTCACTCCAAACACGAAAAAAAAATTTGTCTGTAAAAAACACTCGTCAAAATTAAGAACTGTTGATCAAAATTCCAATCAAGGATTCAATCCACAAGTATTCCAAGCTGAATCTTATACTACGGTATATAATAACATAAAACCTGTTTAATTGTTCTTAATTTTTGATCGAACACTCCCACCCAAACTGCTACCCAATTTCTCGAAAATTGGGGGAATCGCCTCCCTTTATATATTCGCGGATTAGGGTTAAACCCTAATTTTCTTGACGTGTTTTTAAAAATAAATTCAACCCTCTTATAATAACGAGATTTAAGAATTATAAGAATAGATTTAAGGTTATATACATAATTTTTTGTATATGAAATAGAAATTAAGATAAAATAACAAATATATTTTACTCGTACATTAAATTAAATTAAAAAGAAGAATTATTTAAAATATGTAAAAAATAATAAATGATATTGAATAGTTTTGATTTACTTTTCAGTATCATCTAAATTATTATTTTCATTTTCCATGATAATATCGTTTTCTAATGCTTCTAATGCAGTTTGAATGTGTAATTTAAATTTAATAACTTCATCGAGCATTCGTATAACATCTCGATAAAGATCTTCTTTTAAAGCATTTGTAGCATGAACTAACTGATCATATCTAAAAAAAAAAAGAATTAATAATTATATATTAAAATAAAAAGTATGATTACTCTATACTAACAGATTGAGAACGTTGTTCGAGTTGAAGTAGACCGTTTTGAGCAGTGATTTTCATCTGCTGCAAATCTCTTTCAAGTTTCTCTATTTCAGCATTACTTGCAGAACTTTCAACCAACATTGTCTAAAAAAATTAAAATCAAGTCATTGATCAATGTGAAAAATTACATCTTTTATTTCATTATATTGTTCCATAATTGCAGTAACTCTTGCCTGCAAAATATCTAGTTCATCCCGTGCATCCAATAATCCTTCACAAACTTTATCAAGAACTTCTTGAAGTTGAATAGCTTCATCTTGTTCCTTATGAAGTCTAGATCCAAGATCTTGTCTTAATTTTTGAAGTCTAGGTCGTATGTCATGTTTTAAATCGCGATTAACGAGCTGATCAGGACGGATATTTCCATGATTGATTGCAGAATTAATAAAATCTAATTCGAAAGAGGCATTATCGGCATAAGGAGCAGTTTCAGGAATAATACCAATCTTATAACCAAGGGAATTATAAGTTGCAATAAGTTTTTCTAGTGAATCAATTTTTTTCTGTGCCAAAATTTCCTTTTCAAAAGTTTGTTTACTTGATTCCTCCATTTTTCCCGTAACAATTTCTAAATTCTTTACTAATGATTCACGTTCAGCTGTCATTCTATCAACATCTGCCGGTGAAATAGGTTGTGCATCGACTTGAGTTTGCAATTCCGACTTTTCAATACTAAGCTGAGATAACTCCTCTTCTTTATTAAAAAGTTCATTTTTAAGTCTAGCATTTAAATCTATAATTTTTTTCTTCTTGTTTTCAAGGTATTGAATATATTGATTAAATTTATCTTTATCAGATTGTAAAACTTGCCGCTCTCTATTTAATGCTTCAATAGAAGACATAGACTCTGTCATGCTTTTCATGGTTTTCGAAAGAGATCCATTTTCTTTTTCTATACGTTCAATTACTGAAAGAATTTCATCATTGCGCTTATCAAATTCTTGTTCAAGCTCTTTTTCCATTTCACTAAAATCATCATCTCCAGATAAAAAAACACGATATGCTTTAGTAAGGTAATCAAAAAATATCTTCTCTGCATGATTATCATTATTATCATCTACATTGATCTCGCCATTAATTAATTTTTCAGTGCACTTTTAATATTTAGTTCTCTTCTTGAAAAAAAAAAAAAAATTAACATACTGTTATCACTTCTACCATCCAATGTAACATCGATAACATTGATGGCCATGAATGTGGCGACCCAACTGCCATTAATTGCGATCTAGAAATTTGATCTGCAAATGGGTATCTTAAATCAATCAATATTCCATTAATAAAATAAATAGAAACATACTTTAAATTCTTTATACATATTATAACCTCATCATCCATTTTTTTAACAAATTGATAGTTCGGATCTACTCTATTATATAACCATTTAAAAATCGCTATAAAATCTTTTTGTGTAGGTTGTTGAAGATTTTTCTGCGTTAATGCCTGAGGAAATCCAGAACTCGTAAGATACGAAATAATAGAATGTATACATGTAAGTTGATATTGTTTATCACGGATCGGTCGTGGATCTTTCGATGGCGCTTGTGACGCTGCCTGAGAAATAAAACTAATACTAGACGGACGTCCTGATGTATAAACACTTGATCGTCGTGCACTTAACACCATTAACTTCCAAAATACATCTCTTATTTCCCATTCACCTTGATGGTGCAAGACTTTGTCTAGAATTCCGAAATACATCTTTTTGACTTCCTGTCACTCCATGTCCATTTTCCACAAAATTCCCACTATTAGAGACACGTTGAAACCCTCTATTCTGTCCAATAGAAGATGATAAATGGCTATTTGATCCTTCTACTCCTAATACTGAGCCACGTATACCTATTCCCTTCTTCATCACCGATGATGGCTGTGGAATCTGAGAATATGCCTGATTCTCAATAACACCAAGAGTTTTCCTCCGGTGAGAGCTAAATCTCTCTTGATTCATCTTTAACTTTATAAAATATGCCTTAAATCTGGCTAATCTGGCTAATTTTACTTAAGTTTTTTTTAAGTCTGCTCGACAAAGTAAACAACACGTCTCCGTTTCCTGGGTGACAAGAGAGTCTATATAAGTTTAAGAGTGAATAATAAAGAAATATACATACTAAAGAATTAAATATTATTTGAAAATAGAGAAAATTTCGTAGTAAATAAGATAGAGTTATTTTTTGTAAATTTTTTTTAGAATATTTTTTGATAAAGTTGTGAAGAGTTAATATAAAGCGAAAAAAAACGAAGTAAAAAGATCTATAATGTTAGTAGAGAAGGAATGAATTATTGATATTTAGATTTAGTTTTAAAATTGTATATTTTGATATTGGATTATTTGAATAATAATTGAATGATTGAATAATTGAGAATAGATTTGATGAAATTTGAATTTGTAATTAAATAGAATGTAATATAGAATTGATTTTTGTTGATAAAGAGATCAATTATGAGAAATTTTTCCAGATCTTTCGTTTAAATTATCTTTTAAAGAAGAAAAATCAGAAGAAGTTGTTAATGAATTTTCTGATGATATTTTATTTATAGAAGAAGTAGAATAGAATGATAAAGTAGAAGAATTGTCAGAATCAGAACCCTTATTTTCTGAAAACTCATTTTGTTTTGATAAATGTATATTTTTTTTTGAAAAAGATTCATATGAATGTGAAAAATCAAATTTATTGCCATAAAACAGTTGTTGAAAGAATCTTTGAAGAGTTTTTGCTTTAATTAAACAAATGATGATGATAAATAATAACTCTGCTACCCAAAAGAAAGATATAAAGATAATAAATGAAAATATTGGATAATAATAAATTATATATCTATAGAAAAAAGGCTTAATAAAAAAAATATATAAATATCTACCTTATTCCTCGTAATCTAGCAGCAAAAACCAATTTTGAAGAATAAACTTGAACAGCATAAGAAAGTGTTATATTGACTGATTTTAACATAGTTTCATGACCTTTACTATATTTAAATCCTTCTATTAGTGGTATAACCAGACGTTCTTCTTCTTTTGCCATGCCCAAGAGTAACATTGGAAATGCAATTAAAACTCTTAACTTTCTTAATAATGAAGAAGAAAATTTGAGTATTGCAGATCTTGAAGATGTAATAAGCATTTTTGAATTGGAAAACAATTCAATTTTTATCATAAAATTTCCTTAAAAATCAATCTCAGAATTACATGTATATATAAAATACCTATAGATATATTTATATCTGATAAAGGCATAAGAAGTTCAAGAAAAATATCATAAAATTGAGAATTTATAAACCTTTTTTCCAATGAAAAATCTATAGAAGCCCATGTTTTATTATGACTAAATGGATTAAAATCATTAAAATCCTATAAAGAGAAATTTACTCGTATTGCAAATATACTGGTTGACTTATCTCCATGTATGGAATGACATACCAATAAAACAGAAAATAACCTATGATAGAAATAATAAATGCATACAGAAGTATGATTGTTAATATAATTAATATAATTAATATTTTCCATATCATTATATTTCTAATTTTTAAGAAAAACATGTATACTAATTTTTATCAATAAATCAATTAAATAATATAAAATGGTTACCATTAAATATTCAAAAGATATAATCATAATTCTGTATAAATTTTAATTTCTTTTATATAAAAAAATAAAGCCATCACATCGCTATTGATAAACTAAGATATTAGATTTTATATGCTTAAAAGATAAAACCATAAAATATAAAAGATTTATTTAAAGTACAAGATCCCTTTAATATATCTAATAATCTATTAGAAAGTTATTTTTAATATATACACCAGACATTTTAAAAAAAAAAATTAAAAATGTCAATTATAATAAAATATTTATGAAATAAGTGTAGTACGTTGAACAAAATTACTAGGAAATAAGCCGCGTTTAGATTTTTTCGAATTTAAAACTTCGCCTTCCCACCATCCATCTTCTTGCATATCCAATACTAAAAGAATATCATTTTTAACAAAGCTTATTTCTTCAGGAATGGTAGCCATGTAATCATACAATGCACGAACTAAGAAAATTAGGAATTAAATGAATGATTTTATAATTTAAAGATACCATAAAACAATATTCTTTTTCCATCATCGGTATATTGTGAAGGGGATAAACCATTATTCATATGCATTTTTCTATCATTGTGAGATAATGGAGCGTTAAACATCCGTGCATCATTATTATAATAATCTCTATATCCACTAGGGATTGATGTGCTATATGGTATATGTTCCGTATGCATATTATATTTACTTCTAGATATCGCTCTATAACTACTAGGACAAGGTGAAGCACTTCTCGCTCTAGAATATTTATTTATTAAATTGCCATCAGCATCCAATGAAATATCAAAAGGTGATGATACAGGAGGCTGTCGTCTTGAAACACGATTATAAAAGTGATCAGGATTTTCTGTAGTAGGACGAAAAGTTAATGGACGCGATATACTATCATCCTGAAACGATTCCATAGGTCTTCCAATTCTTGATGGATATGCACCAGGAGGAGTAGATTTATAAACAATTGGAGAACGTGATCCTGATCTAGGATAATCGTTTTCCGGAGAAATAGTTCGATATTCTAGCTGGGGACTTGATGCTCGTAAAGCACGTCTATAATCCATATATGGCTTTTCAGAAGCTACAGGTAGTCGCATATTTTCTGGAGAACAAAGTCCTGTATTGTGATTCTTTCCTCTAGCCATTGGCATTATTTCTTTTTCTGAAAACATATTTTCCTGAACTTGACCATAACAGATGCCATTATTATTCATTGGCATTGTACGATATTGTGGATAATATATATCCTTTTCTGATGTACTATAAATATCATTTGCCTGTTTAGTATATGCATGACTCATATGTTTTATTTTTGTTGCTGTCATAGAGGAAGGAGATGAACTAAGAGGATCTAACTTAACAAATCTATTAGGTATAGACAAAGCCGGTTTTTGAGGTATTGGTATAGATGAACGAATATTTGAAGGAGGTTTTTGCGGTTCAATAGGGAAACAATGTCTTCTATCCATAATTTCAGGATCTCGAATGTCATTATCATCAATAGGATCATGCCATGAAACTCTTGGTTCTCTTTTTGGCGATGTTTTAGAAGAAACCTTAAATTGATTAAGAGCTGTCACAATTGGATCTTCAGGACTATGTATATCTGGCCTTTTCTTTCTTTCATTTGTTTCTACTTTAAATAAATTATTTCCCACATTTAACATTACGTTAGCACGCGGATCAATTGATTCAATTTCGGGATCACTAACCACACCCATGCCTTTAAGTCTTTCAAATAATGGAGATTTAGCTGTATCATAATTCTTTTTAATGCTAGAATTTTTATATGAAATAGTAGATCGGTATCCAGCTTGATTTATTTCATTGGTGGTTTCTTCCATAGATAGATAGCCTAATCCTTTATCATTATTATTAAAAGAATTTCTATCATTTTTTTTAATTTTAGAAGCTATTGGTGAAACTTTTTCATCATGATTCTTATAATTGAATGATGGAGAACCTGCTTGTGTCTCACTATTATGTGGATACGCTGAAGTACTAGGCGAGAATCCTTTAGTATTTGAAGAATCCAATAAGGTACCATTTTTACAAAGTTGAGTAATACCATCAAAAGGAACTTTATTAGAATCTGTCTTTGAAGACGGTTCTGGCTGACTATCTGAAACATATGAAGAAATTTTAGGAGATATATAGGCACTATTTTCATTAAATATAGAGCGTTGCATAATAACATCAGAATGAAATTGAGGATCGCTAACTCGAGAAAATTGAGCTATGGAACATGTCGGGTCATTTAAATCTTCAAACCTAATATTATTCGGGTCTTTAGATTTAGGTGGATCTAGAAATGTCAAATTATTTAATATTCACTCGTCATTTTTTACTTGGAATCTCTTGACCCGTTCCCTTGGTTCGGATAAACAGTTGTATATCATTTTGAGTATTACAATTTTTAATTGATTCACGAATTTTTTGGCATGACTATAAATCGATTAAAAATTATAAAAGATAATATTTTAAAAAATCCCTTATTATCACTAACACACGTTTCCGATATAATCCCAGAAAATGTCCATAAACTAGATTTAATAAAATTGAGACGCCTTTCCTCAAGATCCTGAAATTTCTAGACACAATATAAAAATAAGAATTATACCAATAGCTAACATACATCACATGCAATTTTCCATTCTCGAATCCATTTAATAGATGTTTCCTGAAGTACAGTAATAGCCAATAAATAATCATTGTCTAAATAAAAATAAATTATATTCATTAATAATAATGATCACTCAACTATTTTGAGCCATTATTTGTGATTTATCCACCTTTTGATTATTTTTCTCCGAACTTTTTCCTAAAAATAAACTCAATTGAGACGTCTGTCCACTCGATTTGCCACTTTTATCCTCTATTTTTTCCTTACACTTCAAAGTAAAAAAAATAAACACGAAAATAATAAACACCAACCTTCTGAACTTGATTCTCCTGTGCTATTTTTATCCTACGAAGTTTCTCTAAATTTGATTGAATCTATTTTATTCATTTTTTTTAAATTTTAAAAAAATCTCATTATACCGTTTTTCGATTTGTACGCATATCGGTGGAAAATGCATGTAATGGCTCTTCTAATTCTCCACGAATCTGAAGAGCAACATTGGAATGTTGTTTTGCAATAGTTTCTGTTTCTTTTTGTAAAATATCAAAACTTTCACGCATCGTTCCAATTTCATGAGATCCTAATGTTCCTCTAACTAAACGGCGTAATCTTCGCGCATATTCTTCTTCTATTGTTGCCCTATAAAACACAAAATTCAGTTTAATTCATACTTTCTTTTGAATTTTCTTCTAAAATCACGTGACTTGTCACGTGATTTAAGCCTCGTGACATCACACGTCCATATTTTTAAGTTTAACTTATATTTTAACTTACCAATCTTTATAAAACATTCTTATCTCCTCGCAAATATTCTTTGCTTCATTCATTCGACCAAATAGAACATCTACCCCTCGCTCATCTTTACCCCAAAAATGATTACAAAAATTTAAAATCGTTCCATCATCATGCATGATCTCTTTCGTTTCAATTCTTTCTTTTAATTTACTCTCTTTTTTCCTTGATGAATCTATGCATTGTTCATTTCAATTCCTTTCCTTCATTTCCTTTATTCATATTTACCTATTTTCCAATCCAAAAAAAATATCCAAAACTTAAAAACACACCTTTTTATATAATAAATCGTTGCTTACTTGGGATTAGTTAATCAATTCCTTAAGAAATACAGATTTAAGCCTCTTTTTTACTCAAAAAAAGCTATAACCCCCCTAAATATTACAGATCTTGAAAATTTTAAGATCTGAATCGTATTCGAAAATATCCTACTCGTGTCTACTAAAATACTCTTTTGAAATATATCAAATCTCTTTGAAATAATAAAAATAACCTCTTATTCAAGAAAATTTCATCAATTAACGCATTCTATGCGCGCGTATTAATACAGAAAACCTGTATTTCCTTGTAATTTGTAGAGAAATCATATCAAAGGGTTATCCCTAAAACATAGGGTCAAGTTATTAGGGTTAGGTACAAGTTGCTAGGGGTAGGTCCAAGTTAGGGTTAGGTCGAATAATCAGGGTTAAGGGTCAAGCATAGGGTTAGGTGTAATTCCAAGGGTTAGGTATAACCATAAGGCTTAGGTATAAGCACAAGGGGTAGGTATAACATCCAGGGTTAGGTATAAATAAAAGGGTTAGGGGTAGGTCATCTCATATTCATAAGGGCCAGGGTTAGGTTTATTAAAGAAAGTAGGGTTAGGTCAGGGTTCTTCCTACAGAAAGTCTCCCTGCTCGCCTATTTTTTCTGAATAACCTTCGATTTTACAAAGTCCTTTATAAGAAGGAGAAAAGTATAAAAAGTTCACGAAAATGAGTCAAGAATCATTGACTGGAAATCGTGGAACGAATGTTCAGATGCAGGTCCAGGTGTGCCGGGGATCTCCGGTACTGGAGGGACGATACACACAATCAGGACAAAGCTCTCCTCAAGGAATCTCATCGTTACAAACAATTGTAAGAGCACAAGTTTTTTTTTTGTTATCCACTTTGACAAAGGATAATTATGATACTACAGTGATGCAATTGAAAGATGTAAGGATTTGTATTTTTTTTTTAAAATTAGATATAATGATTGATATTTTTTATAGTTATATAAGGAAAACGGGCCAGATATTTATTTGCATCTTTTGAGACGATTGATTCAATATAATGTGGGTACTATTTTGGGGTTAACGAGGATGCATGAAAATCCAGCAACATATAAATTGCTTTCAGAGGAGATATATTCACTTTCTACAACACCATCAGCATCGTATCAATTTGGTAATGCAATTTCAGGGGCAGCATCGGGAATTTTTAATGATTTTGATATGAAAAAGTTTTGCCGATATTTTGATCTTGATGCATTTCAAAAATCAGTTTTAGCTTCAAGCCTTTTGCAATCATCAAAAAAAGATTTACAAGGTAAAGGTTTGTTATTTTATGTGATAACTCGTAATTTTACAATGATAAAGCATTGGAAATAATGATTGAAAATATATATGGCGTTATTGAAATTATTAAAGAAGGAAAATATCAATCGAAACTTACGGATGATGAGATTGTAATATTTTTGAATCAATATTTTCATGAAGAAGAAACTTTTACACTCAATTCGCATCAGAAATTCTTATTTGATGCAGTTATTCGTGAAAAATACTCAGGTACAGAAGTTCCTGTTATTGTCGAAGAGGCACTTCAACAATATTTGTAATAATGATATTCCTAAATTTAAGATAACTACTTACATAGCGTAGAAAATTGGACGATACTTTACAAATGATTATAGATGTATTAAAAATTATAGATTTGGATGTTCCGGCTTTTGAAGAAACCCTTAAAGGAATTTTTTATCATAATAAAATTATAGAAAAAACACCTTTCAATGAGTTTTCCTATTTAATATCTGACACTTTATTTATTATGTCTACACCCGGCTTTATTGGATGGGATACAGAAATATTTGGAAAAATAATATTTCAACTGGTATTTTCTTTTTTAAAATATTTTATTTAATTTAATTTATTTTTAAGATCCCTGAATTAAATGTTGAGGATATAATAAAAACACTGGATAGACCTACAATTCCAACAAGAAATTATTTTAAGTTAGATATGTTTCTTAAAGGAATATCTATAATGATTGAAAATGATAAATCACATTTTCCTTTAAAATTTCTGTGGGCTCCATGGAAACATCCTCATTCTCAGCTTCAAATATTGCAATATTTAACATCAATGTCCTCTGATTCTTTCAACCTTTTATCTTATTCATGTCAAAAAATTCTTTCTCTTGAAAATTTTCAAGATAGCAGTTCTACTATAAAAGCTTTCGCTGCTAATTTGGAAACTCAAATATGGAATTCTTTCGATTTGATAAAAACTATGATCATACTTTTAGATAATCCTAAATCTAATGAAAATGCATCTGCATTCTTAGACAAGGCAATGCAATTAGCTCCTGAATTGGTATTTTTGGGCTTAGCTCAAAAACAGGTTAGTTCTTTGATTGAAATTACCCATACTTTAATATTTTAGAAACCATGGAGCGTAGAACATGTTAAATTAATGGATAAAGGATTCGATATGTTTTTTTCTAGGCATTCAAATTATCAATTAGTATTTATTAGACTTTGGCAGGTAAATCCAGAATATATGGGAAGTTCATTCATTAAGTTGCATTCAAAAAACCCAACATGCATAAATCAAATTCTTAATATTTCTGAAGATTTGAAAATTAAGGATTCTCTCTTAAAATTACGACCATATTCATTTTCCATTGATTTTGCAGCACAGGCATCAAAACGGCAATATTTAAATTTAGAAAAATGGTTGCAAGACAATATTAATGAAAATCATGATTTTTTTATTCGAGCTTGTTTAGATTATTTAAACTTCAAATCATCTTTAGAAAATACTCAACAATTTTCAGATACTTCATCGCCGGCAACTAGATTGCGTATTGAAACCGTTGCTATCTTCTTAAGAGTTCTTATGAACAAGTAGCTATTTACTTTTACTTTTAATTTTTATTTAACTTCTATTTCAGTTCAATGTCGGCTGCTAATAGCGAACTTTTTAGATCAGTTCAAACTATTTGTTTGCAAGTATATCCTAGATTAATGAATATTGGTCAGGGAAGAGATGAGATTATTACTTCAAATAATGAAATAAATACTTTTTCTAAAGATGTCGAACAACAACAAGAAGCCTATTATCAGCGCCTTTATAAGGGTGATCTTAGCATTAGTGATTGTATTATTTTATTGCAGAAACTAAAGGTTTCAGAAAATCCTAGAGATCAGGATCTTTTTGCATGTATGCTTCATAGTTTATTTGATGAATATCGATTTTTCCCTGAATATCCAACTAACGCTTTAGCAATTACTGCAATACTATTTGGTAGTCTTATTCAATATCAATTATTATCATACATTCCTCTTGGAATTGCACTTCGTTATGTACTAGATGCTATACAACAGCCTCCGAATTCTAATATGTTTAATTTTGGAGTTCAAGCTTTAATTCAGTTTCAATCAAGAATTGCGGAATGGCCACAATATATATCACATATTTTAAGAGTGACGCATTTGCGGATTTTTCATCCGGAACTTGTGCAAAATATTCGTAATTCTTTGAATGCAACAAGACATACTAGTTTTGGGGGGAATTCTAATTTAATAACTGAGTCATCCCAAACTCAACAGTATCTACCTTTTATATCTGTACGACTTAGTAAACCTTTGCGCGATGCATCGTTTTTTGAAGATCCATCAGAATCTGTACAAGATAAGATTTTATTTATTATTAATAACATGTCTCATGGAAATTTGGATCAAAAAACAGAAGAACTTCGTGAATGTTTATTAGAGCAATACTATAGTTGGTTTTCGAAACATCTTGTCAAAAGAGCTAGTACTGAACCTAACTACCATTCTTTATATTTTCAACTTCTAAATACTTTAAATATTGATTTTCTTAAGCAGCAAATCCTTCATGAAACATATGCAAATGTTATTCTTCTTTTAAATTCTGAAAAAACTATGCTTTCTACAATGGAGAGAGGCTTTTTAAAAAATCTTGGTTCTTGGCTAGGAGGGATAACATTATCTCAAAATAAGCCTATTAAACATAATAATATCGCATTTAAAGAACTTTTATTAGAGGGATATGATTCTAAGAGATTAATGGTTGTTCTTCCGTTTACTTGCAAAGTTCTTGAACAGGCAGCAAATTCAAAAGTATTTAAGCCCCCTAATGCCTGGTTAATGGGTATATTGAAGTTATTAGCTGAGCTTTATGAATCAACAGATATAAAACTAAATTTGAAGTTTGAAATAGAAGTATTATGTAAAAAGCTGGATTTAGATATCAAGTTTTTAGAATCAACTTCTTTACTTAAAGGAAAAACTTCAAAGATTGAAAGTGAAAAAATCAATGAAAATGAAACATATCATAATCAGGACAAACCGTCTAAGAAAACAAGCGCGGAAACAACTTACTTTCATAATAATCTTATGAATACCAATTTTGTAATACCGAATTTGTCTAATCATTTTGTTATTAATCAGGGTATTACAATGTTTATGAATGCAACTAGTTTGAAAAGAGTACTCCAGATCGCAATTGATAGAGCTATTCGAGAAGTATTTGATTAGTAATATTATAATACCATTACTAATTTAATTTAGATAATTGGACCAGTTGTAGAGCGTTCTGTTACTATTGCTGGAATTTCTACAAAAGAATTGATTACAAAGGATTTTGCTACTGATCCTAGTGAAGAAAAGATGAAGAATGCTGCTCATATAATGGTTCAGAATTTGGCTAGTAGTTTAGCATTAGTAACATGCAAAGAAGCTTTACGCATTAGTATAACTACTAATTTACGCAACATTCTTTTACAGAATGGGATAAATAATCAACAATTTCCTGAACAGGCGGCTATGCTGATTGTCTCTGATAATCTCGATCTAGCTTGCTCTATTATAGAAAAAGCAGCTATGGAAAGAGCAATTCCAGAAATAGACGAGAATTTGTCTGTAGCATTTGCAAATAGAAAACGTCACAAGGAAATGCGTTCTCGGCATTTGTTTCTGGATCCTTCTGTGCAAAGAGTTCCTTTATCTCTTCCTGATCCTTTGAGATTGAAACCGCATGGGCTTACTGCACAACAACTTGCAACTTATGAAGAATTCTCTCGAATTCCAAGAACTGCATCGCAGGCTATTTCTATTTATGGTAAATATAACATTATATTTTTTAGTTTTAACTGTAACTAGCTCATGAAGAATCACCACATCAAGCAAACATTGCATCTGAAAATAATATGTATGGAATAGATTCGGAAATGTCCCATCAGCGGAATAGTAGTGCTTTTGGATTGTCAAGTTTAATTAGTCAAACTGTAGAAAAGCTTACTGTAAGATACATATATATATATATAATATTAAATATTTAACTTGAAAATAGATTATAATTTTAGAATTGGAAAAAATATCGTCTGAAGCTAATTTCCAATATTTATCAGATGTTCCTTTAGATCATGATATATATAAGCTTCTTAAACAAATATGTAACTCTACTAGTCAATTAAAAGCTTCTATTAAGGATGATATTATTCTTGTTTCTGCACAGAGGGTTTTACAATTACTTTTTAAGGGTAGTGAATCAACTCTTATGATTGAAACATTATCTGTTCTTCTGAAAAAATTTTCCGAACAATCTCCTAAAACATTTAAGGATATTGAAATTTGGCTGCTTTATTCAAATGATAAGGTAGATATTAGATCCCATTTCTCGAGAACTTTATTAACATAATTTTAAAAGCGAAAATTAGATGCTAATGTTATGGCTGCCCTTATTAAAGTAGGTCTTATAACATCTTCTGAATTGGATATTCAACTTTCAAAACAAATAATGAAACAAAATAATGCTGTTATTGAGTTTACAGTATCCCTTATAAAAAAAATTCTATTATCTATTTCTACATATAATTTTCAAACAGAATTTTCTAATTGTCTTGACGCATTTGAAATTCTTTCTAGAAGAGGGGAGGTACCTCATTCTGTGACAGAACTTCTTCAGATTGTTCATATTTCAAACATGGAAAAGACAAAAACAAATATATTACCTTCTATGAATGAGACTACTATACAAGAACAATTGGCATATATTTTTGCAGAATGGATTCGATTATCAACACATCCTGCCTCAAATGAAAAAACTTATATAGCATTCATTTTACAATTGCAACGTGAAAAAATTATCACTGATGAACAATTATCATATACATTTTTTAGAGTGGCTATAGATCTTAGTATTAATAATCTTATAAAACAGCTGGAAAACTATGGATCTTCTAACAATCCTAATTATCTTCCAATAGATTCACTTTCTAAACTAATAGTTTTACTTATTAAGTATTATTCTGATGAAAATGATAATAAACCGAATATTTTATTAAAAATTAAATATTTTTCAAGTATTTTGTCTATTATAACATTGGTTTTTGCAAATTATCACGAAACTTTTGGGAGGAATTTTTATCAAAAACCATTTTATAAATTATTTGCAAACATGCTGTATGAATTTAATAATGAAACATATTTTTCAGATATCCAATATGATATTCTTGAAACTTTAGGGTAAGATAGTTGAGTTTACATATGATTTTATTTACGTATGATAGTGAAACATTTTTAGCATTACAGCCATTGCATTTTCCAAAATTTACTTTTGCATGGATGACATTGATTTCGCACAGATATTTTATGTCATCTCTTCTTTTATTGCCGGATTATAAGGTTTTTAAAAAACATAAGTTTTATTTTAATTAATTTTTATAGGGATATCCTATTTATAATAAAATCATTATTACTTTACTTGAATTTATCGCACCGTTATTAGAGGAAACTGAACTGCACGATACAACTAGAATGCTTTATAAGGGGACTCTTCGTCTACTATTGGTGCTTCTTCATGATTTCCCTTCGTTTTTAGCAGACTATCATTTTTCTTTTTGTTCTATTATTCCTTCAAATTGTATCCAGCTTCGTAATCTAATATTGAGTGCGTCACCTAAAACAATCAGGTTGCCTGATCCTTTTCAATCAGGTCTGAAAGTAGATCAATTACCAGAAAGTTCTCAAAATCCTACTATTCGTACAGATATTTATGCAGTTTTAAAGAGATTTGGACTGAGAGATCAAATAAATAGTTATCTTTCTGGAGAAAATGTAAAAGATATTATTTCCAACATAATTAGTAAGCTACGAACTTGCGAGGAATCTATTTTCAAACAAGAATTGAAACCAAAGAGCAGAATTAATGTACCCTTTATAAATTCTTTGGTATTGTATATAGGAATGAAGACTATTGAAGACTTTCAATTGCAAAATAATGGCGCCCAACTAATATTTTCACCTACATCTGCATCAATGACTCTTTTTGTAAAATTACATAATAGTTTGGACTTTGAAGGTAATTTTTTTAATTTTTACATAACTTTTAGTAAATTTTTAGGTCGTTATTATTTTCTTGAAGCAATTACTAATCAGTTACGATATCCAAATAGTCATACGTATTATTTTAGTTCTGTATTACTTTCCTTGTTCGAAAACTCTACAGATGAAAGCAATATAATGAAAGAGCAAATTACTCGGTATATTTTCTATTGTTATATTCTAATAAATTAAACTTCTTTTAGAATTTTGCTAGAAAGATTTATATGTAATCGTCCACATCCGGTATTTAATTTTATTAATTTATTAAAATTAACAATTTTGTTAGTGGGGTCTTCTTATTACATTTATTGAATTATTAAAAAATTCTTATTATAATTTTTGGTCATTGCCATTTATAAAATCTATACCTGAGGTAATATAATTAAAATTTTAAAACCTTTTATTAATTTAAAGTTTGAATGCTTGTTTAATAGTCTTTTTTCACATATAAATAAAAATATTGAGAGTGTAGACGCTACAAAATGATATAAACCATTGGGACTTATAAGGAAATCATGTTAATAATATTGTTGTATTATATTAAATATTATAATATTTATTGAGTCTAGATGGATTTTAGAATCTTGAATTTTATTAAAAAATATATTATTTCTAAAAGTTTTTTAAGATTTTTGTAAATTTTATAAAACAGTTTTTTAATGAATATTAATGATATTGAACAATAAAATATTATAAATAATTAATATTTCTATTTAAAATATACTTAGTAAAGAAATATAGCCTTCAAGCTTTAGATTAATAAAAATTGCAATAGAAAATTATATTAATTGTAATAAATGTACGGTTATCAAGAATGATAATATACTAAGTTACACTAAGACACATGAACTCTTTAAAATAATATAAATTTCTATTAAAAATAAGAACATAATATTTCAACATTAATTATATATTTTAAAAATAAATGTTAATCTTTCGCTTATATATTGAATAAAATGTTAAAATACTTTATTGTATTAAACAGTTCTTTTCTGAATATTTTGTTTTATTAAATTGCTTTGAAGGTTTAGAAAATGTAGAAAAATCTTGGATATCTGGCGATTTAAATGTATCAATTTTAGGCATCTCTTGTGATAAATCTGGTACATAGCTTTCTAGTTGATAAAATAATATATACCTAAATAAAAATAAATAAATAATATCATATTTTATATATAACTTACGGCATTTCTGAGTTAAGAACTTCATCAGGATCACAAAAAACAGAAACTCTTCGGTAGGCTAAGTCATCAAAAAGAAACCATCTATAAAATTTTAATGTTAAAAAATATAAACAATATAAACTAACTTTTTTGAAAACGAATCTTTACAAAAAGCTATATAATGGCCAGAATCAATAGTAAATCCTGGATTCCTGTGACAAACTACCGATTGCAAAACAAGTCTATATTTTTTAATTTCTACTGAATTATTTGTAGAAACTTCCTCATGTGATATAAAATAAGGCAAATCAAGAACAAGGGGAATTGAAACCCTTCTATTGTTACAGTATGCTTCTCCCGTTACTGTCCAAGTATATCTTTTGAGACAAATAGTTACTACAGGAAGCTTTTCTAGAAAATGTTGATTTAAATTATCAGGTTGTTTGTATACATAAAATGGAAGAAGCTGAAAAAACTGCCATGCTGAAACCAAAGGAGGATCTCTTTGAGAATATAATGCTGCTATATCATTATCATAAAAATCATCCAATTGATCATAATAATTTCTATCGTTATCTACTATATTACAATTATAAATGTATTTCTGAGAGCCTTTTTTAGAACTATCTGCAGAAAACGATTGTTCGACACATCTTTTGACTTTTATTCTATTGTTAAAGTACTCTGAAAGACATTCTTCTAATGATATCGGGGTCTCATATGATAAAAAGTCGCCAGGAATTGGAACACAGAGTAACCTTTCATGAATATACTAAAACAAATTTAAAAACATAAAAATAAATTGTTTTTAAAAAACCTTATGATCTTCCTCACTATTAAATTTCCCTCCATGTGCTATGACAACTTTAAACGTTAATAAAGGAAAATTCAATCGCTCTCTAATCAATTAATATATTTTTCTAAATATAAAATAATCATTTACGTAATAAAAACATATACTTCAGAGGCATCTTGTTGCGTTTTACATGCACTTTTCCAACCACATTCAATCAAAACGTCACATAATTGCTAATAAATCATTAATACACAAAATCTCTCTAAAATATTCAATTACCGATACAATATCCTTTGTAATTAATCTTCCATCACGTAACTTTTTTACTTAAATTTATATTTTATTTTTAAAAAAATTCTCACCATATTAACCCATAATCTAATAAATGTACAAAGTTTTGTAGAAATAGGATCCTTTCCTTCCTGAAAAAGCATTGCCTCAAAACAATTGGTTTTTGCAAACATAGCAAACAAAAGCGCATCTAAATAACATGTAACACCATTTAAATTTTCCGACCCAAGAAGTTCAATACCAGGTTCAATCTCATGCACAATCAATTCATTCGCTTCACTCAAATACATCAAAAACTACTTATTTCAATACTTTCTTTTTACTCAAAAAATTTACTTCAACTGCTAATTTTACATTTCCTCGTGCATAGCTTCCTTTTAATGCATTCATAATCGTCAAATAATCCATATCATATCCATTTTTCTCTAGTTCTGACATGACGTCTAAAATCTAACCCAATTAATGTATTTCTTTAAAACTCCTTTTCTACTTGAGACTCTGAAATTTGTACGTCATATACTGATGAATATGTGTCTTTTAACATATAAAACGACGGTTCTGATAGGTTCTTCTTAATATAAACCATTAAAAATCGTCATAATAATAGGCTAAATGGCTGTATTTTACTTTCTTATGTTTTATTAATTGGTTAAACTTCTTTAACTTCATAATTTGCTTGTTTTTTGTCCTTTTTTTCCGGGAAAAAAGGGCCTACACTTTATATAACCTTTATATAATCTATTCCTATCTAAAATATTAGCAAAAACTCTGTTATTAAGGCTATTTATCAATTTATATACCTTCATTAAATATTGGAGGTTGGAGGATATCGAGACAACGTCAGGATTTTCTGAACGACAAGATATTAGAAAAAAGCTAATAAATAGAGATTTGAGGGGTTAATAGAGGATTTTTGAATAAAATATGAATATTTTATGTAGGAATTGGCCTAGATTTAAGTTATACGTTTTTTCAGCGAAAAAAAACTCGGCAAATATCTCAACCCAAAAATTATTAGGAAAAAACTATTTATATCCACCATCGTCGCCTCTATCGCCTTCATTTTTAGCATTAGAGACGTCCCAGTGTAGAATTTTAGGTAGGTGCTTTTTTTTCTTTTTTTTGGGCGAAAATTGGGCGAAAATTGAGCGATTATAAGAGAACTATTGGATGATGAATAAATTTATTAATAATAAGGGCTTATATATTGATTAAGAGGTAGATTATTATAATATGACACTATGCCATGATATTATGACCTTGACATATACTCATGAAGAAAAAATTAAGTTAAAAAACCGAAATCTTCTTCGTTATTGGGATGGAACATCACCATATCATAAAAATCGACCAGCACGTCTTCCAAGAGGAAATAAGCCTCTTAAACCTATTAAAGAAATAAGAACACATAGGAATATTCCAGTTTTAGAGAGTGTAATTGTCCATTCTATGGTTAAAGATGCAATTGAAAATAAAACATCTCTTTTATCTATGGTTATGGCTATACAATGTATTACAGGGATAAAACCTGAGATTATAAATGCAAAAACAGGAGTAGCAGCATGGAAATTAAGATCAGGTATGATTAAATTTTATAATATTGTATAATATTAAAATAAAGAAGGAATGCCGATTGCAACAAAAGTAACCCTTAAAGGGTTAGAAATGTATAGATTTATTTCAGTTTTAGTAGAATTAGTTCTTCCAAGAATGAGAGATCTTGTATCAGGGTTTAAAGGTAACTCAGGAGATTCTAATGGTAATATTTCTCTTGGATTCCCACCAGATGCAATGACTTTATTTCCTGAAATTGAAGGTTTGTAGAATTATTTTTTTTCAAAGATTATTTTTAATAATTAGAAAATTATGATATGTTTCCAAAAATAACAGGTTTTCATGTCAATATAAATACATCAGCTAAAACAGATTATGAATGTAGACTACTTCTTTCTGGTTTTGGAATTCCTTTTGAAGTACCAAATAGAACCTAAATGATCCAATATTGAAAAATAATGTAATATAAACTAATAATGTAATGATACTTTTATTTCACTATTTTATAAATAAAAATAATTTTGGTGTGAAATGTAATTATTAGTAGTGATATATACCTAAAAATGTATACATTAAGAAAAGAATATAGAAAAAAATAATTATTTTTTTGCATCAGTCAAAGGACTAGAAACCATAGGTCCTAAAAAACTATATTTAAGTAAATCTGCTGCAGTAGGTCGTGCGTGATAATCTGGCTCAAATATTTTTTCTAAAAAATGTCTAGCTTCTGAAGTACAATGTTCTGGTATATCAGGGGAAACGTATTGTCCAATCTTATTTTGAATTTAGCATATCTAATATTAAATAAATTTTAAATTTTTACCTTAAATATGGCTTGTAATTGATTCATTTTCGGAAAAGGATGTTTTCCTGTAAACATTTCTACTATTAAACAGCCGAGTGACCATATATCGGCTTTTCTGGTATATAAAGTTTGTTTTACAACTTCAGGTGCCATCCAATAAACAGATCCTTGTAGAGATGGGCGTTGATTTCTTGTCATAGATAATAGGTTAGCTTCAACTTTTTTAGATATACCAAAATCTGATATTTTAATTCCTCCTTTGTTATCAACTAAAATATTGGCACCCTTAATGTCCCTATGAATGATTTTTTTGTTGTGTAAATAGTTTAATCCTTTAAGAATTTGTCGCACAAAATTTCTAATTAAAGGCTCTTCAAAAGCCCCATAATTATTTAATAATGCAGTAACGGATCCCCCAGGAACATATTCAAGAAAGAAGGTTAAATGTGTTTCGTCCATGCTTGATCCTAAAAAAATTAAAATAAAACATTTTATGTTTCAATAATACCAAGATATTGAACTATATTTTCATGATGCAATTCTTTAAGTAGTGAAATCTCTCTTTGTAAGGCATCCAACATGGCCCTTTTTCTTTTACATCCTTGAATATCAATAGACGGTATTTCAACTTGTTTTACTGCCATCAATTCTCCACTTAAAGCGTTCATTCCTAAAAATACACTTCCAAAAGATCCGCTTCCTATTAAAGCACCCTTAATCCATCTTGTAGGGCCGCTATTATTATTTTCTATTTCTTTTTCAGTATTAAAGTCTTTAGCTTCATTATTTTCAAAAATATTATCATCCAAGAGATCTCTATCTGTTTCCAAACTTGCATCATAAAAATCTGAAAGTATTGAAGGCTCCATTAACATATTAGGTGATTCTGATTTAAACGTTTCATCTGAAGAAGCCTTTTCTTCTAACTTTTTTCGAAAACTAGGTTTGCTATCTTGTGTGTTACCTTCTGAATTCAATTTTGATGAAGAAGATAATGTATGATGAGAACTATTTTCCCTTAAAATAGATGATTCAAGTAATGTAGGAAATCGAGTAGAAATAAAACGTGATAAAGAAAGTGTATGACTAACTCCTGATAATCTTCGGCCTTCATATTGAATCCGTTCTTCACCTACTGCAGGAATAGATGAAAGATCATATGTTAAAGTAGAACTAGGTGTGTCGAAATTTGATCCTTTAAAAGAATTTAAATGATTAGATTTAATAGAATTTTTAATTGTTTGTTCTAAAACTTTTTTCTCATGACCAGGAAAATACTCTGCTAAATTTGAATTAATAAGTTCGCTAGGAGGACGCTGACCAAAAAAATTTCTTATATGTGTTATATTCCCATATTTATTATCTTTCGGTAATGGTGAAGGTAATGGTGTAGTAAAAGATGATGTAAGTGTCGGAGCAAGTTTTTCTCCAAAAAATGTTTCCAATTTTCTCAAGTTACCTGACGTTTTTGCCATTACAGCTGTATGATATATAGCATCTCGTTGTTCTCTCGCAATCGTTTGTGATTTTTTAAATTCTTCTTGTGTTAATGGATCACTTTTTCTTTTTAAAATAAGTCGCTCTCTTTCTGGCCTTGATAATTGACGAGAAATGGTCAAAAGCGTATCATTAGAAATACATTCAACTAATAAAAATTAATATTTATATTAAATTTAAAACTTATTAATAACATGATCCATCTTCATTCGTAATAAAAACTCTCCATTCACTAGGATTTTCTGTTATATTGAATTTTTTAAGCGCCTTAGATAAAATAGCATCTGCCGTATAACAAAGACTAATATTTACAATTCGAGTTTGCCCTTTTTCTCCAATAAATTTAAGACAATTCTATATCAATTAAAATAAAAAAAATCATATAAAATATTATATTTATTACCTTTTTAATGGAATCTGATTGCATAACATTTGTCTCAAGAAATATAGGTGATTTTTCAAAAACTTTTTGTGTACTAATAGATGAATTTCTACTTATACTTTTAGTAGAACATGATATATTAGAAAGAACTGAATGGAAATTGTTTAATGAATCAAAACAACACGCATCGCTATATGAATTATCAAGTTGGAAATTTGATGTCGGCGACGCTAATTCACTCGATTTAACCGGAATTAAAGGATCCGTAGGACTCTGTAATGTAAATGAAAACCCTTGTATCTGATTATCTATCATTAAAAAGCTCATCTAGGCCCCATATTAACCCTAGGCATAAAAAATACCTTATCCTTATTACTTTCGATTTTCTTGCCGATTCAATACATTTCTCCCTTAATCCCTTAATACACACAGAAAGCCTAATACGATCCCCTAGTTTCTTAACACCAAGCTCCTTCAGCACCGCCGCATTACATTCTAATAGAATATCTCCATTAATATTGTTTTCTTACTTCATTAACCCCCTAAATCTCCAATAAAAAACTCTTACCTTTAAAAATATCCATATAATCTCCAAAATTATTCGACTCAAGCCATTCTCCCACTTCTTCCTCACTCCATAATCTCACTTTCTTTAAATAATCCATAGATTACCCCTAAAATACTCGGGATTTAACAAAATAAAAATATCCCATCTAAACACATATATAAAAGCTTCTTATCTCCTTAATTATTCTCATTTTATCCCCTGTTTTACCCTTTATTTTATTCATTTATTATATTTTTATATCTTTTCAATATCCGTGCAGGGCGCCAAGCCACGAGACTACATGTAAAAATAGATAGATATACATTGTATGAGTAGGGTTAGTTTGTCCCAGTCCATAGTTATTTGTAATTATTAAAGTTAATTTATTACTTTTTGATTTTAACATTTTTATGAAATATAATAAATTGTCATTAAATGAAGGGATATAAGGATAATGAACCTAGTATCAGCTTAGAAAAGGTAGTTTTCCCATATGAAATAACAGTTTCAGTTATGGAAGTTAAAAATAATATTCTTGTTATGGGATTGGGAGGAGGAGGAGTTTTACGTATGAATTTGGAACATCCAGAAGAAATTCAGGACTTAGAGATGCCATATAAGTATGTAGAAGTAGTGATTGAACGAATTTTTCTTTCACCGAATGGAAAACATTTGATAGTGGGGATAGAAAGTGATGAATATATATATTTTGAAGGGGAATCCATTCAAGGGAAGGTATTGACACAATTTAAAGGTCTTGGGATTAGATGTATTGCATGGAATAATGAGGGGAAAGATTATTTTAGAAAGGGAATTTTATTAGGAAGTTATAATGGAAATATATATGAAGCTAATATACAAATATTAAATAAACAAAATAAGTATGTAAGATGTGTATATCAGGGAGAAGATAATTCAGAAGTGATTGGGCTTTATATGGAAGAATTAACAGAAGATAGTGAATATTATTATATTGTAGTAGTTACAGAAAGAAAGATAGAATATTTTATGGGAAAAAAAGGAAAAAATGGATCAAATGATATAACAGTAACACAGGATATTTTTTCATCCAATGTAAAGGGATCTCAAGTTTTTGAAACGAAAAATTCACAATATTCAATATCACCAATTTTATTTGATGAATATAGCAATAATATGAGTGATAGATATATTGGATGGATATCAGAAAGTAATCTTTTTTATGGATCATTAAAAATGTTTGATATTGGTGTGTCTGAAAAGTTTAATTTTACATTGACACATTTGTTAATGTTGATAACAAGTTTAAATGAGATTATGTTAATGATATGATAGGGATACGGTTAAAAAGGATTTGAATTTGCCCTTTTTTTTTTGTTTTACACATTATCATATTATTCTTGTAAAACAATCAGAGATATATTTATTAAGTAGATTAAATCATCAGATTGTTTTTTCAGAAAAGATACCATTGGTAAATTAATTTTGATGGATACATATATCTTACAATATACAGGCATTAGGTGAAAAAATATTAGGTCTAGTAACAGATACATATAAAAGTTCATATTGGGTTTATTCAAAAGATTCTGTTTATGAAATTGTTGTTTCAAATGAAGATTGTAATATTTGGGATCTGTTTCTTAAAAATAATGATTATATTAAAGCGCTTAAATATGCTAAAGTAATGTTTTTAATCTTGATTGATTAAATAATCTCATTATTGTATCTATAGAAAAACTCTCATTATGATATTATTTACAGAAAATATGGAATGGATTTGATTAAACAGGATAAAGCTCGTGATGCAGCAAAAATATTAGCTAAAACAACATTTCCTATTGAAGAGATTGCCTTGAAATTCATAAGCATGAAAGACTATGATTCATTGAGAATATATTTACTTGAGAAATTAAGTATGATGAAGAAGGGAGTAAGGTTATTCTTTTTATTATTATCATAAAGTATAATTTATATAGGCAATTATACAAAAAACTATATTATCTACATGGTTACTTTTTTTATATATAACTAAAATGAATACACTAGAAGATATTCAAAGACAGAAGATTTTTCTTAATTTACCTGATACAACACAAACAGAAAACAAGGAAATTCAAAATGAATTCCGGGAATTTATAAATAAATATAAAGTAAAGTTATTTAAATATTGAAAAGTTATATCTTATAGAAATAGAATGATTTAAACCGAGAAGCTTCTTATTATCTTATTAATAGTCATGGCAGACAAAATGAATTGTTAATGTACGCAGAAAGTATTAATGATTATTCATATATTTTAAAATATTGGATAAGAAATCAGAATTATGATTCGGCACTTGACATTCTTAACAAACAAGATTCACCTGAATTAATTTATAAATATGCATCTGTATTGATTTTACAAAGACCAAAAGCAACTGTAGATATATGGATGTTGCATTCTGATATTGATCCATTGAAACTTATTCCTGCTATTATTGATTATAATCAACAATATAAGCCTCTAATAGAACATGTATGATTTATATATTATTTTTAAGTTAACTAATATTTTAAAGAATCAAACAATTCGTTATCTTTTTTTTGTTATTGATCAGACATCTATAACTGATTCTATTATTCATAATACATTATTATCATTACTTGCAAGCAGTGAAAATGAAGACGAAGCAACCCTCTTACAATATCTTGAATGGCAAAAAAGTAAGCATTATTATACTCAGGACTTTGCATTACGTACTTGTATTCAGTATAAAAGAATTTTGAGTTCTGTTTATTTGTATTTTGAAATGAATTTTTTTGAAGAAGCTATAGATTTGGCTTTAGAATATGATAATGTAGATTTGGCAACTACTATGGTAGATAAAATTGAGGATAATCAGATATTGAAGAAAAAATTATGGATTAAAATTGCAAAAAAAGTAATTATTCAATCTGATGGGGATACTAAGAGGTTTTAATTTTTTAATTTTATATAAATATAATAATAGACTTAGATTACAATTTTTAATGAAAAACAATAGGCTTTGTATTGAAGATTTAATCCTATTATATCCTGATTCTGTAAAAATTGATGATTTTAAAGTATTATAATCCAAAAACTTATACATAGATTAATATTTATTTATAGGAAGATATATGTTCTGTATTAAAAGATTATAGTTCTAATATAGATTTTTTACTTAAAAAAATGGAAGAATTAACTCAATCTGCTGATAATATTCGTAATAGTATACAAGATCATAATAACTGGTTCGTAATTTTGAATACAGAAGAAGAATGTAATATTTGTCGAAATATGTTATTAAATGAACAATTTTATGTTTTTCCATGCCAACATTGCTTTCATAAAGATTGTTTATTTTCAAAAGTTTCAGAAGATACTACTTCTTGGCAATACAGGCGAATTCAAGATCTACAATCTTCAATATCTAAACTTAAAAATGATACATCTGAAAAACAAATACAACAATCTAAAAAACTAGCCAAAGAATTGGATGATATAATATCATCTGAGTGTATACTTTGTGGTAATACTATGATACGAAGTATAGATAAAAGTTTTATCGATAATAATACGGAAATGTCTTTTTGGAATATTTAACAATTACAGTTATATTTATTATTTAAATTAGAAATAATATTCTCTTTTATACATATCGACTTTGGATTATGAAATATATAATGATATTATTCAAAAATGCATCTTACAAAAATGTCTATTGATAAGCAAATTCATACTTATTTTATTTTATAAATACAAGATTTATGAATAACTGCATTATAGTCAAAAAATATATTATGTAATTTATATTTGAAATTCTGTTTCAGAACAAAAAATTAAAATAATTACAATCTAATAGCTCTTGATTTCTTCTGTCAGTTTATAAATCTCCTTAACTACATCCGGAATAGTTCTTTCATTTACATAGCTAAGCTCTTGTTCTGATAAATTCTCCATTACAAAATTAATTACATCTTTAGATTCTCTTGTCGATGGTCTTCCTAACCCTATCGAGAAGCGAATAAATGACTTTAACCATATTATATAAATATTCACTTCATATAAAAAACTTACTTCCGTTCCTAATGATGCAATACATGATCTTATACCATTATGACCTCTATTTCCCCTTTATTTAACTACAATCCGTAAATATTAAACGATACACTATACCTGCCCTTTCCACTATTTTTTACCTTAAGAACTCCAAAATTCTCCTCAATATCATCATGAATAACTACAAGATAACAGTTTTTCCTCTCATTAACCCCTTTATTCTCACAAAATTTAGACCATGCCTTATATACCGCTAAACCCGATTCATTCATATAAATATCTGAACGAAACAATAAAAACGGTGAATCCCGTTTCTCTGCATATGATCCAAAGACTAATGAATCTCTTTTAAACACTGAAAACCCAAAATATTTCCTGATCTCCTCTAAAACATAATGTCCCAGATTATGTCTTGTAAACCGATAAGCGCTACCTGGATTTCCAATACTACTTATCTAATAATATATTAAGTAAAAATACTAAGAAAACGGTATTTATAATACCAATATCCTCTGTATTCCTCCAAATTCTCCCCTCATAAGCCCTCATACTAATAGTATATAGTTTCTTGGTAGTCGAGAGTTGCGATGGCAACCTTTCAACAACCTTATTTTTTCTAAGTCCTCATTTCTTGTTGAAAAATGTTATAAAAATACAGAGGTTTTTGTTAATCTATATTTCCCTATATAAAATGGAATACTACAGAGAATATCTTAATATTACAGAGAATAATATTAAAGAAAGTCAAGAAAAAGCTAATGAACGGAAAGTTGAAAGTTGGAAACAAAGCTATAAAGAGGGTCTAAACAGAGGAGATATTGTAAATAAAACAGAAAAATATGAATTATCGGAAGAAATTGAGGGTTTGGCTTTTTTTTTATTTTTTTATCTCAAATATTGAGATAAAACAGATATTTTACAATATATTAAGGAAAAATGGAATAGTTTGACAAAAGAAGAGGTTAGATGAGCAGGATAAAGCTATATTTTCATTTATTTTATTAAAAGAATATATAGTGTAATTCAGTTGTATCAGCATTGGAGCTTTTTGATAAAAGTTCACTTGGTAAAGATTATAATGCTTTTAAAGAAACATATCAAAGGTTACAGAAAGCATTTAAATCAATTATCAATGGTATGATGAGATTATTAAAGTTATAGGGATTAATATAAGTGAAGAACATTATGATGAATTTAGTTCTTCTATTGGAACGTTTGAAATGATTATGCAAAATATTGCTAAATCATTGGAAAAAACAAATGAAATAAACGAAATGATTTTAGAATCTCAAGAAAGATTTTCTTTCAAGGAAAATGATTTAAATCATATATATCAACATAGTTCGCAGCTTAAAGAGACATTGAGAATTTTAAAGGCTATGTATATAAATTAGTTAATTGATATTTATGGAGAAGAGCTAATTTAATTTGAAGTGATGACTTTCGAAGAATTCCAGATATTTTAGAAAAACATATTTCTGAAAAAAAGTTTTTGACAGCTATTAATCTTCTTAGAGAAGCTCAACAGATTACAGAAAAATATGAAATGTCTAAGATCGGTGCATTAGCAGACATTAAGCAATATATAAGTGGTCAAAAAAATGTTATTTTACTTTTTTTTAAATTGAATATTTTTAATAAATAAATAGTCGTTAATGGATATTATCCTTGAAGAGCTTCATAATCATTTATACTTGAAATCACCGTATTGTGATGCTTATTGGGCACCTTATGTTATAGGAAAAGAAGAATGTATGAAAATATATTGTAAAATGTATTATTTACTTTTAATAGTGCCTATTCCAAATGCTTTGAAGAGAAATAAAGAATCGCAATCAAACACCTATTTTTCTTACGGTATCAGAATCCCAATTGTGGAAAAAATGATTTATTTTATTATTTAGATAACGAAAATTTGCAGTCAGAAGTTAAAAAGGTACATTTAATATAAACATCTGTCTTTTTATAACACCTTTAAGAATAACGTTTATAATCCTGAGGTTGATTCTGAGGAATATATACGGATGTTGACTAAGGCTTTGTACTTGTTAGATGTATTTCCTGTTGCAATAGATATTATCGTTCAAAGACTGCCTGTAGAAATTTATCAATTAATTGATAAAACGATAAATGAAGTTGAACAAAGGGATTTAAATTTACTTCAAAATATGTTTCCTAAACAAAAATCACTAAATATTATTGATACCGATTTTTCAGAAGATATCATGAAATCTGAGATCCTAAAAGATTTTTTTTGGACGTTGTATTCTAAGTTAATAGCTGTGCTTAATCGATATAATATCATGTATATCTATATTTCAGATTTAAGCAGTATTCAATCTGAAGAAAACGAGGGAATTACGTCTGGATTAGTTTCTTTTAATTTTTTAAACATTTGGAAACCAATTGAATCAGAGGTTAATTTGTTATTTTATTTATTTATTTATTAAATATTTAAAGATTCAAACACTTCTTTCTAATTATGTTGTGGATGGACCATGTCAAATAATATCTACTTCATCTAATTTTATTTCTTTCAATGATATGTTTGATGAGAAAAAGGATATAAGAAGAACAAAGGTATAATACAATTGTTTCCATATTAACTTAACATTTTTTAGATGTTTAATATACGTAATATAAATGAAAATTCTAAAGACTTTAATGATGCTCTTGATGATTTAAAAAACATTTTAAATTCTTCTGTTGTATATCTTATGTTGCGAGGAAAAAATGTTAAGGACAAAATGAATCCAATTCCATATGATTTAAAGGAAACATCTTTCACTGCTCATCGTATGCTAGTTAAATCATCTGTATTTAATATTGAAGCTTTATTTAAACCTACATTGGCATTTTTGAGAAAATGTCAAGATACTACGTTTTTGAAGTATGAATTATTTATTAAAATAAGATTTTTATTTTTATTAGGTTATGTGCTCCAGATTCAATTATAACCCCGTTTCTGGATGAATTCTTATCAAACACATTTTTTCCTCAATTGAAAGATATTATTCAAGAAATTAGTAATCAGAGCATACTAGATTTTGATGTATTTCAAATTTATGAGAACTGGTCAATTTATTCAACTAATTATGTATTAAAGGTATTTTTAATTTATTCAATTTTTATTAAATAATAATTGTTTAGAGTGCTGTCTCTTTATTAGCATTAATCACAAATTTATCTAAAATTCTTAATTCTATTAGCTATAATAATGAAGATTATAGCTATATTTTATTGGACATTTTAATAAAATATTATAATAAATGCAGTTTAAAATACAAAGAATTGATTTCTCTGGCTAATCATATCACTGGTAATGATAAAACCATTGTAAAAAATATAAAGAAAATGAGTGAAATTTGGTCTGATAATGAGGAATTAAAAGAGTTATTAAAACAATTTTTGGATGATTCTATTACTTTAGATAATTTTTCTGTTATGGTAATTGTTTTAAATAATCAATAGTTCTTTCTAATTTATAAAGGAAACTGAGAAAGAATTTTCACTAAAAAATAAGGTGCCATTGAAATATAATGATATTCAATGGGATAAACAGGTTCTTGAGTCCCTTGGAATACTTTATCATACTTTGGTTCGTTTAAAATATATGAAAAAAAATATTTATTTATTATTTTAGAAATGGATTCTGGATATGATAACTTCAAATAGTAATATTAAAACGAATTTAAGTACTGATTCACATGTAAAAAAAAGAGGAATTTTGAAAAAATATTAAAATATTTTAGAAACAAATTTTAAAAAGTTTTTTTAAACCGTCTAATAAGGTTGTCTCTATTTTACGTAATGAATCTGATAATTCAGAATTTTATATGAAATCAGAGTCTATTGAGTATTTTTTTTTATTTTTTGTAATTATATTGATTTCCTTTGTAGAAAATTGGAGGCCATATTAGTTAATTTCAAAGAACTTTCAAAGACAATTCTTTTTACTATTAGAATTGAAATAAGATGTCATGTTATGTATTATATAGAAAAAGTTGTTCGAGATGGGAATTATTATTTAGATCATTCTATACCAAAGCCGGATTTATATCTTTTGGAACTAAATACTGAGCTTTTGGAATACAATGAACAATTAAATTCCTGTTTACAATATGATGAATATTTGTAAGTGTTATTTTTAAAAATCTTATGTTAATATTTTTCTAAGATTTGTTTTTTATGGACTACCATATTTGATAGATAATTTATTAGTTCTATCTGCTGAAAATATTAAAAAGATGAACACTATTGGTTCGGAAAAAATGTTGTTAAATATAATGATTTTGCAACAGAATCTTAAAAATGTTATTAGAGATGTAGAAAATGTTAAACTTGAAAAATCGATTCATTATTATGAATTATTAAAGCTAGGACCTAAGGTAATTTTATATCTATGTTTTTATTTTTTTTAATGAGACAAGAATCTTCTTGAAGAAGCCAAAAAACCATCAAATATTTTTACTTATGATGAAGTAAAAACTCTTCTTCACTTACAATATTCCGAAGATTTAGTCAAAGCAGATGAACTTAATAGACCTGATATTACTATGACTTTAAAACATTCTTTAAATGAAAACTTAATAGAATTAAATGAATATTTATGGCAAAAATAAATATCAATATATTAATAGTTATATATTAATTCCATCATAATTTAAATATGTTGCAAAATAACAAAACCATAACCAATATATAATGAATTTACATGAGATATTTTCATAATTTACAGATTTCTTACATATCCTAACATTGATAAACATTAATAATACATTTATAAATGAACTTGAAGTATATCTCCAATACCAAAACCCCGATTACATGAAGGGCAACGACGTTGTCGAGTTTCTATGCGTTTATTTATACATTCTTTACAAAATATATGTCCACACAAAGATATTGCTGTATTTTTCCATTTAGTTTCACATACTGAACATTTAGCCATGCTCTAAAATCATTAATTCCATTTTAAAATTTAAAAATACTTTACTTTATATATTTTTAATTCGTCTATATCTCCATTAACTGTATTTTGGTTTTTATTTCTCTGAATTTGTATTTTAAGTTTTTCGACTTTTTCCTCTGCAATTCTTTTAGAATTCGTTTCTGTACTAGTAATATTTTCTTGTTCTATTAATCGTTGTTTTAGCTAATATAAAATGTTAATACATATAAAAAATATTATCATTATCACCATAGAAATTTGTTGTCCAATTTTTTTTATATTATGATCTTTTTCTTCAATTTTCAATTGAAGTTCATGAACTTTTGAAATAAGAGATTCGTTAGCTGGTCTTAAAATGGCTATTTGTTTTTCTAAAATTATCTAAAAATAATTATGAATTATTCAATCAATCATAAATATTCATACTAATTTTTGCATTGTAATCTTTTCTGCTTCCTGTAGTTTAATAATAATATCACCCGCTTTAGAATTTTGTTGTTTTAATGTTTTATTTTCAATTGTTAATTTATCTTTAGCTTTCATAGCATCAAAATATTTTTGATCAGCTTTAGCTTTCTATTAAATTGTTAAAATTTAATATAAAATATAAATATATATATATATATATTATACATACATCTGCGTTTAAACGATAAAATTTATCCTCTTTTGCTATAATTTCATTAATCTTTAAAGAACTTTGATGATGTGCCTTATTAAAAGCATGTTCTAACGTTAAAAGTTCTGAACTTAAACTTTTATTTTGCTATTAAATATTTTTATAAAAAAATATCATCTTAATCTTATACTATATACCTTTTCTAAACGCTCATTTTGCTTTAAAAGCTCTTCTTTAGATTTTTCCGATTTTATATCTTTTTCTATTTCATATTTTTCTTCCATTTGTTTATTTAATCGTTCAACTTGCTCCTCTAGTGCACTAATTCTTGTCTTTATAAATCGTCAAATCTCATTTAATAAAATTTTTAAAATATATTTTACATTACGAGTTTCTAAAAGTTCCATAAGTTCTTTTTTTACTGTTGAATTTTCTAATTCCGTAGCTTTTTTTACATTAAGTTGTGATAAAAGCTCATCTCTTACTGTTCTAACTCGTGCAAGATCTTGCTCTACTTTACTCAATTGTTCTTTCATATCATTAATCACTTTTTCTTGTTCATTAAGAATTTCTTCCTTAAATTCTATCCTTTCTGATCTTAATTTCTCTATTTCTTTATTAATTCTTTCATATCCCGGTTCAATTTCTTTAATTTTCGCTGCACATAATTCATATTTATTTCTTAAATTATAATATACTTCTGAATTCACTATTTCTTCCTCTGTTGGATTCTTTAACTACATTTTTCATTATTTTTTTTATTTTATTCTTTTAATTTCTTTTCACCTTAAGTTGAATTTCCATCAATTCTTCTCGTAATTCTTTTTTTTCTTGATTTAACTTGTTGATTTCTAATAATCTCTTTTCATTAATCACTTCCATTTCTTTTATTCTTATTTCATTATCCTTCTTCTTCTTCTCCTCCTCCTCCTTCTCCTCCTCCTCCTCTTCTTTCGATATCTAAAAATTAATTAGTTTTTAATTATTATCTCTTCATCATCATTATTATTTATTAACATTTTCTTCCATTCCTTTCTTTCCTCCCATTTCTTCCTTTTTTATCTCTTTATCTTCCTCATTCTCCTCTTCTTTTATCCTCTTTTTATTCATTTTTTCCTTGGTTTCCCTATAATTCCTTTCTCTATCTATTTGTTTTTCTAATAATACTATCTCATATATCATATCTTCCAATTTCTTCTCTGAATTCTCCCTTTCTATCTTCAATTGCTCAATATATGATCTTGCTATGGTCAATTCTGACGATAGCTTCGCTGCGTAGTTTTTCATTCTTTCCATTTCTCCTTCTTCAATATTCGATGTTTTAATATGATTAAAAATAGATCCTACTATATTCATAATTCTACTCTTTTTCTCATGTAAATGTGCTGAAAAGTTTGTATCACTCTCTAATAATAGACTTGATAGATTCATATCACTGATCACCCCTAACCCTAACCCTAACCCTGAATAGATGTTCATCTCATTTAAAAACTATTTCATATTTTTATATTATTTATAATTCTTTTTTAAAATATTAATGATTTCTTCTAACCTCGTCAAACCATGCATCCATCACTGCAATATGTTGTTCTTGATAGGTGGTTTTTCTTTCCAATTCCTCAACCCTAACCCTAACCCTAATGGCTTCCCTCTTATACTCCTTCATCCTTCTTAGTATGGCTTCCTTTTGAAATATCTAAATAAAAAGGTTAATAAAAGGTTAAAATATTAAGGTTTTAAAGGTTTTAAATAATGAAATATTACTTCTAATTGAAAATTTAGATTATTATCATCTAAATCATCATAAAGAGATTTCTTTAAAGGAGGTTCATATGGATTAGTTTGAATGATAAGATTTTGTCTCTTTTTTATTTCCATGTAAAGAGGAAAGTAAGATTGGAATAAGAGAGATTATAATTTGAATAAGTAAGAAGTCGAAAGTTTAGTTAAGAAATAAGGGAAATTTTTGTAAAAAATAGGTTTTGAACCGCACGCTTAGGTTTTTTTAAAGAAAGGAGTTTTTAGGAGGGATGAATAGAAGGGATAGATGGAATTTATTACGGAATCAGTAGGTATTAAGATGAAGAAAAGAAGAAAGAAGTAGTTAAATAAGAAATAGTTAAGTCGAGGCTTAGATTTACGCCGAGAGTTAGTAAAGAAGTAAAATATGGAGAAGAGAGGGGGGTAGAGGGGGAAAAAGTGGTAGAAAAAGGAATGGAAGATAAGGGAATAAGAGAGGAAAGGGTGATATATAAGGAGAAAGAAAAAGAATTGAGTAAGAAGGATATATGGAGAGAAAAAAAAGATTAATGAAAAAAAAAGTGGAAAAAAAGGGAAATAATGGGATAAAAAGTAAAGAAATGAATGGGGAGGAATTAGAGGAATCGAAAGATGTTTTTTCCGGAGGAAAAACGGAAGATTTAGGGAATCTAGAGGATATTAAGAGGAAGGTTAAAAGTGAAGGAATGGAAGAAGAAAAAATACAAGAAAAAGAGGAGAAAAGTGTAATATGTAATGTAAATTTAAGAGTAGAAAAGGAATATGTGGGTAAAAGTGCAGGTTTTTTTTGGAAGAGAAATAAGTTAAGAAAAATCTGATATAAGAAGGATATAATAAGGTTTTGGAGGGTAAAGAAGGAGAGGAGGATAATAAAGGAATGATATATGAAGTAAATGATGGTATGTTTGGGAGATGGAAGACGATAGTAGTTGAATTGGAATGAGATGTAGAACAAAGTGTCAAAGAGACGAGAAAAAATAAGAAAAAAAGAGCGGTATCACCGATTAATAGTGAAGAGATTACTATAGAACCGGATCGAATTAAGATTTCGGATTTATGTAAGGATATACGAATAGGAAGAAAAAGTGTAAAATTTAATGAGATACGTAAAATGGAAGCAGTAAAGAAGAAGATGAAAACAAATAATGGAGAATTATCAGGAAAGAAGATATTAGTGAATGGAAAGGTAATAAGTGAAAGAGAGAATGGATCGATTGATAAGAATATACAAAAAACAAATATGGATACTGATAATATGGGAATGTCAATAATAAGGAATGGAAATATGGAAGTATCTAAAAATCATTTAAAAGGGTATTTTGAAGAGTTTTATATTTTATTTAGATTAAATGTTTAAGGGCACCGCAAGTTCGTGTAGTTAATGGAAAGATTGTTATAGATGAAACATCATTACAGGTTGATAGACGTGAAAGAGATGTTAATCCAGATGCAGAAATGGAGCTGGTTGAAGAAAATGATTTATCAAGAAAAGTTAATAGTGCTAGTTGGGGTAAAAGAGAGAAATCTGATCGATGGTCGTTAGAAGAAACTCAACGATTTTATAATGTTTGGTTTTTTTTTTTTTAAGGAAAAAAAGTATTTTAAATGTTAATAGGCGTTATCACAGTGGGGGACGGATTTTGGGGTTATATGTAAAATGTTTCCAAATAGAAGTCAGCGACAAATAAAAAATAAATTTAATTCAGAAGAAAAAAAATACCCAGAAAGGATTAATACTGCTCTTAAATTACGGGAGCCTATTGGTAAGGTTTAAACATAAAGATTTATTGTATTTTATTACTAGATATTGTTGCATATTCGAAAGCTATTGGTTCTACATTTAGATCTATTGATGAAATTCAAGATGAATTAAAAAAAGTAAAAGAGGATTTTGAAGAATCAAGGAGGATTTCAATGGAAAATTCTCGAATTTTGATTAATAAGAATGTATAAATTAAATGTTTATTGGGTTTTAATATTAAATATCTTTCAATTTAGTCTTAATTTTTCTGGACAATTATATATATATATATCAATATTATGAATATAACTGATTTTGAAATTTCGTTATACAGACAATATATTTATGTAAAGTTATATTGAAATTATCTAAGTTTTTAATTAAAGTTATTTTTTGTTAGAATAAATTGGATATTTATAATTAAAAGGATTAAAAAAAAGAATTATCTAATGCTTTATTTAGTTAAGATACGAGTATTATAGGAATTTTCAAGTCATTTAATTTAATAAATTGTCTTTACAAGCTTTTTTTTTATTATTTTAGGATCTCTATGTTATAAAATAAAAGAAACAATTTAGACAAATAAAGCTAATAATAATAATACATGAATTTTATCTAATAAAAACACAAGTCTTATCTAATAAACATATTAAAATAATACATTAAGTAATAAATCCAATATAAATTTAAATCCAATTCTGCATAAAAATAGTTTAAATGCCTAAAACTTACATAATAAAAACCTTTCTAATCTTATCTCTTGGAAATTTTTCGGTTGTAGCAGGATCCCAAATAACATCTTTTGGAATTCCAAATTTTTCGTTCTTTTCAAATAAACTTCTTTGATTATATACCCGACCATTAGGGAGTGCTATTAGTTCATTATCACTTTTAATTTTCTCTCCTGTTAATGAATCTATAAGACTTGATCTAGCAGCATGAGCATATGGTACTAGCGATGCAATAGAATTCAATTCTGATGAACAAATAGGACAAAGTGTAGAATGAAAAAGAGTTGTATTTGCTTTTTTAGATTCGGAAGAATAACATGATGGTGTTTTTAAAGAAGAGAGGCCTGCTGAAAGCGTAATATATAATAAAGGAGGAATTGAAAGGTTATATAAGTTATGATGAGTTAATACAAATAAATCTGCCAATAATTCCCAACGATCAAGAGAATAAAGTTTCTGTAATTAAAGTTAAAACTATAATAATTATGTAAAATATGATACTTTATAAGGTTCACATTCCGTATCTGGTGGAAATATTAAAAGTGCTGTAGAACGTTTAAATTCTTCAATATGTTCTTCTGAAAATTGTGTTAAATATTTTCGTGAATATACAATAGCTTGAAGTCTCTCGCCTTTTCTAATAAGTTCAATATATTCCTGTAATTTTAATTCAAATTCCAAGTTAACCTAATTATAATAAGAATAAATTTATTTATAAATTTTTTTTACTTTATTTTTCCTTAAAAAAGCTTTATTTTCTGCACACCATGCAAGACATTTTGTTGTATCTTTATTTCTTAATGCCTCCTCAATTTTTTTGTACCGAACAAATATATCAATATCCACCAAATTCTTTTTATATAAGTCTTTTTCTATTTAATAAACATATATTACTTCAATATTTCTTTCTTTTGCCAACTGTTTAGCTGTTTCACTCATTCCTTTACGTAACATATAATCTATTAAAAGACGATCTAACCGAATTTGATTCCAATTTTCATAGTCTTCATCTTCAATGTTTTCTATATTATGTAGCTCTCTTAAATGATCTATTCGTGCCTTTAATTTCTCAAAACACTGTATATCTTTTTGATTTAACATAAATAGCTAAAAATCTCAAAAATAGTCCTTTTTTTACAGAAAAAAATGCTACTTTCTCCTTTAACTCTTGAGTCTTATAAAGAATATTCTTTAATTGCTCTATAGATGTCTGTATTTCATCTTCTGTACTAAAATTTAACTTTTCAATTTCCGATAAAAGAAAACTTGAGTGTTTTTCAACATATTTTTGAGACATCTTAAAATTCATTCTTAATGTTTCATAAGGAACTCTTATCATTGATTGTTCTAACATTAAATGGTTTTCTAAATTAACCTTAGTAGCTTCCATCTTGATATTATAATATCGATTAGAAAAACCTAAGTTGATAAAAAAATATAAATATATAAGCAATTATATAAATATTATGTTAATAACTTGCGTGCTGTTTCAATATTATGAAGTAGCTTTTGAATAGATATTGGTTTAGTCGATGAAGTAATTGAATCAGATGAATTTATTTGATTTAAATATGTATCTTGAGAATTATTTTGAATGTTAAAAGAGAAAGAGTTTCTTCTTCTTATTCTTTTTCGTAAACTGTGAGGTATTTTTGTAAATAAAGTAAAGTTATTGTTTGTATTGTATAAAAGATTATCATCGAGTCTTAATCTTTTAATTCCTTTAAAATCAGGAAATAAATCAGTATCTGAATTGAAAGATATGTAAGAAAGAAGTTGTTGAAATGGTGTTTTTAAATATGTTTCTTGAATTGAAGAAATTTTGAAAAAATTAACATTTGTTAATTGTGTGTGAGTTTTTTTAAGTAATTGTATATCAAAAAGCAAGTTAAGCTATAAATTAAATGTTTAGTATATTTAAAATAAGTGGTTAGAATTCTTACTTCAATATCTAATTCTAGATCTGTCCAATAAATAATTAATAAAGGGAATTTAAATATGTTTTCAGAAGGTATGCTTTGAATTAATGTATGTAATTGATGTTTCCATATATCCCATTTAGCTGATAATAGAGAATTTTGAGTATCTAGAGGACTGCATTCAAAAACGATAGCACCTATATTTTTATAATGATTTTTTTTTAAAGTATCAGACATAGGCATTATAATTTGAATATTTAAATCAAAATCAGTTGTTAATTTCCAAACAAATTCAGTAGAATCAGGTTTTAAATGAAATTTTTCTCTTAACCAAAGTGATGTTGGAGTTCTATAATCTGTAGAAAAAATGAGAAGTTGCCATAAATTAAACGATATTTTTGATTCATGTTTTAGTTTTGAAACAAGAATATTAGTCAAGTCTTCATTTTTCCAGAGTTCGTTTATATGATAATGGGTCTATAAGTTATTAAATATAAAAAAATTAAGCCATTATTTTAGACCTTCTTTAAAGTTTCAGCCATATTTTCATCTGTTTCATTATTTAAAAATCTATATACTTTTTCTCCTTTGTTTTTATTTTTTATATTTATTGTATTTATATCTTTTAATGCAGAATAATATTGATGCAATTTTTGCCTCTGTTTTTCCTTAATTTGCTCCAATTCTTTCTTTTGAGATGCTCTTAAATTATACTTTTTCCTCATAATTTCAAATATGTTTCTAAAAACTCTTTTTTTATTCATATTCTCTGCTACAGACTCAAAAACAGCATCAAAAATGACCTCTATAATTAATGATTCTGTAATTTCATGTGCAAATTCCTTTAAAATTTTATTTCTTTTTTCAAGAGACTCGAATTCAGTTTTTATAGTTGCAATAACTGTCTTTATTTGATTATCCATCATTTCTAAGAAAAATGTGTTTAAAATATCCAAGAATTGATGTTTTGAAAGCCTTTTAGGTTGTTCTTGATCTGTTGTATTTTTTAAATCACATAAATTTTTATTAAATTTGCTTGATGAATCATAAAAATGGTATTTATTAGGAATTGATCTCTTTGTTTCATTACCAGAATCTAATGATTCAAAAATATTGTCTGTATTTTTAATATTATTTGAAGAAATGTCTGAAAATATAAGTATTAATATATAGTAATAATAGAAGAATATACCTTTGGGAATTTGAGGAAATTTGGATTCTAAATTTAAAGTTCCTTCATCTTTTTCATTTTTAAATTTGTTAATATCATTTTCCTTGATATTAATAAATAATTCTTTTGAGGGGAGTCTAGAAGAATCTAGTCTATTAGTTGCCTCTTGATTTATGTTAAATAGTGATGGTTGAAAAGCATGAGTGTTTGAATCTAAATATGGAACTGACACTAGACAATGGATGTTATTATAGAAATAAATAGATAGGAAATATTTACATTCTAATGTTTCATTGACCGGCTTTTCAAGAGTTGAAAAAAGAGGATATGTAGAACATGGCTCACTCGTTGATCCATTAATAATATCTGAAAAAGATTGTGAACCACGTTTGGCTTCAACTAGACGTTTACAAAACTTCTGTTTAATTGGAGGTTGAGTTTCTATAGAAAAATATTAGAATTAATTAATCAATTAATTGATATTACCATCCCATTTAGAAGACTTATGAATATAAACAGAAACAGGAGATCCCTGTGCATTTCTATAAACTGTAAGACCATATGATTCACAATTTATAGCAGTTTCTTCAATATTATCGCATCCTAACATTTCTGCAAGTACATCAATAGGAAATGGCGAATGATTAGCTAAATAAGAACGTCTCATTGCCTTCAATGCACCTTTTCTAATATTTGTAAAATGCATTTCAATTGAACATGCCATAAGATATGTTGTTTCTTTGCTTGAAACTAGTTTAAAAAAACGAGTAAAAAGATTTTGAGCTGCTTCAGTATTAGGTGTATTATGAATTCCAATTCTTTCATTATTTCTTTGAACTAAAGCATATAATTTCAATGCATGTTGAATAGGAAATGAAAAAAATAAATCTGTAGGCAATGTTTGAGCCTGACGAGTAATATCTGGATCTTGAATTCGTGACAATATATAATAAGCTCTAAATTCCGGTTCATTAGGACATTGAATATTTAGACACCGCAAATCATCATAAAACTCAATTAATGATTGAAGAACTAATATGTTAAATATTGATTAAAATAAATAAAAATTTAACCTTTTTGCAATTGTTCATTTTCTTGCTGTTGACTAAAGCTTTTAACCTCACACAATTGATGCAAACAAAGAATATGATATCGTGCTATACGTTCATGGCAATCTACTGCTTCTAATCCACGACTATTTTGAAAAGTAAAGTCTTGACGTATAGAACGTGTCCTATCCCGAACAAAACTATGTGTTTCTGATAAACTATCTTTACCACAGATAATACGATCAATAAGATAATCAAGTGTTGACTAATAAAATTAAAAAAACTATATATAGAAATATAATTTACTTTTAAAACATGTGGTGGACGAACATCTGATGGTAACGCTTGTTCATTACCTGCTGCCGGCCTATGAAATGCCTTAACTGCAAGATTTTTATCAACCCTTCCTGTCAATGGATTCTAATTCTATATTAAAAATATATATTATATCTCATCACAAACAATTTCCCAGCGTTCAAGGTTTTTTTGATATTCTCGCTGCTCACGTTCAAATAGTGGGCACATATCTTGACATGTTCCAACAAATGTTAATGCTTGATTAAGCCGTTTAGGCTTATTTGGATCATCGATCAATCCAAGTCTTGTTGCTTCTTCTCTTTCACGTTCTCCTACATAAATTTAGCCGTATAACATTCCCTTTCAATGAACCAATTAGAAATTACGTTCTGGTTTTAATTCTTCATATCTATTTCTTGACTGAACTCTTTCAAATCGTTTTTGTCTTCCTTCTCCACCTTGTTGAGTATTTATCTCCTCATTTTGAAGACGTCCCTTATTAGAGGATGTCTTAATATGCTTTATTCTTGAAAATAGATTAGCTATACGAGATCCTCGTGTATCTTTTGCCCAGTTTCTTCCTCTAGTTTCCATCTTTTATATTTTTATGGATATAAATGTATATATATATATATATAATAGATTTTTAATGCCAGTTCTTCATTGAAATACATATCAAATCCTATTAATCATAGAATAAGGTAAAATCCCAGGAAAAAACAGATATTTTATCTTTTTAAGTGCTTTAAACTATTAATTATTTAAATTTATTAGCCTAATGATATTAGAAAAGATTTAGAATTAATAAAGGTTTAATATTACTTATAAATATTAAGATTAATGTTATTATTAACTGTATTTTATTTAAGAATAATCAATATTTGTTTTTATGAGGTTATAATTAAGATTATTATTTATACGGTAGTTAAGATACTTTAAAAAAAAAAGAATTAATTTTTTCTATTTAATAATCATCAATTATCCTAACCTTTTTATCTCATTATTAGAATACAAATGAATAATCTTTCTGTATTATTTATCAGGAAATAAGAATCAGTAAAATTAAGGAATTCGATGATAATATAGAAAAGGATATTAATGATTCAGAAGGAAACATAATTATCCCTAAAGAAAGACATTTATAGCCATTAGTTATTGGCGAATATTTTAATTGAATACATTGACTATGGAATTGCTTGTATTTTCTTTGACCATTGTTTCAAAATAATTATAAATTGTTGTTGTGCATAAAAGAATTGCAGTTCCTGAACCAAGAGCTCCTAGTAAAAGTAAGATATGAATGTATGAAGTTAAAAGAAAGGGATACCTAAAAGATCAGAAAAAATTGATAGAGCACCAATACAGGCACCAGAAAGCCATGCAGCAGTAGGAACGATACGTTTTAATTCCTTGTACATACTTTTTTCACGATGTCCTGCAATAACAACTTGTTGTTCTTTGAGTTGTTTAGCAACGTCTCTTGGTCCACTTCCTGATACTTCAATCCATAATTTGGAAAATAAAGCACATACAAAAACGATAAATAAAACGTATACAGTGGTATGTATTGGGTCAAGAAGAGCTTCTTTAATATTTAATGGAGGAGTCATCATGTATGCAAGACCAGAAACAGCACGATTCTGAGTTGTTCCTGGTACTGACTTGGTTATTTTAGTATTTGAATTACTTTCTAAAATAAAAAATATACCTTCCATGTTCCAAAAAGCCTAACAAATATATTATCTGGAAATTTGCGATATAGCATTTGAGAAACAATAAATATATTTGAGGTTAAAGCACTTTCTAACATGACCGGAATATTGCTAGTATAAAACAATTTCACGGAATATGTGCCATGTTGTCCTCTAAGCTTGTTTGATTTAATAGGTATTTCAACTCTAAATCCCTGTAAATAAATTATGACTGCAAAAACTAAAATAGTTGCAAGAAGGTT